ATTCAATATGACATTTTTCAATGAACATACTCTAGAGATCAATGACATCATCATCATTTAATTATCCATATTAGGTAATATTAAATAATTTTTTTTGACAGAATGATAACTATAAATAGTGGACATGTCAATTAATTCAAATCATCAAATCAATCAATCAATCAATCAATTAATCAATCAATACTCTAGCAATCTAAAAATGACTCTCCTCAGTATGTATTAAAATAATCTTCAATTAATATTGCTTCCAGCTCAAACAACTAACATAAATGTAAATAGAATCAATGACCTCCCTCTCCTTCTCCTCCTCTGCTATTTGCAATGGATCGGTTTCAAGTGGAAGAATGAACTCTTTCGGTCAATCATCGAACAGCACCTCAGGAATTGTTGCTCAGCTTGGTCAGGATGCCGGTCCATTGATCCAAGGTACCTTTGATACCGTCAAGGCTGTTGGCAACACTGCCATCACCTTCCTTGACCAAACTGTCTATGGTTTGGTTGGTCTCTAAACTTCTCGCTTGTATTATCAATTAAATAAATATATTTAATGGACAAATGTCCATCAAATCATCTTTAAATTAAATCTATATTTGATCTCTTTATCTCATTTGGGGATATTCTAATGATCCAGCAATAATAAAAAATAAAAAAAGAAACTATTTAATTTTTAATTACTTTAATTATTATTATTAATTTACAAAAATTTCYTATCATTTATTTTCCAAGACTTCAAACCTATCCTACACTTTTAGATTATCTCCAACTACAAGATAATCATTATACATTGCACAATATACTTACTTATCCAATCACCACATCTTAACTAATCACTCACAAACCACACTCGTCTGTTTGATAGATTGTCGTCTACCAAACACACTCACTCCTGGACACCCCTCAAACAGTCAATCACCCTTTTCCAAACTCAATCAATCAAACATCCAAGATAGTTGTAACAATACATAATATGACATTCTTTCAATGAACATGGAGATGATACACGTCATCATAATATTATCAATCCATAATAGGTAAGAATGAAAGATTGTTTGATTGATCAGACTCTGCTTGCTCAAACAATAACTATAAATAGTTATATTTGATCAATATTTTAAATCATCAAATCAATCAATCAATTAATCAATCAATACTCAAACAATCTAAAAATGACTATCCTTAGTATGTATATTAATTCAATCACATCCTTTAATCATCCTCCTAACAATTGGATTCAATAATAATTTAAATAGAATCCATGTCTGCTCTCTCCTTCAACGCTTCTGCTATTAGCAATGGTTCAGTCTCAAGTGGAAGAATGAACACATTCGGTCAATCATCCAATATGACATCGGGACTTGTTGCTCAACTTGGTCAGGATGCTACTCCATTGATCAATGGTCTGTTGGATACTACCAAGGCCGCAGCCGGCACCACCATCAACTTCGTTGACCACACAGTCAACGGTTTGCTTGGTATCTAAACAATCCTACTAATATGACAATTATTCATGTATTCAATACCATATAAACATCTGTCAGATGAGATGTCTCTCTCTGGTAGATCAATGACGCCATCTCTTGATTTATCATTTGTTTTTTTGCTGTAGTTTTGTAAAAAAAAACGAGGTTACAGTATGTGACAAGCCCAGGTCTTCGATTCCCTGATTTAGTCGTTTTAAGTCTATGGACTAATTTGAAGGGTATCACCCACATCTTGTTTAATTATTCAAATACACACTTCAAGACTCGACTTTACTTTCTTATTCAATCAGTCTCTTCGTGTAATAATAACATCACTGATGATCAAATTATATAATCTATTTCACATACTTGTGGCTCTGCTTCTGATTCTCAGCCTATCACAACTAGGGTAAGTAAGCAGCTAAAGTTGATAATATTAATATTAATAATAATCAATCAATCACTGACATCAATCAATCAAAAAAAATTAATCTTTATTCATATCATATAGTTGTGTGAATGCTCAGTTTCCATCTATTACTGGGTTCAAACATAATGGTCCTCCTGTGATCACAAGTACTGGAAGCAACTTTGGCACACAAGCACTTGTGATAAAGTTTGGCACACTCACAATTGAAGTCCCACCAGAATCAGTGACACCAACAGTGATCACTGCCAACATTCCCACCGAATCCCGAAATGGCCTACTGTACTTGATAGTCAACGGTATCAATTCCAACATGATCCAGGTCGATCTGACCGCATACATCACCAGCCCACCAGTGTCTCTCAGCGTATTCGGAGGAAATTTCACGGTCCAAGGTTATTTCCTCAACTCCTATCAGTCCAATGGAGAACAGACCAACATCTACATAGTCTATACCAATTTTGGTGAAACCTACATCTTTACTCCGGTTCGCTCGGACAACAACCAGCAGATGGTAGTCCAGTACCCTCGCGGTGGAGGCAAACTCAGTGGTGCATTCATGATTGATAAGGTCAACGTTTAATCCAACACTAGCTTCTCAATCAACTTTCCTCGGCCAGTGCTGCGCTTCTATCGCCAGGAGATCCCAGATGACCATGAACATTGACAACTTCGATGGAGATAACTACGAATTTGAGATACGAAGTTATGGCAATTGGGTTAAAACTCAGTTCATCAACTCAACATCGATTATTATGGACCTGACTGGTATTTTTTGGTTCACTTCACCTCAAACAATCAGTATAGAGGCTTACGGCTACAAATCCTACGCCGACATATACCCAGTTTCATCTGTGAAGGTCACCGCAGCTGTTCCAACTGCCGGCGGTACCCTCCAAGTCATAAGTACTTGCTTCTCCCAAATTATATCATGCAATTTGGATTCTCAGGCCATCCCACCTAAATACCCCTTGTATTGCAACGAGATACCCGTGCCACCCGGAGTTGGACTCCAGAAGACCATAAACTGTGTGTACAAGACCAATACGTCCTTGCTCCCCATCATATTTGACTATGGTCCTGCAGTTGGTCCTTACTCATTCAATGGAAACTTGTTTGTTGTCAATGGCGAAGGTTTCACTCCATCCACCACTGTCTCATTCTCTGATGGAACAAATGTCCTCGCTTCACCGGTTACAACCCACGACAAGGCCACATTCATTGTGCCATTCAATGTTAGAATCATTGGAACCTTTAATATATCGTCCGGTGGTGTGTCTGCTGGACCTTACATCACCAAGCAAAGCTAGTCATATCGAGAGCCACCATCTCCAACACCAACAGCAGCAACCTCATCACCCCAGGACAGATCACCGTAGTTCTCAATGGATACTTCCTGAATCTCAATGATAGTGGTGGCAGACTCTATCCAGTGTAGATCACTATTGGATCGGTACCTTGCACTGGCATCAAGAACGAGATCAAAGGCGGTGGATTGACTTGTACCCTTCCAATTCCATCACCTCCAGCGTCCTTGCCAGTCAACGTCACCATCAACTCAATCTCCAGCGTCATTCCATTCAATCTTGACATTCCAAAGGCAACACCAACTATCATCTCAATCACTACAAACTATTATTATTCATCGATTTCACTCCAAGTGGAAGGTATCTTTGCCTACGGTGCCGTCTTGATCGCAGGAGCAGGAGTGGTCTGCACCATTGTCGATAATTCCATCCAAACATGCACTATTAGTCAAGGTGCACAACCCTCTGGAACACTCACGGCCTATTGCTTTGGGGTGTACTCTGGACCTATATCTTATGATTTCACACCAACATTTAACCAACAGACTTGGATCAACAATGGCTCGATGTTGACTATCACTGGAACCAACTTCTCACCATATTCATATTTGACCCAGATGTCCAACACCATCAGGTCTGATGAATCTTCTTCCTCCTCAATGTTGTTGTTCAAGAATCTAGACTCTTACAATCTCTCATGGGGACCTATCTTCATCAAGAACTCTGGTGTCGAGTCAAACGCCATGCAGATCTATCTTCAGCCAGTACTAACTAGTGTCAAACTTGACAGAACTGGCTTCGACGCAACTGGACTATACCTCGGGATCACAAGTTCGAACAATACTCAAGTGGACTTCACCCTCAAGATCAACTCTGTGACGGTGTCTGCCCAACAAGTGGTTGAAACAACTAAATCACTCAAGTTCACTCCACCCTCCCCTCTTTCAGCAATTTACAATCAATCAACATTGAATGTCTTGGTGGAGCTGACCATAAACTTCCCAAACAATCCTATGTCAGCATCATGCCAATCTTTGATCAATATTCCAACAATCAACACCGCAACCTACCCTTCAGTCCAGCCACCCACAGGACCAGCCATGATCACCATCAATGGCGATAACTTTAACACCACGAGAAACGCAACCATTGGTTCGAACACCTACTCGACCAACAATATCGAGGTCTCCTCCAACACTGTCATTGTCATGGTTGCGACACCAGTGGAGTCAATTTCCACACTCTCGGTACATGGCAACTCAGTGACTAGCAACATCATTTCGACCCACCTGTTCAGACCCAAAGTCACCAGTGTCATTTACAGCTCAGATTCTCAGATGGCCATTGTCTCTGGCAGCTGGACTCATCATTCATTCAATTTGGAAACTACAAACCTCCCTGCCAGTCAATTGACAACAACATCAAGCAATGCAATCTCTCTCAATGTACTGGATGCTTGAGCTGCAATCTTTTCACCTACAGCAACTCGATGACCTATTTCTCCCAGCCATATTACTACAGTAAGTTTATCATTCAATCAATCAATCCATGAGGGGGAATCATTCCGTCCCATAAACTAATATTCAAACTCCACTCTCACACTCAAACATAATCAGCCTCTCAAACCCTCTCTTCGGTCGCATTCAAGGGCAACTTGGTCACAGTTGTCGTTGATCTGCACTGCTCTCAAACGATCTATTCTGATCTCCTTTCATTGATCTCAATCAGCGTAGACATGGTTGATTGCCAGAACATTGTTATGGTGAAGGACAATGAATTCACCTGCACTCCCCAGCGTTCAGCTGGTCCTGTTCTAGTGACTCTTCTTGGACAGAGCTCAAACATTATTCAGTTGGAACATAATCCCAATATTGCCTCTCTGTCCCAGACAGTCCAACTGAGTACGATTGTGATAATAATCATCATTAATATATTATTATAATAAATTAAATAATCAATATTAATAAATTAATAAATTAAATATGATCAATTACTTCACTCTCTTTCAAAGCGACTGTGGCTAGCAAAGGTTCAGTATCAAGTGGAAGAATGAATTCTTTTGCTCAATCATCCAACACATTGAGTTCAGGAGGTTTAGATATTGACATTGAGCTCAATGTCTCAGATGAAGTCAAAGGCGAACTCAACGTTTCAATTTAACTTGTTTAGTATTATTACAATCTCTTCTCCAGAATTACTGCAATCAGTAATAAATTGTTGATAATATGGAATCATATATTCATTCTTTCATTTATTTTGGAATCTGTTATATATTGCCTATTGTTCTTTTGGAAGCATCTGTGATTGATTGATTGATTGATTAATTAGTGATTGGAAATATTTCCAAGTTATAGTTTTCCACTGCCATGAACATCTACTTACATTGAGCATGGAAACAGTGTTTTGGGACTCGAATTGAAGTTGTCGTACAAAGGGCAGGAAGAAGATAAAGTAAATAATGACTATAAAGAATGAGAATAGTACAGCTTGGACGATGGTGGACAGTGAGCATATTTGAACGTAGTTGACCAGTTGATCGCCAATCTCATAGGCATAGTTGTCGGTGCCGTCGTACAGGTCCTCTTTAGACTGCATCTTGATGTAGCCCCAATAGTAGTTGGCCGGCGTCAACTCGGTTGCATTCTTGTTGGCCGATAGATTGCGACCTGAGCTGAAGTAGTTGAGTGTGATCACGTCCAAACCCTGCTCGATAATATCATAGTACTTGTCGCCCTCCTTCAGACACGGGTCCAGCTTGCGAAGACATGTGCCTCTTGTGTTGTAATAAAAGTCGGGTCCATCCATCTTGTCATTGTTGCGCCATTGCTTGAGCTGGTGGTAGTCGTCCTCCATGCCCGCGACCGACTCGCCAATGCCTGTCTGCATATCCTCGCGCATCACTGGATTATAAATGATCTCTTGGCCATAATACAATATCATTCTGATGTATGCTGCTTGACCTTCGGCATAATATACTTGATTGGTCTTGACCAGAATTCTGTTCATCTGTGCCGAAGTAGACACCAACAATCCCAGGATCAAGAATCCAACGATCACTTCGGCTACAATATATCTTCGATGAAGGCTTCTCGACACCCTTGTCTTCATCTTCTTGAGCATGTTGTCGTGTGTGATTGCCAGGGTATTGTCATTGTCCTTTTCCATGTCCTTGGGCGACGTTGGCGCAGACTCATCATATGTAGAGTCAGCAAACTGGATCTTTGAAGGCTTGCCAGGGGTGTCGCCCGAGTCCAGGGTGGGTGTGTCCAGGCCAGAGTCATGTCCTTGCTTGTTAGGTTGATGTTGCTTCATCTCAGCCTCGAGTTGATACATTCGCTTGAGATGTAGGTTGGCCATGTGATCGGCCAGGTCTTTTGGTACTGTTCGGAATGCGCCCAACACCTCGATCTTGGTGTTTACAATCTTGTTGACGATTGGACGCACCATGAATATGTTGAACACCAGTATCAACAACAGGACTCCAATGGATATGCCAATGTTCACAAGCATCAACACTCGTTCCAGCTGGATTGTGTTGTCCTTCCATTTGAAGAACAATGTTACCAATGATCGCGCTACATTCTTGGTGTTGACCGTGACCCATTGGAAGTTGGGGTCAGAGTCAGACTGTGCCGGCGTCCAATACGACGAGTTGACTGGGTATTGTGACAGGTCGATACCATACTGAACACGCTGCGGTATCACGTCATAGAGTGAGACTGAGTCGTTGGGTATCAGCGCGCCGTCCACGCCTAGTGTGTAAGTCTGTATGTTCTTGGCGTGGTAGAACTCGTACATCTCTGAGCCGGGCAGCACTTCGTACTTGGTCTTGTTGAAGTCAGACTCGAGGAAGATGCGAGCACCTGTGTCGATACCAGTTGTGACGGGTCGTCCCGTCACCAGCTTGTAGTGATCACGATCATAGTTGACAATGGTTCGCTCGCCATAGTATATCGCATTGTGAAGGTTCATCAGTTGGACTGATCGACGCCAGAGTGTCATTGTTTGATTGAGTGTGGTGTTGTAGTTTGCCACGGTCGGGTTCTTGGCGTAGGCCTGCGCGGCCACCTGTGCAGAGCGCATGTAGAATGCAATGTTGCTGGCGGTGGTGACGTACGAGCCTGTGATCCTGAGTCTCGTCACTGCATATGTTTGATCCTGGAGCCTAACAAACAGATGAGTAAATATGGCCATCATCAGGAGCACTCCCAGCCCTGTTGCCAATATCAACACATAGTTGAGCCTGCGCACTGGTTGATTGCGCTTCCTGATCTCCTGGTCGGCCTTGGTCTCAACAGGAACGGCAACTGCCGCCACCTTGCCATCCAGAATAGGTGGCTGGTCCAATGTGGGCTCAATCTCACCAAACCTGTGCATCCTCTGAGAGGAGTTTAGTGAGTTGCTCGATGTACTATGTTGCGAGGACATGTTTGAGAGTGTTCGGTCGAGTGGGTCGGTGGTGCCAGTGACCTTTGGTATAATTGAGTGCTCTGGCAAGTTCTCCAAAGTGGTCTCCTCCTCCTCCTGTGCCATTACCCTCATGCGGTCATTGTTATCGCCACTCCTAATCAACACGCCAGAGGCTGGTGATGGCACCGGCAGTGGCTCCAACTCAATCTCATTGGACATTGAGGACGAGGATGACGATGGCGATGATGGGGTCGAGGGTGTTGCACCAGGCATCACATTGGCATTCGCTGAACTTGAGGTTGGAAGTGGGGGATGGCTGAGCACACTGTTCTCCTCATCAATCTTGGCTGCACGGTCCAGCAACTCTTTGGCCTTGTCGCTGTCCTTGAGCACGTCTTCGACAAAGATGGCATAGTCACGCAGGATACGACTCGAGTTGGGATGCATCTCCAACAATCGCTTGTAATATCTGTTGGCCCTGGACTCATTCCTCGTGATGGCCGCCGACTGCCTGGACAACTGAGCAAACTCGCTGGCATTCTTTGAAGCGGCAATCGACCAAAACTTGTGGATGCACCTCAGTGTATTGAGATGGAACTTGCGCGACAGCAGCCCCAGGCGCTTGTACTGCACGTAGGCCATGAAGTGCTGCATCTTGGGGTTGGGGCCAAAGCCCGCGGTCTCATTGGTGCGCTCGCGCGCACGCTCCTGGTGATAGACAAAGAAGTTGATGTCCCATCGAGGGTTGAGTGCCTTTAGGCTCTCGAGCAGGGCGTTGGCTTGCACCTGGTCCTTCTTGAAGATCTTGGTGAAGTAGCAGTAGGACTTGAGGAGCGAGTGTGAGCGTGGCGTGAGCTTGTAGGCGTAGGCGTAGAGTGAGCTCATGAGTTCGATACCCTGCTCTCTCTTCTTCCTGGCGTCATCAGACTTATGCAATGGATTGCCTATAATATATCTTGAAGCAATCTCATAATCTATCGACAATAAAAATGGTTTCCAATCACCTCCATCCTCCAACACATTCTTCTGGAAATCCCGAACTCTTTTAGCCAAGTACATTCGACGCAGTTCTATTCATTGATTGATTGAATGTTAGTTTGTGATCGGGGCGATTGAATGAGTGATCCAGGATGTTTGGTTTGGTGATTGAGTGATGGACATGCGATCTAGAGTGATGAATGAGTGATTGATGGTGATGGAGTGAAGAACATACCAATTGCCGCCGCACCAATTAAAAAGGCGGGGATAATACCACCAAAGAAAATATACATGATTCGGATGTCCTTTGCATTGTTGATCTGAAGTACGATCATTAGACATACTGCGGCCCACAGACACACTGCCATGAGCGCGGTTCTCTAATATTAAAATATAATAATAATAATTAATTAGTATCCATGTCCAATTGGAATAGATCCACTCACATCTTAAGACAATTTAACATACCAATTGATTAAGTCTATGATTATAGAATGGCATTATAATGATTGATAATGATAATATTGTTGACATTGATATGATTAGGATGATTGATAATGCCATTTGGGATACAGTCAACAGTTGGAAGAGTAGAGTGAGTGCGATCTTGAACCCCAGAAGACACAGCTCATACCGTGCATTCATCCTGGAGAATGTGTTCTTGACATGCGGATCCATTTCGAAATAGGTCGAGCATGTGATGGCCGAGTAGGGCACCAGTATCAGCAGCGAGATGATCGACAAACTGATGGTCACCAGGTTGAGGCCCGAGTAGCACGTGACAGGCTTGGGGAAGTGGATGATGTAGCCGCCTTGGCAATTGAATGATATGCTCCAGAGTGACACCAGGGGGATCACAAGGAATGTCACCAGGCCCGCAACAAACAGGCGCAGTGTGCGGATGGGCAGCAGGTATTGATAGTTTGATCGTTGGAATTGATAGACCATGAATGCCGTATTGAATATTGCTACATAAAATATAAACTGTGATAGCCAAAAGAATATTGTAAACACTGGATATGATGACAGTGGTGTCTTATTAATGATCGAGTATATCTCTGTCATGAACTGTATCTGTTGTGGCCATGGGAAATAATCCCTATAAAATGCAAAGCTGAGTAACTCTGTTATCACCATTGATTGTGATTGGTTGATTGATTGAGTGAGTATATGATCTTGGCGGGAGGTGTGGGGGGCTGGAATGGTTCCAGCCTCGGATACACACCACACCATACTAAAATGGAAACATACCAAAAAATTCGATTAGAGTACTGATTATGATGAAGAACTTTGGAAAGATGTTACCATCTACCATCGCGTATAATATTGCATAGGCTCCATTTGTTGTATATCTCTTTATCCAATTTAGGTAGGACGAGTCGTCTGACACTGAAGATGTGAATGATTTCTCTGATGTCGCCATGATTGATCTGACTCAATCAATCTGATTATTCTAATATATTGTACAGGGTAAAGTAATAGTAATAATAATAGTAATAAATAGTAATAATAGTAGTAATAATATAAGTAAAGACAACAAACAATGTTTGTTTGATGGATGTCACTTGCACGCTGACTAACTCGCAAAGCATGCCAAGATGTGCGCGTGGTAAGTAAGTGAGGCAAGTAAGACAGACAGCCAGACAGACAGAAAGACAGACAGACAGACGTATAACCTTTGATTGATGGATGGACTTTATAACGTGTATGAAGTATGTATTTGCAAGCTCAATACATCATGTTTGCAGTACTGATTGGTTATCTGTCTCTTTGTGTGAGGCTAAAAAAGATGAAAGGCAAGGCCCCTCACCTTGATGTTAGGCCACCTGGCATGTTAGCCAACTGAGCGACATTGGTATCGATGCCCCGGCATATGGGTTGGACCATAGAAATTAAACTGTGATTGATGTTCCTTCGTTGACGAATAGGTAAAGTAAATAATAGCAATGGTGGAGGGTTCGTCAGTAACCAAACACAAGTCCCTGTTGGACTCACATCAAAACATGACACAGGCAAGAAAAAAAAATCGGGTTGCACAGGGGCAATTGGTCGATTTTGCGCCAATCATCAAAAGTCGGAGGTCCACGAATCAGCGAGATCTAAACCTTGGACCTCTAAAAAAAACTTAATAACATGTGATTGAGTCAACAGATCAGTGACGGCCTTGACATTGACTTGTTCGAATATATTTGTGGGGCGATACATCGGGTGGGATTGGATGACCTGTGACATGAATCGACAAAAGACTTCGCTGTGCGATTGGGCTACTTAGTCGCCCATCCCAGCCATGTACATCACCATCCATCCATTCATGTCATGTATGATTGATGGTCATTGGTTGGTAATGATGTTGTTATGTATGTTTACATTAATGTGTTTGGTTATTTATAATTTAATGGTTGTTGATGTTTGGTGACGATAACTTACACCTTCGCCCACCAAGCCATCAATCCATCCATGATCACACCCAGGCCTGTGTGGCTGCGTAGACAGCCCCTGGGTGGGCTTAAAGGGAAGTTCACTACAAGCACTTGTTAAAGGCATACTCTTTACCAGGTGACATGACACGTTGAGAGACATCCTCTTTGGAACCAGCTTCGAGTTTTCCATGGTTGGCATACATTGACTTGTCGAATACCATCGTACGATCAGTGTTACTGATTCTAGATGAGTAGTCAAAGTCATAGTAGAGCAGTAGTGATGGGTCACTGTAATCTGGCTTCTTCCACATGTACTGCACGACCTCTTGTCCATTCAATGATCTGTTGAATATTGCAATATTGTCCAATCTTCCATGATATGTTCCAGCCTCCCTATAAGGTTGTGGATGTAGTTGAGATGAGTGAGTGATTGATTGATTGAATGAATGATGATTGATTGATGACTTACATTGGTCCATGTGATGCACTCTTGCCAATTGTCACTGGATGTTTGTTGGTGGCGGTTGAGTAGATGTGCTCGGTTGGGATGTCTGGTCGTCCATTGACAAAGAATCGGACATTGTTGTCATGTGGATCTGGATTGTTTACAGAGAATACAACGGCAACATGTGACCATACATCACTGGATATACTGATATGCGATGAGAAACAACTGTGTGCGGCACACAACCTCACCAGTCCTCTTCCAGTCGATGTCTTTTGGATGTCAAAGTCGAATCCATCCACCTTTCCAGCGGTTCCCTTATCGATCAGACGTTGATCACTGAATGACGATGGCTTCACCCATAGCATCAATGTGTAGTGATCAGTTAGATCGAAGCATGTGGCGCATGCCTCGCTTGCGCCCACCTTGATGTGGTCGCCCTTGCCCTCCATATTTAGATGTGATGGCTGGTAGTGCGACTTCTCGCCAAACGTCGTCTCCTTGAAGGCGTACTGCTCGTCGGACAAGAGTGAGTAGGCCAGCTTGCACATCTCACACTTTGACTTGAAGCCACTGATGCACATCGACAGCTTCTCGACGACCTTGGCCTCGAGCGGCTTCTTCTTCCAAGCAAAGTAGCTCTCCATTTGAGCCTTGTCCTCGAGCAGGGTTTTCAGGTGATCGGCCAGTCCACGAGCTGAGGCGAACAGGGACGTCTTGATGATTGATCCAGTGGGCACCCAATCATCAATGTTGGAAGCACCCATATATACGGGGATGGCACCCGAGAACAGCGCACTATACACCTTCTCAGTGATATAGTCGGTAGAGTTCTCGTTCTCAAAGGCCAGCACGAATTTGTATGGCTTGAACAGCTCGATGTTGGCAGCCACACGTCCATTAGTGTCCAGTTCCTTAAGTTCAATTGGGTCGGTGGTGTTCAAAAGACATGATCCTTTCGCATCAATTGGAATATACTTCATCATCTCGGCGACATAGTTCTGGATATGATATGTTAGATTGATGACTGTACGTTGTTATTGGCTCTTTGAGACTTACAGTTCTTGCTTTGGCGAATCCAGCTTTGCAATTGGACGAAAGGAAAATGATGTTCTTGGTCTTGGTGGCGGCAGTGGCCGTCAAAGACTTGTCCATTAGAAGTTGTTGTGTTTGCTCCAGGGTCATCTTGTGATCGGGCGGACATGCCAGTGAGAGACGATGCGGTGACTGAGTGGTGAAGTTGAACTCCAGATCCATGATGTCACGGAATCGCTTGTCGCCAATGATTGGATACTGGCTGGTGGAGTGATAGTTGAGCAGCACGAAGCGCTGATGCTGGTGCTTCTCGGGCAGGTTGACGGGCATTCTGCGCCAGTTGTCCGGATGGATGTGCGATGGGTCAAACATGACAAAGTCGGCAAAGGGTATGTTGTCATTGTCATTTGTGAACAGACATGAGACCTCGCACTCGCCGTCCTCAATGACGGCCGCTCGCTCGCTTAGCGGGACCTTGACAAGTCTGCCCGACTCTCCGTTAATATGGTCGGCGTGCAGACGCCTGTCGCGATATCCAGTGTGTGCCTCCGATGAGGAGGATGGATTGGCGTTTGATTGTTGTTTGGTACTGTCGCTCCTTGAATAGGGTCCGTTGAGGACGGGGTTGTGCAGCATGCCCGTCTTTTCCCTGTCGATGTAGGGCGTCTCCCAGAAGCTGATCGATATCTCCTTGCGATCCTTTTGCATCAGATGACGATTATTATTATTGATGATGATGGTCTCATCACTGACACTGGTTTGTTTCTGAGCGGAATTGAAGTATACAAAGCTGAGGAATATCGTCACGGCAAATATACTTGCTACCAACAAGAACTTTGAACGAAGCATTCCTGTTCCATTTGCTCCTCCACTGCCACTTCCATTCTTTAACAATGACTCTGAAGATTGTGAAGTCAATGAATTAACCTTTGATCTATTGAATATTGAGCCAAAGAATTTCATCCTCTAATTCTTCTTCTTCTTTAATCTCTTATCTCTAATCTCTCTTAGTAAATGGAAGTAATATTATGTGTATTTTGTGAGTCTGACTGAGACTGAGACTGAGACTGAATGACTGGCTTTGTGTCCTTATGCCTTTGCTTCCTCACTCTCCTTGATGAGAGTGTTGTGTGTTGTGTTGATTGGATTGATTGATTGATTGATGATATTGATTGGTGATGGCTGCAGGTTGTTAATGCTGTAGAGATGTGATGTGTTGTGAATGCTATGCTATGAATGAATGAGTGCTCGAGTGCCTCTGAGTGAATGAGAAGTAGTAGTGAGTATTATAACTGTTTAATATAATGGGAGTGGGTATTCTTTCATTCATCTGACTTGATAAAGTGGTGTGTGTGTGCTGAGGTGGTGGTATTCGTTTATCTACTCCTAAAGAATGAGGGTTGGGAGCCTCAAAAACACAGGCTTGTGTGCTTAGGAAAGGGTTGTGTTGTGTGTGTGTTTGGGGGAAAGTGATAAAGGCCACAACTCTTACTTCAACTCGCACACACTAACATTACCACTTATCTTAATAATAAATAATTATTATCACAATCAATAATCATTCAATCAAATGGAGAGTATGTTGTTTGGATAAAAATACTCCATGGATGATGGAAGATGTTAACAAACTAGTATCCTGCTGCAAACATTAAATCAAAAAGACCAACTGTTTCAATTGAAGTTCACTGCCAAGACATTGGAGAGACAATCAAAGAAGTCGGAACAGAGCGAGAAGGCACAAAAGTTAAAGCTGAAGAAGGCCATTGAGCAGGGTAATATGGAGGGTGCAAAGATATACGCACAGAATGCTATTAGGGAGAAGAACCAAAGTTTGAACTACTTGAGACTGGCATCAAGAATAGATGCCGTGGCATCACGCGTAGAGACTGCCGTCAGAATGAAATCAGTGACAGGCTCAATGGCCAGCATTGTAAAGTCGATGGAGAGGTCGATGCGCGAGATGAACCTGGAGAAGATCACCCAGGTGATGGACCAGTTCGAGCGACAGTTTGAGGATCTGGACGTGCAGTCGGTCTACGTGGAGAACGCCATGAACCAGACCACGACACTAACTACTCCAGCCGACCAGGTCGACCTTCTCATCTCCCAGGTGGCGGACGAGCATGGATTGACCATGGGCATGGAGATGGGTTGTACACCGAATGAGAAGGTTCAGCAAGTTGAGACAGACGAGTTGACCGAACGACTTAACAGGTAAGTGAGCAGTTGTAACTGATGTGGCATGGCGTGGCATCACAGTGACTAATCCAATCCAAACCAATCAATTACTGACATTAGGCTCAAGGAAAGGAACTAATCCATCTTGATAAATGGTTGCCTGCCAGTTATCTAAGTTTAAACTTGTACATTACCAACGAACGAATGAACGAATGAACGAACGAACGAATAAATGATTGATTGAGGACGTCAGACAATCAAGTTTGTTGACGAGCTAGCCAAGACAACTCAATCAATCAATCAACTTTTTACACATAGTCTTACTTCTCATTGTCGTCTACACTTTGATTGATATACATATACATATAAGATGCTTCTAAAGATACTACGTCCACTTACTATACGTTTCTACTCACGACCTTCATGCTCACTATGTATAAGCGCCAGAGAGATATTGTTTCCCGTTGTTAACGATGTAAGGCAGGCTCATCAATCGACTCGATTGACCCGACTCGACTGACTGACTCAACATTGAATCAATCAACATAGTTAGTAGATGATTTAAAGATAAAGAATAAGATAGACAAGAACAAGAGTGATAAGGAACTTATAGTTATAGAGGAGATTGATGTAGACTTGCCCATACATAAGGAGTACTTTGATTTGTACAAGTATGATGTGCCAGTATGCATGGTGGACAAGAAGCTATTGTTCAAGCATCGTATCAATGATGAAGATAAACTATACTATGAGATTGATCGATTGTTCCAACAAGCTCAACAACAAGACAAGACTACACTGGACTAGAAGATTAGACAAGACGAAGCATGTACATAAACAAACACACATAGACATATACCTGCTGTATTGATGTCAATGCAAGTGCAATGATTGATTGATTGATTGACTGAATGATCGATGTGATGCGATTCGATGCGATGCGAATTGATGGAGTTGGTCTACATGAACTTAAAGTCTTGGACAAAGTCGTTGACATCCCTGTTGTCAGCCTTGTCAACGAGGTCATTGCGCTCCATTAGTCGGAAGACCATCTTGAGGTTGTCCCAGATGTGTACTGCCTCGGGATGGATGGACAGTGCGCCCAAGAACGTCTGTGCAGCCTCTGTATACATGTTCAGTGCCAGATAGCTGATTCCAAGGTTTGAGCGAGCGCGTACATAACTTGGCTTCTGTTCCAGTGCTTGGAAGTATGCGCCAAGTGCCTCCTGGCTACGATTGCTGTTGGCCAGTGTCGCGCCCAGCTTGTTCCAAAGTTGGTAGTCGCTTGGATTGTTCTGCAGGGCGGCCTTGAAGCAGTCGACCGCTTTATCATACTCGTAGGACATGTTGTAGAGCAGACCCAGTGCAGTCTGCACGTCGTGGTCCGAATTGTTGGGTCGCATTCTCGCAGCCTCCAAGAACAGTTCGGACACATGTCTATGTCTTGTCCAAGTGTCCATAAACTCATTCTCGTCTGCCTCTGGCATGTTCACATTCATATGTCTATACGAAGGGTTGTTCTTCAACCATTCAACCAGAGTCTCCAAAGCTCTTTCCCTTTGGAAGTCGTTGGTATAGCTCACGGACAGTGCCATCTATGTGAATGTGAATGTGTCAGTCTAATGTGCTGCTGGTGCGCTCCAAGTTACCAACAAACATACCCTCGCTTGAAGACTGGTTGGATCAAGATTGATGGACTTGAGTAGACATGTGATGGCTTGTTGATCTTTGTCATTCTCAGCATGAGCCATGCCAAGGTACATCCATGCTTCAGAGTTGGTCGGGTTGCGCATGACCTCGCTCTCCAGCGAGATGATGGCGTCAGCGATCAGTCCCTTGTCAAACAGATTCATGCCAGATTCAAATGTGTCCTCATCTCTCGCATGATCAATAACGAATTGATACTCTTGTAGTCGTTCGTCAGACACTGTGCCTTGGAATTGATCGTAGTCCTCGACCCAGCGCTGCTCTGACTCGCCAGTGTTGTATCGACTCATTAGATTGTTGCGCCTCAGTCTTGGGTCGTCAAAGGTCTTTCGGGCGACCTCGTCCCAAGCCGCCTCCACAGAGTGATCCTCGCCGGCACGCCATGCACTTTCGAATGGATTGAAGTCATCCTTGTCCTCATTCCATTGGTTGTCATAATCATCAAAGTCCTCCTCCTCGTCCTCCAAGTGTGCTCGGTCCCATGCTTGTTCATAGTCCTCGTCCTCGTAGTCCTCCTGCTGGTCGTCATCTTCTTCCCTGTCTAGATAGTCTGGCACACCATGTGCGAATGTTTCGTCCTGCCATTGATGATTGCCAATGCTGTCTCTGGCCAGTCCATTATCCATGTTGTTGATGTTGTCATTTCCCCATGCAGTGTCAAAGTCGTCGAATGATTCTTGATGCTCGATGCCAAGCGCATCAAACAGTCTACCAAGTTGATCATTCTCATATGACTTGTCTTGACCCTCATTCATATGTCTTATAAGTACTTCACTTCTATTCCTTATCTTCATCTTATCTCCATTAGTCAATCTAACATCTCCTTGTAATGGTATTGGTGGCATCAAGTGCTAGTAGTACATGATTGATTGAGTGAGTCAGTATGTGTACATGTTTGAGATGAACATGTATCAAACATACATGTGCCTGTGATGAGAGTAGGAAGTCTTTGAAGAAGTGTTTCAGTTCACCTGTTAGAGTGGATGGTGTTGTCGATGAGCCAAGATGTAGCTCCATTTGATTCTCATGAATATGACCAGGTGGCATCCTCATATTATTCCTATCCAACATAGCGTCAAAGTCATTATCATCATAGTTTGCTTGTTCAAATATATCATCAAAGTGTCTCTGTTCATCATCAAGATGATCTTGAGGGAATCTATTATGTTGATGTTGATGTTGATGTTGCTCGCGCTCCCATCCATGCTGTTGTTGATGTATGTGTTAGATGTTGCTATTCATTCATTCATTCATTCATTCATTCAATTGACTCTTGAACAACATACATGATACATTCCAGATCTGTCACTTGTGAATTGATTGACAAAGTTGCCGATTGCATTGGGTTCGGCACATTCTCCTTCAATCAAGTCTCTGAATACTGAAGACATCTCTCTCTATCTATATAATGTAATAATACGATAATATCTCTTTGTAACAGATATTGAGTGAATGAATGAATGAAATGAAGGTGTGAAATGACGCGACTTTTTATTTTGAAGACGTCCAAGTCTGGGATGGCAGTTGCGGGCTGGACAACTGCTCACGAGATACATATTCCTCACGCTTGCCACTGATGAGTGGATTGGATCCACTCGATCCAGCCAACATGGCATAGTAGTTGGCAAGAGGCTGACGTGAGTATGTATTGATAGCCTCATTGAGCATGGCAAAGCAGTTGTCATACTCATTGGTCGCTTGTTTGTTCTGTGTCTTCTTGTCGGCATTGGCCAACACACCAGACATACCACGAAGTAGTTGTACCAATGGATTCTTTGATTGATTCGCACTGTCCAACGAGTCCATCAATTTAGAGGCGTCCTTTGTTCGCTTGAACATCAAATGATGACGTGCAATCCTGCATGTCGTCACAAACACCTGTTGCTCCTTGTTGCCACTGCTGACATTGCTGTTGCTACTGCTGCTGTTAGCAATCTCCAATGACTTGTTCAAACAAAGTAGCGCAGCATCAAATAATCTTAACTCTTCATAAACTTGTGCCAACTCCTATTAATGTGCGTGAATGAGTCAGCGGGTGGACGGGCGGATGGGCATCAACATTGCCGTGCCAGTGATTGAGTGATACATACATGGTACAAACTGATGTTGTGTGGGTCCTTTGTGATGGCCTGCTTGTAGAGCTGTACTGCCTCCTTGGAGTCGTTGCCTTGTTCCACGATCTTCTGCCTGGCGAGGAGTCTTGTGAGCAATGCCAATGTCTTGGCATCGTTGGAGTACTGCTTCATCAATGTGGCATGAAGCTTGACAAATTCCTCCTTACTAGCAGATTGCAGCAACAACACCTCAGCTCTCTGTAGATCGAGCTGAGTCCTCTGTGATTGAGTCAGCTTGTCTGAGTTGTTGGCGAATGTGGCAACGGTGTCGTGTGCTGCCATTGCTGCCTGGAGATCGTCCGCATCATTGGTGTGAGTGGCGTGGATAAACAAGAGGTTGGCCAGAGCATACCACGCACCATGGTCGAGTGGACGCTGCATTATCATTCTCTTGACCATCTGAGTCGACTGCTTGATGTTGTCCAGAGCAGACTGTGATGTTTGGATTAGATGTGCGCGGGCTGTGCTCAGCTCCAGGCTGTTGTCATGGATCTGTTGACGACGGTTCAACAGGGCGACCAAGGACTTGATTGTCGATGGGCTGCTCTGATGTGGCTGATGCTGTAGCAGATGGTCCAACAGACACTTCCAGGTGTTGGACTGTTGTGGGTATGAGTGACAGGCCTTAAGCAAGTGCTGTCTGGCGCACTCAAACTGGTTCTGTCGCAGGGCTATGGCTGCCTCGATCATATAGCACTCAAGTGGCACGTACATGATTGTTGACTTGAGGTTGGCGATTGTTGCCGTAGACTTTTCAAACTCGCCAGCCTGGAGATAGATCGTCGCCTTGAGGTAGTGAGCCAGCAAACACTTTTTGTCGATAGTCAACGCCTGCTCAATGACCTGCTCACATTGCTTCAGTCGATTGCTCGCGTAGAGTATCATGGCCAGTGACACCAGCAACACACTCTGGCGTGTGGCCTTCTGTCCATCATCAGCCAGGCTTCCGATAGCGCTCTGGTAGGACTTGACGGCCTGATCGATCTGTCCCAACTTGTGCTGACTCAGTGCCACCAGCTCCCAAATCGCGCTGTTTCCAGGTGTTGGGCTCGCCAAAGTATACGCCTGCAGTGTCTTGATGCATCCTGTGTAGTCTCCCGACTTGTACTGTGATCGCGCAAGGTTCACTTCCAACAGTCGCTTCGCAGACGTCTGTCCCGCGGCCTGTTTCTCGACGTTCTCCGGACCAATGCCTGTGAGTGTGGCGGCAGCGTTTGTACAGGCGACTGATTGATCGGGGTTGGCGAGCAAGCTGATCGACTTGGAGAAGTGCTCAGCGGCAAGGGTGTACTGTGCCTTGCGCTCATAGATCAATCCAAGATAGTTGTAGGCCTGTGAGAGTGAAGGCGTGACGCCGTCGTAGAGAGTGGTGTACGTTGAGAGGATCTGCTCTGCGTTGGAAAGGTCGTCATGGGCGTAGGCTAGGATGGCTTGTCCCAGCATCGCATCTCCCATCGAGCGCTCCTCTAATGCGATCGAGATGTGCATGTAGTCAGCGTGCGCCAACTCAATGTTGCCTGCGTCCAGCTCGTGTATCAGTCCTTGGAGAGACCAGATCGATGGCGCATCCGAGTCGATTGAGCGAGCAAGCAACAGTGCAGAGTTGGCCAAGTCGGTGTTTCCCGGTGTCTGCGTGTAGAGTGCCGCCAGATTGTTGAATGGGATGTACTGAGAGGAGTTGAGCTGAATTGACTTAATGAATGCGTGCTGGCTCTGCTTGGGGTAGCGCTCCATCAGGACCACGCCCATGATGTTCCAAAGCGACCAATCGTTTGATCGCATGTTCAGTGCTTGTGTGGCGAACTTGATCGATGACTTGTAAAGCGCCTCGGTCTTCTCCTGCAATGCGGGGTCACTGTTCGTGAGTGCCCTGTACCTGATGTATTGGTAATAATGATTGATTGCCAGGTCCTTGAGTGAGGACTCGGCATTGAGACCAGTGAGTCCATGACCATGAGCGATGGAAATGGCTTTGATATACGCGTCAGAGCCTTGTGACAGCATGTCCAAGGTGTGGGGAGTCGTTGGCAAGAGATGGAAGTGGGTAGAGATGTCACCCAACAACTTCCAAAGACTCTCAAACTTCTGCTCTTTGTCAATGGCCTGCTTGATTGTGACGTGGGCGCGCTGCAAGTAATCGAGCGAACGATGGTACAGTCCCTCGGTCATGAACTCCTTGGCCCGGAGGAAGAGACACTCGGCCTTGCCCTTGAGCGAGGGCACGTGGGACTCGAGCGTCACCATCACTAGGTCAAACTCGTCGATGGCATCCTCGTAGCTGCCCAAAGTCTTGTCGAGAAGGGCGATCTGGTAGTTGAGCTCGGGCACCACCTCGTGGCTCTCATTGAGCAGTGTCTCGGCGTGTTTGAGTGCCTTGAGCGCGGCGATGTACTTGGTCTGGCGTCTGTAGCACTCGCCAATCGCACGCCAATACACGGCGTTGTTTGGCGCGCCCTTGATGGCGGTGAGGAAGGACTGCGATGAGGCATCCAGCTCGCCAATGTCCATCTGATAGAGCGCCAGCCTGTAGAAGGCCCACGAGCACCTTCCGACGTTCTTTTGGAAGTGTCGTTGATTCTCAGTGCAGTGTCGGGTGATCTCCTTGTACAACCTGAACGCTTGGTCGGGCTGTTTGTTGGCCATGTGCACATCGCTGAGTGCTGGACCGGCCTGTCCGTTGAGCAGATCCAGGGACAACGCCTTGCGGAAGCACTTCTCGGCACGATCAGTGTCGCTGTCTGCAAGCAGGACGAGGCCCAGTTGAGCAAAGGTTGGGGCAAATGTAGTATTCATCTGTGCAGACTTCTGGAGGCACTTCTTGGCCTCGCTAGTGTTGTTCAGTTTGAGCGCGAGCAACGCAAAGAGATAGTGTGTGAGATAGCTGTCCTCGATCGCCATCGACTCGGTAAGGTCGGCACGAATGCTCTCGGGGTCAGTGGTATCAGCCTTGTCCTGGAGGCGTATCCAGGAGAGATATGAGAGTGAGCGTGCCCGGTACACACTCGAGGATGGCTGAGTTCGAACAATGTCGGCAAAACATGTGAGGGCCTTGTCGAATCGTGAGTCGCGATAGTGTGCGCGTCCAAGCTCAAAGAGGAGCTGGCCATTCTCTGGGTAGCGCTTGAGACATTGCTCCAGCACCTTGACCGAGGTCTCGCTGTCGCCCATGTTCTCGCAGGACTCTGACAGCACCAAGTGAATGTCAATGAAGAGCTGTGAGAGCACCAGTTGATCCTGTACCTCGCGCTGCGCAACTTGCCCAAGTGCCTTGCCCACCAACTCTCTGATCTGATTGTGAGCGGCTGCACCATCGCGCTCAAGGAGCAGGCGAAGCAGAGCGTGGTAGCCAAGCAATGAGCCAGGCGATGTGGTGAGGCCGCGCTCCAGGGCCTTGCGAGTCGTCTCGCTTCTATCGCCCAGTACGATAACCATGTGATAGCCGAGTCCAACCCAGCCGGCTCCTCGAGTCGGGTGCATCATCACCAACATTTGCGAGAGACTGAGCAGGCTGGATCGGTCCACATCCTGCTCGTCCAGCATAGCCAGTAGTGTCTCCAACGGGAAGTAACTATTCAGCAGCAGTCTATTCATTGCGACGCATGCGTTGTACACATCGTTGTGCAACTCGCTGCGTTTGGCCGGCACACTCTCAGCCACGCTCTTCCTCTGAAGTATATTGATGTAGTTTGTATATATCGTCTCCATTGCACTGGCGCCAACCAGCTCGACAACCTTCTCTCCCTTGGCGATCAGTTCTTGATATAGTTGTACCTGAGGTCATGTGACAGGGGACGCGTCAATGTCATGGTCGTGGTCCGTGGCATCGATCAATCAAGGAACTTACATTGAATGTCTTGTAGACATCTGATTGGACTTGAGATTCAATGAGGCGCACTTCTTGCTTCTGTTGCTCGGTGTGGGAGGCCGCGCCAATGACATGACGCTTGGCTGGATTGATGATAGGGATGTTTCGTTGTTTCATGATGGCCTGTGACTGATCCTTGATGATGGTGGCAGTCTCGTTATATTGCATGGTCTCCTGCTTAACCAACAACTTCAACCTTGCCGACTCATCAATGTCTGGCAACATTAACATCTGTTTGATCAACTTGGATGCATCGTTCAATCTCTGATTATTACAATATATATCCAACAACTTAAATTGGAACTCTCTACTCTTTGCAGCATCCGGTGTCAATGGTATCAGTGCCTCCATTGTCTTTATCAACTTGTCCACATCACCTGTCTTTTGGAATAGATCCATCAATCCCTAAATATGATTGATTGAGTGAGTGAGTATGATTGATTGATTGAATGAGTGAATGAGTGATGAAGGGACATTGTATACATACTCTTAAGGGGAATGGTGATGTAGGAGTGATGGTCATTGCTGTTTGGTATGACTTCTCACTGTCGTTGTATAGATTGAGATTGAATTGAGCCATGCCCAACATTAGATGTAGGTTTGAATTCTGTGAATGATACATCAATGCATCATTACATATCTCAACCATCCTATTATAATCCTTCTTATCTAAAGCATCCTTTGCATCCTTCAATGCTTGTTTGACATCCATGATGATATCAACTCTATCTCTATCTTTATCTCTTCAACTTCAAGTTCAAGTTTAAACTTTGAAATGAACCCAAAGCGTCAAGATGACACTTTTAAAGATTTCTTCTCAACTTTGATGTTCATTCATTCACTTCACTTTGGCTGAGTTATAATCAATCAAATAATAAGATAATAAGGATAATAAGAATGATACATACTGACTTGGTATTAAGGGCAGATACATTGTATTTGCAACAACAACAACAACAACAATATATAAATAATAATAGTTACTTTAGTAGTAATAATAGTATATTCAATCAGTTACAACATAAGAGTGGACTGAGTCCCAACTCAAACTCATCATCATCATCATATTCATTATCATCAGACAATGATAACAATCCAATAGTATCACTTATAAATGATACAATACAATACTATCAACAACAACAATCGTCTGCATCAACGACATCAACGACATCCACATCATCGACAACAAGTACAAGTACTGGCAAATCAATCAATATCAAAGATAGTTATATACAGTTGATACTAAAGTTAAGTCAACTAATTAGCAATTGTAATAATGATGCTATTACATTGAGATACTTTCAAATGATTAGTATTGTTGCACAGAACAATCAGTTGTTGTTACAAGATTATACAAATGAGTTGGCAAGTCTATTACAACTATTCTTAAAGTATATTCAATTCAATCCAACTCAATCATCAACATCACCACAACATCATCAACAACAACATCAACATCAACAACATCATCATCATAGCAATCATCAATCAAAGTCATCACCATCATCATCATCATCGTCATCACCTTCACATTCAATCTCATCATTCTCAATGCATCAACAAATGAACATTAGAAGTGAATGCCTCAAAGCAATGTCAATATTGCTGTATAACAATGGTCCACATTTGCCAACAAAGTTCCATCAACCTCTCTTGGACAGTCTGGTATCATTGATCTCATTGCAATCAATCAGTCATGGTCACGGTCACAACAACAACACATTGATCAATCACGAGATTAGAAGATTGGCCACTATATCAATCGGTAACATCACAGTGTTATGTGGATCAAAGCTGAACAAACTGTATCCAATGCTCTTTGAGAAACTGTATAGCAACTTGGAGAAGCTGGCGTTGCAGCTAGCCTCGAACGATAAGCAGATCATTAAGTTGACCTGCAGCACGCTGCGATCGCTACAACTGCTGCTCACGCAATGCAAGTCGGTGTACGACTCCAAGGCATCGATGCTGTTCAATCTGCTCAAACGCTTGATGTTCTTTGGTACCACAATCAATCCAAATGCAGTGCTGCCTTCGCAGCTGCATCAGGTCGACGCCTCGTCACTCAATCCCAAGTACCGCGCCAAGAAGCATGGCGGCCAGGACAATGGCATGGGCGATGGACTTGGACATGGCATATCGAGCTCGGACAGCGACTTTGATGAACGACATACGTACGCCAAGATTAGGATCTCGGCGCTCACGCTGCTCCAGACGCTGTGCAAGTCGTCACCCAAGGTCTTCTTTGGACACTGGGCCACATTCCTGCCGCTCAAGTCCACGATGCCATCTGTGTACACCACCGCGCTGTACGACGCCGACTACCGCGCGCGGCAGGCTGCGCTCCATCTGCTGACCACCATGTACGACGGCTCCAAAGACTTCTTGGTGGCCATCCCCAAGCAACAGACCCAGCAACAATCACATCCACATTCACAGGCACAACAATCGACAACATTCACAAGTTACTCACAGAACTTGGCTACAATGATCATTGAGTCACACAAGGCATTGCAAAGCGTTTTGGACCAGGAGCGAACGAGTCCTACACCTACGCCCACTCCTCTGTTGGTGACGGCCATCAAGTGTCTTACAATGCTGATCACAAATACACCATATGAGAAGTTGGAGAAGAATCTGCTGCGCACTCTATTCAAGTCTGTGGCGCCATTCATTCTCAACCCTAGCGTGGAGACACAGCAGGCCACATTAGGATGCATTCAATCATTATTGTTGGCCGATCCACCTGTGCCTGACGCACTCACCACCGAGATAGAGTCATCCGGTCTCATCGACAAGTTCATCCAGTTTGCCTCGACCTCTGCCAACGGTGATCAAATACGCAATGAGGCAATCCTTTGTATACTGGCCCTTACCAAACACAACTTCCAAGTGTTCTGTCTACACCACGCTCCCATCTACAACATCATGTTCCCAATCCTCACCAACACCTCCCTTGACGCCACGCTCCGCGTCCAAGCCTCGCGGACCATCGAAGAGGTATCCAAGTGCATCCATGAGTCCCAAAAGTCCACTGATGCTCTCCCCTATGTAAGTATCTCCTCATGGTCCATGCTACATTGAACCATCACCCTCTAATACAAGTGATGACAGAACCCCAATGTAGAGAAGCAACTCTGGCACTTGTTCTTCCAAGCTCTCACTGGATTGATTGAGGACCCTCTGCCTCAGATTAGATCATCCATTTGCAACTGCCTTTCACACTTGACTTCAAACATATTCTCAGGTCTGCCAATACCAATGCAACTGCATTGTGTAACAGTGATACTTGGATTGATGTCTGACGAGTCGTACCTTGTGCGCGCGGGAGCGTGTCGCACCATTGGCATGTTTGTAAAGTTGGACACACTGAGTGATGACACTACATTCCTGTCAAAGGCTGCCAGCTGTCTGTACAAGTCGATGTGTGACAACAACATCAATGTTAGGATCAAGGCGTGCTGGTCGCTTGCCAACCTCTGCGACCACCTGGTGTCCATTCGCAAGAACGAAGAGTTCAATGACATACCAACGCTCATTCTGTCCAAGGTCGTCGAGGTCCTGTTGCTGGCCAGCTATGACAATCCCAAAGTTCGATGCAATGCTGTTCGAGCCCTGGGCAACTTTGCCCGCTTCGTTCCAAAAGACCTCCTGGACAACACCAATCCAGTCGACATTCAAGACATCTTTGACACGATCAACAAGAACCAACAACAGCAGCCACAGCCACATCAGCTACAGCAACAGCAACAACAAAGTCCTGTTGGCAACCAACCACTACCAGACCAACAACTACAACAGACCAACCTGTCGACTCAGAAGAACATGATTGATAACTATGTTAGGAATCACAACAAGTCATTGATTGATCGAGTGATCGACTCGCTGGTGGTCAATGCAGGCGAGCCATCGACTTCATTCAACTTTGTAAAGGTCAAGTGGAATGCATGCTACGCTCTAGGCAATCTATTTTATAATCCAGACATCCAGTTTGATCCTGTTCCAAGCTGGCTCCATCAAGTCTACTCAACGCTCATATCACTCGTCCAATCATGTAAGAACTATAAGATCAAGATCAATGCCTCTGCATCCCTGGCCACCGTCACACACACAAGGATTCAATATGGCAATGACTATCAACGCATCCTTGAGGCCATCGTCATCTCACTCTCAAGTATCAACACATTGATTGAGCATTCAGAGTATCAGTACAAGGACATCCTTGAGCGACAGGTATGTGTGCCAATCACTCGATCAATCAACAATCATACTAATACCATACTCCATCTCCCAGCTTGGTATATCATTGGTTCATTTACTTGGCTCAATGAATATGGAAGAGATACAGAGTTACAAGGGATTGCTAGTCGGTCATTTGGATGTACTGTTTGATACGGTACAGAGATTGAATCCAGTGTACGAGACATCATTGATATTGGATGGTAACAACACAACTTCATCATTACAGAAGAGACAACAGGAACGACCTACATTGGATGAATTCACCAAGTGTGTCTCTACAATTGAACGAATGCTACATATTGTCACCAATGACAAGATCCAAGACCCAACGCTCCTCAACAAGATTGGACGTCTCCAAGAGCTAATCGAGAACGAAGGCATCAACATTGAGCAACTCTCTCTCATCTCCAATCCCAATGCACTGGACAATCAATCATTCAACTCGAACTCAAACTCGAACTCGAACTCGAATGAATAAGTATTATATTATATATTATATTATTTCTTTATTTATATTATCTTTAGCATCGATCACCTGTTAACCTATTCTGGTTGAATGTGAAGCTGAAGTAGTGACCTTGGGAGAAGCCGTGGAAGACGTTGGCACCTGGGTTGCAGGTGAGGTTGAAGCGGTAGGCTTGGTCACCGAGTGGGTTGGCCCAAAGTGGACTGAGGTAGACCTGACCGTCGGGGTAGATCTGGATGCCCTTGGAATCGTAGAAGCTGAACTTCATGGAGGCACTGGCGTAGAATTGTTGATTGTAGCCACTGGAGCACTTTACATCCTTGTTGGAGACGTATGACCAGGGGTCGCCATTAGTCAGGAAGCTGACGACGGCCGATGTTTGATATGGGTATAACTTCTGTTGAGTGTATAGTACTTCACCAGTCCTAAGAACACCTACAAACTGTGCCTTTACCAATGATTGTGAAAAGAATGGTGCCAAAGCTGTAGTACAATCACCTTGGACATTATTAATTAATCCAATAAATATTATATTAATAATTAATATTATTGATGTAAATAATTTAGTATTCATTATTATTGTTATATTAATAAATAATTTATATATTATATATGTTGTAGTAGTAGTAGGTTGGAATGGATTTATGATTTAGTATCCAGGAGCTCAAGTAAATACCTTTTGGGTTACTGTTGCGCCAAGGCATTAATTTGATTAATTGATTATATATATGTTGGTTAAATTTGAACTGCCTTATTAGGATATATATATGTCAAGTGTCAATCTCGTGTAGTGCTTCCCTCCTCCCTCAATCACTCTCCCTCATCCACTAACACTAACACTAGCACTAATACCACAATACTTAAACGATCAAGTGATACACCCCATCTTGCCCACCGACTCACCCTCGAGTTTGAATTAATTGTTGATTGAATGTGGTTGATAGGTTGTGTGTGTGTGTGTGAAGAAATAATTAAGTATCAATGAGCGTCAGTTCAATTTTGAATGATTGACTCTATCTATTGATTGATTGATTTATAAGTGTTGTGTGTGTTTGATCATACCTTGAGTGAGATCGAACACATAATTACCCCTCACACAAAGTCCACATTCTCACAATTAACAACTTATAACTAACAAGACCTAACTCACAATTATTATTGATTGAATTATTGATTGACCACTAAACTTGAAGGTCAAAGTCTACCCGCTTTGGTAGAATGAATGAATATATATATCGTCTTGGTCAGGTGACCCAATGATTGGATGGACTTACCGACACAAAGATATATTTGTTGTCTTGTAGACTTGCACCATGCCCAATCATTTGACGACAAAACAATCTGCTCGGCAACCAGGTCCGAATTCTATTCTAAAAATAAATAGTTGCGAGGCCTTTGAGTGAGAATGCGTTCATGTTCATCATTGCACAACACAATTACTTTGATCCATTCTCACATATTTGGTGTGATGTGCATTTGATCGATCACCACGTGCCACACGCACCAGCGCCTCTTCATTGGTTTTTAGTTTTGTTGTTGCTGTTGCCAGCGACAGCGCGAGCGAGGGGGTGGCGTTGGAGTTAGAGTTGTGGTGGAAGTTGATACTTCTGCAAGTGAAGTGAAGTGTGATTGGTATGAAAGACCCATCAAACACAATAGGGGGTTGGAATGATTGATGGTTGGTAGCCTGAATCAATGAAGGCCTGGCACATGTCACTCCCTCATCGATGATATACTATTACCAAATCATTGTTAGTCAACACCACAACCCCTTACACAAATAATACCTTTACTTGTATTTATAATTATACATAAAGAGAGAATGGATTGTTATAACAATCGATTATGTCTTTTACTAGTTCTTCTAATTTCACTTGTGGTTGTTGCAACCAACTTTGTTGAAGCCTCAACCTTAGCCTCAGCCACAGCATCAACCCCAGCAGGGTCAACCCACACTAGGGATGCACTCAAACTTAAAGAATACAACAGACTACGAAGTAATAATAACAACAATGGTAGACAATTGATGATGGTCAACTCTGCCAATGAGGTGTCGGCTGCGACGGCCAACACTACACCAACAGAGAAGGATGCATTGATGTCGCTGTACACATCGACCAGAGGCGATCTATGGTATAGGAGTGACAATTGGACGATTGGAGACCCCTGTCTAAACTCCTGGTATGGCATCACATGTGACAATGCCAGTCATGTGACCAGTGTCTCACTGTCCGAGAACAACCTCAATGGCACACTATCATCTTCCCAACTCTCTGGACTCATCCACTGCCAACTCTTTGACATTGGCACCAACAACATCTCTGGCGACCTCACCACCCTCTTCAGCACCTGGTCTCAACTCAATGAGTTACATCTCCAAAACAATCAGTTTGAGGTATGTGATTGGAATGATTCCATTGATTGAATGATGGGCCAGCCTTACTAACATGTTTGATTGAATGATTGGAATGATTCCACCCCTACCCCAATCACCTACCCCACAACACCAACCTAGGGCGACATATCTTGGACGAACAGTCTACAGTCCAACATTACATTCTTGTGGATTGCTGGCAACAGGTTCACTGGAGTGATACAAAAGGAATGGAGCAAGTTTAAAAAGTTGAACTTGTTATTCATTGAACTGAATCAGTTGTCTGGAACAATACCGGATGAGATTGGTGAGATGGAGAGTCTAAACCTGTTGGACTTTGGATTCAATTCAATCGAAGGCCCTGTGCCTGAATCAATCCAATACTTGACCAAACTGACACATCTGTGGGCCTATGACAATAACCTAAGTGGCAATCTACCCTATGCCATATCAAACATGTCCAATCTGATCACATTAGAGTTCACCAGGAATAAGATGTCTGGTGAGATCCCAATCGATATCTTTAACAAGTCCAACAAAATACAAAGCATCAGACTGAGTGGCAACCAATTCATAGGTATGTGTTATCATTCATGGATCACTCATTCACTCAATCATTCAATCATACTCACTCATTTAATCAATTCCAATTAGGTCAACTACATTGGATATGTAATTTGACAGCAATTGAGGAGTTGTTACTCAATGACAACAAGTTCACAATACTTCCAGACTGCAGCCAGGCCATCCCCGATACATTAACAGACTTGGTACTCGATGGTAACCAACTCTATGTAAGTACCATCATGGTCCATGACATCTAATCACTCAATCACTCACTCATTCAATCAATCAATATTATAGGGTACACTTCCAAACTCATTGGGCAACTTACGTAATCTAAGATATCTCAATTTGAGAAATAATAGATTGTTTGGATCAATACCATCATCATTGGAGAAGTGTATCAATCTCTCACGGATCGATATATCCGAGAATGAATTCAATTGTACTCTTACCGAACTAATGGGTCCAATCAGATGGATACCATATGTAAGTTCATCACGTCAATCCATGTGGAATGGACCATTCACTAACTCAACCCAATCAATCATGTAGTTGAGTATATTGACAGCCAACAATAATAATATTAGTGGAGGATTCAATGAGGATATGTTCTGGGATCAGGATAATGAGAGGGAGTTGTTGACATCATTGTTCATCTTGGATCTATCCCATAACAAACTTAATGGACCATTATCAGACTACCTATCTTGGATGTTATCACTCTCCCAGATGGACCTTTCCAACAATAACTTTGAGGGTGTCATCCCAGATGTACTAAACTATCTCTCGTATGTACACCCAATGGAACCATCCCACTCTCTCAATCACATGACTGACCAATCAATCACATGATAGTGAGTTGTACTTTGACAACAATAACTTGTCTAGCCCTGATGGAAGACTTCCAGCATTCATGGTACCTTCAAAGAATTATGTAAAGATGGATCAGGATAACTTTGTTTGTCCGACAATCCTTGGAAAGGACTCAGAGATGATGATCAAGTTGGACCCAAAGTACTTCAACTACTCATTGTGCTCATGTATCACGGGTACATTCGGTGTGAATGGCACGTGCAAGGTGTGTCCAGAGAATGCACAATGTCCAGGCAATGGCACCAGCATCATCATCCCCTCTGGCTACTTCCCATTGCCCACAGTCGAGCAACCAGACTACCTCCTTCAATGTCCAATCTCCAACTTTGGCACAACATCCTGTAACCCATCCAGCTCATCCAACTTCACCTGCAAGCCAGGCTTCACCGATAGACTATGTAGTCGTTGTCAAGATGTAAGTATCTTCGCGTCTGTACAGTCGAACGAACACAACACTGACCCGACCAACACATACACCTCACTCCAGAGATTCTTCCTTCGTGGCGCAGACTGTGTCAAGTGTCCTGATGGCTCGCAAAGCATTGCCGTGTTCATTGCCGTGCTCATTGTACTTATACTCATACTCATATTCTTCATTCTAACTGATCCAAAGGGATCATTACCATCAGCCACCAGAAAGACCATCGTCTTTTACTACCAGGTAAGTGATTGGAATGATTCCAGCCCAAGCCCCAGCCTAACCCCGACCCCTCCACCCCCCCCAACATAGGCACTCAACTTGTTGCTATCTAAGCTATCACCATGGCCAAGTTACTTTGCAGCATACTATACTTCGTCCAGCTTCATCAACTTCTCGTTGGGATTCTTGTGCATTGGAGAGTTGACCAAATGGCCAAACTTATTCATGGTGATCATTTGCCTGCCGCCAGTGGTCGTCGCGCTTTCCTGCGTGTTCCTGGTGATCGTCAAGCTGGTGTACGTACTGCGCGCCCAGCCATTCGACCGCAAGTGGATCCGATCGTGCCTGCGCGTCAACCTGGTCGTGCTCAACTTCCTCTATCTGCCGCTGTGCATCTACATCCTTCAGAACTACTCGTGCACTTACGACCCGTTCACGCACGACAGCTACATGTCCTTCTTCCCGTGGATCCAATGCTCGTACCGCGCCGGCGTCTACAGCCAGATCTTCAAGGCAACGGTGGCCGCCACGGTCGTCTATGTGATCGGCATCCCCGTGCTGTTCTGCTGGCTGCTGTTCCGCTACCGCAACCGCCTGGACGACCCCTTTGTGCTGTCGTTCGTCGGCTCACTCTACATCGACTACCGCAAGAGCGTCTACTACTACGAGATCATCCTGCTGGTGCGCCGCTTCATGATGGCCGTGTCGCTGGCGCTGATCGACCCCAAGTCGTCATTCTCGGTGTTTGTTGTGCTGCTGGTGATTGGCGGCTCGATCATCTCGCAGCTCACCTTCTCGCCGTTCATCTTCAAGGTGAGCAACTACACCGAGCTGGCCGGCAGCAGCGTGCTACTGTTCAGCTACGTGTGTGTGATGATCCTGTCGTCACTGCGCACCACCAACCAATACGACTCGATCGGCATCCAGGTCATACTGGGCATCGTGATCATCACCTACACAGTATACCTTGGCATCCTGTTCCTGTTCAGTCTCAAATACTTCCTGCCGCGTTCCATCCAAGAGCGCATAGACAAGCACATCGTACTTCTTCAACAAAAGTTTGCATTGTGGAAGGTGCAATATGACAAGAGACAGAAGCAGCGTGAGGAGGAAGACGAGATGTTCTACCAATCCATCGACAATGCCATACGTCGCCAGTCATCATTAGAGAGCAGTATGGAGATGAAACGAAGAAGTATCAAACATTCATCCGAAGGTGGAAACAGTAACAACAATAGTAACAACAGTCTTGGTAATGGCAATGGCGGTGGCGGTGACAATTTGAAGAAGTCATCGGAGAAAGAGAGTAGCAGTGGTGTAGTTGGAAGTACAACAACAACCAACAACAACAATGCTAACAACAACAACATCAACAACAATCAAGATACTGCATCCAATGAATACAGAGAATAATAGATAATTGATTCTCATTCACATACTATGACATGCCCTTCTTCTGTTCATTCATTATTCATGGACATGGTGTTGACGCAACAACTCATTGTCCATCTCTAAGTAGTTCAACACACACTCTCAACTCTCAAACAACCAATCCATATCCCATCAACAACTCACCACCACATTATTTTTAATGTAATCAGGTTTTGGGATGGATGGGTTGATGGCTTCATTCAGATGAACTGAAATCAATTTCTTTTTAATTATTTTTTGAGATACTTTTGAATGAAAATGAATGAACAGTGAGTGGGTGGATGATCAGTATGGAGGCATGAAGGAAGTGAAGGCAAGCCAGCCAGCCATCCGTCCATCCACCACACTCAACCATCAAGCCAGCCCTAGTCTGCCTGCCTTCACTTCTCTCTTCCTCTCTCACTCATTCACTCACTCACTGTGCGGTGTTCACATCATTTCAAAATCAATCAATCAATCACATCATTTATACATACTCATTCTCTCTATCTATATCAGACATTTAGCAGTGTGACACAGACCAATAAGGACTAAGACACACTTCATAATATATTTGTTTGTTATCTATCTATTACTCTGTACACTACACCATCCCCTTCACAACCCACCTTGTATTTTGTAAGTTCATTCATTCATTCAATGACATGAGGCGACACAGGTCCAGCATCAGCAGCACATAGTCATGCATACAGGAGGCACGACCTGACTCGGCGATCTAGATAGAGGATGACACATGTGGACACACAAAACAGACCCTTTACAGGACTTGACTGACTGACAATCCATGCCTCATTCAATCATTCATTCAAACAGAAACATATATATACAACAGAATGGATTCCAACAAAGTCATCGTTTGCGACAATGGAACAGGTGTAAGTTTAGTTGATTGAATGGCCAGAATGATTATGATGATGATGTCAGTTCACTCACTCACTCAATCAATCAATCAAACTTAATCAATCAAACTCAATTAATCAATCAATTATAGTTTGTTAAATGTGGATTTGCAGGAGCTAACTTCCCAACTGCTATCTTCCCATCGATGGTTGGTCGCCCAATCATGCGTTCCGAGGAGAAGGTAGAGAACGTCGAGATCAAGGACATCATGGTCGGTGACGAAGCCGCCAAGCTGCGCTCCATGCTCCAGATCACCTACCCACTGGAGAACGGTATCGTCCGTAACTGGGAGGACATCCTGCACGTCTGGGACTACGCCTTCAAGGAGAAGTTGAAGATCAACAACCCACGCGAGTGCAAGATCCTGCTGACCGAGCCCCCCATGAACCCATTGGCCAACCGTCAAAAGATGGTCGAGACCATGTTTGAGAAGTACGGCTTCCAGGCCGTCTACGTCGCCATCCAGGCCGTGCTCACCCTGTACGCCCAGGGTCTCCTGACCGGTGTTGTCGTCGACTCTGGTGATGGAGTCACTCACATCATCCCCGTGTGCGAGGGTTACTCCATCCCCCATCTGACCCGTCGTCTCGACGTTGCCGGTCGTGATGTCACCCGTTACCTCATCAAGCTGCTCTTGCTCCGTGGTTACGCCTTCAACCGTACCGCTGATTTCGAGACTGTTCGTCAGATCAAGGAGAAGCTCTGCTACGTTGCCTACGACCTCGAGCAAGAGAAGAAGTTGGCCAACGAGACTACCGTCCTCGTCGAGTCATACACTGTATGTTCATTCATTCATCTTCATTCATTCGTTCATTCATTCAATCAAACATACTAACAAACACCGCAATGGAACAATCATCAGCTGCCAGATGGTCGTGTGATCAAGGTTGGAAGTGAGAGATTCCAGGCCTCAGAGGCTTTGTTCCACCCCAACTTGGTGGACGTCGATGGAGGTGGTGTTGCCGACCTTCTGTTCGACTGCATTCAGAAGTCCGATCGTGATCTCCACAAGGGATTCTACGAGCACATCGTCCTCTCTGGTGGTTCCTCTATGTATCCAGGTCTGCCATCTCGTTTGGAGAAGGAGATCAGACAGCTCTACCTCGAGAAGGTTCTGAAGGGAGATGCCAGTGGAATGGCCGTACGTATATCCTCATTCATTCATCATTCATCATTCATCTTCATACACATACTTACTCAATCAATCAATCATTCATTCAACCAACCAACAGAGATTCAAGTGCAGAATCGAGGATCCACCAAGAAGAAAGCACATGGTGTTCTTGGGAGGTGCTGTGTTGGCCGAGCTCACTAAGGACCGTAATGACTTCTGGATCACCAAGAAGGAGTACGAGGAGAAGGGCATCAAGTGTCTTGACAAGCTCACCAAGCTCACTGTCTAAATTGTTTAGTACCAACAAACAAACAACCAACCAACCATCCATCCATCCCATACATCAACCAACCTACTCAATAAGAATCCATCCCATCCCATCAACCTCACAAGCCTTTTGGCTGTTGTTTGTTTTCGCGTCCTGATGTCTGTCTCTACACATACACCAACAGCCAATGGCTTACAACCAACCAACAACACAAAGTCAATCATCCATCCATCCATCCATCAATCCATCAATCACATACTACACTTCTCTGTCACTATTATCAATAAACTATTTATAAACTATTCCTTTCTTTCTTCTTGTCACTTCATTCAATCAATAAGTTATATAACATCAACCATCGTCATTATCATTAAGCTTGCCCAAAAGATGAACACAACGATGACTTGCAATGGTCATTAATGATGTCGCCAGAAAGACAACAATCTTGGTCAAACTCTTGACCTTGACCTCACAACATCAACAACTAACAAACACAAAAATTAATTAAATAAAATGAAAAGATGTGTGTGCTTGAGTAAATAGCGTGTTTGAAAGAGAGAGAGAGTGTTCCCATCATACACACACTCATCAACCCCCACCACCTCTCAGTCCCCAAGCATTCACTTTCTATCGTGTGTTGCACATCACCTTCAGCATCATCAAGCTGGCAAGCAAGCAAGCAAGCTCCTCAAACAAACACAAATCGATTAGTCTCTCTTTTTATCTACCTCACCTTTAAGTTATACTCTACCCTTTTCTCTCTTTCTCTCTCTCTCTCTTTATTGTATGTACACAATGTCATCATTCAATTTGAATGAATGATGAATGAATGAATACATGCATTGTTCAATGAATCAATGATTGTCGAATGAATGAATGAATGACAGTGAACGTTATTTGCTAATCAATCAAACATATATATACAAATAGCTAATCTTTAGGTGTATCTTATAATATAACATGTTCATATTCGATTGGTTTTGGAACGTATTGAGCTTCTTGGGTAAGGATCATTCGATTGGAGATAGATGATAGAGATGAATGATTGAGTGAATGAATTACTAATCCATGAATACATATTATAGGTCTTTACAATAAGAATGCCAAGATTCTATTCCTTGGACTAGATAACGCTGGCAAGACTACATTGCTAGGTGTTCTGAAGGATGGTCGTCTGTCGCAGAATCGTCCAACCTTCCACCCAAGTATGTATCATCCAATCAATCAACCAACGACATAGAGTGGACAACTACTCCTTCCGCAACATCAGCATGCTAACACGAACACCAAACAATCAATCAATCAATCAATCAAACAATCAAATCAATATAGCCTCTGAAGAGTTGTCAATGGGTAATATTAAATTTAGAACTTATGACTTGGGTGGTCACGAGACAGCTCGTAGACTCTGGAAGGATTACTACACCTCAGTCGATGCCATTGTCTTTATGATCGATTCGTCCGCCCCACAGAGATACGAGGAGTCAAAGAGAGAGCTAGAGGCACTGCTTTCATCTGACGAGCTCTCCAATGTACCATTCCTCATCCTCGGCAACAAGATCGATATTCCAGGCACACCATCAGAAGAGAAGTTTAGAGCCGCTTTGGGATTGACCCAGACCACTGGAAAGGTATGGATGATTGATCGATTGGAGAGTGAATGAATGAGTGAGTGAGATAGTGTAGCTAACATCATAACCAATCAATCAATCAAACAATCAACAGGGCAAGGTTCAGCTGAACCCAGGTACCAGACCAATTGAAGTATTCATGTGCAGTGTTGTGCGAAGATATGGCTACGGTGATGGTATGTTGATCAACAGAACATGATGAGCATGATGATGATGTAGTGGATCGACCAATGTTACTAACAATCTCCAATTGACACAATCAATCATTCAATCAAACAGGCTTCAGATGGTTGGCTTATTATATAAACTAGACATCCAAAGCAATATTATTAATAAACTCCGTTTCCAATCAATAGACAATAGTTAGCTAGTAGTCCGTAGTTAGTAGTCAGTGTCCAGTCTCCACTACTACTATGTCCAATCCATCCAACATCCATCATCCCGATCAATCAATCACAACCAGAGTGTGTGGTTAAAATTAGTCCACACACTCTTGATCACAATCACACTCCTCTTGCTCAATCCACTCACTAACTCTCTCCCTTGGATTGATTGATTGATTGATCAATCACTAATCAATATATATATCTAATATCAACTTTACTTACTGTACAGTATAGTTTATATATCTGTAAGATCATCATGCAACTTGATCAATGGGTGGAGACACTCAAACAATGTAAATACTTGCCAGAGGGAGATTTGAAGAAACTGTGTGAGCGAGTCAAGGACATACTATTGGAGGAATCCAATGTCCAGTTGGTACGCAGTCCAGTCACAATCTGTGGAGATATCCATGGACAGTTCTACGACCTACTCGAACTGTTCAAAACAGGTGGTGAGATACCAGATGCCAACTATGTATTTATGGTATGTTTGATCGTTCGTGATCTTGATCATTCCAGGATATTGACATTGATGGTGATCAATATGACATAAAGGGAGACTTTGTAGATAGAGGTTATTATAGTTTGGAAACATTTACATACTTGTTGGCATTGAAGGCAAGGTATCCAGACAGGATTACATTGTTGAGAGGCAATCATGAGTCTCGCCAAGTTACCCAGGTCTATGGATTCTACGATGAGTGTCAACAGAAGTATGGCAATGCCAATGCCTGGAAGTACTGTACCGGTGTGTTTGACTTCCTAACTCTTGCGGCAGTATGTAGTTGTCTGATGGGGCGTCAGTCCACAATTCCACTAACACTAATTCAATCAATCGATCAATACCAAGGTAATCGATGGCAAGGTATTATGTGTACATGGAGGATTGTCACCAAAGGTTCGCACCCTTGATCAGATACGTATCATATTGAGGAGTCTGGAGATACCTCATGAAGGTCCATTCTGTGGTATGTGCCATGTTCTCCAGGCGGGATCATTCCAAGTCACTTCACACTAACTTACTTACCAACTCAATCAATGATGATGTACTTAGACTTGATGTGGTCGGACCCAGAAGAGATTGAACAATGGCAGCCATCACCTAGAGGAGCAGGATGGTTGTTTGGATCAAAGGTTACAAAGGAGTTCCAACATATTAATGGTTTGGAATTGGTTTGTCGAGCACATCAGCTGGTCCAGGAGGGCTACAAGTACATGTTTGATGAAACCTTGGTAACAGTATGGTCTGCGCCAAATTACTGTTATCGATGTGGCAACGTCGCCTCCATTCTTCAACTCAGTGAGAATACCTTGGATCGCAGTTTCAAGATCTTTGAGGCTGTCCAAGAGGAGCGCGATATCCCTGCCAAGGCAACATCGATGCAGTACTTCTTCTGATCAGTCGGCTAATGCCATGACATGTCATGTGTCTAACAATTATAGTGATATAGTTTATTAATAAACTTAATTCTGTGAATAATAGAAGTTGTCGGCCTCCATGTCATCGGGAGTGGAGGTGCTGGACGGCGACGGGGGCTGGTGGTTCTCTCCCACCAGTAGACCTCTGTGAGCAAAGGTCTCGCCAAAGAATGAAACAAAGTTGCCACGTGAGATGACCAGAAGGTGATGGTTGTCGCGGATGTGCTTGGTCGGATTGCCTGGTTTCGCTCTTTGATTGACGAATTGTTGGATGACCTCTTCGTCCACCTGTCTGTTGGTAACGATAACAAAGACACCTATCCATTGCTCTGATGACCACCCCTTTGAACTGGCCATAGAGTTCATGCCAGCACAGGCCAGGTTGGAGTTCTCCAGTATATCATTTGATGAGTACTTTGGGTTCTTGACGTCCTGTTTGGAATGCTTGGTCTGAGTGTAGACTACCATGTATCGACCGTCGGCAAGCCTTACAGCAAACCTCTGGTCAATGTTCGGTGCGTTCTGATCGCAGATGAACACATATTGGCAGTCCAACAAGTCCCTCTCCATTACAACCTTGCTGTCAGGGTTATCCTTGGTCTTGATTGGTCTGAGCTGCATTCCCAGCTCAACTTCATAACACACCTAGTTGTCGTTGCATCTAAGCATGTTAGTTAGTTGAATGGTTCCGGATAACCTCGCGAGGTGGCTACAAACATACCTTTTGAGGGGCAACTTCGATGGGCATTTCGCCAATAATGTCAAGACCATAAGCACCTCTAAACAACTTGTGAACTGTGAGGTCGCCAGAGTATGATTGGATGAGGCATTGTTGGAAGAAGGGATATAGTGTTTCAAATTGTTGCCAACGCCATTGGCCATGTCGTGAGGGGATCTTAAGTACATCATCGGGGAACCAAGGGCATTCGCTGGATAGGTTGAAGCTCTTGAGATTATAGAATGACAAGTAGAGGCGATAGTAATCTCTTTTCTTTGGCGATGGAAGCAGGTAGAGGATGCCATTGAGCCGCAGATCGTCAACCGTGGCGCCACTTGGCAATGTTGAGTCCATTCTCAATGGACTTTCAATAAAGGCGTCGGCATATATTTGCTTGAGGTCCCTGGGGTCCACGGGAGTGTTGCCTCGGTTGAGCGAGTCGATCATTTTGAAGCAATTGGTGCCAAATTGATAAGGAGTAGTGATGCAGAATTGCAAGAAGTATGATATGTCCTTTGGAATGTAGCCAGTGTCTCCAAGGCCCACTTCAAATGAGCAGGTGCCGATGAAGTCTGTGGGCGAGACACCGGCCGTCCTGAAGTGATGCTCGATGATCCCTGTGCACGAGAGTCTGTCCAAGGGATGTAGATCGATTGATACGTTGTGATATCCAGTCTTCATACGGTTGCGGCCTCTGTCGGACGTGCCTGTGCAGATAGGGAGTATGAAGATATCGGTGCTCCTCTGCATCAGGGAGCCAATCTGGTTGAGAAGCGTCTGGATGTCTGATGAGCCTGTCTTCTGGGTGTAGTACTGTATCTCATCCATGTGGATTAGAAGAGCGAGGGGGTGGTCTGACGAGACTGGTCTTGATGAGCGTATGACCTGTTTGAGCTGTGTCACGATGTTGTCCAGGTCAAAGTAGTCTACACATTGAACAATCTGTGTGAGACTGGTCAGCGGAGTGTTGCCAATATTGAACATTCTGAGCGACACTGCCAGTCGCGCTCCAATTCGAACAGACTCTCGCACATTGACATCGATGTGATCATTGTATGAGATACCATTGGTGAACTTCAGGTAGACGTAGACGGCACCTTGCATTGACTGGATGAAGGAATGGTTTGAGTAGCTTACCTCCTTGAGTAGATCGTCAGACAGACGTGATACCTCGTAGCCAGCTCGAGTCTTTCCAATTCCCGAGCCTCCAACAATTAGTATGATTGAGTGATGTTGAGTGTTGGCCTTGCCTCGATTAGTAAAGTTACCATTCGCTGATCCAGCCATCTGAAGTAGAGCGTTCTCTCGCTTCATCAAGGGGTAGTCGTCTCCAACAACCGAGAGTACATCATACTTGTGTGGAGCTCCTATAAGTGCAGGAAGGGCAACAGGTGCTTGAAAGGAGCGTATGTTATGACCTTCTTGAGGAGTTGTCTTATCAGTGAGAGCGAAAGCAAGTTGGGAAGGGGCGAGGTAGATGTGAGGTGGCACTCCATCCTTGGCAATGGGTACATGTAGGTCACTTGCTTTGCAAGGAGGTTGAATCATATCCTCATTGAGATAGGCATTCAAAGTACTTGTGTCCCTTGGTATTTCATGTTGGTCTTCAAGTTTGACATTGGTTTGGCTAACATACTTATCCATTGTTATCAAGACTCAATCAAATTATACATGTAACTAACTACCTAACTTGTGTGATTGAATGAATGAATTGAATAATGAACTTGCATTCATTTTCACCCCTGGGGAGAAATGTTGACTTGCTCTGGCATCAATCAATTCTTTGAACTTATCTCACACACACCTTGTGATCGCGAATACTACGTAGCTTGCAAGGTCATTCATACCTTTTGATTGATTGATTGCGTGACTTATTATTCCTTTCAAACATACACATATATACATATAAATATATATTACACTAATATAGTATAGTATAATCTATCATCATCAATCAATCAATCAATCAAACATTCAATAACTGATGGTAGTGATTGTTGATTGGCTGGTCAGTGTGATCTTAGCTATCACTGCAGCCTATCTGGTGCATACTTACTCGGATAGACAGAGTAGGAATGATAGGTTGTTAAAGTTAAAGAAGCGACTGAAGAGGAATGCTGATCTACGTCAGGGTGGTGTCCTCAGCGGAAGGAATAGACCATCACCAACACTAGATTCAAATAATAATCAATCATTATCAACGACATCATCATCATCAACATCATCAAACAATCAAACATCAACAACAACTACAACAACTACAAATAATGTTACAAAGAGCAAGAAGCTAGGTTATCAACCATTCAGACGACAATATGGTTTAGCATCGACATCATCAGAAGGTCAAATACGAGGTGCCGATGATATGTTCATAGGCCTCGATGACATTGCAATGTCACACACAAACATGTTGCACTCATTGGACAACATCCATGACGACGGCGACGACGACGACCATGTCGTGCCCAAGGTGATGGACTCGGTTCAGTCACACGCACAACAACAACAACAACAAGAGAAGGGCGAGATTGAATCATCGATGGGCATGATGGATGACGAAGAGGACTATGAGGACGAGTATGACGATGAGGATTCAATCATGTCGTCGCCAAACAGCAGTGTGCTGGGTGTGCCAACAATGGCTGATCATCAGAAGCAGAGCAAGGAGCAGATCGACATGGAGAGGGAGCGTATCAAGCAGACATTGTTGCAGCGTCGATCAAACATCATCTCGCAGCCAATGCTCGAGCAACTCAGTCAGATGGAGGAGCGCCAGACCCGACCCAGACGCATCGCAGTCGGTCGTCGCAACATATACAGCCAGAACCAAATACAAAAGAACCTTCAACTCAACAGCGCCAACCTGTTCAACAACCTCAAGGCGCCCATCCTGTCGTCGGCCAAGGTCAACCCATCACTCTACGTGCCCACCACCGCCTACGGCTACTACAAAGACGCTGACGACCACGTCTACATCAAGCGCGAGCCCATCAACACACCATCGCCCCTGTTCAAGTCTGCAGCCAACTCCAAGAGTGGTGACCTTCTTGCGCTCGAGGACTTCTTGGCTCAGAACAACACATCACAGTCACAATCACTCTTTGGCAATCAATCATCATCGTCACCATCAAAGGGTCGTGGATCATACAATGGATTGATGAGCGTGAAGAAGAGGAGACCTTTGGAGAACTCAAACTATAGCGTGGACTCGGCCTCTATCCCATTGAGGACGGCCAGCGGAGGCATCAAGACAAACACAGACGATGAGATGGACACTTATGGCGATGACGAGCGCGATGAGATCGATCACCTCTATCAAGGCGTCAACAACAGCGTGATCATCACGCCCATGACTGGAGTCAAGCTGAACACCTCCACTCAATCGACCACATCAAGCTTCAGCCATCAGGTCGTGCCACAGATGATGCCACCGCCCAACATCTCGCCCATACGGCCCAACGGCGCACCACTGGTCCCAACAACAACAATAACAGCAATGCCAATGGTTGATTGGAGTCATCACTTTGCCATCTCAAACGATTCGGTGGCAACCAACAAGAGCTTGGAGGAGGACGAGGAGGAGGACTACTGCGGCAGTGACATTGATGGCGAGGACTTCTCCAGTGTAAACATCGACTACAACGAGCGCTTTCAAGAGATTATGGAGGATCTGCGCAATATCGATTGTAACGCCTACCAAAAGGACAGGATTCGCGTCAACAGTCAGTTCATCGCGCTCACACAAGACTTTATCTACGCATCACAGACCTTTGCCAAGGTCATTATATCCGAGCGATATCTTCCCAACACTGAGAAGACCATCCCTCCCATCGACATTGGCGGCCTGGCCGGTGGTGACAAGTTCATCGTGCATGGCATCCTTTTCAAGTTCGCCATCGACAAGGAGAACTTCTATGGAAGCGACTACGCCGCATCGTGCGTCGCTGGGCACGAGCTCAAAGGTCTGATCAATGTGTTCAACTCAAACTCGCGCGATCTCAGTCTACCCCTGATGGCTCTGGTCGACTATCGCGGCTTCCGAGTCATTGCCATGTCCATCTTGCCCGTGGAGAAGGACACCATCTGTTATGGCAGCAACGACTATGGAATGACAATTCACAACAGCGACAAGGTGCTTAGCGATCGAGTCATGGACGTGGCGCGACAGCTCAACATCAAGTCGCATCACTGTGGTGAGGCAGGCACGTACCTCCACTCGCCTGCCGACCTCGAGGGCCACAACGGCTTCGACGGCCGTTACTACCTGCTCGACTTTGCCCGCATATTCCCGCCCGAGGCACCCTCCAAACAGATCAAGATGGGCCATCTCTATCGTCTGTTGCGTCCAGAGTTTGTGAGGAACTACAAGTACGCGCTGTGCTCAGACTCATTCTCGCGCTTCATCAAGGGACACAATGACGAGGAGCACAACAGGGAGACGGTGGACGCGACCATGTACCTGTTCAACACTACGATTCCCGAGCTTGCTGAGGAGCTCAACCAGATTGAGCTGGTGGACGCCAATGACGTCTACCACTTCCCCATCCCAGAGCGAGTGCACAAGCACGGTGTCAACGTGCGCTACCTTGGACATGTGCGAAAGCTGTGCGAGACGCCCGACATGAAGTCGCTGATCTTTGTGGAGATGTGCGCGCGAGTAGTCAAGCAACAGCTGCGTCAGAAGCTAAGGTTCAAGATGAAGCAGGCCAGGATACCATTGGAGGCACCATATCGTCGTCTCATTGTCGCCTATCTCAACAGAGTGCTTGGCACCTCAGACAAGAGTGATGACTTTTGGGACAACAAGATGAAGAAGTACCTGATGAAGAAGGTATGATTGATTATTTAGTGGATATAAGATTGATTGATTAATTGATTACTAACATCCATCAAACAGTTCGACAAGGCATTGTTCGATGATGAGATCCAGGGTAACTCGATAGCAGACAGTTTGGTGGCCTTCTCAGACAACCATACTGATGGCAAGTATCTCTTGTTCAAGCGTATCCAGAAGATGACTGGCCTCAAGTTCTCATCGCGTATCAATGAGGAGTTCCTCAGTCGTCCAAACACATGGCTCGAGCGTGGTGAATACCCATTGGACATCAACGATCTTGAGGAGATTGGCATCCGAGTCAAGTACATCCCCTTCCACAACGTGGCACAGGGCTACCTGTTCAAGGTCAAGGGCGAGCTGCTCTTTTCCAGCGATCCAATCGCCGCATCGAGGTTCTTCAACCTGGCACTGGAGAAGTTGGAGACGGCTTTGGAGACCGATCCAAACAACACCAACACTCTGTGCACGATGGGTGAGGTCTACCTTCATCTAGGCGAGGGTAGCTCGCACGCCCTCTCCGAGCTGTCACTCAATCTCGAGAACCCATTGGTGGCCAAGGCCTACGAGTACCTAGGCCGAGCCATCTTCTCCAACAGGACGCACACCATGTCACTGTTCCGATTTGCCCAGCTCCTCGAGCGTCTGTCAGAGTTTGATCGTGCCGAGGAGTATTACATCGCATCACTCGAGTCCAATCCAAACAACATCGCCTGTCTACAGGAGTATGGAAACTTCTTGCAGACTGCGCGCAAGGATCCAGCAGCAGCCGAGCCATTCTTTGTTCGCGTGTCTGAGAACCATCAGTACCTGCACGTCACCTCACAGCGACAGACCGAGCTTAACCTACGCGGCTCGTCCGGTCTTCTCAAAGTGCGTCCCAAGATGGAGGCCAGCAGCAACAACAATGCACTGGACTCGACATTCTATACACATCACAAGCGATCATCATCAACCAGTAGCGGCAGTGGCACGATGGACTACCAGCCACATGTAACATTCGCCAACAACATCATCAACAATAGTAGTAGTACTAGTGGCTATCAAAACACTCACAACAATGGTCACAGTAGGAGCAATAGTAGTAATAGTAATAGTAGTAGTAGTACAACCAGCAACAGCAGCAGCAGCAACAATCTATTATCACCAACTTATAAGCCAAGCATTGATAAGTCGAAGTCATCGATGCATTTAACAACACCGGCTCACATGAAGTCATCATTCCCATCACTGATCACCACTCCATCCACACCGCCATCCACTCCGAGGACGACCAAGCCAACAACAACAGCAACAACAGCAACGACGAATGGTGTAAATGTAATGTAGTATAATGTAGTAATAAATTATAATATCTGTATGTATGTACATATTTATACTGATCCCTTTAACATCATCACTGAAGAAGGGTCAGGAATATTGATTGATTGATTTGATTGATTTGATTGATTGACTGGCAATGGAGCACTTCCATATTATCTGCTGAGGGCCATTCTTTCCTTCTCAATGTCGTCCAGGAATTCCTTGACGGTTGGCATCAATGTGTAGAGTTCATAATTGATTCCTCTCAGGAACAATCGTTCCACAAGACAAAGGTCCTTCTTTGAACAACTGAAACATTTGGCCAGGTATGAATAGTCAACTCTGATCGATTCTCCCCAGAACTTGACACATATCACCGCACTATATAAGTTGATCAATTGATTGATGAGTTAGTTATTTCTCCTACGATGATGATAATGTCGAAGGAATATACATACCTGATGAATAATAGATTGAAGAATTGATTGTGATTAATTCCACAACGCTTGACAAACTTGTCAGCATAGTAAACTACTAATGGGAAGAATGTCATAGGTGTCTCGTAGGATTCCAGTATGTTCTTGGCAGTGCTCAATGCAATCTTGATTTGTTCCATGGTGTCGTGTTGGTCACTTTGTACAAAGTGAGCATTGTCATAGGTGGAGAGCCATGACATCACTCTGTGGACGTAGAAGTCGATATCGGATGGGATGACAATGAATTGATTGTCCTGGTGAAAGTACATGTCAATGTCGTCGAGGCTGCCGGCCGACATTGAGAATGAGTCCTCTTGGATGTTGTCGACATCGACATTGAACAAAGGAATTGCGGCAAAGTCTTGTGTGTCCAGTGGTTGTGAAGCAAGATGGTCGGTATCAGTTGGGTCGTCGTAAGATGGAGTGACAAAGGCGGAGGATGGAGGTGATGGGTATGGTTGGTAGGAAGAAGATCCGGCGGCGGACATATATTGTTGTGAGTCATTGGCGCACATCGACATCTGTTGTTGTTGATGTTGTCCATCAATGGCAGGACAGTGATCAACACTACTTCTCCAACTTCCTCCTACATTTCCATCCAATACCTGTTGTTGTTGTTGTTGACCATTGATCATCATTTCTTTGTCGTAGGTATATAGTCTTCTTGTTGTTTGTTGTTGTTGTATTTGGTATGAGGTTGTAGATGTTGTTGTGGACATTATTGGTGTTGATGGTGATGTAGGTGAGCAAGTATCGAATGATGGCGTTAAATATTTAATAGCTTGATTGCCTAATGTGTAAGCATTCCTTATTAATGATTGTATACTATATTGTTGATAATCCATACATGTATATTATGTCTATATATATAGTTAATTGATTGATAGTGTTGATATTGTTGATTGATTGTACGTTGCTTTGCGTGTCCGTGTGAGTATTGTTGATAAAGTGATAATGGTCTTGATTGATTGTTTGTTTGATTGTTGATTATTATTATAATGTATGAATAATCTAACTGTAATAATATATATAAGTATAATGTAATGTAATGTAAGTACTTCTTAAGTGTTCATCCTGGTTCTATAAGAGCTTCAAGTTGATGACGCATGGGTGGTGGTAGATGGTTCTGGTGGTGTCGTTATTAGATGAGCGTCGTCGTCGAAGAACAGTGATCATCGCATTCCCCCCGATAGTGGGGGGAGTTCTGAACAAAGACACTGAGTCACCGTGTTGCGGGGGCCGATGGAAACCATGTTGGAACGTTAATATAAATTAAATGACAAAAATGGAAATGGAATGCTCACTCACATAGTTTTTGTTCCTTCCTGGTCCCAGGGCCACAGGTCCGTCTTGCCCCATAAGGGAAGAGTGTTTGTTTTCGGGGTGTCGTGTCAATCTCTTACAAACACACGACTCTGTGTCCAATCCATCCATTCATCCATCATGATGCCCAAGCCCATACGTGGCTATTTAGATGGCGCGTTGACTGTGTTCATGAGTAAGTAGGACGATCTTTATTTGCTTTGATGAGCAATGCCCATCGTACCAACCACCTTACTTGTTCGAGAGAGATGTCAACACGTTGACACCCAACAAAACACGAACCTTAGGTTACTCAGAGCTGTCGTTCATGAATACTTTGCCTCGTCCAGCCTTGATGTCAGAACGAAACATCTTATCCTTCTTCCTCCTCTCCTGGGCGTAGGTGGGTACATCGGTGGGCAGCCTCTCCTTTGGGATGATCGACGACTTTAGTAGTATCCTCTCCAGTTTCTCGATGCAGTCATGCAGGTTAAGCTTCTGCTCCCTATACTTGGACGAATTGATTACGAACTCTCCTGCACTATTTATGTTATTGCGGTAGTTTGACTATTATTGGTTAAAGTGTCCGCGTGAGCAGATCGTAAAAGGTCAGTCGGATATGGGTTATTATTGCGACAACAAGTTGTCAGATTGACCAATCAATCAACTCAATTGATCATCTTCATTTGTACATACGTAGAGCATATCCTTGCAATGATCTGACAACCAATCGGCCTGGTTGACATTGAATCTTGCTTCTACTTTTGTGTTGACCTTGTTGACATTCTGTCCACCTGGTCCACTAGACCTTGAGAATTGGAAATCAATCTTATCTCTTGGTACATGGAACTTAATGTTATCTCTCTATTATTATAATAGTAATAAGGTTAGTTATTACTTCTTCTGATATCTTTCTTGAAACACAAATAACATACACTTGTTGAGTAAAGTGCTGCTGATTGACGAGGCAGAGTTGTGAGATTGAATAGTTCGACAGTGGACATCAAACGCATCTTTGTTGCGCCACCTGTTGCTCTTGTTGTGAATATAGATAATGTAGTATACATTCTTGAATGAACGAAGTTGATGATGATTGATTGATTGATTGAGTGTTGTTGGGGTAGTATGTAGTAGGTAGTAGGTATGAGGGTGATCAACAAGAACAACAGGGGATCTGTCAGTATGTCTATTTACAATGTATATGTATGTGTATATGTATGTACAGTTATTACTAAATTATATTAAAGAATGATGTTGCGCAAAAAGTAATGTGAAGATCACAAGCACTTTATTAAGTATTGTTTGATTTGTGTGGGATATTGGCTATCTATGGTGCAATCAAACATACTCCATACCCTTTTCGATTGGCAACTGGATCATTGTCTTTGAGCAATTTCCATCTGTTATATTGTATTGAGTATTGATAGTTATTATTTGTGCCACCAAAGTAGATGATCTTCCGGTGGAATACCGATGATCATAAACTATTGCAAGTAGTGCATCGAACTTAGGACAATTTGATAGCTGGACTGATTGCTGGGTGGAGATGGTGAATCGAGTGAACTTCAAATTGGAGAGGATGTAGATGTTGGAATGTGTCGAGTTTGGACGGGTTAATCTTCAGATTTCCGAGATTTCCAACACGATCAAACTGTTGAGTGTCAATATAGAAGCGATCCACCCGATCAAACGTGACCTTTTGGAAGGTATCCGGATCAATCTCCACTCCGCCAACAAGGTAGATATGGCGGCGCCCGTCATAGCATGCCGGACAGAAAAATCATCCTTTGAATCCAGCAGGCATGTTGGCTTCATATAGTCTCCTCTCTGACAGTGAGATTCGTGTGTATTGTCTTGATCCGTTTCGTCCTCCAAATGTATAGATGTTGCCTCGGGCAAAGACAGAGGACATAAAGTATTTGGTACGATATAGTCCCTCATCTTGCAGCTAGATTGGTGTCCAATTGAGTGTCTTCATGGAGAAAGACGAGAAACCCTTATCACCCAGTGTTATGAACTGGCCACCATACTCGTGTCTAGGGTTGCCATCATCAATGAGCTCAAAGCACCATTCAATCTGCTTCTTGATACCTTTGAACATCTTATCATCAGTGATGCGTAGTGACTTTGGTTCTACATCATAAGGTGTATTCTTCATGTGTTTGTTGTGATGATAGATCATTGACAGTGTTGACATTGTTGTCGTTGTTATTGACACTTCCATGGTTACGAGAGAATAGTACACTCTTGTTAGTGAACTCATCGATTGATGTACATGCTGCTATTGTTTGAATCAATTGTAATATGTCCTCTTCATCTTGATTGTTGTTGTTGTTGTCAGTATACTCCTTGTAGTTGTTAATGATATGATTGATATGTTCGATCTCATTGATGATATCATTGATTGTTGATTGAATGTATAACATTTGTTGATTGATCGGTGTCTTTACTCGATGCTCTTGTGCCATCATCACCTTGTTCAAAGTGATCACTTATCTCTTTATGTGTCTGTTGCAATGATTGATAGGTATTTGAACAATGTTGAAGTGTACTCCAAAGATGAAACAACTTGTTTCTTGATGTACACCATAATGATTCTTTATCCGTCTCCTTGATAGACTGTTTGATGTTGACAATATTATTAATCTTATGGCCATCATGTCCCTGCAACAAACAATCAGGGCATAACAACAGATTACAATCGTAACATATATTATCAGACATCCTCTGATGTGAGACACAACTGATTGATATCAATTCTTCATTATCGTTGTCCATAATATATATATATATAAATTATCTCTCTCAACTATGACTATCCACCAAAAGTTGATTCAACAGGTAATGATGATGTTCATCATGACACACCATTTTTAACTCGTCCGTCTGTCAACAGAAGGCAGATTAAACCAATCTTACTAACTTATTGTCATACATATCTACACACATATACATATACAAATACATACATAGAATAATGGGATTATCTGATAGACTATCACATATAAAGATAAATAGTGAACAAAATAAGATTATTGCTGATGATCTACAGAAGCAAGATAAGAAGTCTACAACTACCACAACCATATCATTGCCAAAGGAAGATCATACTGCTGAAGACTGTGGCACATGTACACTGTTGGGTGTCTCAGAGACAAAGAATCAGATGTTCCAATTCATGAACAATCCAGGCGCTGGTAGTTCCTCAGCGTCAACTTCAAAGGGAAATCAGTCGTCTGTGACCAACAGCAATAGCAGTAAGAGCAGTAAACAGGAGGATCAAGCATTTTGGGAACCAATGGATGAGCCTGTTGATACGATCGAACTTGGAAATAGTGGATGGAAACTATTACATACTATCGCGGCTTACTATCCGGACAAGCCAACGACACAGAAACAGCAACATACAAAGTCATTCCTAGAGTCGTTCTCACACGTCTATCCTTGTCAAGTGTGTGCCAAGGACTTTCAGGAGATCCTGGTTGCGACACCTCCGCGTCTGAACAACCAACACGAGTTTGCACAGTGGATGTGTGAGGCACACAATCATGTCAACAACCTACTTGGCAAACCATCATTCGATTGCGATCTCGTCGACAAGCGATGGAAGAGAAATAAGCCACCCAATCAAGCTGGTGGTGGTGATGGAGGTCATTAATTAATTGATTGATCTGATTGATTGATTGATTGATTGATCAATTGATATGTACATACCAAAGTTGACGATAAAATGACGAAGAATAGTTTACCGATATCCACAATCCACATATCCAAGAGACATGTCATGTTTCCAGTAAAGCAGGACTGAGAAGATGTCATTCCTTATCACAACGGAAGTGTATTCTTTGCCATCCTGTAGACCTAGGTCGATCACCAACACATTGTGATGTGATGTGTGTCGGATTTTTGATCACTCTCACTTTCTTTTGATGGTTTTAATTCATGCAGGACAGTCTCTGTAATCCAGGGAGAATGGTGTTGTAATAGTTGTAAGGTTCTTGAGTATAGGATATGGTATTAGTATGATTGATTTAAATCAATGTTAACATCCACCGGTATTTATTTATATTGATCATCACAGTGTTAGTGAGTTAGATAGTTTCTTATTTATAAACAAATACAATTTACACAAACAAATATATACTTGTGTACCAAATAAGGATATCAATACTATTTATAGAAATATTATATTACCAAAATGAGCCATCATTACCATCATCATCATCACCGCAAGTCAACCTGTGTAGCCTACCTTCTTTGGTTCTTCTTTGGAATATTCGGAGCACATAGATTCTATCTTCGTAAGTTAATCACGTAACAATTATTTCTCCAATCCGATCAATTAATCTAATATTTATTCATTATCCATTATACATCAAACAGATAAGAATGGATCCGGATTTATATATTTGTTCACATTGGGAATATGTGGCATTGGATGGTTGGTTGACTTGTTCTGCTTGAGAAAGATGGTGAAGCATTATAACAAGCATCACTTTGCTGATGAGACTTTGATTGTTGCTCCCGCTCCAATTATGTACCACAACCAACAACCATTTGAACAATATGCCTACCCTCCACCACAAGTCCAACAACTTCCATACGGTGTCCAACCACAACAATACCAGCCATACCAGCCAATGATGAGCCCATATGGAACCATGCCAATGCAGCAGCCACAGCAGCCCATGATGATGATGCAGCAGCCCCAACAGGGTATGATGATGCAGCAGCAACCTCAACAAGGAATGATGATGCAGCAACAACAGCAGCAACAACAACCACAGGCCATCCTCCAACCAGGACAGTCGTCCATGGGTCAGATTCCAAAGGTGATGCCATAAGTACACTATATTAGGTACTAGATATAGGATAGGGTATGGCTAGGCCTTAGCCAGGACATCCAGAGACATACCCGATTGTAATAAATAGGGTGTTTTACTTTCGATCAACAATCAATCATTGCAATCACTTCTTCTCCTTGAGTCTGTTGTTCAGAAGTGTTTGGAAGGATGCTGATGGCGTGAAGTAGATGTTGAAGAGTGCCAGCAAACCTGGACAGGCCTGTTTGATCGATGTCGTGTCCAGTGTCGCTCGGATCACGTTGCTATGTGACTCCAATGCATTGTACATTTCCACTGACTTTTGAAGGTATTGCTTTGAGTGCAGTCTATCAACGATTGCCTTTTGATTGTCGTCGTAGAAGTGATACCTTCCTTCAACTCTCTGTTCAATCAACTCTATTGGTGTCTTGCAGTAAATGATTGAGTTGCCACGTTCTGCACTAAGTCCATCAACCAACATTGTCGTTGCTTTGATCAATCGATCATCTCCACGCATCAGTGCACTATATATAACCGAGCTGATTGGTGAACGATGTACAAACAACATATCATTCTTTAGTTGTTGCTTTGACTTTGATTGAAGGTTAGTAAAGCATGAATGAGGGTATGATTGATCTGACTGACTGGCTGACATACTTTGATTATCTCTGTTATCCTTTGCTCAATGAGTTGATCCCAACTGCTTTGAAGTGATGTGATTGATGTAGAGACATCGGCACCATTGTGATCAAGACTGAATGATAGGAATGGTGTGCAGAGTGTTTGATAGCCAAGCTTGTCGATCCTCTCAAGAAGCTGTGCTTTGCCCGATCCACTTGGACCCTCCAAGTAGACAACATGTGGTTGTTTCCTCGTTGTTGTGATATCATGATGATACTTTATCAATCTATCGTTTGGTTTGAACCAATCCTTCTCCACCTCCTCATTCTGTTGTCTACCCTCTGTCGAGTTATTGCTATTATTTGAAGTGTAGTGACGTGTTGTAGTGCTACCAACAACTCTATTAATCACCAACTTTGTTGTTGTTGTTCTTAAGCCAATTATAGAGTACATCTTTAGTTTGATGTTGGCAAAGGAGTGAGTGAAGATGAAGTTGACAACAACTTGGGCAGTTTTATTTAGTTTGGTTTGAAGTCTCGAGAATGAATGACATCAATCAAATGTCATTGATCTAGTAAACGGTCTAGACTCGACTAAGGTTACAACGTCAACACTGATAATCGATCATCATCAAGGTTACAATCATGTTGATTCAATCACTCGTTCACTGATGAGGACATGTCTCTCTCGATGAGAACAACAGTGATTTAATGGAATCAAGATCACCATGATGTCAAAGTCGTGAATAAGGAAAGAGGATAAAGGTAAGTTGTTGTTGGTTGGTCAGTTACTTTAGATGAACCGAGAGATACCCTATCCAAATCAATCAATTAATTAATTAGAATAATAATCTGATTCAGATCACTCATTCATTCAATAATAACATAGTATGTACCCTATCCTATGGTATGTTAATCATTGATCCAATAACCAGAAGAGTTCACCGATTGCGAGCAGAGTGGACAATCTGTACTAGCCAGTCAGTCCGTATGTCGCCACTCATGTACGTTGTTAGTACTAACAGCGGATTCATTGATGGCGTGCCATTTACACCTGTTTGAAGATTGAGAGGCACTTTCAGGACTTTGCCTAGGCAAAGACATCTTGATAAGATGGACCGGTAGCGAGCACTACTACCACCATGGTAGCGTGGGGCACACCAGGTAAGGCCTCACCTTGTCCACTCTCCCCAAGTGATATAGTGCGTGTGCGAGTTCTAGGTCTTTCGTTCGGTTGGCAAAGTTCATTGACAGTGTGTGGACACCAAAACTGCAAATAATTGAGCGACCTCACCCCTTTTTGGACAACTTGACAAGATCCAGTGGTTAGTTCATTTCCTTTTTTAGATAGTTGTCTTCAAACTAACACTATACAATTTAATATATATCAACTTTGAGTGTACTTGTGTGTATGAATGTGTGAATATCCTTATTTACTAATAATATAATTATCCTCAACTTATCAATCATTTGTATATTAAACATTATTATTTGTAATCAATCAAACATATAATATAATATTTATACATATACATAAGTATTTAAATTAAATTAACAACACTAATATAATATATACTATTTAAACACAAGAATGTCATCACTATTATCAACACGTACTCAACAACAACATGTCACTCGCCAGACTCAAATTGAGACTGGTGTAGCCCAACAACAACAAGTACAACAACCACAACAAGTACAACAACGTAGACATATTACATTTAATGAGGCTTTCAAGTCTATGTTCCCAGCAATTTTTGCTGTTGTATTATCTATTTTGGCATTGTCCGCAATAAGAAATCAGGATTCATTATTGTCATTGTTCTCATATAAAGGCAATCTTGGATTCTTCCCCGACCACAAGACAACCGACCCACTGCTCAACACAATTTCCAGACCAGAGATATTTGTTGCCAATCCAAGAATGCCCGACTTTGACAGAGAGGCCTATGAGAAACTGGGTGCTTTCACTTCTGGAATCTACTGGGAGACCAAGGCCAGACTGGAGGAGATCGAGAGGAAGAAATGTATAAGCGAGCAACAACAATTGGATGCTGCCACCAACCCAGAGTATGAGCAACTTGGTGCTAAATGCAGTTCTAGCTACTGGGAGAACAAGTACCGTTTGAAGGAGAGGTTGGAGAAATGCCAACAGGCCTAAGTACTCTCTTGACCATCATGTTGTATGTACACTAAATGTAAGAAGTAGTAATAAACTTAATTACATTATTATATTACTACTTTTGATAAATATCTTATTTGTTTGTTTTTTTGGGATGGAGGTAGTATTTATTATTAATCACCAACCAATGTTTGTAATTTAAAATCTGATTATTTCGAGAGGGACTTATAAACAGATATAGAGATAAAAAAAAAACTACCCGATTTTTTCTAGACATAAACAGAATAAAGAAGTCGGCAAATTTTGAAGGCTCTTTAGTTGAATGGTACAATATTATCTTAGGGTGATAGTGGTCTGGGTTCGATTCCCGGAAGAGCCCAATCCTTTTGTGTAAGCTGGTCCTGGGAGTTTGGTAACAGGCGCACATTTTCGTTTTATCAATTGACAACTTGTCGGTCGCTAACAATGCCACCCAGCAAGAGCCTTGAACGTGAGATCATTGAACATAGGTTGGGCGCCTAACTTCCAATGCCTAGAGATGTATGACCGGACAATGCACTTTAAGTATGCAATGGATATAGTAACTTGATGCATATGCATAGGCGCTTTTATTAAAACAAACAATCTCCATTGTCTGTATTACTTCTTGGTAGTTTTCTTGTTGTTTGTTGATTTGGTAGACGATTTGGACGATGGAGATGTTGGCGAGGTGGCTGTGGTCGAGGTCGGTGAAGTTGGAGAGGTTGCAGACGACTCTGGATCGAGATACTGCTTCCTAGGAAGGGGAATTGGGATGCTTGGAGATGGAGTGATTGGTGGAAGTGGCTCATCCAAATCTGCCAAAGTCTTCTTATAGGTTGTTGGCAAGGTGGGGTATTTCTGTTGCTGATAAGAGTTGGCAGAGGAGTTGTACGATGGTGCCATGGACGATGACGACGATGTCGTTGTGGTAGTGGTGATCTTTGGCATCGAGAGTAGATCATTGTCGTTGCTGCCATAGTCATTGCCATAAGAATGATCACCCTTGATTGTAGGACCGTTGTTGTTGTTTGAGGCAAGGCCGTGAGGCTCATCATAGTTGAACGATGACTTCATGGCAAAGGATGGAGCGTCGGGGCTGTGGCCAAATGAGGAGGCATCGTTGAAGCCAGAGAGCGACTTGGGAATGCCAAATGCATCACCAAATGGACTCGAGCTGATTGGTGCCTGGTGCAGCTGAGACATATTCAACGAGTTGTTGTATGAAGGTGGCTCCTCAAATGTTCTTGGAATCTGTGGATAGAGTGATTCAGTCAGAGGTGTCTTGATTGCCTGATCCAATTGTTTCATCAATTCCATCTCTGTCTCTGTCTCTTGTTCATCTTTCTTGCTTTGATCGACCATATTTACAAGTTCCACAGTGTTATCGTCACTAATGATAATGATCAATGTTAGGTCAGGGTTGATTGCGCCACTCAACAACCACTTCAATCAACTTCTACTTACAAGTCAGGACGTGGAGAAGAGATGTTTGATTTCTTCTTCTCTATCTTGATGACCTCACCGATAGGGTAGTCCTCATCAAAGAAGGAGAGAGAGTCTGGCGATGGTTTGTAAGACGATGAGTTCCTAAAGGAGAACTGAGTGTTGCCCCATATTGGTCTAATGTCTTGGCTATGTGTTGTGATCTCTACATTGAATAGCCATCTAGCCTCGGTATCTTGTAGTACTTCTTGGTTGCCACTATTCTTCTCCTGTTGATTGATTGATTGTGTGGTGAGTTATGTGTGTGAGCGTGGTGATCACTGTCGTCATGACGACAAAGGGTGAGATGAGAAGACTTACAGAATATGGTATTGTTGAGCTCTTGTACTCACCAGACCTTGATCGCCTGCATACGTCCCACTCATAGTCGGGAGTGAGTTGGACGCACAATGTGTTTGGATCGACGTCTTGAGAGGTTGGCGCCTGTGGCTTCAACTCATAGAGTACAAGTTGACCATTCTGATTCACAACAAAGAGTCGCTCGAGATCCTGTGAGGATGTTTCAAGGAAGCAACTGCTACCAGCTGTGATGTTTGATGGTGCCTTGAGCTGACCTGTCTCCTCTGCTGGTATATTTCCCAGCTTAATTCTATCCATAGCTGTCAGTGTTTGAAGTTGTGGCTGTTGGTGTGTATGTGTGAGAGAGGAGTTAGAGTTGCTGTAGCCCAATCAATGGATGGAGGTATTACCAACACTTACATGTGCATTTGGTATCTCGGACATGTAGTCTCTTGGCTTGGTCTTTATGTTCTTGGAGATATGTGTATGAATGTTAACATCACCTCCCAAAGGATTCAATGCATAGATATCTATAATGAATGTCAATGTCAATGTCAATGTCCATGTCAATGTAGTGTCCTGTCAATCAAAACATACGTGTAGTTCCTCTGGATGTTGTTAGGGCTGCCCACTTTGATGTGTCATTGATTGAGATACCTTGGATTGAGGCATTGGTGATACCTCTCTTCAACACATAGATGTGTCTGAATGAGTGAGTTGGGTCAAGCGAATGGTTCTGAGGCGAGACCGACAAGGAGTTTGAGAATGGAATGATTTGATATACATTGATCTTTGTACCCTCTGTCGATGAGGTGAATAGCTAGAAATGTCATTTGGGTGTTAGGTTGATGGATAGACATTGTAATGTATAGTATACATACCAAAGTTCCACTTGGATCAAAGGTGAGATAGGAGATTGGTTGGGAATGTGGAGGTTTGATCACAGCTACTTGTCTTTGTTTGATAAAGTCATAGATGATGATCACACAGCCATTGTCAAGTATGCTCTGTTCTTGTGGCGATGATGATAGGACGGGTGATGTGTCGTCTGGGTAGAGATAGCTTGACACCTTCTTTCTACCAATATCTCCATAGTAGTAGATCTTCTGAGCCATTTCTTTGGCCAAGTCGGTGGCCACATCGACAGCTGCATCGCCAAACGTCTGATTGTTCTGCTGGTATGACTTTAGATGCAGATAGGATGAGGTGGACGAGGGGGAATGCGTGGCCTGGTACTCGGTGTAGGCGATCCAGCGGGGACCTAGCGCCACCGAGCCCATCGGCGACACCGAGGGGAAAGTCGACAGCGAGAGCACCTTGGACATGGTGATTGGGTTGAATCCAACGATCTTCTCCTTGAGAATCACCAAAAAGATCTTGTCGTTCGACACGATGTTGTAGACGGGCGACTGAAACTTGAGGTAGGAGAGGTTGAACTCGCAGGTCTTTAGCGAGTAGATGCGCACCATATTCCTCGTGACCTTTGAATTGTCCTCGCCACTGACCACGGCCAACAATGGTCGCTTGCCATAATACATTGAGGATGGTGATTCCTTCTCAGAGGGCGTTGCCAACACCTTGGCGAACCTGATCATGCCCTCCTTGAGTGAAAATATCTCCTTCACTCCTTCTGGATTATCCAAGTCCCATATCTGTAATCCATTCGTATAGCATACATTCAATAGTTTATGTCTAAGTAATGTTGTTAATGATGATGTTAATGATCAAAGTAAAGTGTAGTCGTGATTGATGATGACCAGTCTTACTTTTGACCCAAGATCTCACATTCATCAAAGTGAGTACTGACGATTGTATCCTTCTCGCCTTCGATAGTTGATGTCGTTGTATATATCTGTTTCTTTATAGTTGTCTTTATACTTGATGGTATATATGATGATATGCCCTGCAAATATCCACTGAGTACTGATTGATTTGAAGAGTTTGGTTTCTCCTCAGCCTTCATTCCTCCATATGATATATTATACATTGTCTTATTTGTTTGTTTGTTTATATGTTTATATGTTTCTATGACGATCGAACTGATGTATATATAAAGTATTTACAAGTTTGTTATATATATATATATTGTATTATAATGTACAAGTTTGTATTTCTCACTGTCTATATGTCTGTGTCTGTCTTCACTTCACTTCACTTTGTACTTGATGATTGAATGATGATGATAAAGTAAAAGTAGAATATAATATATATATAAAGTAGTAGTAGTATTATGTGTATGTATATGTGTGTGAATGAAGTAATGGTGTGAGTGATGATGTAACTTCTATTTGAGTGTGAATCAATAAACACCTCTCATTCTATCTCTCTCCCAAAGATTATCATAATAATAATAATCAAACAATTAAAATTTTAAGTTGTGTGTATGTGTGGGGGTGAACAAGGGAAACCCCTCCACCTTGACTTCTAAAGATGGGTTGTCTTCATTCAATTTCATTTCACCTTCATTTCGTGGTCAACAACAGCATCAACTTTGTGATTATGATGATGTCCAATGATTGTTGATAACAATGGACTTGTGTAGTTGGGATTGATTCCAATGGTACTCTTGAGTAATTCTACATATTCATGTCGATCTTGTTCGTTTGGACATGACATCATCACCATTTGAATCACTTGACACAGTCTTTCAATTGACATTGATGCCGATCCCTTCTCCTCCATCAATTCAATGCTGCTACAACACTCCTTCTTAAAGAATGTCACTGAAAGTTGTTGATGAATGATCTCGCTCTTGTTGTTGTCTTTGTTGTTGAACAATATTTGCATCAGACATGAGTGTAGTCTACTGTGGAATGGTTCAATCACTTCAAACTGTTCATACAATGGTCCAATCACACATAGGCGAACTACTGATTGTAGTATGTTCAGTCCTCTGTTGTTGTCGTTGTCATTGTCGTTGACCAATAACATAGATGGCTTGGCAGCAATCCAATGATTAACTACCAATGACATTAGCTTTGGTAGTAACACTTCAGCATTGGGTAGTGTGGCTTAAAGTATGGTTGTCAAAGTTAGTAACTGAGTGTTGTTGGTATACCAACTACAACAACAATAACAACATACTCTTTGTTGATCCAATGTAGTCTGGTGAGAATATAACATGAAGGATCTGAAGGGCCAATGGTTGACAGTGATGGACCAGCTGCTCAAAGGCATTGGACTCACTCAGTACCAGATGATCAATCAATAGTTGATTGGTAAGGTATCGTAGTACATGCCAGTTTGTTTCCGTCGACCAATCATTGCCATTATCATTGTCAATGTCGTTGCCATAGTTGTTCAATGATGGAAGAGATTCATGTTTCATCTGCACCTCCTCAACTTGTTTGTTAAGTGTCCAWTTGCAATTGAGGCTTTGATCGTTGTTTGTAATAATGTATCCATTGTGATGTCATTTGTAGTACATTGATCATCTCGATGCTCAATGAGAAGGACACAATCGATCCAAGGTATCGCAGTATGTTCTATGTAGGTGGTTTGGAAAGGGAAGGAGGTGTCATTCACCGGGGCGAGGCATGTGTGTCAGTCTAAGGTACATGGTCGTCACATCACAATTGATATGGCACTCTCTCTATCTCTCTATGGTCATTCATAAACTGTACATTAACTATATGGATGTGATCGTGACTTGATGTCCAGGTGAGTGGTGCCAGCAACATGTGGAAGACTACTCTTGTCATTGGCAGGCTGTTGTCTCTCTCAAAGAGGTTGGCAAAGAATATAATCGACTCCATCCTCTCTGCCGAGTCCTCTGGCCTATTGATGGCATACTCATATAGCAACCCTACAAACACTTTGATTGATAGATTGATTGATCGTTAGGAGTGAGTGGATGTACTCTCCCTCCTTCTATCATCATACATACTCCATTGTGAGGACATGTCATTATTGTTGTTGTTTGATAATACGTTGAATAGTGTAGAGGTGAGGTCGTCGTCGACTTGGTCATTGGTGATGAGTGTTGAGAGATGAGTGTTGTTGAGTATGAACATGATGAATCTTAGTGAGTCATCGACTGAGTTATGTCCATTGAGTAATATCAGTAATTGACATAGTTCATCACGGACATGTGTTGTTGATGATGTGACAGGTGATGATGTTGTTGTTGAGGATGATTCATTACTACTGCTACTACTGCATATGTTCAACTTTGATAACTTTTGTACAAGTAGTTGTTTGGATACTACAGTTGATGATGATGGTGACTTGTCAGTGTCCAACAAGAATGTCTTGAATATATTATTGAATGAATGTTTGTCTAATAATGATGATGATGATGATGATGATGACGAATGACTATCATTGTCATGATCGCCAACCTGTCTACTCAAAGATGTTGGTGATGTTATCGAATGATGCTCAACACCAATACTATCCTGTTGTTCATGTTCTCCCTCCTCTAACTCATCCATCATGTATGTGTCTATAACTTTATATAAGTATGATTGATCAATCAATGAATGAATCTCGAGTAGAAGTTCAAAAGTTAGATTGGAAGTTCATTTGAATCAAATGAACTTGTGATTGATACACTATCTGGTACGTTATATATAACCTTTAGTTTGTTATCATAATATATTATTATTATTATTATTATTATTACCAAGGTTCAATAATGGCCTTCCCAAAGAATAAATGTAAGTTGGATAAAGGTGGACAATTTACTTGATCATTGAACTTTATAAGGTACATGTACAAACAATATGAGTCTGTAATGGAGAGAGTGAAAGTGTCAGCGTCTGAATACCTTGGTATTCCAACCTTGTATTGGAGTTGATCATACCAATGATGTTCATTTTTAAACGCGAGATTAGCCGACATTTAATCAATTAGCCGAAGATTAGGTAAGTCAGTGTCTGACTGTCTCTATGAATGGATGGTGAGCCAAATGTTGATGTTGTTAACTACAACATTGACATATCAATCAATCAATCGTGATTGAATTAAGTGATTGATAACTGGGTTGACTATTAACCAATAAATATCCAATCTACATTGATCATCATCCACTAAGCATCCATGTCATGACCTAGTATGGGTTGTCAAGTAGACATCACTATCATTACCTTCGTCATCCCTCTTATTACATCACATTGTCTTAAAAGTACACCACAATCAATCATTCTCTCAATCAAATATCGCCCACACATACACACAAACCCCATTATTGATCACCTGATTGTCACACTAACAATCACTTGACAATCTGTTATCTGATCACATTCACACACACATTAATACAAAGAGATACAGATACACTTAACACTTAATGCGTGTCATTCAATCAATCAATCAATCAACTATCACCCACTACCATACCCCATCACATTCCACGTCCATGTCCATGTCAATCCAACAACATTCCCATCATTGGTGTTATTAATACTTATAGGTTAGGTGAATTTCGATCGATGTTACGTTGTATCTTCGATCCTTCATATACTTAGAGTGTCAATCAATCAATCAATGATGACAATGTGTGTTGTAGGATATGTTAATATTAAAATGACATGAACATGACTTGACATGACATGGCATGACACGACGTCGGTCGCTCCTGCCAGCCCACCCATCACTACCCCCTCCCCCGTCGACGTCTGGAATGACTGGCAACGTTGGAGATCACGTCGGACACTTATTGTTTGGTTAATGTATAAAGATTGGAGCGATTGATGGGCATCTCCAAGCTCACCTGGATCTCATATGCTTTGACTACCATGATCATAATGATCACTTCCCCCCTCCCTCCATCAACCCAAGGATTGATTGAAAGAGTTGATCATCATCATATTGTCATCATTCACCAATCACATCCTTCCTTCCATCCATCCATTCATACTTTACTGCCGCCTTACCCTGTTCACATCACCAATATGCATGACATTAATACTACACACGTCACTCGACGAGCGGTCGATGACACCAGCGAACATTAATGTTAACAAACAAAAGACGGGCTATGTCCCAATGATAACACGACCTCTATATCATATCTGGTATCATAATCATAGAGTGTCTGACTTCCATCCCTACTCTACCCTACCCCCACGCCACTGACTGTTATGCTTGCCAGTCAATCAGTCAGACCATCCATCTGGCATGGCCAACAGCGAGCTAAATCAATATTAAAAATAACAACACATAGTAGTCACATGCTTAAGCATGACGTCTGTCTGTCCACAGCCACCCACACTGTCTCTCTGTGTCTGTCCAATCAACCCAAGCTGTCTCCATCCTCAATCCATTCTCTATAAATATAAGACCAAGCAGGCATTATTGATCATTCATTCAATCAAACATTCAATCAATCAATCAATCAAATCATCAATCATCTCAACATCAATCATCTATATCAACTCAATAATTTATTTCAATTATTATTATCCTCATCCTCTAACTATTTATTGATATAAATCGATCACCTTTATTATTATATTCATACCATCAATCAATCAATCAATAATGAAATTAATTATTAGTTGTATTTTAATTGTAGCCTTGTTCCATTTGGCATCTGCCAAGCGTTCGAATAATATTCCAAGTATGTATTAACATCAGTGATCAATCAATCAATCAATCAATCAAAAATAATAATACTAACAATCCAAAAGCATGCCGTGACTTGGGAGAGGATGAGTGTAGAGCTTCAGATTCGTGTTTTCTGGCAAAGGGCAAAGAGTGTTGTGGCAGTGTCCAAGTTGATTGTCTGAGAGTCCCACCAACATTGTGTAACACCAATGCCACACGTCTGAGATGGTGCACAATGGGCAAAAAGAACCAGATCTTTGAGTACTTTGCCAACCATATCGATTGTCTCCCAGAGAATAACCGTGACTTCTTCATTCCAAATGGTATGTTCCATCCGTCCACCACCACTCGCCTGGAACCACTCCACTCATACTAACTCGATCAATCATAAATTTCCAGACAAGACATGCAAGGACATTAAGGGCTGCCCAGACAAGTTCAAGTGTTTGGACCCAAATCCAAAGGAGGATATTAGATGCAAGAACAAGAACGGTAGCATGTGCTGCAACTACAAGTCCATGTGTGTCTACACTGGTATCTCTGCTACTGCCGGAACCCCCACTACTACAATTCCAACGATTGATTCATCGTCCGCTCCAACCATCGATCCAATTCTTTCGATCAACATCTCCACCTCGACCACACCAGTGAGCAAGCCAACACCATTGATCCCACCAGCATCTACCCCAGCCACCAAGCCAGCCGTCCCAATCACCAAGCCAGCCGTCCCCAAGTCAACACCCAAGCCAGCCACCAAGCCATCCTCGCCCTTTAAAATCACTCCACTGAACCCCAAGAGCTCCACACCAGCCGCCTCGACTGATCCAGCTGCCGGCTCCGCCTCGGGCACACCAATCGTGATCCCAGCATCTGCTCAACCAGGCTCTTCCGAGGCCCCAGAGCCCAAGTCCTCAGCTGCTCCATCTACAACCCCAGCCAGTGAGGCACCAGCCAGCGAGACAACAAGCGAGGCGCCAGCCAGTGAGACAACAAGTGAGGAACCAATCAGTGAGGCACCTACCAGTGAGGCAACAAGCGAGGCACCAATCAGTGAGGCACCAACCAGTGAGGCAACAAGCGAGGCGCCAGCTAGTGAGACTACCAGCGAGGCACCAACCAGTGAAGCAACAAGCGAGGCACCAACCAGTGACACAGCTGCCAGTGATACTACAGCCCAAGATTCAGCTGGCGCATCTGAGTCCTTCTAAACAAGCGATATATAGTCTTTACATGTAATACTATTATTATTATTATTATTATTCATATCCTGTATCCACACCACCTGCACGCATGCATTAGCTTAGCAAGGTCCGTGACCAATAAATTATAATCATATCTTCATCATCATCATCGTCGTACATTGTTCGCTCATTCTTGGACTAGTCCTCGACATTGACATCATTGCGATCGTTGCCATCCTCATGATCTTCTTCTTCGTCATCGTCTGATGATGTGTGTCGCGCCTTCTTTGCCTTTCTTCGTCGTCCAGCTTGAGCTGCTGCACCTCTCCTCTTGTTGGGAGTCTCTGCAGGCTTCTCCTCCTCGTCGTCATCCTCATCGTCATCCTCAGATGTGATCAATGGCTTTGGTGTTGTCTTCTGATGTCCACCTCTACACGTCGGACATTTGTGTGGATAATGTGGATTCTCCTTGAACTTGTCCAACATTGCCTCTGATATATTATCGCATTTGGCATGTGTCCATCTCTCACAATATCCACATTGAATAGTTGGTCCCTTCTCATTTGGCTTTATAACCTTCCTACATACTGTGCAATACTATTTGATTGATTGATCAGTCAGTAAGTCTGATCCTGGATCCACTTCACTTCACTCAATCAATCGATCTGATACATACTCTTCGATCATTGATTAGTTGAGCACATGTCTCACATGATGTATAGCTGCCTTTCCACTTTCCAGATGGACCTGGAGTACGTGTACCACAATGGACACAGAAGACACAGTTGTTGCATCTCCATCCACCAGTTGGTGCCGAATCCATTGGTGGATTCAAACAGAATGTATGATATCCCTTGTCGCAGACATCACAGAACAACATCTTCTCCTCATTTCCAGCGTCCTTACATGTCTCGCACAGTTTGCAATCCTATCGTTGAGTGATTGATCAGTCAGTCTGCGAATGATTGATTGAATGTTTGAATGATGTACATACAATACACTTCCATGTGTTTGACTTCTTGATTGTCTCAATGGCAATGTTGGGAAGTTGAAGACACTTGCCGTGGAAGCTTCGAAGACAGCTGACACATTGTAGCAGATGATCTTTGATGTCGCTTTGTGAGCATGTCTCGCAAGTGCCAGTCATGGCAATGACTGTGGACTTTTTGATGTCAGAGAGAAGTGCGGGCGTAGACGGCATGGTCGGTGGCACGCTGTTCTGCTGATCAGGGGTCTCTGGCTCCTCTGGATCGGGTATCGTGCTGAGATCGATCGGTGGCAGATTCTCAGTCAGCTCCCTGATGCGCCTCTCATACTCGGCGAGCTCATTGTCGAAGCGCACCTTGTCGTTGGCGGACTTGTCAAAGTAGGGCTGTCTCTCCTCCTTGGTCAGCTCCTTCCAGCGCGAGCCGAGCACCTTTGAGATGTCGATCTGGGAGAACTCTGGCTGCAGCCTCTTCTCATTCTCACGGTTCTCGTTGAGAAAGTGGAAGAAGGGTGTGACGCTTGACTTTGGTTTGGGGATCTTGTCCTTGAGGTCCTGTATCTCGCGTTCGCGCAGCTGTTTGGCAATCTCCATCTTCTTGGCCTCCTTCTGCTTGGCCTGTTGCAACTTTGCGATCTGCGCCTGCAAGTTCTGAATATCATGTTGCTTCTGCAAGTACATATTCTTGTGATTTGCCAATCCTTGAGAGTAGTTACTGAACTGCTTCTTCTCCAATGGTGTCATAGTGTTCCAAGCATCCGATACATTAATATACCAACTTCCAATAACCTGTATCGTCTTTGTGTGAGGGTCGAACTGTTCATTCGTTCATTCATTCGAGTGATCAATCATTCAATCAAAGTCGGTCGTCGGTTGGTCGGTCGGTTAGTCAGTAAGTGAGCACGATCAATCAATCAATCAAACATACATAGTATGGATATCTCTCTTGACGCTCGAGTAAGAACCACATGTTAAAGTCTGAAGCGTTCTTCTCTCTTGCTCTCTTTTGCTCGGCGGTGAGGGGCCCGGTCGGGAGAGGCCCCATGAGTATGGGCTGCTGAGCATGTTGTTGTAGTTGTGCTTGCTGTTGCTGAAGCATCTGGGTCTGCTCCTGCATCTGCATCTGCACCTGCTGTTGTAACATCTGTTGTTGTTGTTGCTGCATAATCTGTTGCTGTTGCTGCTGCTGCATCATTTGCTGCTGCTGCTGCATATGAGTCTGCTGATTCTGTATTTGTTGTATATTCTGTTGATATGCACGTCTTGTTGTCATTGAGTTTGTTGGAAACACCATCGTTGGCAAAGGCATATTCTCCCCGATAGCCTTAGTCGCCACAACTGGGCAAGTATGACCCTTCTTCAACTGTCCACATTTCGAGCAATAATAAGTTCCACCTCCAGGTGTATTTGATCCTTCTGTCATTCTATATGTTTGTGTATTTTTGTTATAAGTATGACGAATGAATGAATGAATGAATGAGATTGCTCGATTGTATTTGAAAATTTGAATTTTGAGATAAAGTCGTTGAACTTGAACTTCTTTTGAAATGATCACTTTTAACTTGCGCCCAACAAGGGTGGGGGGCAATGGGTGACTCACCTGATTGATGATTGTGTGATCCTCAATGCCATCCCCACTGATGGCATGCATCAATCAACTTCATCATCAAACATTACATCATTGTTGTTGTTTAAACATATAAATCATACATATATTATATACTTTAATAATTATATAACTATCAAATAATGTCTGTCATCAGATTGGTTCTCTGCTCATTCTACGCTGTCTTTGTTACAGTTTTGTCCACTGTCACTCTCCATCTTTCATCCCTAGGTCTTGCCAAGGTCGCACTTGTATGTATCCATTCATCATGAGTCGATTGATTGATTGATTGATTGATCGGTAGCCAACATCCACTCACTCACTCATTAACACTAATCAATCAATCACATGAATCAATATTATAGTTGGCCCAACCATTTTCAAAGGATTTCCCATTCATTAAGGACTTGGTCGAGCTGTCACACTCGTTCACATCGTTCACCTTTACTCATGTTTTGTTGTTCGCCGTCGTCATTGGTCTGTTGGCCACCAGCAGCAAGGTCTCTGAGACCCAAAGACCAGCCCCAGTCTACTCAACAAAGAAGCATAACTGATTCAATCCAACCATAATCAATCAACATCAATAAAATAGGTTAAGGTGAGGTTTATAAGCCTCACCAATCCATTATCCAATATCCATTATCCATTAACCAATTATGTTTACTCACATATCTTTGGACTGATCAATGATGAAACTGGATCTGATGACATGAGACTTGAACGTGCACATCTTGTTCCAATCTTCATCATCTCTTGTTCACTCTTGTTGTTCAGTATTCCATAGACTAGACATCCCACCATTGAGTCACCGGCACCAGTGACATCCACCAGTTCACTGTCAGTTACTTCAGGTGCCGCGTAATGTTGGAATGATTGTGTCTTGTCTGGTTTGTTCGTGATGACGTACACTCCATCTCTGCCAGCCTTGAGGAACACTGTTCCAACTCCAGCGTCCAACAACACTGCCGTGTGTTTCTTGAGTGATTGAATGTCCCTGGACTTAAAGTCTGCGCCTTGACAATTAGCCAGTTGTTGATGTTTTCCATTCTTGCAAATCTCCTTTGCCATCGCCAGTAGTTCATCGACGTTTGGTGATGTGTAGTTGACCGCCACTGGTCCTGATGTTGATGTGATCGCGAATAGTTTGGTAGACTTGTGTACACTGGTTGGTTCAAAGAATACTGGAATATTGTTCTCTTTACCGATGGACATGAGCAATGACATGGTATCCATTGGTATATTGCCATCGAATACAATCATCTTGCTCTTGGCAATATCTTGTCTATACTTTGTAATCTGTTGTTGTTCTGTAAGTATATTTGATCGATTGATTGGTTGAATGATGTTGATTGATCATACATATGTTGGTGTAATTTGATCGAATATGTCCATGATGGCAATTGCAACTTGTAATTCACCATTGTTCATGATGGCATTGTATGTGGCTGTTGACACATCATCCAACTTCTCCATGGCCCTTGTGGACTGTTTGATTGAATGATTGTTAGACCATGTATGATTGATTGATTGAACGGATACATACCAAACCAAGTTGATTGAAATGATCGATTATCTTGTGTGACTGGATGTCCTTGCCAACCAAGCTGACGAATAATGTGTTCATGTTTAGTCGATGGGTGACTTCGGCGATGTTCCTTCCAACTCCTCCAACCTTGATACTCATCGAACCTGGATTTGATGTACCCATTGTGAATGCAGTATTCTTGTGTGGATGTGACATCAAGTCTATAACTGCACCTCCAACTACGACCACATCAGCAATGGAAGTAGGCTGTTGGTTGTTTATGCCAATGGCGGTGGATGGACCACGCAGTATAGCCAACTGGGCAGCAATCTGTGATCCAATGACGGCATTACGTTTAATGAGATGGATGTTCGATTCCAATGATTGGCCACCAGTAAGTTCATTAACTCTCTTCAATAGATAAGGTGTTGTATCCTTTCCAGATATCTTGTTCATCCTGCAATTTGAACGATGTTAGTGATTGATAAGTCCATTGATTGAATGATTGACACGTACTCTGCCTCTTTGATTGCTTGCTCTATTGCTGTATCGATGTCTATCTTGTTGGGATAGTCGTTGGGCACTGCAATGACCATGCCACTTCCAAGTGTCAATTGATGATTGGTATGAATGACCTTGGCAATGGCCTTGGGCGTGTCCAGACGGTTAGGTGATTGGAACGCGCTGGTTGACGTAAAGAACGATGGGAACTTGTCAGATTGATAGGTGATCACCGTGACACCCTGTGTCTCCAAGTACTCTAGTGTCTTTCCAATGTCCAATATACTCTTGACACCAGCACACACGACTGCCACATCATTCTTGCCAAGCTCGGTGAGATCTGCTGAGATGTCCATTGTCACTTCGGCGCCACGATGCACTCCGCCGAGTCCACCCGTTACAAACACCTTGATTCCAGCCAGGTTGGATATCAGTATCGTTGCAGACACTGTGGTCGAGCCAACCAGATGATCCTGCGACACGACGACGGCCAGGTCGCGTCTCGATGTCTTGACCGCATGTTTACCAACCGTGGCGAGGTGATGAAGCAGTGCGTCGTCCAGACCAACACGAATAGTTCCATTGATGATTGCGATTGTCGCTGGCACTGCGCCATTCTCTCTGACAATGTCTTCAACTTGTTTGGCCGTTTGATAGTTCTGTGGATATGGCATGCCATGTGAGATGATCGTGGATTCCAATGCCACAACAGGTATATTATTGTTTAATGCATATCGCACTTGATCAGACAACTGAATAAGATTAGATAGATATGACATATCTTTGTTCAATGATGATGACGATGATGTCATTGATGTTGATGTTGTCAAAGATGCATCATGTTGATTTGTATTGATTAATAGATCACCTCCATAGAACAATCTATAAATGATCATAAAGAAGAATCCAATCGATATATATTTGAATGTTGTCTYCCATCTTTATCTTTATCTCTATCTCTATCTTATTTGTTCGTTCGCAAACTTTTAAGTTAAGTTCAAGATCATCGTGACTCGAGTGAAGGTGAGGGTTCGCGAACGACGAAACATTGGATTCGCGCAGACTAGACAACTTCAAGTTTATTACAAGTTGACAATGATGTCTTCTTCATACATTTGTCTTGTTACTCTTCTTTGATTGCCAGATGATGATGAGGATGAGGTATCAGTGGCTACACCAGCCTTCTTGACAAATGCAAATACACGGTATATTCTCAATGCCTCCCATTCGTCTTGTGAGATAGTGACCTGATCGGATCCGCTGTCAGTTGGCCAACACTTCATCTTGGTGAACAGGTCAAAGTTGTCGTGCTTGGCATGCAACTCCCTATTGATGAACTGGTGGAAGTCCTCTTCAAACACCAGCTCCATCTGGTACTCGCCCGCCAGCTGTATCAGCACATCCATGTGCACCAGGTACTCCTCCAAGTAGTCGATGGCATCCACCAAGAAGAACTTATATGCGCAACCAAAAGGAGCATAACTTGGCTGCTCCTCCTTAAACTCCACCGAGTAAATACTGTTGCCAAACTTGTTTGATCCTCCTTCCCTGCACTTCTTACTGTTTGGTTGATCGATCGAATGTTAATGATTGAGGGCGATAACTGATTGATCAATTGATTCTTACACAAAGTAACAAGCATCTGGAACTGTTCCAATGAATGTACCACCTTCAACAAGTAATGTTGATATGTTCTGTAGGAGGTGTCGGGCACTCTGTTCGGAACGGAAAGAGTAGTGAATGGCAAACTGACAGCTGACTAGGTCGACCATGGCCGAGCCAGGCGGCATCGACTCGAGCAGCTTTGGCGAGAAGCAGTCGCAACAGATAAGAGTCGTGTCAAAGTATAGTCCCTGCTTCCTCATCTTCTCGTTGATACGCGACATGCCCGCCTTGAGTGCCTCCAGTGAGATGTCGGCCACGTACAGACGGCCGATGTTCTGCTTGATCCATTTGAGCAGGTCGCCCAACTTGCCGCCACACACATCCAGCACGCGGTCGTTTGCGCGCGTGTGAAGCTGTATCATGATTGACTTGACCCAGTTGTTGATGTTCCTCATGTAGAGTATCTTGCTGTCGTCTCTCGTCTCGAGCGTGTTGGTCAGCGACTTTTGTGCATAGTGATCTGATATCGACTTGTTGACATCGCCATACTCTTGATTGGCAAACTGTGAGTCGTAGTCTCTGCCACCGCCMCCACCGCCATAAGGTTGATGACGCTGTCCATATTGTTGTCGGTTGTTATTGCTCCTCCATGCGCCGCCGCCGCCTCTACCTCTTCCGCCGCCACCATAGTCATTTTGATCGCCTCTATTATATGATTGTCTTCTGTATTGATGATCATTGCCACCGCCACCACCTCTTTGATTATAATGAGGTTGGTTATTATCGTATTGACCACGTTGATATTGATTCTGTACATTGTCTGTGTTGTTGTTGTTGTAGTTATTATAATTATTCTGTCTTCTCATGTTATAATCATTGTTGTTGTTGTTGTTGTTGTTGTAACGACCTCCACCACCTCCACCACCTCCTCTACCATAGTTGTTGTAATTATCATTGTTATATTGTCTATTATGTTGTTGTTGAGGATATTGTTGTTGTTGAGGATGTTGTTGTTGTTGTTGATATTGCTGTTGTTGTGGATATTGTTGTTGTTGACGATATTGCTGTTGTTGTTGAAAAGGTTCGTTCATATCTCTATTATCTCTATCTTTCTATCTATCTTGCAAATGAATGAATGAATGAATGAAATAACAAGTTGTTTGTTTGATGTGTGTTTGTTTATTTATTAATTGTTGTTGTAAGAAGGGTGGTCGATGATTAACTTGAAGTTTGAATAAGTGAGGAAAGTGGATGGATATCCAGAAGAGAGAGAGTTGGTTTGTCTTCTTGTTGGACTTGGTCCTGGCTTGGACATCCAAGTCTGGAGAAAGTCGGGTACTGATTGGGAAGAAACATCATCGAGATTGGTTGCTCATGGTAATACAAGCTGGATGATTGGAAAATGATCATAATAATTAGAAATATATATATATATATACAATATCATACATTTATTAACAGGTTATTATAATAATATAATATCCAACCGAATCGTGAGTGAATGTCAAGTTGAACTAGGTTACTGATCTTGTCGCATAACTTCTGGTTAATGGTTTGACAATTGAAGTCAAAAGGTCGGGCAGAGATGGTCTCGATGGTAAGTTCTCTATCATAATATTGTCCTTATCGTCATCGTCATCGTCATCATCGTCGTCATAATCATAATCATCGTCGTCTTCCTCCATTGTATCCTCCTCTTTGGAGTAACTACTATACAAAGCATCCTCATTATTCTGTTGTTGTTTGTTGTTGAAGTTATTAAAGTTGATGTTGTTGATGTTGTTGTTCATGTTGTTGGATATTTGATTGAATGAATAGTTGTTGTTGTTGATGTTGTTGATGTTGCTGTATGTACTCTTTGAATGTGTACACTCTGATAACAATACTCCACTACTCTCACTACTGCTACTCAAGTCGTCCAAGGTATGATAGGCGTCGGATGTAATGGCATTGTTCACCTCCTGATCTGTAACCGACAATACTGAATGGTCCACCTCACGCATTGGCAATGTGCCTCTCATCGATGTCCATGGATGTGACCTAATCTCCCTGATCGATATTCTTGATCCAGGATTCTTATCCATCATCCTCCTAAACAAGTCCTTCAAATCATCTGATATTGATCTTGGAAATTGAAGCCTGGATTGATTGATTGATTGAGTGATTGAGTGAGTGGACGCGCCAGACTGGACTGGACTGGACTGGATACATACTCTTGACACTTTATGTTCTCGTAGACCTGGTAGAGATTGTATCCTTCGTCATCGATGAAGTTGTTGTTGTTGTTGTTGTTAAGCATCAACATACTGTTGTTGAAGGGCGTGCAGGCAAATACAAGACAGTAGAGACTAACCCCCAAGGCCCAGACATCCACTGCCTTGCCTGATATAGATACTCCATTGTCTTCGATACATAACTCTGGTGCCAAGAATGCTGGACTTCCAGCAGAACTCTTCAGTACATCGTTGTACTCCTCTTGGAATATATGAGAGACACTAAAGTCTGTGATCTTGACCACGCCATCCTTATTGACCAACAAGTTCTCTGGCTTGATGTCCCTGTGTATGACCCTCTGTTCATGTACTAGATGTGGCGTTAGTCTCACGATCAATTATTCCATCAATAAACTACAAGTCACTTACGATATTCCAGACCATAGACTATGTCCCTAAAGTACTTCCTGGCCAGGTTCTCGGACATGCTGTGAGTGCGCCAGTCTGTGGTGGTCATGATTGAGCCACCTTCAATGTACTCCATCACAATGTATATGCAATCTTCGTCTGGATCATTGATGACCTCATACATCTTTACAACATTTGGATGATTCAACTTCTTCATTATCGCAATCTCCCTCATCACATCCTCATATCCATTAGCCTTGAATGGATTATTCATCCTCTTTAACTTTAACTTGCTTATTACTTTGATGGCCTGTGAGGTTGTCATGAGTGAGTGGAATGATTCCATAGTGTGAATGATTGGATGACCAACAGCCACTTACATAGAGTAGATTTGAATCCTTGTGATAACAAAGGTGTACCTTGCCATAGGCACCAACACCAATCCTTCGTACGATGACATATTCGTTGACAACCTTATAGCCAGTGTCCATATCACGTCCAGTCAATGCACGTATCGTTTCCTTTGTGCTTATCCTTGGAAGTCTGTTTGGAGTCACATTCTGTACAGCCATCTGTCCTCCACCAATCTGAAATGAATCGGTTGGTAATTGTAATGGTAATGGTGTTGTAGATTGTTGAGCCAAAGGTTGTGATTGTGATTGTGATTGAACCAATGTTTGTCCATGACCTTGTCCATGTCCAATGAGTGCAACATATTGTTGTTGTTGTTGTTGTTGTTGACCATGCTTTGTATGATGTTGTTGTATTTGTATGTTTTGTTGTTGTTTCTTCCTCCTTTGAGGTGATGACAATTTCTTTCTTCTCTTCTTCTTTGGAACTATTGTGGGCGAGTGGCTATTTAGACGTCTGAAGCTAAAGGTATCGATTGAGAACGATGGGCAATCAACATAATATCCACCATCCTCATGTTTGCTACAAAGACATCCCATTAGTCAACTACCGACTCTACACAGACACACTTAGGGTATGTCTTTGTCTTTATCCTTTGCTTCTTTTTTCAAATATATATAATTGAGAGATAATAGAGATAAAGATAGAGATAATTAATTTCTAGGAGGGAGATAGAGTGAATGATAGGGTAATAGTGAAGCAAACATACTATCACTAACTCAATTCAACATTAACACCACATACTCTACATCACCCATCCAATCAATCATCGACTAACAGGTCGACTCCCCACTTCTCACCATCGTCACTTGACCCACCAATCAATAGAGACAGTGTTAGACTGTGAATGAATGCATTCCGTTTGAGTTCAATCACAATCTCTCTCTCTCACATGCATACACACCCCACTTGACACAAACACACACAACACACACAATCCACACCAATCCAAAGAAAGGAATCAAAGACGCCTGTTTGAACTCTTGTTGGGCTAGAAAAGACATCATCTTACTCCATTAAATGTGAGAGCTGTTGCCCAATAATCTTACTCTCTTGAAAGTGGGTGATTCTTTGTCATTGATTGATTGATTGATTGATTGATTAGTTTACAACGTTTATGTTGGTTGGTCATAAATATCTTTACTAAAGTGGAGATGTGTTGATTATCTTTGCCTTCCTATGTGAGGCTCTTAGCTAATGATGATGTTTGTTTTGGGACAACAAAACAACGACAAAACACTGGTCAAGATCACCCAATCAATCAATCATTTAACACAAGTAGTATTAGTAGTAGTAATAGTACACACAGATCGAACGATCTTTAAAGAGCTATGTATCATCTTCAAAGACTACGAATCCCCACAACACAACTCTATCTTGTGCGTGGTGTTGTCTCAAGGACAAACCTCATCAACAACAACAACACACTCATTCAACAACAACAACACTTCTGTACAAATAACATCAACAACAACACAAACAATACAAACATAAACAATAATGAGGACAACAAGAAGGTTGAACTTACACAACATCAAAGAGATTTGATTGAACGTATAATTAGAGTGGACCATGCAGGTGAGTTTGGAGCCTCACGTATATATGAAGGACAGTTGGCTGTGTTGAAGGGCACAGCAGTGGAGCCTTTGATCAGAGAGATGGCCGATCAGGAGAAGGAGCATCAGGCAAAGTTCGATCAGTTCATTTGTGAGAAGCGTGTTCGTCCAACTATACTCGCACCAATATGGAATATTGCTGGCTTTGGACTTGGTTATGTCTCTGCCATGATGGGCAAGGAGGCAGCCATGGCTGTCACTGTCGCCGTTGAAACAGTGATCTCTGATCACTACAATGATCAACTTCGTCAATTGAACGATGAGAAGATACCAGACAAGGAGTTGAAAGAGGTATGATTGTCACGTCACTCATTCAGTTCATTCAGTTCATTCAATCACTCACTCATTCAATCAAACATAGGTGATCAAGAAGTTTAGAGATGATGAGATGGAGCACATGCATATTGGTATCGAACATGATGCGGAGCTGGCTCCACTTTACAAGCCACTGTCTGAGCTTGTTAAGCTTGGAACAAAGACTGCCATCTGGCTATCCACAAGGATATAGACCGGCCATCACATTCGAACATAAAGACATTAGTTAGTACCACACCCTCATACTTCATTCAAACGTGGTATCATTTCCAAAACTGACGAGATTTTGACGTTATAAATGTGACACGACAGGGCAACCCAAAAACAATCAAAACGATACCCAAGGACCATGAAAATGGGTAGCCCGCAAATGGATCATTCCAGCCCCGACCACCCCCCCTAAGACATGTCTGGGCCTCTGACCTACCACCGGTCAAAGAAAGAATGATACACGATTAATCGTGTTTATATTATTGAATTGTAATTGTAATTTTGTTTAATGATGATGATGATAATTACTACAATGGTGGTTGTGGCGGCGAGATAGTACCTCCTAGAGGCAGGCAGGCATGGGCAGGCGCAAATGACATCGGGATTCGCGAAAACAAGAGGGTTAGGGTTGGAATACAAGACATCCATGTTGTTATGTACAACAACAACATCCGCAATGGTGGATCTGATTCTGATCATTACACAATTTTGAGTCTGTACGTCTGATCATTATTTAAGTTACAAATAATAATAATAATTATATATATCTCAATCTATGATGATGTCTACATCATTACTTATCACTTCAATAATTGTAATATTATTATACATATCACCTAACCAAGCCCAAGAGTTCACATGGCCAGTCAACAATCATACCTATCGTTGGGTCCAAAATGGTGGCACAATGACCTCTGCTAAAACATATTGTGAAGGACTCAATCCGTAAGTAATCCAGACCCTCACTCACTCAATCACTCACTCACTTACTCAATCAATCAATCAATCTCAGAGCTGGATACTTGGTAACAATCACTTCATCACAGGAGATGGACTTTATAAAGTCAAAGTTCAACTTGGGCTCAAACAGTTTCTGGATGGCTGGCATGGGTGATGAGAATGGAACATGGGTCTATGATCACGGCCCTGAGAATGGTCAGTTGATGTTTGATCAGCACTCAGATAGAACTTATGCATTCCAAGATTGGTGTCCAGGTGAGCCAAACATTGGCAACAGCGAGTATTATATTAAGTACATCGGTGGTTCAGTACCCAAGCGTTGTTACAACAATGAGGATGGCTCCAAGCCACTACCCCTCATCTGCGAGTTTAACAATGGTTACGACATGTCCCTGAGCCCAGCCTCCCAGTACGGTGGCCAGTCCGTGATGAACACTGGCAAGCTGCCATTCAACTTTGACTTTAACAAGGTCAGCATCACGATGAAGAAGACGACTGGCACCCCCGTTCCGGACTTCCAGTGTGCCAACCCAGTCAACAATGTCAACACACTGACCTGCAACATGCCACCTGGCGAGAGTGGCAACTATGTTGGCACAATCACCGATGGCAAGATCACTAGCACTTTCTTCTACCAGTACATGCCTCCACATGTTGCCGTTGTTTATCCATCGGCTACAATGGCCAAGGGCACGACCATCACTTTGACTGGTAGCGGCTTTGGCACTCCGGGATCGGCTACAGTCAATGTGTCCATGGGCACACTTGACCAAGTATCATGCAGCACCCTGACCGTCCTCAGTCCAGGATCACTCACCTGTGTCCTCAGCGACACCGTGTCCCAAGGTCTATTCCCCATCAAGGTCACAGTTAATGGTCAGACCGGTAGCAACCTCAAATCACTCATTTGTAAGTATCCATATCGATCACTCACTCAATCACCGCACCTGGAATCATTCCACTAACTCACCCAAACAACAAACAAAACAAAACAAAGACATGTCCGGTGAACAAGCATTCTATAATTGCTTCAAGTACAAGCTTGGATTGTTTGATATCAACAAGATCATCACGAATCAGTCTGTAGAGGGCATGAGAGGTAATGTTGGAGTTATCCAAAATAGGCAAACAGCCATTTTGTTGCGAGCATTGTGCACTTGGTACGCTCCAGATTCAAACTATGAACCAATCAAAGACCTTTATATGAATGCTGTATATGATGACATAGATAATACCTGGAGTTATGTATATGGACCCAATGGAGGCACCAAAGTAGCACCCTACCCTGCGACCGGCATTGGTTTGTTCAGCTCGACCAGCCTCCAATATGATATATCGGGGTCCCCAATCGATGATCAAAGTGCCGTATGGAAGTATCCTGTCGCCAACAATCTACCTGGATCCGGACTTGGTATATTCCTCAAGAACAGTGAGTTATGATATCGTTCGCGAGCCTGATTGATCGATCACTGACACACAAACAGCCGCTCTACTTGGCCTCAAATCTAGCTTCAGCGCCACGCTGCCAACATCTGGTGGCGTGATCAGGATCATGGTTGTCAACCCACCAACATCACTATCACAGGTCAACCTTGTTCTAAAGAATGGTGGAACGACAGTCTCAACAACACCATCATATTATGTCGACTATGACAACTCGGCCATCGCCTTCGTTGTGCCAAGCGGCATTGGCGGCCCCTATGCTGGCAACATCTTCACCGACGGAGTTGTCATGACCAATGGATCAATCTCGATTACTTATCAAAAGCCTGTGATCACCGGTGCGACATCCCCCACGACCAATGGTGCGGGACTCACGATAACTGGCACCAACTTTGCCGAGACCGCCACCAACATGCGTATCCGTCTCGACCTTACTGTTAACAGCACAGCAAGCTGCGCCAATGTCAGGATGGTCAAGTCCTTCACCGCTGTGACCTGTGATGCACCAGAGTCCTACGGCAATGGCAATGTCACCCTGGAGTATACCACAGTGACCGACAAGTCCAATGTGTTTGGCTTCACCTTCCAGGCGCCACAGATTACTGCCATCACACCAACTGGTGCGGCCGGTGGTCAAGTCACCGTCCAAGGTGTCAGCCTGTACAACAACGCCTCATTGAGCAAGGTGTCAGTGGACAGCTTCCAATGCAACAACGTCCAGTTCATCCAGCCAAACTTCAACTTCACATGTGACATGCAGCCGGGCACTGGCACCTTCCCAGTCAAATATGTGATCAACAACCAGTTTTCCAATCAACTGGCCTCAGCCGCCACATTCACATACATGGCACCAGTGGTCACCAACTCCACTCGCGTCAAGTACTTGATCGGTGGCGATGTCACTGTCACTGGATCAAACTTTGGCAATGTGGGGTTGACTGTCACCATCCTCAGCACGCCATGCACCAACATCTCATTTGTCAGTAACAACACTATTGTCTGTCGCTACCCAGGCACAGTCGACGCCTCCCTTTTCCCAGGTGGTGCCATCGTCAATGTCACAGTCAACGGACTCTCTGGCAATGCTCCAGTCTTCTTCTATGATTGTAAGTTTGTCAACGCGATGTGATTGATCGATCGACCCAACTAACAAAATTGCACATCTATTGTAGTCCCAGAGTGCGACGCTGATTGCAGTGGCCATGGACAATGCAATGAGGGTGCATGCAAGTGTGACAAGGGATGGGAGTTGTACAAGAATTGCTCGGCAGAGGGTGGAAGTGGTGGCAAGCCAACAGATGGTGGCAATGGTAATGGACAGTATCCAGGTGGAGACAAGGGCTTCACATCAGCCATCACCCATTTGCGTGAGATCAGCTCTGTGACTTCGGAACCAATACCGGGCAAGATTGTTGCGCTCAAGGATGCCACGTGGGTCAAGGTGACCAAGGATGGCGACGCGACATCCACCTACAACGGCACATTCACCAACAGCCCTGCGGTCGTGGTGATCAATGTGACCGCATATGACGAGGACACCACCATCCAGTTTGCCGGCCAGAGCATCTCAATCTCGGCCAACTCGCTCAAGTTCATCGTCTCTGTGTATAACTGGAAGTTTGACTCTGTGCTCAACGCATTCCACGTTATCTTCGCGTCGACCGCACCAAAGACCACAGTGTCCCAGTGCAAGACAGTGGACACCGTCTATCAGTCTGGCTTCAACCAGTTCCAGTTGGTGGCCGGTGACTCTGTGCTACAGACACACTTTGCCAACGGTCTGATCGTGGAGGATCGCGTGATGGTGTCCAATGTGCTGGCACTCAAGGACAGTGATCCATTGATGATCGAGTCCAACCAGAACCAGACGACTAACTACACACAGATGGTGGCAATTGTCGCACCATCATTCGAGAAGAGATTGATTGTCGATCCATCATTCCGTTCACTAATCTCATCACAAACTACAAGTGAGTGTAGTACCGAGAGCAACTGGCGACTGATTGTCATTGTAGTCATCTGTTCAGTCGTTGGAGTTGGCCTGATCGTTGCCAGTATACTACTTATCCGACGCAAGCTGGAAACCCGTCGAATGCAGCGCAACATCCAGATGAAGCAGCAATCATACATGGAGAGCAACTCCTAGTCAATGATCATCTTGTACCATCACTTTTAATATAATATATAATACTATTAACCAACTTTGAATTGATTGATTGATTGATTGATTGATTGGATTGAGTGGGTAATTGAGTGGAATAGTTCCATCAAGAGATGTTTGAAGTAGGGTACATCAAGTGTTGTTATACATGTTGGATGGTCATAGTTGACAATGTTCTGTCTATGTAACACCATCTAAACATCTTTAGTTGTTGTAAGTGTTTCCATCATTTTGATCAAAGTTTGGAAGTTCACAAACTATCTTTAGTTTTTGAATACAGAGTGATGTTCCTCACACAACCAACACCTTTGACTCATCCATTGTGAGTCATTACCATCACTCTGAGATATATTATATAAACACAGATAGTCACTTTAGCAAGCAAGGCATAGTAGTCAGTCAGCTCAGCTATCAGACAGAGATATACTTCAGAACGATGTCACAGAGAAAGACTACCTCATCATCAAGCGGTTCTTCCGCCGATGACAAGTACACAATCATTCTCCCAACATACAATGAATCGGAGAATCTACCAATCATCCTCTGGCTGATTGACACAGAGTTGAAGAAGGAGTATGAATGCATTAGATCACTACATCATATGATCTCACTCACTCACTCATTCAATCAATCATTCAATCGACTTTCGACTTAGGTTCATCAACTATGAGGTCATCATTGTTGAAGATAACAGTCCAGATGGAACATTGCAGATTGCACAGCAGTTGCAAAAGATCATTGGTGAGGATAAGATCAAGATCCTGTCAAGACCAGGAAAGATGGGTTTGGGCTCAGCCTACATGGACGGAATGAAGATGGCCACAGGCAATTGGATCATCTTAATGGATGCTGATCTGTCACATCATGTACGTACATACAAACATGTTGTTGTACGACTGTCTCATCATCATACTTACCAATCAATCAATCAATCAATCAATCAACAGCCAAAGTTCATCCCTCAATTCATCCAGTAAGTGCACTTGACCGACCGATCAATCATTCAATCAATCGATTAGACTAACACAAACACGAACAACAGGAAACAAAAGAAATACAACACAGAGATCGTCACTGGAACTAGATACGCGTCGGGAGGAGGTGTCTATGGTTGGAACTTCTACAGGAAGCTGACGAGTCGTGTGGCCAACTACATTGCCTCTGTACTGCTGACACCAGGTGTCTCTGATCTCACCGGATCATTCAGATTGTATAGAAAGGACGTGTTGGAGAAGCTCATTTCTGTAAATAAGTCAAAGGGATATGTCTTCCAGATGGAGATGATGGTCCGCGCTAATCAATTCAACTACAAGATTGGAGAGGTATGGAACTTGGATGGATCGCAATGACATTATGGAATGATTCCATCACTCATTCAATCACTGAACTAACATCCAAATCAATCAATCAATCACAAACACAAGGTTCCAATCACATTCGTCGACAGAATCTATGGTGTGTCCAACTTGGACTCTGGCGAGATTGTTAGCTACCTCAAGGGTGTCATGAACCTGTTCTTCAGTATCTAAGCTCGCGAAGCCAGCCCATACAGTCGCGCATGGAACCATTCCCAACGCAAGGAACATCAACCAATAATATTACAATGCTCCCTCATTCCAATCAATCAATCAACTCCCTTTTACTCCTTCTTCTCGTAGTCTGTGTTGGCTGCGATGTGCTCCCATTGATCTAGCTCGTTGTGGTAGCGACTAAGGACGTTCTTGGCATTGTCATAGCTGTCCTTGCCGATGAACACGTGGATTGGTGTGGTGGCGACATCACTCTCGACCATCTTGATCAGCACCTCCACCAACTTGGCGGGATCGCCCGACTGATTGTTGTTGAATGCCGCCAGGTACTGAGTGTGATTGTCATGCACCTGTTGGTAGCATGGCATGATGTCCTTGGCAAACACCAATGAGTTGGACTCTAGGAACGATGATCTAAAGTGTCCTGGATTGATGGTGGACACTCTCACGCCAAATGGACGCATCTCGGCGGCAAAGGCCTCGGTCAAACCGTCAAGGGCAAACTTGGAGCAGGTGTATGCGCCAATGCCTGGCACATCGCCCGAGAATCCAGACACGGACGACACATTGATCACGTAGCCACTGCGTTGCGCGCGCAGTACCGGTGCGGCCAATCTCATGACACTGGCCACAGCAAACAGATTGATGTCAAACTGTGCTCTGAACTCGGCGTCGGTCATCTCCTCGACAGTGCCCACGACGGCATAGCCAGCGTTGTTGACAATGACGTCGATTCGACCGTAAGTCGCCAGGGCAGTGTCTATTGCCGATTTGATGCTTGTCTCGGATTTCAAGTCGACCTCGAGAGTTAACAATCTTGAACTTGTAGAGTCAGCATCAGATGTGCCATCAGGTTGATGTTGTTTGATTGCATCACATAATGATTGTTTGTTCCTTGTGGTTGCCACGACAGTTTGACCCTTTGACAATAGGGACAATACCATTGATAGACCAAGACCTCTTGAGGCACCAGTAATCAACCATACTCTATTATTCATTGTCGTCATTATTAATATGATGTGGCTGACTGATATTTGATTGATATGATATGATTATTAGTCATTCATTCACTCATTCACTCATGAGATCATGCCAACGTACTTATAATCCACTTGATATCTATATGTTGCTGCTGTTTAGTTGATCGGTACAATCTCAACTACAACAAGTTTTATCATCGGGAAGGGAAGAGAAGAGATGCCAAGGGAGATGAAAATGCGTCATCGGGAAGGACTTATGTGTTACAGGTTACAACTAACGACTATGTTGCTAGCAGGACATGTAAACAGAAATCAGATGAGCTCAAATGGTTGCCATCCTGACTTCAAACTCGAACTAACAATGGTCTGCGGACTAATATTAGTCCTTAATGTCTCAATCAAATAATGTCTCATTTAATAATAACCACAATTTTATAACTACAATATGATTACATGAGTCGTTAGTTGAACATGTTCATATATGAATGAGTTTGTTAATGTCAATGATGAGGAATGAATGAGTCAGTTGAGGGAAGTCTGGACAAGACACCTCACAACCAAACACACACACTGCCGAGCCCAAAAGTGTAGTCCAATAGTTTACTTTAAAGACAGCTGTGATCTAGATGATTGATTGACCCTTCATTATTAAGAACCAATCAAATAAGTAAACACACTGGATGTGGACGAGCGGGGGGTCTGGAGATTGGATACAATGGGGGTCTTCCAACTACCTTAAAAGGAAATAATCACATCTTCAAAATAAACCAGGAGCGACCACACAAAAACCCAAGTCATCGGTTTGTTTTGCAAAATCATCCATAAATTAAAAATAAACAAAGTTTTGATTTTGATTGGTATGTTGTTGAAAAATGGATATTTTCATCCCATTCCATTCCATTCGCATCTGGCCTCTGGCTGGCATACTTGGCCTTGCTCATTCGTTTGATTAGCTACAGTGTGCCACTCACACTGCACTACTGGAAAGTGTGAGAAACTCATCCATCCAGCCTGCCAGCCAGAGCGCAATATATATTTCATTTAAAGATGTTAACAAAGAGATAGAGAGATCGTTTAATTTATATAAATATATATATATTATAATCTGTGCTTGTTTATTTCTTTGTATTTGAATTGTGTGTCGTCCCTGTACCATCATCCACCAACCCCCTTCCTACTACACTGTATCAACAACAACAACTATCAACCTACATCGATCCATCCATCCATCCATCAACATCCTCGTCAGTCTGTCATCCATTCACAGTCAGTCTGTCTGTCATTCAACAACAATAATAACATTGCGCGTTTTTTGAATCGGAAACGTGAATGTGTGTGTAAGTCAACAACAACAACAACCGAGAAAGAAAGAGATAATCAACGCAGTCTTGTGTGTTGTGTGTGTGTTTTGATTGACATTGGTTTAATATACACACTAAGGGTGTACTATATATCCAGTCTCCAATCAAATCCAATCCAATCTCACTCACTTGCTCATTCACCCACCAGCAACAGCAACAGCAGCAGCAACCAACTCAACTCACTCCATCCACCACACTTTATATCCATCCATCACCATCCACCATCCATCCATCCATACCGGTTAAGGTTCAGAACAGATCAGGTTAGCGCTTATAAAGTAAACTTGAAGGGAGCCAACTGCCAACCAACTCAACCCAACACCCCTCAAAGTGCACCAGTTCCTGTCCGTCGCCCAAGCGTCCAAGTGATAGAGCGCCAACTTCCACCTTCCACATCCTCCCCTTCTTATATTTAATATAGTAGTAGTCCCAGTACCATTATAAATATTACATTACTTAGTGTATCATCATCATCACCACGATTCCAAATTCATCCATCCAGCTATTAGTCATCTATCCAGATAGTCAGAGACAGTTATTATCCAGCTTTACTCAAATCTTCAATCAGTCAGTCAGGCAATTACTAATCAATCAATCAACTTAAGTCAAGTCAATCAAACACCAAAAACAATATTACAATAATGGATACTATAATGGACAACAATGATTCGTCATCATCATCCATGGTCGTGGCAGAGGCCACAACTACCACTCAAAGTAAGTTGATCAACAACTTTGATTGATTGAGATGGCGTCCAAAATTGGAAACCGACATTTACTGACATCCATATTTATCCATCAATCAATCAAAATCAAACAAATAATAATTTATAGTTTATAATCCATTGGAACATCTTTGTTATGATGCAGTATTACATGTACTTCAATTCTTGAGTCCAAAGGACTTGTTGTCATTTGGATTGGTTTCCAAGGAATGTGCGGCACTGTCATCAAACGATTACTTTGTGGCGCAGATTCTATAGACAGTACGAACGCAGATTCATCACGGCATTCCAGACACCCATGCCCCAGCCACTGCCCCGCGAAAATGCCAAGCATCACTACCTGCAAGAGACCAAGAAGATGGACGTGCTGTCGCACTTTGTCGGCGTGTGGAGCGAGAAGTGGTGCGACGTCGACGTGTCCAACTCGACCAAGATCACCTACGACGGCCACGCGCTCAACGTCGTCTACACCAAGAACAAGTTCACGGCACAGTTTGTCGACTTTGACTTTGCCGCCCAGCAGCTGCGCTTCAATCTCTCGGGCGGTGACTCGGGCTGGTCGTTCATCTACACACTCAAGTACCATTTCGAGGGTCGTCTGTCGCTCAACGTCAACAGATTCCACGACAGCATGTCGTTCAATGGCTTCTTCAAGCGCAGCGAGCAGCAGTCCGAGCAGTTGTCTGTTCCACAACTGGACATTGCCGCACCACATCAGCTGAGTCCAAGAGGACCCGTTGTCTCACCACCAGTCTCCCCATTCGACCTTGATGATGAAGAGGATGATGAGATGCCAGATGAGGCATCCCTCTTTAACCTTCAGTCACGTAGACAGTCAGTGTTCTAAAGGTTGGCGGCATACCTTATTATATATAGATATATATATCGTTGGCTGGCTGGCTGGTCACGATCAAATGACCAATCAATCAATCACAATCGATAGAACGCGAGCATAATCAACAGACTCAATCAATCAATCGATCTAGATCACTTGCTTCGCCAATGTCCCCTCTGGAGGGGGAAGGGAGGCAGGTGCTTGCGCGCTGTTTGGTGTAGCTGATGCCAGTTGCCGTGTGGCCCATATCTAGTCGTCCACACATGGATACTGGAGTATTTATTGTCCAACAACACAACCATTGTAATTCCATTCTAACTGTAACATTGTATAACAACAAACCCAACTCCCGACTACAACAATAAATAAGCTGGATGTCCTTAACTAAGGGACATCCAATCTCCTCCCCTAACACACTGCTGTAGTTGTCTACTTTACACTTTATTAATAGTTGGTATATGGTACAATGCACCTTACCTTAGCTTACATACACATACTTTGGAGGCGTCGACACGATACGACGACCCTAGAGCCTTGAAATGTCACGTCCAAACATGATGGTCTTGAACCAGTCGAGTGAGACTAGTGTCTGGTTCTTCCAACTGAACTGCTTCTCGAGGTAGATGGCGCGCCATGCCCACCATACTCCAAAGCCACCACCGGCAAACATGTTGGGTATGTCGGCAACGGCACTGTGGTGGCCGATGTAGGCAAAGGAGCCAAGGTGACGGTAGCGGAATGGTACGATCACCGATGGGTCCTTGGTCCTGGCAAAGTCGTTGAGGGAGGTGGCCAAGTACTTGCCGGCCTGGTTGGCCACCTGGGCTGTGGCGGGCAGCGTGGTCAAGTTAGCATCGATCTGTGCGACCAAACGCTGAAACTCCTCGAATTGTAGGAAGTTGTCCTTGTTGGCGTCGCACTCGGCAAACTTCTCTGGAAGCACGCTGACAAAGGCCTCCAGCTGGGGATACTTCTTGGTGTTGTTCTTGACGAGATGGATCAGCTCATCGATCGACAGCTTGTCATCGCCATTCTCATCGGCCTCCTTGAACAGATCACCCAAGTGGTCGAGCAGCTTCTGCTGTGTGACGGTGGCACAATCGCCAATTGCGTAGATATTCTGTTGGGGCACGCCAATCACCTTGAAATAGGTATCCGTCGAAATGGCTCTGTTGTTACGCTGCTCCTCGATTGAGTTACAAAAGTTTGCTGTCAATGCTGTCGGACCTACTCCAGTCGCCCAGACACACATTCCAAATGGCAACTCAACGTTCTTCTTCTCTGCCTTGCTGACCACAGTTAGTTTGTTTGGATCGACACATGTTACTCTGGAATGAGTGATGGTTAAGTTAGCATGATAGATTGAATGAGTGGACTGGTCTTGGACATGGTTATGGACATGGACATACCTTGAACTGAACAAAGTTGCAATGTTTGATCTTCCAAAGTGCTTCTCGGTGTCTGTTGTCGTGTGCCATTGTGTTAGTATACATGTTCGAGTGCCATCATGCGAAGCCAGGACAGCCAGAGAAATGGTAACGACTTACAATCAATGATGCTCTTGTCATAAGTGTTCAACAAGTGATCAGCTGATTGAATCAATGATATCTTGCAGTATTTCATCAACTCTGGGAATATCTTGGACAAGTCATCATAAATGTAATCTAAATAATCAATGATGATTGTTAGCAATCATATCCATCATCATCCATGATCACACCAACACACATACCATGTATCTCTCCAGCAAACTCCACTCCAGTTGGACCACCACCAACGATGGCAAAGTGCAATCGGTCTCTCTTTTGTTGCTCTGTTTGGTTTGGAAAGCTGGCACGCTCAAAGCAGTCCATAATTCCACCTCTGATGATGATGGCATCCTTGGCATCCTTGAGGAAGTAGCAGTTCTCCTTGACACCAGATGTGCCCATTGTATTTGGCGCACTTCCAACTGCAATCACCAACTTGTCATAAGGTATCTGGACCATATCCACCATATTGGCTGCTTTATCTAATGATAACAAGTGTCCAATATCTTGAAGTATGAGTTGATATGATTGATTGATTGTGGATTTCATTATTGAGTTGTTGTTATATTTGATTGATTGATTGATTGAATGAATGAATGACATACCCTTGAGTGTTACAGTGTTGGTGTTTGGATCGATCAATGTGCACTCTGCCTCAATGTAGAATGTGTTCTTCTTTGACAAACGATTAAGTATCCTTCTGATTGGCTCAGAGATACTCCTCACCTCGACAGAGCCAACAGTTGATGCAGTCAACATTGGTGTGAACAGGAAGTACTATGTATGATTGATTGAGTAAGTGAGTGATTGAGCGCGACATGACTAGTATGCTATCATTTACATTTCTTGGTGAGACAACTACTATCTCAAACTTGTCAAGGTCGATACCTTTGATGAAGGCCAATGATGCCCATCCTGTGCCAAGTACTACTATTCTCTCCTTTCCATTATCACATGGCTTCAATAGATGATGGACATCCAATGGCTTTGGAGCAGTCTTTACATCATCCAATGCCATCAATGTTGCTGTTGCTGTCAATGTACCAGTGATCACACCACCAACAATCAATGGTGTCTTTATCCTATTCCACCATCCATTTCCATTCTTTGTATTATCGTTGTTGGTGTTGTTATTGTTGTTGTGGCTATCATTTGATGATGACGATGATGATGAGGAGGAGGAGTAGAAGCCATGTTGTTGTTGATGTTGATGATGTTGTCCTCCAATACATGTCCTAATGAAGGATCTTGTTATGTTTGTTGCGCCCTTGGATAACATTATGTTAAACAAATAAACAAACAAATATAGATAGATAGATAATTAGGAAGAAAGATATTAATAAATTAAATAAATGAATTGGTGAAGTGCACAAAGATGAACTCAAGGGTTGGGATGAACATGATGCGTGTGGGTGGGCTGTGTTTGGAGATCTGTTCAAGGTCATGAAGTGCGATCCATTATGATCACATGATTGATTGATTGATTGAATGATACTAGTACATAGGAATCGACAAAGAAAGAATGAATGAATGATATTATTAAGCCTTGAGGAATGAGAGTGCAGCCTCCTTCTCCTCTTGCAACTCCTTGGTGGTGATGTCGATCTTGGCCTGGATGAACTCGGTGATCTTGAGGTTCTGGACAATGTTCCACTCTCCACCACTGCATGTGACGGGGAATGAGAAGATCAGTCCCTTGGGCACGTTGTACGAGCCGTCCGAGGCAACAGCCATCGAGACAATCTCACCTGGACGTGTGCCAAGGAGCCAGTCTCTCATGTGGCCAACGACGGCGTTGGCTGCAGAGGCAGCCGATGACAGCTTCCTGGCGGCAATAACTGCAGCACCTCTGTTTTGAACCAATGGGATGAATGACTCTCTAATCCACTTGTCATCGTTGACTGCTGTTTGAACTGGTGTTACAACACTCTGTTGAGGGTAGTTATTGATGTAAGCGTTGTTCACATCTGGCACCCTGATTGAATGATTGATTGAGTGAGTGAATATGATTGATTGATTGATGACACTGTACATATGGACTACTTACTGAGTGAGTGAGTGATTACCCCAAATGATAACATTGTGTACCTTGTTGACATTGACGCCAACCTTGTCAGCGATCATGGAGAGTGCACGGTTCTGATCGAGACGGGTGAGTGCAGAGAAGTTGGCGGCGGGGAGTCCTCCAGAAGCCTGTGTGAGAGCAGTGAGTGCGTTGGTGTTGGCGGGATTGCCAACGACAAGCACCTTGACATTGCGGGCGGCGTAGTTCTTCAACGCCTCACCCTGCTCCTTGAAGATCGATGCATTCATCTTGAGCAGATCCTTGCGCTGCATGCCTGGACCTCTGGGGAAGGCGCCAATGAGCAGCGCCACGTTGATGCCCATGAAGGCATGCTTGACGTCGGTGGTGGCGACCACGTTCTGCAGCAGAGGGAAGGCACCGTCGGCCAACTCCATCACGACACCGTTCATGGCCTCGGCCATCTTGGGGATGTCGAGCAGATGCAACACGACGGTCTGATGTGGACCAAACATCTGGCCACTGGCAATCATAAACACCAAGCTGTAGGCGATCTGGCCGGCGGCGCCAGTGACGAGGACGCGCAGGGGTGGTGTCTGGTTGCATGGCGAAGTGCTGATCAGACTCCAAGCCTGCTGTGTGTGCAACTGTTGATATGACTGACTAGTAAAGTGATGTGACACTGGGCACTTTGCTGGGGCGGTGGCACCAGTAGCCGACTGAGGCACAACCGCTGAACCTGGTGCGCCAGTGTTCAAATGTGAGGAGATGTTATTGATTCTCAATACTGCTGATTCCATTATGTCTATGTCTCTGTCTGTCTGTATGTATAATGATACTGTGATGATAATATATATATATTATATGATTTATAACAACAAAGTTATGTGTATATATGAATAATAAGTTAATAACTTCACTCACACCAACACATTCATTCATTCATTCATTCTCTTGCACCCACTCATTCACCTCATTCACTCTGTCAGTCATTAACACACACTTGTCTTCACACTCGACACGACTATGTTTGTTGTTGTTGTATTCACTCAATCTGAGTGTAGATATATACTGTTTGCCGTTTATGGAAATCTATGATCATTTATTGATGGCGACACTTTGTCCAACACAGTGCGCCACTGGCATTCAAACTTTAAATTGAATCAATTTCATTATTATTCATATAATAGGATATATAATATTATGATTTATAAATATGAATCTTGTCAAGTCAATGACAACAAGTGATTGATCAATGTTATCATCGGATGTATTGATGGTATCCATCTTGACATGTATCAATGTCATTCATGCCCTGGTCACACACCACCGACGTCTTTGATTCCTTGAACATTGAGGGCTTTGTGAGTTTCAACTTCAATTCTTGAGATGAAGATAATGATTTGGGAGAGAATGAGTATTGATTGTTGTAATACGTAACAACAATAATAATAACGACAACATATAGATATACATAGAGATAGATAGTTTAGATAGAGATGTCAACTGCAACAACTATTACCAATCCAGCGGCTGCACCAAGTCCTCTCATCGGACTGAACAGTATAAGATCTGTTGTGCAAGAGTATCTCAACAAGATGTTGGATAGTATACAAGGAATGAAGGTCTTGGTATTAGACAAGGAGACTGTATGTTGGTTGCATTGATCGATAGTTATAATTATTGAATGATTGAGTATACTTACTTTAAAGCATATCTTAGACAGGTATGGTCAGCATGGTATACTCACAATCGGACATCTTGCAGAAGGAGGTGTTCTTGTTTGAGAAGATAGACAGTGGCAATAAGGAACAAATGCCACATATGAAGGCTGTATACTTTGTAAGACCGACACAAGATAACTTCAACTATATATGCGAGGAGCTGAGTACACCAAAGTACTCTGACTATCATCTCTGTATGTGTACTTGGTTGGACTGGACTCATGAGACATGACCTAACATCAATCGATCAATCAATCTTAGTCTTTACAAACTTTGTTGGATCAACTGCATTGGAGCAGATGGCCAAGGCTGATTCGAAGGATCTGGTTAGGGAGATACAGGAGTATTACTCTGACTTTTATCCTGTCAATCCAGATACATTCACATTGAATATCACTGGTGTATTGTCAAAGAGAACGGTTGGATGGCAAGCCAATGGTAGTCGCATCATTGATGGCATAGTCTCTGCACTCCTCGCGCTGAAAAAGAAGCCAATCATACGATACTCTGCAAACTCTGAGTTGACCAAGACAGTGGCTGAGGCTGTTGCTGTATGTTGACCTGACATTCATTCATTCATTCAATCATTCACTAATCATGAAATCACATTCACGCCATACAGAGATCAATGCAGACTGAGAGAGAACTGTTTGAGATGAGAAAGAGTGAACCGATATTATTGATATTGGATAGGAAGGATGATCCGGTGACGCCATTGTTACATCAATGGACGTATCAATCAATGATACATGAGTTGTTGGGCATAAGGAATAATAGGGTCAACTTGAACCAGCCTGGCGTCAAGGAGGACCCGGCCAAAGAGGTGGTGCTCTCAATCGATCACGACACATTCTTCAAGGACAACCTTTACATGAACTATGGTGATCTTGGCGCCAGTATCAAGGATCTTGTCGAGACATATCAGAAGAAGATGGACTCCAATGCCAACATCAAGACCATCGAGGACATGAAGAAGTTCATTGAGAACTTCCCCAACTTCCAAAAGTTCTCCACCAACGTATCCAAGCACGTCAATATGATGGAGGAGATATCAAAGAAGATCAGTGGACATCATTTGATGGAGATATCCGAGGTGCAACAAGAGTTGGCATGTGGCAACGAGCATTCAGCAGCATACCAACGCATTTGTGAGATCATCGACGATCAGAAATACACTGACGAAGATAAGTTGGTACTGGTGATGTTGTACAGTATCCGTTATGAAGATGGACGCGTACGCGACTTGCAGGACAGATTGGTGCGAGCTGGCATGCCACAACAACTGATAGGACTGCTGCTTACATTACGCGACCTCGCCAGCAAGAACCAGCGTGAGGGCGATCTATTTGGAACAAAGAACATCCTCAAGTTTATGAATGGCGTCGTCAAGCGTGGACTCCAAGGCGTGTCCAACATCTACACACAGCACGTCCCTCTACTCAATGAGATCCTTGAGCTCCTGATAAGGAACAAACTCCAGGAGAAGTCCTATCCCTACTTTATTCCCCCAACAGCCCAGCAACTACGTGAGCGGTAAGTGTCATCCCTTATTGATTGATCCATTGAATAGCCTTGCTAACTACCTTATCGCCATCACCACAGTGTCACTGACATTATCGTGTTTGTTGTTGGAGGCATAACGTATGAGGAGGCCTACAATGTACATAAGTTCAACGTTGCCAATGCCAATGCCAAGATCCGTGTAGTGCTTGGTGGCACGACAATATTGAATCGCGACCAGTTCCTCGAGGATCTTGGCAGTTTGAGGATGCAACAAACTGGCATCGGTGGCAACAGCAATAGCAGAAAGTAAAGTGACTGACTGGATAAATATGATCATCACCATCACCTTCCAATTGATCGTCAATCAATCAATCAATCAGGTCACATTCATACTTGTCAGTTACAATCAATCAATTAATCACAAGATGATCTTGGCATTCCATCACAAGCCTCCTCCAACAGCCAGCCCCAATACCATTATTATTTCCATTTCCATCCATGCAAGCATCCCCGTTGGTTGAGCGATGTCCTTTGGCCACCTAAGATTTAATATAGAGTGCGGTGGTACTGTGTATCTCTATCTACTGCTACACCTGGATCACTTCTCGTCGCAACCACTACCTCTCCAACCCACCCACCCACTCAAACACCCACCCACACTCACGCCCGATCACATGACCATAGAGTGTGGATAGCTACTCGGCGATGATGAGTTGCATTGCTTCGACATACGCACCATATGAGCAAAGGGGGTGCGTTCACATCAACTCACACACTAACTATCAATCAACGATCACACAAACACAACGAAGAGTGTTGGCATTATCTACATCGATGGATGGAAGAAGAGATAGAGAGATGTAGTAGACCTAAACTGACCTTTACTGGTTTGCCTGTGTCACTGGTGTGTATGAGTCGTGAGTGCATCAATGGATGGGATGGGATGGAATGAGTGAAAGAGTGAGTGAGCGAAGGTGGGTGGGTGAGTTAGAGAGTGAAAGAGTGAATGAGAGTGAGTGAGTGAGGGAGAGTGAGTGAGGGAGAGTGACAGAGTGTGGATGTGTTATTGGCTTGAGCAACAACAAGTAGTAGTAGTAGTACTAGTAGTCATTGATTAGTCGGAGTCGTAGAACTTAGAGATCATCCTTAGAGGTAGAGATTAGTTGTTGATTCATTCATTCATTCATTCAAACATTATTAGTCAGATTCTTTTAATCAATCAATCAAGTCAATCAATTTAGTCAATCAATCAACTAGTTTATTGTACAGGAGATAGAGATAGGAATGCAAGGTGGCTATTATACCAACTCTATTGGTGGCGGTGGATGTATACTTGGAGGGTATATAAGTAGCACGAATGGAGCATCACCATTGTCACCAAACAAAGGATTTCAAAAGAGGATAAACAATGGTCACCAGCGGTCCAATTCAACGCCTATCAATCTAGCTCCACCTCCCCAGATTTCAATGATAAAGCCACAGTCTCAACAACAACAACCTCACCAACCTCATCAACCTACATTACAACATCTTCAAGTGGCTCCGGCTCCTGTGTCGCCGGCAGGACCGCCACCTCAGGCTCCACTACCACTTCCACAGCCACAGGCTCAGCCACAATCTCAACCTCAAACACAACTACAACAACAACAACAGCATCACCCTTCACCGCCATACCAACAACGTAAACCAACACATCATCATCATCAACGCAACAACTCGACGGATGTAGCTAGGGAAGCAATGCAAGTGGTTGGATCATACGAGGACTTGGCATGGGAGGAAATATCTCTATGTTATCACAACTTCAACATGGTGGACAGTGAGGGCAAGGGCTACATCAACAGCTTTCAACAGTTGATCCAATATATCTCGTTGGTCTATCCGAGTGGCACACCGCCCACCTCGCAATTCCTGTTCTCAATGAACATCCTGTATCCTGGCGCTGTACCCATACAAGCGCAACAACAACCTAGCAACTTCCTCACACTTCAACAATTGATGTATACGTACTCCCACGCCAAATCATTGATCAATGTGGCGGCTTCGATTACCACTGGGATGCGCAAGTTCACGCCACAACAGGCTGTCTACATTGTAGAGGTGTTCAACTCGGTCAAGGACAGTAGAGGTGGCGTGCCATCTCAGAAACTGGCACTATTTGGAGCGGACAAGTCCAAGCTACCATCAACAACCCTGCCATTCTATGAGTTTGTAAAGTACATTGGTCTCAACTATATACCATTCGAGAACCTATTCGTATGTATCGGTATCATTCATTCATTCTATCGATCGGTCACTGACTCGATCAATCATTATATAGAAGTTCCAAAAGTCACCTGCCATCGAGGCACAGGCATCACCTGTCAAGGAGGTGGAAGAGTTTGAGGACTTATTCGCCAACTTCAACAATGTTAACAACAACAATATCCAGAACTTGTTCATTATCCCAAACAACAATAACAATATCCCCAACAACATCCAAGCAAACAACGTCCAAGCCAACAACATCATCCAAGCCAACAACATCCAGGTCAACAACATCCAAGCCAATAACATCCAAGCCAACAACATCCAAGTCAACAATAATATAGCCAACACAAGCGGGAATATTAGAATGTAAGTACATTCATTGGTCACCCCCATTCCAGCCTACTTACTCACAACATCATCATTACTTAGATCCCAACAACAACAAGGCAACAACACAAACAAACAACATATATTCTCAGATATTGAGATACAATACTCTGAATTACAGACACAGAGTAAACTTGGTGAGGGTACATTCGGTCTGGTGTATAAGGGCACTTGGCGTGGAAGTACAGTGGCAATCAAACAGATAAAGGTCCATGATGATGTGACTAATCAGGCATTGGACGAGTTCAGGAAGGAGTTGACCATCCTGAGTAAGCTACGACATCCCAACATCGTCCTACTGATGGCCGCATGCACACAGCCACCCAACCTCTGCTTTGTCACCGAGTACCTTTGTGGAGGCTCGTTGTACGACGCGCTCCACTCCAAAAAGATACGTATGAACATGCCACTCTACAAGAAGCTGGGCATCCAGATTGCACAGGGCATGAACTACCTTCATCTGAGTGGCATCATACACCGCGACATCAAGTCGCTTAACCTGTTGCTGGATGAAAACATGAACGTCAAGATCTGTGACTTTGGCCTGTCGCGCTTCAAATCAAAGTCCGCAGCGATGACCAAGTCAATCGGATCACCGATATGGATGGCGCCAGAGCTGTTGATGGGCAGTGACAACTACACGGAGAAAGTCGATGTCTACGCCTATGGTATCATACTCTGGGAGATTGGCACTGGCGAGCTGCCCTACTCTGGCCTTGACTCTGTTCAGCTGGCGGTGGCTGTGTCCACAAAGGGACTACGACCGACCATTCCCTCGACTTGGCCAGCTCCACTACACCAACTCATTCAATCATGTTGGCACCAAGACGCCAACCAACGTCCTACATTCACACAGATATTGGCACAACTCGATAAGCTCACAGTCTAGAGACATGTATGAGCATGATCCAGGATAGTTAAGTTATTATTAAACAGTGACAGGTGAGGCTAGGAGGTGCCTCCCCTGTCTTGTGTATTATTATCAAATGATTGATTATCCACAGAATGATCGGCAGCCATAGTAGGACTCGGAGTATGGTGTGATGATGTGACAGTTCTCGCCAGTGTGTGGACACTCGGCAGCCTTGCCCTTGCCAATGTACATTACTACGTGGCTGGGACAGGGAGTCTCGAAGCAGTAGAAGAAGAGGTCGCCGGTCGTGCAGCCAGAGGTGTCGGTGGGGTGGCACTTGGACGAGCATGAACTGCCCTGAGCAATCTGGTTGTAGGTAGTGCGGCCAATGCCATGATAGCCAGCATCGTTGTAAGATCGGTAGACAATGCCTGAGCAATCCATTCCTCCATGTCCACCACATGAGCAGTCCGTACCGCCCCACACATAAGGACAACCACAAGTAGCATAATGTTCTGCTTCAGTGGCAGCCTTGTCACATGTGGCAATTGGTAACTTTCCATACTTTGTAATGTAGGCTTCGAGATCAGTCTCATTGTAGGCCATTGCTTTGACTTGGTTTAAACAAATGGCAAATGCCATCAATGCAAGAAATATTTTCAACATTATTAATTATTTGTTTGATTGATTATTTGTACAAGATTATAATGGACGATAGAAGATTAAGTTTGGTGATCTAGATTGAACGAAACAAATATCTTTGAGCTAAGATATTTTGAAATTTTCAAATATCTAAATTTAAACAAGTTCATCTTCATCAGGAAGTCCGGCTCCATCTAACTTCAAAACGATTACTAATCTTTCAACTTTATTGTCTCACACTCTTTTGATCTCCTGGTTATTAGTCATATGATGGATGATAATTTTAGGACCCTCCTAGAATAGTACGATCTGCATTCCCTATTATACCTCGGTTATTTGCAATGTCATCACCTGTTACGGGTTCAATCCTAAAAATTAATTAATTATTAAAGTTATTTGAAATTAATTGTAAATAAATAAATAAATAAATTCTTAATTACCATTCTATAAAATCTCCATTCTTTGCCGGTGAATAGGATTCAGAAGGTGTCCAAGTATCTTCCAATTGCAAAAATATCTTCTCAAAATTGGCACGATATCCAGATGGATTTCTGTAAGAAAAAAAATAATAAAATTAGAGGATTATAATTATTAATTCTTTTAAAATCTATATATTTACTCTTCAGATAAAACCTGTTGGTATGCACACTGGACTTTAATAATAAATATTACTATAAATAATAAAACTATGAAATTCTTCATTATTTTTTGTATTGATTGAATGATTGATTGATTGATTGATCAAATAAAAGATTAAATAAATAATTGATTGTTTATTATCATATAATTTATTATTTACATTATATTTATCGTCAATTTTTATGGTCGTTGTTACAAAACAATAACGTGGAAATAAAAATATAAATTATTGGGGTGATGTTGGCTTATTCGTTGTAATAAAGTCAATATTTATGCGTATTTTTGTTCACATTTGATTATTTTAAATTTGTATAATGGTCGCCACAAACATCACATAAATATGGTATTCTAATTAAATGAGAAGAATTTTAGAGAGTCTTGATCTTTGATCATTCAAATTGAGTATAGAGAAGGCTCAAATTATTAATTTAGTTCGACCATTAATTGATTGATCTCCAAAGTGATTGGAAATATGAGATTCATTTTAAAATTGTCACAACTTAGTAGCTTCATTTCTTCAACAACTATTCAAAAAAAGGCGCGATTCTTGAGAAACAGTTAGAAAAGTTTGGATCAATCAATCAATCATATTCAACAACAACAACAACTTATTATTAATACCTAAGTATACATAGCTCAGTAGTAGGTGGTGGAAGTAGATTAGATAGAACAAATAGGTACATGATCATTCTTTGTTTGAAAAGAGAATGAACAATATACAACAACAAGATGCACAACTTATATCATCATCCAAGGCAGAGTTCTCAGAGTTCATCTCAGAGTACTATGGACCAATCGTCAAAGATATCATAGAGAATGATGCCATGAGACTAATCGTCGACATTGACATCATGAGAAAGAGCAATGCAAAGTTGGCCGAAAGGTATGTGTTCAGTGATTGATTGATTGAATGATTGAACGAATGATCGAATGAATGAACTAACATGATGTATATCAATATACTTTAGATTCCTCATAAAGCCAATGTTATATTATATTGAGTTCCAAAAGACTGTTCAGAGCTTCATACATGCAGAGGCACAGAGGATGAAAGCGAGAGAGATGGAGGAGATGGATGGTGATGATTACGATCCAGATGCATTGGACAGTTTGACAAAGAGGAGAGCTTATAGGACGAGCAGGAACAATCAACCTCAACCATACTTCTTGGGCTTTAGCGGTAGTTTTGGATCGTACCACGTCACGCCCAGAGGCCTTCGCGCGGCATTCATCTCGCATCTGATCTGTGTGGATGGCATCGTGACAAAGTGCTCACTCGTTCGTCCCAAGGTCGTAAAGAGCGTGCACTTCTGCGAGGTCACCAAGCAGACGCTCGAGAGGAGCTACTCGGACGCCACAACAGACGACAACATACCGACGACCGCGTCGTACCCCACGAAGGACAAGCAGGGCAACCCGCTGCTTACCGAGTTTGGCTACTGCGAGTACAAGGACAGCCAGTGCATCACCATCCAGGAGATGCCAGAGTGCGCGCCTGCCGGCCAGCTGCCGCGCTCCATCGACATCCTCGTCGACAACGACCTGGTGGACCAGGTGAAGCCTGGCGACCGTGTGCAGGTCGTCGGCATATATCGCGCCATCCCCATCACCCCACCCGGCACGCGACAGGCACCACGCTTCAGAACCGTGGTCATTGGCAACAGTATCCGCAAGCTGTCACGTGAGGCCGAGGGCCCAGACGTGGGCAGTAACGACATTCAAAACATCCGTCGCCTGGCCAGCGAGCCTGGTATCTTTGACCTGCTGGCGAGCTCAATGGCGCCATCAATCTTTGGACACGAGTACATCAAGAAGGCGCTGCTACTACTGATGCTGGGCGGTGTCGAGAAGAACCTGCCCAATGGCACGCATCTCAGAGGAGACATCAATATTCTGATGGTGGGCGATCCCTCGACGGCCAAGTCACAGCTTCTGCGATTCGTCCTCAACACGGCGCCATTGGCCATCAATACCACAGGACGTGGCTCGTCTGGCGTCGGTCTGACCGCCGCCGTCACCAACGACTCTGAGACTGGCGAGCGCCGATTGGAGGCCGGCGCGATGGTGTTGGCCGACCGCGGCATCGTCTGCATCGACGAGTTTGACAAGATGAGCACAGACGATCGTGTGGCGATTCACGAGGTGATGGAGCAGCAGACCGTCACCATCTCCAAGGCGGGCATACACGCGTCGCTCAATGCTAGATGCTCGGTGGTTGCCGCCGCCAATCCAATCTACGGCCAGTACAACAGATATAAGAAGCCACACGACAACATATGTCTGCCCGACTCTCTCCTCTCTCGTTTCGATCTACTCTTCATCGTCCTGGACCATGCCAATCCAGATCACGACCGACACATATCCGATCACATCCTAAGAATGCACAGATATAAGAAGCAAGGAGAGGATGAATCATGTAAGTAATCAATCAAGATTGATTGAGTGAGCGAGTGAGTGAGTGGATTGATTGATTGACGCCATATTGTAGACCAACAAACAGAGCCATCGTCCATACTTGGAGGCGAGTTGGATGTAAAGGAACAGGTGGAGAAGGATACGGATACACCAGTTTATCAAAAGTATGATAAACTACTTCATGGAGGACAGGCTGAACGTGAGATATTGTCCATTCCATTCATCCAGAAGTATATCCGATTTGCCAAGAACCTGATCAAACCATCACTCTCTGATGAGGCCAAGGAGTACATCGTATCATCATATACAGAGTTGCGATCCAAAGAGGAGGAGAAGGTATGATACACATTCCATTCAACTCAATCAATCAAACATGTCAACAATACTAACATGACCATGACAACAGACACTACCAATCACTACACGTACATTGGAGACATTGATTCGTCTATCGAGTGCTCATGCCAAGTGTAGACTGTCACCAATTATTGAGAAGTTGGACTCTGAGGTTGCCTATGAAATACTTCAACATGCATTGTTCAGCGAGGCAAACTCATTGCCAAAGCCTAGACATCATGAACAGCAACATCAACAACATGAACAACAACAACAACAAGATGATGATGTAGTGGACACTGCAGCTGCAACTACATCCACCACTCCACCAACATCAACGTCAACTTCTAAATCAAGAACTAGAGCGGCGGCTGTCAATGCGAATGATAAGAATCTTGGAACAAAGAGGAAGGGCAATGACAGGAACAATAACAATAATAACAACATGGACCAAGATGATGAGGATGACGACACAACTATGGACAGTGACAAGGAGAATGAAGATATAGTACAAACAAAGAAGAAACAAAGGAAGGACATTATACCAGACAACAAAAGCATTAAGAGGAGTGATGTTATGCCAAGCAAAACAGCGGCTGTGGATATTGTGAAGAAACTTGGACAAGCCACTGTGGACAAGTTTGGTTCTGAACTCAGCAGACTTCTGGTGAGTCTTAGGGGCAAGACAAGTGTGGAGGTCATCAAGAAGAAGTTGTCAGCCTACGACAAAGGCGACAATATCGATCATCTACTGCAACATCAATTCACACTGAAGAGAATCTTTATCCATAATGGCATTGTCAGGAATATGCAATAGTCGCCAGCCTGCCATGTTATTCATTCAATCATTCATTGTTGTTAGGTAACTCCGATCGACAATAAAGTGAACAAACATTTTGTACGAAACATGGATTGATAGATGGACGCCATTCATTTATTTGATTGATTGATTGAGTGAGTGGATGGATCTGAGTTTGTGTTTGGCAAACTGGATTCCAAATGCTCCAGTTTGATTTGTTCGGGAAGGAGTAGTTGTTGCAACAACTTGGCAGCAGCTATTTAAATATGTACATTTGATTGATTGATTGATTGATTATATTTTGTTGATATATGTTACAGACGCAAGTTGAACTGATTGATACATTATGATCAGTTATCACGTCTGCCAAACAATGGAACGTTAATGTAGATTGGGATATGACCACCATCAGCAGCATTGTTGTTATTGCAGAATGGATCTGATGTCACCTTTACCAGAGAGTCTGCTGGGAAGAACTTTGGTGAGAGCTCAGGTGATTGTTCATTGCCTGAGGGCACTTGTTGTTCCAACTTATATTGTTGATTCATCATTTGTTGTTGTTGATATTGATAATGTTGTTGTTGAGGCATGTGTAGCATTGTTGATTTAAACTTTAAGTATAATAATAATAATAAGAATAGCTAACTAATATTTGTATGATTATTGATGTAGGTTGGATGTTGTTGAATTAAATGACAACTAGCTCGTTAACTATGTTACTGTCACTGCTGTGTATGAATGATTGATTGATTGAATCAAAGTGTGTCTAACTGACAGTCTGTGTGATTGTATGATTGTGTAATTGTACCAGGTAAGGGGTGAGGTTGAATCTATTCTATCTTTCTTTGTGTTGTGTGTGAAATGGTGGGTATAATTATATCTGTTTGTTTGATTGATTGAATGTTTGCTTTGTTGACAGGTGACAGCAGAATGAATGAATGTGTGAGTTTAAATTGTTGTTGTTGATTGTTTGTGTGTATCTGTGTTCTCGAAAGTTATTAAAGACAACCTAGAATTGTGTTTGTTTGCAATGTTCAACGTGGGTATTGACTATGTGTTTGATTGTTAGTTGGTTCGTTGTTGACAACCATCACAAAACAACGAGTGAGTCCAATTAATAAATATTAAAGAATTGAATTACCAAAATAGGAATTTTTGCACTAGCCCCCCATTATTTTTTTGATACCTAACCAAAAAAAGACATAACCAAGAAATATGATTGTGATATCATTTTTTAATATTAATATCCCCGACATGTCAGGGGAACCTTCAAGTGAAGGCAGTTGCTGGCTGATGCGGATAATGGGCTATGAATATTTGATCTAATCTCTCTTGATCATCGTTCAATGATAATCTATCTTGTAAAATATCTATTCCCATTGGCAAAAGAATACAACGAGAACAGAAATATAATGCTATGTGCATATCAAATGAGTCCTTGATCAGGGAGACAAAAGATATATTATGTCTTTGTGAAGTTACATCACAATGTACAGAGGAAATATATGTTTGAGTCCTATCATTTCTCCTGGAACACCATAATTCTACTATCAGATTTACATTTCTTCCTAGGAATATTGGCTCTGTTTTGGAATTTGGCCGTCTCCAAATGAATAAAAGAGAAACTATCTTTCAAGATGTGCACTTATACAAGTTGCTCTCGGTGTCATGATATACTTAGTATTGTTCTATTATTTGTATAAATATAAAGTTGTAGTTGTTCAATATTGAGTTGTGGTTGTAGTCATTAACACAACTTGTAGATTCTTGACATTCTCAACCATTTTTAAAAAGATATTGTTGTTGTTGGATGGCGTGTTGGTGGGGGTGAGATTACAAACGGGAACAGAATGAGGTGAGACATGAGTTGCATTGCGATTGAGGACTGATTGGTTGATTGAATGTTCGAATGAATGAGTGCGTCACTATTGTTACTGTTTGTGTGGTCTTGTAATAATAATAACTACTATAACTATTATAACTATATATATAAATAATTTAGAATGAATGTATAGTTAAATTATAACAAGACATGATATCTCTTTCAACATTTTCAAACACTACTTCTACAACTGATCAACATGGTCATGTTGAACCAGAGATAAATACAAAGATAAAGAAGAAGTTTGAAGAGTCTATAACATACTTTACAAACGTTGTACAGACTATATTATTGGATGATCAATCAAATAATGATCATGGACAACTACAAAGTATAAATAATATCTTGAATGATAGTCAACATCAACAACAACAACATCAGCCACATCATCGAAGGAGTATTGGATCAAGTTCAAACAATGACATTCAAGATGACCATGATGACCATGATGATGACGATGATGATCAAACTGGAAACAGAAGCATCCTCACAACATTATCAACTCCATCACATGTATTGAGTGCTGGAAACAGCAATAATCAATCATTGTTTGCTAGTCCACCTCCAGAGTCTGCCAGCAAAACGAGGAAGAGAGAGAAACAAAGACTACTGGATACAATAATTTCACCAAAGTCCGATCAATCATTCACCATCCACGAGGATGGCTCATCATCACAGCATAGTAGTAGCAATGAGGACAATGGCAATGACCGTGACTCGTCATCTGATGACAAGGCTCATCATCATCGTGAGCCTACCAAAGCAGAGACACTGCATCAATTCAACAAGGCACTCTGGAAACTGAGCAGTCGACATCGTGAGCAACTCTACTTCTCCCTATCCTCTGTCCAAGATGGTGGTATCGTCAGCCAGTTGGTCACTCAAAGTTTGAACACCTTTGTCGAGGAGTGTTATCAAGGTATGATTGAATGATTGATTGATTGATTGATCACTACCTAACTGATCGTCCATATCCAGAGTTGACCAATAGGTTTGGAGACAAGTATAGCACTCAGATACAATTGTTAAAGATGGGTCGTGTGTCACCAGAGATTGGGATCAATGGAGCACCATCAGTGGAGACTTATACACCAGTTTATAGAGCCGCCGACAAGGATCTTAATATTGATCTTCGCTCAATAGTCAAACGAACATTCAAATCAATCAGAGACAAATATACAATATACGATGTATTATACTCATTATTCCCAATCGCCACCTGGCTGCCGAGGTATGTACCATCCAACTTCCACCTTCCAACTACCAACTTCCACATTTACTCACTCATTCATTCAATCACTTAGATATAAGCTCAGGTATTTAAAGGATGACATATTGGCATCATTAACAATTGGATTCATGCTGGTTCCACAGGCTATGGCCTATGCCATTCTTGCCCAATTGCCACCGATCATTGGACTCTACTCTGCATTCATCTCACCAATTGTATACAGCTTCTTTGGCACTTCCAATGAGATCCATGTTGGTCCAGTGGCCATGGTTTCACTACTCATTCCAACGTATGTCCACTGGAACTATCCCAATCACTCAATCAATCACTCATTGATTCATACAATCATTCAATCATTCAATCATTCATAGGATCGTCACTGCGACAGTTGGAACTGAGGATTATATAACATCAGCGGCATGTCTTTCATTGCTGACAGGTCTGATACTATTCTTCTTTGGAGTGTTCAAGGTTGGATTCATCATTGAGAACCTGTTGAGCAATCCCATCTTGTTGGGATTCATCCAGTCCGCTTCAATATTGATCATATTCAGTCAGTTGAAGAACTTCACCGCCATCACTATACCACCGACATCCGCCACCATTGTAGATTACTTTGAGGCCATCATCGAGTATGCCTCAACCATCAACTGGTACACCGTACTAATTGGCAGTGGCAGTCTAGTCATACTCATTGCCGCCAAGTTCCTCAACAAGAAACTAAAGTACAACATACCAATGGCCGTCATCATCCTCGTCCTTGGCACATTAGTATCATACTTGGCCAACTTTAGCACAGTAAGTATCGTGGCATGATCAAGGCCGACCAATCAATCACATACTTACACATCATATCATAACAAACATAGTCACTTGGTATCAAGACAATCAGTGATATACCATCTGGTATACCATCACCAAAGTTGGTGCCATTGACATTGACCAAGATAGCACATATGGTAGTTGGATCATTCTTGATTGCTATATTGGGCTTTGTCGAGGCAGTCTCTGTCGGCAAGAAGTTTGCAGCATGTAGGAAGTACACAATTGATACAAGTCAAGAACTCGTCGCACTTGGCATGTGTAACATCGTCCAAGCATTCTTCTCCGGTTACCCTACCACCGGTTCATTCTCAAGGACTGCCGTTGCATTCCAGGTATGTCCACACTCTCTCCAGGCGATCACAACACAATCACTCACTCATTCAATCACTCAATCACTTCAAACAGATGCAAGCCAAGTCTAGAATGACATCATTACTTAGTGGAGTGATTGTTATGATGGTATTGCTGTTCTTGACACCATTGTTCAAACATACACCATTGTGTATATTGTCGGCGATTGTTATTGCTGCGGCTGTATCATTGTTTGAGTTCAAAGAGACAGTGGACCTGTATAGGAAGAAGGAGTACATTGGCTTCTTCCAACTGACATTCGTGTTCATCTTCACATTGCTACTGGGATCACAACGTGGCATCAGTATTGCATTTGTCGTGTCGATACTCCAGATCATATTCTTCTCGTCGCGACCCAACCTCGTCACACTGGGCCGCCTGCCCGGCACCATGGTCTTCCGCAACGTTAGTCACTACCCCGACGCCATCATCTATCCAGGTATCATGATCATTCGATTTGACTCGCGCATGACTTACTACACAATCAATCATTTCCGAGACCGTATGATCAAGATGCAGTTGGAGAGCACAAATGGCGCCACCAAAGTGATCATTATCGACTCGGTCAACGTCAGTTCGATTGACAGCACGGCGATCGATGTTCTGGGCGACATGATCGAAGTGTACAATGACAGTGGAATCACTGTATTATGGTCTGATCTACGTCCAGTGATCACAAGAGTGATGCAACATTCTGGATTCATCAATCGCATTAACAAATCACATATATTCACTAGTACCAGTTCTGCAGTTGACTTTGCTCAAACAATATGTCATCAAGATGAGCAACAACAGCAGCAGCAACAACAACAACAACAGCAATCATTCCATCAGTTGGATGTGTTCAATCCCAATCAATAACAAATATAACAATCAATCATTCCAGGTCAATCCACAGTCGTCTGTGTTTGTTGTGATTGAGTGGTGTGTGAATGGCAAGACTAGGGGGTATCTTGGGATACAGATAAGAATGGGAACTTTAGTATACCCCTCAGATTGATGCCCATTCATGGTGCAACAACCATTCGTTCGTTCATTGGGCATCCATCTGGTATTGTATCTTAATTATTTCTGAAAGTATTAATAAATATTTAAGAATTATAAAAATATTTATAAATATCCATTAATATATAAATAATACTTTATTCGAATTTGTTACGTATACCAAAGTATATATTTATAAATAATATAGATATCTATAAATATATTATCTACCTCTTCAATCAAAGACAACTTCGGATTACTTTTCCATCAACATTCATTTTGAGCTCCGACTTCAAGACGACGTTCCCAATCCAAGTGTAGTTTTTTTTCAATTCGTCGAGTCAGTTCACATTCATCGAGAACCCACTCAACAACGCACATTCATTCATTCATTATCATTCCCATCTATTATTATTACTTTATTGTTATAACAATACAATACATATACTATATATATATAATATACAATTATGGACCAACAGTGTTTAGAAGCAATTGCTACACAGATATCACAATTCTCTGAAATACCTGTAGATCAGGTGATTCAATGCATTGAGGTACCAAAGAATAGGGACCTGGCAGATCTCGCACTGCCAGTGCCCCGTATGAACAAGTTCAAGAAGCTGGCAGGCAACCCTGCTCAGCTGGCCGCTGACTATGCCGCCAAGTTTGTCGTCGGCAACATCATCCACGAGGTCACCGTCGCCGGCACCTACATCAACTTCAAGGTCAACCGTGTGATGCAGACACAGTCCATTCTGAAACAGGTGTTGTCCCTTGGCGACAAGTACGGCTCGACCACTCAGGGCGCCGGCAAGAAGGTCATCATCGAGTTCTCCTCGCCCAACATTGCCAAGCCCTTCCACGCCGGTCATCTCCGTTCGACAATCATTGGAAACTTCATTGTCAACATCCACAAGACGCTCGGCTACGACGTCACCTCGATCAACTACCTCGGAGACTGGGGCAAGCAGTATGGTCTGCTGGCCATCGGCTTTGAGCGTTTCGGAACAGAGGAGGAGCTGCAGAAGGACCCAATCAAGCATCTGTTCGATGTCTACGTCAAGATCAACGCCGAGGCAGAGTCTGACCCAACCATCCACGACGCCGCTCGTGCCTACTTCAAGCGCATGGAGGAGGGAGACAAGGCTGCACTCGCCGTCTGGTCTCGTTTCCGTGACTTCTCCATCGAGAAGTACAAGACCATCTACGATCGTCTCAACGTTCACTTTGACGTCTACTCTGGCGAGAGTCAGATGTGCGATGGCATGGTCACCGCCTACCAAAAGCTCGAAAGCATGGGACTCGTTCAAGACTCCCAAGGTGCCAAGATTATCGATCTATCTGTAACTATCATCTGAATGGAAGTCAAGTTGAGGTGTTGTTCGCGACAGTTTAAACTAACATTCAATCACTCAATCATGTCAACATCAATAGACTGGAAAGCCAGACCTTGGAAAGGTGTTAGTAAAGAAGACTGATGGATCAACTCTTTACATCACTCGTGATATCGCCGCTGCATGTGGACGTAAGGAGCAGTACAATTTTGAGAAGATGGTCTACGTCGTTGCCTCGCAGCAGGAGCTGCATTTCCGTCAGCTGTTCAAGATCCTCGACAATATGAAGCTCGAGTGGGTCAAGGACCTCACGCACATTGGTTTCGGCATGGTCAAGGGCATGTCCACACGTAAGGGAACCGTCGTGTTCTTGGAGCAGATCCTGGAAGAGTCAAAGTCAATCATGTTGGAGACGATGAAGAACAACGAGGCAAAGTTTGCCGAGATCGAGAACCCCGAGGAGGTCGCCGACATCATTGCCGTGTCGGCCGTCATCATGCAGGACTTCTCTGCCAAGCGTCACAAGGACTACGAGTTCAACTGGGACCGTATGCTCAGCTTCGAGGGCGACACTGGCCCCTATCTCCAGTATGCCCACGCTCGTCTGTGCAGTATCGAGCGTAAGACTGGCGTCACACTCAACCCAGAGGCCGACCTCACTCTCCTGGTCGAGCCAGAGGCCTACGCCCTGGCCTCGGTCATCCAGCGTTATCCCGAGGCTGTTCAGACTGCCTTCACCTACAACGAGCCAAACACCGTCGCCACCTACCTCTTTGATCTGTGCCACGCCTTCTCGACGGCCCACAACGTTCTGTGGATCAAGGATCGCGAGCAGGCCCTCGCTGAGGCTCGTTTCTCCCTGTTCACCGCCGCCAAGCTGGTCCTGGCCAACGGATTGCGTCTGCTTGGTCTCCGTCCACTCGAGCGTATGTAATAAACAAAGAGGAGAGCTGTGCTGTGTTTCACCAATCTCCTGGCAGGGCACTCTTGTCGCTGCCTTGGCTTTTCTTTAAAGACTTTAATCAATCAATCATCGATGACTTCCAGTACTTTATTCCCATTACTTTGTCAATGATGTATTATTCATTCGTAGCCAATCTTCTGTTTGTTGAGTGGATTGTCCACAACTTGGTGGTGGTGTTGGTAACATATAATCCTCTTGTTCTTCTTCTTCTTGTTGTTGTGGATGTTGTTGATGTTGTAGTAGTGGATGCTGCTCGCCATTGCTTGTTTGATCACTATTCTTGACAAGGTCATCAAGAATGGATGGTACAGGAGTGTCTTCGATATGTTGTGGAGTGTTGGCAACGACGTTGGTGGGGACGAATGTGTAAGGTGATCCTTCAAAGATTGAACAAGTATTATTGGGCATTGATGATGAGTTGTGTTCCGACGATACCCTCAGAGTGTACGGTGAATTCCCTGATGATATTGAAGAGCTTGAATGATTGACATTGTTGTTGGACACTTGTTGCACATTGATAGAGTCAACATCATAGTCAAAGCTGAGTTGTGAGATGTTGTTGACAGCTCCATCGTATCCACCATTGTCATAGACATTGCCATTTCCAGTGCCAGTGACAGCTCCATTGAGATATCCAGAGTTGCCAGCAGTTGTAGTTGTCCTATTTACATTTGTGTATGATGAGCTGAACAGGATTGGACTGTCACCAAAGCTAAAGGATGTGTTGTTGCTCGTACCACTTCCATCTCCATAATGTGTAGTCACCATATTGTTGTTGTTGTTGTTGAGGTTCATTGTCAATTGGTTAGGTTTATATTTAAATATACTACTATTATTATTATTGTTGCTGTTGTTGATTGGTTGGTGTAGTAGTGGAGGTTGATCCAATGGATTGGATGGAGGTGATATTGCATCATCGTCTGGATTGGCAGTGAACATTGCTGCCTGGCACTTTCTCAGATATTGTTTGGTACTTATTGCTTTGTTGTCTTTATGTACATTGTTGTCGATGTGATTGTTCTTGATGATATTGTTTCCATTCTTATCAACTCCACTACTACTGCTACTCTTTGTGTTCACCTTTTGTGGCGATCCTAGTGATGATCGATGTACAAAGTTCTGTACAGGTGGATCGCGGTCAGTCAATGAATAAACTCACGTCCACAAGTCCATCAGCTTGCTCACAATCAACATACCAAGTCTACTTCCTTGCTTCCAACTCGTAGTTTAAGTTTCCTATTTGGTTTACATCCTAGTATATTGGCAACGTTTAGATCAAATGCTACTGGTTCACTATGTCTTCCTCTTGACCTTGAGTTTCTTGCTCTCTTTGAGTACGATGTATTTGTTGATACTGCTGTTGTTGTTGTTGTCTGGTTGTTGATATCGAATGGGTCAAACTCGTTACTCGTGATATGATTCATTGTACCAAAGTGATGATGATCATATGTATGTCGAAGTAGTTCACCAAGTCAACTGTTGTTCGTGCCTCATTAACCTTGAAAGCTCCTTCCAGAGTTGACGATTGACTGACTTTGATTTCCTGGAACTGGACAACCCCCATTTTCTTTATTTATGGGTTTCATGAGGGATAATAAACTTTGATATCAAGTACTTTGAACGATAGTTTTGATCACTATTATCTATACTTATTCAAATGAATGATGTAATAAATGTAGATGATGATGACGATGATCAGGTTGTCGTTCCAGCAACAACAACTACGACAACAACAAGCACAACTTCAACTTCAACAAACAGGACAGGATCTTCATCTACAAACACTTTGGATAACAAAAGAGTTCCAATTAGACGGCCTTTGAACAATAAACGACATCAAAGGTCAGACCTGTTGGCTTCAGTCCATGAAAGGAGACTTCTCCAACAAGCATCACAACCTTTATTACAACAACAGCCAGTGCAGCCGCCTCAAAGGATTCAACCACCTCAACATCCACAACCGCAACCTCAACCTCATCATCCACCTAAACAACAACAACATAATGTACATAATCAACAAATAATAGACCAAGAACAGCCAAGGCGACTTGGAAACCCTGTTAGTGGCAACAATATTCCAATTGAGCAATCGAGCGACCTGAGGAAGCAACTCGATCTCATACGAAGAAAGAAGCACCAAGAGTACAGGAATGACAAGTATGCATTCAACTCCACTCAACCAAACTTCTACCTCGAGTACAGTCTACTCACTATCTCACGCACTATCAGACTTAGCACAAAGAAGATGTACACTCTCTCTGACTTGGGTGAGTTACAAAAGTCTGACAATGATGCAAAGATGTACTTTGCCTCTCTGCCCTCGTCATCATCGTCCAACAACAATAGATCAAAAGTGCATACAATTGGAAATACATTCATGGACCCAGAGGCCATTGGAAGGAAGTCCCTTGAGTTAACCAATGCATTCAGGAAGACACACAACAAACCTCCATTGCAATGGCACCAAGCTCTCTACACCATTGGTGTTGAACATTCAAAGAGTATGTCTGTCCTTCGTCCTCACTCACTTGTCCACTCACTAACTCAACTCATTACAGACATGGCAGAAAACAAGGTAGCATTTGGACATGATGGATTCGATAATAGAGTGTCTAGATTCCCATTTGCTCATCAGAAGTCTGGTGAGAATGTGGCCATGAATAATATGGATGCAACAGTTGCCGAGACTGCAGTTGAAGGATGGATACACTCCAAAGGTCATCGTGAGAACCTACTTGGACACTTTAACATCTGTTCAATAGGTGTATACCAATCCAACGATGGTAAATGGTATCTCACTCAACTATTCGCGCTGACCTAGTTTGATAAAAATGGGAATGTAGTCGATCAATCAATTAGATGATCAATCAATCATGGAATCATTACCATATATATTATTAAAGTGTATAGTTTTAGAGTTAACAAACAATGTCGATCGTATTATGTTGTCATTGACTTGTAGACGACTGTTTGATGATCGATCAAAGTATCTTCAATTCGATGTCAGTCGTATACTTAAACAATATCATGTCGCCAATAACTCTATATACAATCAAATCATCAACGACGATATCAACAACAAGTCTTTAACAATCAATATCTCTACTGATGACGATCCACCCGATGGTTTCAATCATGATCATGTTATAATTTATGGTATGTAATTGGTCATTCATGTACTCAATCACTATTACTCATTCAATCAATCAAGACCCGAGTATAATGACACCTGAACAGTTGTTCCAACAAGTGATGAACTTGTGTAAAGATCATGATAATAGTATTGATTTATTAACGTTGGATGATAAAGTTGATAAACCATTCGATGAATCATTCTGGCAATATGTCAGTACAAATCAGTTGGCAAGGAGTATGATGAGCTCGACAAGACGAGTGGAATACTATAATCAATCTTCATTGTCGACATTCATACCCAAACATGTTCCAATAACAATGATGGTACACGCACCTCCACCTCAATTTCCAATGAATAGCGATGCCGATCAATTCCCCGACACACTTGACAACCTCATACTCATTAATGAGGGCAGTCTGAGACGTCCTGGATGTCTGCCTGTGGGCCTAAAGTCACTATTGTTGGACAATCTTTTGGACTTTGACAGGCCTTTGTGGCCAGGTATCCTGCCGCCCCGATTGGAGTCGCTCAAACTCGGACGAAGCTTCAACCAGCCCATCCCCAGAGGTGCCCTCCCCGCCACCATTAAAGAACTGTCATTTGGAGTCAACTTTAATCAACCACTGGACATCAACAATCTTCCACCTTCATTGACCAACCTATCCCTGGCATATTCATCATTTAATCACGCATTATCCAACTTGCCCACCAACCTCACACATCTGGCACTTGGAGCAGACTACAATCAACCAATAGATTGTCTGCCGCCACTCTTGGAAATGCTCAGACTATCTTCGCGCAGCCCCTCGTTCAAACCCAACGCCACATTCCCTCAACTCAAAGTACTTCTATTCACTGGTATCAATCCTGATGTGCTGGCCAACGTCACCTCAATAGCATTTCCATCACTGGTTAATCTCAAGATACATGGTATCATTGAACAGCCGAACGTTGAGACGGGACCGCCACTCGATCTCGGCCACCTGCCCTCAACCCTCAAGTCATTGCTCGTTATCACCAAACGTACATTCACATCGCTGCCCAACAGCATCGACACACTTACTCTGGGTCACTTTACAAGAGGTGACCCTATTACTATAGTGAGGGGTTTGCCTCATTCATTGACAGCGCTAAACATCTTCTCGTACATACATCAAATTGACATTGAAGCATTGCCGTCTTCACTTCGATCTCTTGAATTCACACATTCAACTCGTGAGGTCAATGATCTGGCGACCCTAGTGTCCAAACTACCAGAATCTGTCGTATCATTAAAATTGAGTGGACAACCTTATTATCTACTCAAGATTACCAACAATCTGTTCTTCAAGTATTCACAAAACTTGCAAAGTACTGGATTCATTGACCTTCCTACTCTCCAAGCCTATATTCAATATGTCAACACACAACAACAACAACAACAACAACAACAAGAATAAAGAATTATAGACATATCTGATACATTCATTACCTCGCTACATGTTGTTGTACAACATTATATATTCCAATACATCAACAACCAACATTGTTTGTTTATCGATAAGGATAGATGTGAGTGAACACGTTATGAAGCCGTATGATCACGCACAGAACGTCGAATGGAATGGAATTCCGCTCCCAAAACAACCACTAACTTCTCAATAAACACCACCCTCTCACTTGTTACGGCTTTTGATATAGATTGCGTGTGTGTGTTTGTTGCTTTGAGAGAGAGTGCGAGAAGCAAAGTAAAGCAAAGCAAACAAGGTGCCAATAAGAAGCTAAATCGTGCACCCCTCCTCACCTTTGGATCATTAATCTTACGAAGAATCATTCATTCATTCATTCTCTTGTTCTCTCACTCTCTTGCACTTGAGCATAACAACCATTTTGCTTCATCATCTTCATCATAACATCGTATCATTATTATTTATTTATAACTTTCACGTGAAAGTCAACGAGTATCAAGAATACAAGATATCGAGTTTAGTAATATATATATAGTTATATGTATAATAATAACAAAGACATGGATTCAATATCAATTCCAAGACCAATTATAAACTTTTATGGAGCACCTTCTCCCAATGTTGTAAAGGTTCACCTTATGTTTAAGGAGTTGGGAATTCCATTCTCCTATCACGAACTCAATATACGAAGAGGAGAACAGTACTCGCCAGACTTTGTCAGAATCAATCCAAATGGAAAACTACCTGCCATCGTCGACTATGATGTTCCAGGTGATGAACCCATCTCTGTATTCGAATCAGGCAACATCCTCCTATACCTCTCAACAAAGTACAAACGATTCATGCCCAGTCCTTCAGATGATCCAAGAGGTCACACAGAGGTATAGTGTATCCAAATACGTGTGAGATCAAACCATCATAATCTAACCATTCATACACTTACTTGTACACAGGTATTGAACTGGTTATTCTGGCAAATGTCCAACTTGGGACCAATCTTTGGAAATTGGTATCACTTTAATGTTTATGCACAGGAGAAGCATCAGTACTCGATCCAAAGATTCTATAATGAGCTGAGAAGATTGTTCCATGTACTCAATTCAACGTTGGCCACTAGAACTTATATTGCATCCAATGACGAGTACACGATTGCTGATATGGCTTGCTACCCATGGACCAGATACATCCACATCACCGATCTGAAAGAGGACGAGTTCCCTCATCTGTTCAGATGGTTGGCCATGGTCAAGAGTCGTCCTGCTGTGCAGGAGTTGGAGAAGATGGAGGAGGATCAAAAGACCAAGCCAGCGAACCCACCCTCACCCACCGCAGCGAGCGAGGAGCGCAAGTACATCTCGCTCTATGGCCGCAGCAGCAGCAGCAACCAGGAGACCGCCGTTGGCGCCTCCAGGTAGGCTTGCTTCGACCAGCCGCTCCAAGCATTGCTGTAAATAGTATCAACCTGTGGATAACAACAACTCAATCTACAGGGTCTTGGAGGAGGTGGATCACACACTCGACAGCCACCAAACTGGCGAGTGGATGCCTCACCATCCAGTTGACAACACTCACATCACAGAAGCGATTGATTGGTACAGGATCATTTCAAAGGAATGACTGCACCATTGTTGGTGACAGTCCATCAACCTTTGTCAATCAATCTATCACTTAATTAGTGAGTATATATTTATGTACACGATGGAGACGATAACAAGTAATAAATAGTTACTTGCTTCGCTCATAATCTTTGATCAACTCTTCCATTATTGATTTTGTTGACGTTGCCTTCTTTGACAGCTTGGCACTTCCACCAATCCAAAGATGGCAAAGGTCTGTGTTGCCTTGTGCCATTGCAGTCTTCCTAATGTCCGTTGTCAATATATGTTGGATGGGGAAGGGTGGGATATCATCACCAAACTCCTTCTCAACCAACTCTATAAACTTGTTGTTGATAGCTCTTGCATACCGTCCAGTGAAACATTTGGTAAAGACAATGTCCGTTTGATTTGGAGGATGTGAAGTGAAAGCAGTACCAATCTCGACTTGATTAGTTTGAGATGCCTTTGCAATGACATCCTTGTAGTTGTCTGGTGAACCAGACTCGATGCATGGAATGAATGCACTTCCAACTTGTACTGCACTTGCCCCTGCCTTGATCATCGCAGCAATGTTTGCTCCATTGGATACTCCTCCTGAGCAGATCAATGGAGTCTTGATTCCAGCGTCGAGGCAAGATTGAAGCAACTCCATTGTTGGGACCAGAACAGATGATCTTTCTTGATTGGGCAGGAATGTTCCACGATGTCCACCAGCCTCTCTTCCTTGCAACACGATGCCATCGATATTAGCTCTATCCAACTCTTGAGCCTCTTTTATGCTGGTTGCAGTACCCATGATAACAAAGTTCTTCAAACGGAACTGGTCCAATGTCTTTTGATCGGGGATACCAAAGGTGAAGCTGAATACCTTTGGACCTTGATGAGGTCCCACCTCTTCCAACAACAGTTCACATTGTGCTTTGAAGCGTTGTTGATCATCTGGAAAGTCGAATGAGTCTAGAGTGCGATGAGCTAAACCCAATGGTGTCCTGAACTCTGTATTTAGGAACTGATTCATTCGTTGTAGCAATGGTTGTAGTTGTGACCATTGTTCACCACCAGGTAGAAAGGACACCGGCAATGAAGGTGCAAATAGGTTTATGTTAAAAGGTGCCTGTCCAATCCCAGCCAAAATATCACGACAATTCTGTCTAAAGTCTGGTAGAGTAAGATATGCTGCACCCAATGATCCCATTCCAGCTGACTTTGATACATCGATTACCATCCTTGGTGTGGAAGGTCCACCTGATCAGTGTTAACCATCATCATCATTTTATTGTCAATCAATCAGACAGACATACCTGATAGAGGTGCTTGAATTATAGGATACTCTAGGGATAACCTATTCATTAATCTTATCATTCTATGTGTATGTGTGTATAATACTGAAACAAATAATAGATTGCAATTGTGAAGGCCCAGGGTCTCAAAAAAGACCCAGATGATGAACATCAGCAAGTGTCAAAGGTTATAACCTTTTGCATCTTAGTTATATTGGGTATGAATGTCTGTGAATGGATGGTGATGATGATGGCAATAAATAAGATGATTTATTGGAGGCCAATTTGTTTGTAAGACTAGATTGGACTGGACTGGACTGGATCGTGGAATAGTATCCAGCAACCAACTAGGACACGTTGGTGTGTGGCGATATTATATATAGCAACGTGACACGCTTCACGAAACAAGTGGACCTTTGCAGTCGGCCTCGTTTATGGTTTCTAAACACATGATGGATGATGGTGTGTGTGATGGAGGGGGAGGTGAGGGAACTGGATGGGACTGGATTGATGGATGGACTGAATAATGTAGTTATATTGTTGAATGTTGTTGTTGTTGTTGTTGTTGTTGAAAGTTGATGTCGGGATCGGTTAATTATATACACCTTTGTTGAATAGATTGATATCGTAGTACTCTGCCTTGACAATGTATCCACTGAAGTATCTTCCATTCTGTTTGGACAAACAGAGTGCGCATGATGATGGCTCCTTGAATAGGATGTAGGCCTTGACCGAGGTGTTGTGCGTCAGGACGACCTTCTCCACTTGTCCAAAGGTCATGCACTCTGTCTTGATCTCTTCTTCAAAAAACTCATCGATATCACTTGGTGATCCAAGGTTGCGAAGCACCAAGCAACGCTAGAATATGGAAGAGAATGGAGGATGTTGCTTGGATGTTAGTGGATCGGTCAGTGGTTGGACTGGACTAATGATGCTACTTACACGAAGTGAATCAGGCTGTTGCAGTAGCTTCTGGGTCAATTGTATCCTTTGTTCGTTGGTCAGTGTGATATCATCCTCAAATGATTCTGATGCACTGTTGTTGTTGTTGCTGCTGCTACTGATGTTTGATGTGGATGTTGAAAGCATTGAAGGTGGAATAGGAGTGGAAGGCTTTGATGGCTCAGTTGTTGAATTCTTTATGGGTCTTCCAACCTTGATCTGTCTGCCTCCAATCTCATATCCATTCAATGTTGCAATGGCGTCCTCTGCAGCCTTGGGATTATCATAATCAATGAATCTGAATGAGTGAGCAAGTATTAGTAAATGCTTGGACAAAGATATATATGAATATGTGTACATACCCGTATCCTTTGTGACGACCTGATTCTTGATTAGGCATGAGCATGCATGATACGACATTGCCAATCGAGCTGAATATTAACTTGATCTGCTCTTCGGTGATGTTCCATGGTATCGATCCAACATAGATCCTGTTCTCTGAAGCCATGGGATCGGGTGGGGTCTTGGATGACGAAGGAGTGACCGGTGGCTGAACTGCTGCTGCTGATGTTGTTTGGGACTGTTGTAACTGAACTACTGCTGCTGCTGGTGCTACTGCTTGGACGGGTAGGGGTTGGGGCTGAGGCTGAGGTGGTAGTATGGGTATGGTGATGAGTGGCGGATTGACCTGGGTGGCCAGGATGGATGAGAGGGAAGTGAAAGATGTGGGTGTGTGGGATGGCGAGGGCATGGGCGTGGACTGCTTGCTGCCACCGGCGCCCGGCATGAATGGACGGCCCACCTTGATGGGACGACCTGACAGGTTGTACTGATTCATCGTCTGGATGGCGTTGGTGGCGGCATCAGGATAGGCGTACTCGATGAAGCAGTAGCCCTTGGACTTGCCCGTGGCGTCCTTGGAGAGTGACAGCGTCTTGATCGGGCCAAACGGCGCAAAGATGTTGGTGATGTCCGTCTCGGTCAAGCTGAAGTTTATGTTGCCAATGTAAATCCTCGATTGGTTCTGCTCGGCGGCCTGCTTGGGCGACACGGTGGACACGGCGGGGCCCGTCGAGAACTGTTGCTGCTGCTGATGCAGTTGCTGACTGAGCAACGCAATGTTGTTCAGGGACGAGCTGGTTGTGCTGGACTGGGGCTTGGATGATGATGATGATGATAGTGATGATGATAAGGAGGATGACGTAGAGTTGGGGGAGGAGGTGTATTGTACAACATTGGGTGATGGCAAAAGTTGTTGCAGTTGTTGCTGTTGCAGTGGCTGCTGTAGTGACTGCTGCTGCTGATGCAGTGGGCTTGCAGATGTTAAAAGTACTTGCTGACCTCCTATCATCTGCGTCAGTGAGTTGGGCTGAAGTTGTGCCATCATCGCACTGGTAGTTGGGCTTTGTGGAGCTGTTGTTTGGGTGGGTGGTGTTAGTCACTGGCATCGTCCATAGTTGCGAGTTACGCGCTACTTACCCTCTTGAGGAAGGTTGTCCCAACCAGTGGACTTCTTCTTTATGATCATTTGTTGTTGATCTGATCGCTCGGGTGATCTGATCCTCTTACGTGTCTCTCCTCCGCCGCCACCACCTCTCTTCTCTTGGTATCCACTGCCAGCCTCGACACTCCTGCTTCGACTTCGACTTGAGTACCGACTGGACTTTGACAATGACGACGACGATGACTGTTGTCGTTTATAGTATCGGTCACCTCTGTCCTTGCTGTCTCTGTCTCTGTCCCGGCTCGAGCGATACTTGTCTCTACCACTACCACTGCCTCCAAATGTTGTGGAGCCCGATCGGCTACCACCACTTCTGTATCGATCGCTCGATCGGCCACCACTCTCCTTAACTCGCTCGCGCGATCGGTCTGAACGGTCGCGACGGCCGCTCGATCGTCTGCTGCGCGACTCGGACTCGCGAGTCTTTTTGCGGTCGCGGCTCTCGACGCGTCGTCGATCGTCGTACTTGTCGCGCGACGATGACTTCCTGACGAGCTGGCCGTCCCTGCTGCGACTGGACGTCCTCTTCTTCTTGCTGCTTCGGCTGCGACTGCGACTGGGACTGCGGCTGGGGCTCGTGCTGTGATCCTTGCCATTGTTGCTGGCTCTACTCGCGCTCCTGCTCCTGCTCATGCTGCTGCGCGATCGTGAGCGCGAACGAGGAGTTCTAGATCTGCTCCTGCTGCTGCGGCTGCGGCTTACGCTCATACTGCTTCGACTGTCACTTCTGGACCTGCTCATGCTGCTCCGACTGCGGCTGCGGCTGCGGCTTCGGCTGCTCCTGCTCCTGCTTCGACTGCTCCTGCTCCTGCTCTTTGAGCTCCTGCTACGACTGCGACTGTAACTGTAGCTCCTGCTCCTGCTCCTGCTTCGACTGCTGCCTGAGCTCCTGCTCCTGCTCCGGCTCCTGCTGCCACTCGAACTGTGGCCGCGGCTGCGACTGCGACGTCTCCTCTCGTTGCTCAGACTCAAACTACGCATACTCAATGCGCTACTTCTGCTTCGTGATCTAGACCTTATGCCTGCGCCATCGCTATTGCTCCTGCTTCTACTACGGCTTTGGCTTCTGGACTTGCTTCGGCCTCTTCTAACACTATTCTTGTTATTGTTGTTATTGCTATTGTTGTTGTTGTTGCTGACCTTGTTGTTGTTGTTGTTGTTGTTATTGCTACGAGTGGATGTCTTCTTTCCGTTGTTGTTGCCAACAGAGTCTGTTGTTGTTGGCGACGAGACAGCTACGACAGCCGTATTAGTGCTGGTGCTGGTTCGCTCGCTGGTACGTGGACTCTTGCTTCGACTGATGCTCCTGTGAAACCTTCTTTTACTACTCCTTCGTTGTTCGGTTGATGTAGATGATGATGATGATGAAGTAGTTGGAGGTGGTTGTGATGTGAGTGGGTTTGTAGATGTTGTAGTTGTAGTTGTAGTTGTTGATGATGATAAAGATGATGATGATGTCCTTGCAGGTGACTTATTCACTAATGATGATGTATTGTTATTATTATTATTGTTATTATTACTATTACTCGGCGTTATGAGTGTTGATGAAGTGACGTTGTTGTTTGATCTGCTTGGAGACGAGGCTGCAGCGGCTGCCGCGCGGTCAATGGTTGAACCACCATTGAGCGATGATGATAGAGATGATGATGATGATGTCCTCGCCGGTGAACCAACAGGACTGTCCGACATCGTTGTCGTTGTTGTTGTACTAGTGCTTGTGCTTGCTCCACCACCACCTCCACCTCCGCCCTCAGCCTTTTTCTTCTTCCTATTGACCGAGTAACTCTTTGGACTTCTGCTTCTACTCATCCTCTTAATAATTTTGTTGTTGTTGTTATTATTATATATTGTTGTTTGTCTGTCTACACAGATACACTACTACACTGATACACTCATGTAGTTTATATATACTTGATCGTTTGATTGATTGATTGAATGATTATGTGAAAGAGTGAATGAGTGAATGAATGAGTGATGAGTAGTTGTGTGAATGAACGATTGAATGATGAATGAATGAATGAATGAATGAATGAGAATTGAGATAGATAGGGATTAGGTCAATGTCTGAGCAAAGGTAACAAGTGTGTTGGGCTGACAGCGTTCATGCGAGGGTCAGGCCTATGCGGGGTTTGTGTCGCAGTTGATTGACGATGATGTGAGAATGAGAAAGCTGGGACGTCAAACAACTTGTTTGTTAGTGTGTGTAGGTGTGTTTTTGCACACAGTATTTTGATTATTTTTTTGAGCGTTGGGCATTGAGCTCTCTCACATCCATTTCTCGGACGAATGAATGGTCACCCGCATGATGTCTGTATTGAGCGATGCTAAACTCTTTAGATCAAAGGGCCACGGGTACGCTTGAGGCACCTCCTTGTCTCTGACTCGAAAGTCAGCACAAATTATAATAGTAGATAACGATGATGATGGGATGGTAAGGGCATCAGATCAACTGACTGACTTCAGAGATATCTCTGACTGCTCATGTTGTTGGATTGAGATAACAAAGATAAGATTGTTGTTTGTTGTTGATGTGGTTGATGTTGTTGTTGGCTTGATCCACAACACACCAATAATGGGGGGAAATGATGGTATCCAGTATCCAAGTTGTTGGCTGGATGTGGCTGGCTTCCAAACATTCCCTATTGGGGGAGCATGATTGATATGATAACTGATGATCTTGTTTAAGGTATTACATTATTACTACATCCAATTTATTTGGGTGAGAACTGATTGATATGTTGTTGTTGTTGTTGTTTGGTTGTTTGATTGACAAAATGGTGATTGATTGATTGATCGATTTGATCAAAGATTATATGATTGATTGATCAGTGGTGCTTGGGAAGAGCCACAGTTACCTTGTCGATCAGGTACTGTACCACCTCTGGCTCAGCAAGCGTAGATATATCACCAAGTTGATCTGGTGTTGATTCGTGGCATGCTATCTTTCTCAATATACGTCTCATGATCTAAGTATGGTATGTGTTAGACACGATTTGAATGAATGGAATGATGATTGAATATACATACCTTTCCACTTCTGGTCTTTGGTAATGATGGAGTGATGATAATAACATCTGGCGTGGCGAATGGTCCAATGATCTTCCTGACCTCAATCTTGAGTGCGGATCTAATGTCATCAGTCTCCTCATAGCCAACCTTCAAAGTGCAAAAGGCCAGAATGCCTTGACCCTTGATATCATGAGGATATCCAATTACAGCGGCCTCTGCACATGATGAATGTCCAACCAATGCGCTCTCCAGCTCTGCAGTACCCAGGCGATGTCCTGCCACATTGATAACATCTATAACATTGTGTCAATCATCCAGTCAGTAAGTGAATATCCATATTACTGCCATGCCACCATGACGGCGACGGCGGTGTTACATACCATCAACTCTTCCTTGTATCCAATAGTATCCATCATTGTCTCTCTTGACTCCATCACCAGTAAAGTAATAGCCAGGGTATTGTTTCTGTTCAAGCACAGGGGTGGGAGGTGGTTAGGTCAACTGCATTCGATCGCTCAATCAATCTAGGACGGACATACCATATATGTTGTTAAATAACGAGAGTGTGACCTAAATACTGTCCTTGCAATACCAGGCCATGGACGATCAATTGCCAACACACCCTCTACGTTGTTGTTTGTCAACTCCTTGCCACTGTGAGGATCAATGACGGCCAGCTTGATGCCAAAGAATGGTAGAGTGGCACTGCCAGCCTTGGTTGGGATGGCGCCAGGCAATGGTGTCACCAAATGACCACCACTCTCTGTCTGCCAGTAGGTGTCGACGATGGCGCAACGGCCCTCGCCAACATGCTTATGGAACCATATCCAGGCCTCGGGATTGATTGGCTCGCCCACGGTACCAAGTACACGCAGCGACTTCTTGTTGTACTTTTCAATGTAGGACACGGGGAACTTCATCAGCGAACGGATAGCCGTGGGGGCAGTGTAGAACTGGGTTATCTTGTGTCTCTCCACCATGTCCCAATAGCGAGATGGTGTTGGATGCAATGGAGTTCCTTCAAATATGAACGTAGTAGTTCCATTGCTCAATGGTCCATAGACAATGTATGAGTGACCAGTGATCCATCTGTGAAGACGAGTAAGTGAGTATGAGGATTATGTACATGCTCGTTGACGGTCATTAACTTACCCTACATCAGCAACACAAGCAAAGATATCATTCTCTTGGATGTCAAATACATATTTGTGAGTCATGGTAGTGTAGAGTAGGTAGCCGGCTTGTGTGTGCACCAGACCTTTGGGTTTGCCAGTGCTGCCAGACGTGTAGAGGATGAAGAGAGGGTCCTCACTGTCGAGCACCTCGCATGGACAGTAGGGTTGCTGGTCAGGCATGGCCTCGTGAGCCCAGATGTCTTTGGCGGGGTAAAAGTCGATGGGACCGCCAGAGTTCTTAAAGACGATGACCTTTTGCACGCAGGGACAATGGACGGCGACCTCGTCGATCTTCTTCTTGAGTGGGATGGTCTTGCCGCCACGAATACCCTCGTCGGCCGTGATGATCACCTTGCAGTTGGCGTCCTGCACTCGGCTGATGATCGAGTCAAAGCCAAAGCCGGCAAAGATGACGCTGTGCACGGCACCGATACGGGCGCACGCCAGCATCGAGTAGATGGCCTCTGGCGTGTTGGGCATGTAGATGGCGACGGTGTCACCCTTGCGAACGCCCAGCGACTTTAGCAGGTTGGCCAGTCGGCAGGTCTCGAGGAACAGCTCGTAGTAGGTGATCTTCTTGACGTGGTCGGGACTGTCGCCCTCGTAGATGATGGCGTACTTGTCACGCTTTGTCTCCAGATGTCTATCAATACAGTTATAACTGACGTTCAACTTGCCATTATGGAACCAAGAAATGTCACCATTAATAAAGTTACCAGACATCACGGTAGAATATGGTTGGAACCAACTAATCAATTGATTAGCATGTGTTCCCCAGAACTCTGTTGGATTATCAATAGATTGTTGGTACATCTATATTATGTTTCAAGCATTAGTAAGTTGTCCATCATCATGAGACATCATCCTTCATTCATACTTCTTTGTATTGGTCAAGTGACTTGACATGACAGTTCTGGCTGTACTCTTGACCAGGGGTGTAGAGAGTGTCATGATCTTGCTCTACCATCATTCTTGTATCGTCTATCATCAGTAGTAAGTAATGTTAATGATGTGTAAGTTAAGTTGTTTGAATGAATGAATGAATGTATAATGATGTGATAAGATGTGATGTGATGTGATGTATATGTACAAATGTATCTGTATCTATGTATTTGAACAACAACAACAACAAACTAACTTGAGTAACTTATCCTAAACTATGTCCTCAGTCTATGTCTCTTGATGGTATCCTGTAACTGTCTAGCTATCTAACTCAACTCTCACTCATTCACTCATTCACTCACTATCATCCATTCAAACAACTCTCTGCAATGCATGGAAGCAAGGGAGTCAAGTTCAAACATCTAAACCCCCACAAACATCATACAAACATAACATTGGTGGTGCAGATGATGTGTGAGTCAGTGAGTGTGGGTGGGTTAAACCATAAGGTGGGTTGGATGGGTGGTACTGAGGACTCGTGTGTGGACAAGACTTCACCCCAAGGGAGGACCTTGTAATAAAAATAAAATGGAAGTGAATGATCAGTTCAGTCAATCGCCATGATTGCTCATTCCAAACAGAACACAAAGACGATTATGAATCAATCAATCACAAACAAACAAACAAACCAAAGTCATTCAAGAGATGTTGATGCGTTATGTGTGAGCGGATGGTTTTGGGTTGGTGCGTGCGAGGGACCGTCATGGTATTGGGGCCGGCTGGTATCCGGCATCCGGCTGGATGGTATTTGGTGATGGTATGCACGTGTATGAGGTCATTCGGATGGGTCGTGACCCAATAATATGGTCCCGACTTGTTGTTGAACTCTGGTGATGGGTGATATTATTACTCATTACTTACACCTTCTTTGGAGCATGTTGTAGTATCTAATGGTGTCGGGGCCTTGAATACCAGCCTTAATATCTTTGTTGGTTGTATGATTGATAGATTGATTGTAAGTATGATTGATTGTTAGTAATGGGTATTGTTGTACCTAAGTCAGTTAAATGAATGTCACAATGTGGCATCATGTTCCTCTTCAGACCCATCAGACCCTCACACCTTGGAACAAGCCTCGAGAGTCGATTCGATGAATGAATGACTGAATGTTTGATTGATTGATGGGTCTGGTTTTTCAGAGTATAGGGTCATAAGAGGTTGGACATGATCATGTTGGTTGGCTAGTGCAAAGGGCATTGTAGTCTACTTTATATTTACATTGATGCAAGGCAAGCGAGCAAGCAAACAAACAAACAAGATGGAGGAAAGATGTAATATAAAATTGTGGATGTTCATGGGCTGGTCGAACTGGCTGCTGGCCAGCTGGTCCCCAGTTAGTCTGTTCACTACTCCACATGTGTTCCTCTCTGTTCTCAGTTCTTTGACCTCCTGTGCTCCTTTAGAACCTTGGCCATCAACTTTCCAGTTGTGCTGGCAGCAGGCGCTTGTCTGCTTGTACTGGCCTTGGGTGATGACGATGAACTTCTGCCAACTGAATAAGAAGAAGATGAATAGGATCTACCGCCACCGCCGCCGCCACTTGCTCTTGGCCTATTGTCTGGCATTGAGATGACCTTGATCTGTTTGGACTTTTTCTCTATGTATATGTTATAATGTTAGGATTATCACATCAATCCAATCAATCCAATCAATCAAGTCAACATACCATTCTCCTTCTCGTTATACTGTGATCTCAATGCTCTTATACTCCTTGTTGTTCTCTCCTGGTAATCATTCTGAAGTTTCTGTTTGTTGGTCATCGTTTGATTGATTGATTGTGTTCGTTAGAATAATACACTGATGCAGTAGTGAACACAACATATAACATACATTGTAATAAGCCTTCCATGATCCTACGCCATGTTCCAAAGTCTCCACATTGAACTCTACAACGCAGAACCTCCTCCAAATGAAGCCTGTATCAATCTCTCTATGTGACTGTTCATTGAGTAATGATTGATGTTGAGGTGAGTATATGATTGATTGATTGATTGATTGAATGAATGAATGAATGAACTACACTTACAAGCTTGCGCTCAAGTGCACCTAGTTGACTCGGAGTGCATTTCTCAAACACTCTGATCAACAACTCATTATTGATGAGTCCGATATTCTTGATGCCTAGGATAGTTGTTATTGTTGTTGATGTATAAGTCAGTGAGTGATCAATTGACTTCCTACTCCTTCATCAATGAACAGACAGACATACTATCTATATTCTCTTTGATCTTATTTAAACATATATCTTGAAGTGTTGGAACAAAGCCACCTAAACTAACTGGGTTTTTAATAAGTCTGTTATCTTTGCCAGAGTCATAGTTCATCATTCGTATATGTTATGTTATATATCTATATATTGTATATGTATGTATATGTATGTAGTGTTACTTAAGGTTTGTAATAGTATCAAATAAGGTGTTGTTGATCAAGTGAATGAATGAATAAATGAATGAGTGAAGTGAGCTGGACTTCCAAACTTTGTCTGGAAACCCAAAGGGGGTATCACACTTGAAGTTGGGAGTTTGATTGAATGGATGGTTGGGCAAGGGTAAGGGTAAGGGTAAAGGGGGAATGGTTCCAACAACAAAGGCCTTTATAAATATATGAAAGGCCTTTAAGAGGAAGGATCAATATATTGTCGTATAATATATAAACTACAGTTGTTTGAATCTTGCTTGAATGTAATATACATCCATAAGGTCATAGAGTAGGAAGAGTGTAAAGATGAATCTGGTGGTGAAGTTGGAAATGGTCTCATTCCTGCCACGATGTGATATGTCAATCTTGAGTACACGACGTGCAAGGAATCGGATCAAAAGGTCGTAGGACACCTCAAAGCACAGGAGGTAAAGGTATCGCCAGAGTAGTTGCAAAAAGTCGTCATGTGACAGCGCGTCGAAACGGTTGTAAAACTCTATCTTGTAGTGTAGTCCACGAAGCAGTGATAGGAAGACGACCATTGTCACGATACTGACATACTCGGCCATCTTGTCATAGTAGTACTCCACTGAGAGGTCGCGCACATGCTGATCGTACGATGGGTTCTTGTCCTCGAGGAATGCTCGCAAGAATGTCCACAGCCATGTCCTTGGGCGTCTATCCAAAAAGTTGATCACTCCCTGATGTCTAAAGAACCAATATCTCTTTGTCATATGTAATGGATAGTATATAAAGTCAATGACAAACAATACCAAGCTGACCAATACTGTGATGCCCCAGTCTAAAGTAGTGAGCGAGTGATTGAAGGTCAGTCAATGTCCGTGCGCCATGGTACCAAGTTCAACTCCAACTTACTATTGATGCTTAGGAATAGATTGCGATAATAAAGGAAGAACATCAGGGGATATTGGAAGTAGGTAAAGTATCTGATCTCTTTGGGCTTGAGGAGACGATTGAGTGCATGGCCAAAGGCAGAGAGTAGGAGACGACTGATGTGGAACACGAGGATGGCCACAAAGGCCATGGCAGGCGATGAGAACAGGTCGTTGTCAACAATGAGTGTGGTGAGGTTGTGTAGCCAGAACCATGTGGCAATCACAAACAACTGGAAGACACATATCGATAAGAAGTTGCGGTAGGACAGCTGGTACTTTGGCATCAGCTCCACCATCATTGATGGTGACATCTTGAGTTGTCCATTACTAAATGATTGAGTTGACTCTGTGTTGTTGTCTGTCCTTGATACATGTCTCGTCTCAACCATCTCAACGTCTCCACCAGTGGGTGATGGGTAGGCGGGTATGTGTTGTTCATATGTATCCTTGGGTACATCACCATCTTGATGATGTTGTTGTTGGCTATGTTGTTCATGATGATGTTGTTGTTGTTGTTGTTCTAGATATTGTTGTTGATGATGTTGATGATGTTGTTGTTGTTCCATATTATGTCTTTGTTGATCCAGTTGTTTCTGTTGCATCTTGGCTTGCTCCTTTTGCAACTCTAGCTCTTGTTGTTGTCGCTCGTATTGATATTGTTGATCGTCCTCATCAATGTCGATCACCTTGTAATAACAAAAGATCTTGGACAGACGCTTGGTCCAGGGCTTGGAGCGACGCTTCCTGCGACGCACGCCGTCCTCTCCAACTACAGGCTCGTCATGGTAAAAGTACTGCTTCTTGATCTTGTGCACAAAAATGTAGACCAGGTAACAGAGCGACGTGAAGAACCAGGTGATGGCGTCGATGAATGAGTAGGACAGTCGGTTGGTCTCGGCGTTGAGCTTGGTCAGTATGTTGAGCCATCCAATTGCCACGCCAATGAACACGAGGTAGAAGAAGACGATCTGGATCTTTGAGCAGCCAGGTAGGTTGAGATCATAGAATGAGATCCATGTGAAGAACATTATAACAAAGAACACCATACTTGTGCCGGCGTAGGCATTGTATGAGTGAAGTGGCAGCAACAGCCATAAGAAACATAATACGAATGGTACAAATAAGAAGTTGGCATAAACTATTAAACTTCTCATCGACACGATACTCCTTAATTTCTTGAGTATCTCTACCATTCTCTATATCTATATCTGTGTGTGTGTGTATATATATCTGTATCTGTATGATTATCTGTATGATTATATGTATAATATCTGTATTATTATCTGTTCTATTTATATATATATATCTGTATATGTTTGTGGGTTGCAGAAGAGCGGATGCCAGATTGGCGAATGAATGAATGAGCAAGAAAGTTATCAACTTTGAATCTGAAAAAATCGGCCGTTGGGCTATTCGACGTCGTGTTTGTTTGAATTGCTGAGTGCGCGGTGTGTGTGGGGTTGTTGGGGCCGAAGATTGATCAGTCTACTTCTCTCTTCAAAGTATCTTTGTATAACAACATCAAATAATGCAAGTTTCAATTAATAATATTCATTCGCATTCTGATGATGACACCATTAATCGAACATAGATCTTGAGATCTAAATATTTAAATGTACCTAAATACTAAATATGGAATTGGTCATTGACATGAACAAGGGTAAGGGCGAGGGCAAGGGTAAGAGTTTAGAGTATTACAAATGTTTGATACAAGTAGTTTAAAAAATATAAGTTTGATAGCTTGGATTGAATGAATGAATGGAATTGATTTAAATATCCTTCATCATTGCGATTGAGATGTTGTCATATACACTTGGACATTCTCCAATTGAGTGAATGTCCATCATTGGTACAACTTGATCGTCTTGAGAACCACTGGATCGGACTTTGTCGTCAAAGTTCAACTTGGTGGCCTTTGGCTTGGTGGGTGTTGGTGATGGCTCGGCTGGCATGTCATCGTCGTCAATGTCGACCTCATCCTCTTCGTCGTCAGCAACCATCTCGCCGCTGTTTGGGTCGAAACGATGGAGGGCACGACGCCACTTGCGGATCTGGCCGTCAAAGCTACGCTTGCTGCACTGCTGGTTCTTGTTGGGTGTCTTGGGGTCGTCCTTTCTCCTCAGCGACTTGGGGATGGCGTTGGAGTAGAGCTCATACTCGACAGTGTTCTTGCCAATCTCGATCTGGCGCTGTCTGGCAGCCAGACGAACTGGGTCCATCTCCTTGATGGGCTTGGTGGCGCTGGCCTCCTTGGTTGAGGTGGCCGATGTCTTGTTGGCCTTGGCCTGCTGCTGTTGCTGCTGCTCCAATTGCTTTAGCTTCATGTCTAGGACAAGGTAACCATCGATCACCTTGTCTGATTGAGAGGCAGAGGCAGTAGGGGCGGCAACGGCAGAGTTATCAAAGGCCGATGACAGTGGTGTCATTCTCAACTTTTGCGCAGAGGCAGGGGCTGAGCGATGGACAATTGGTGTACTGTTCATGGGCATTGGCAGGGGCAGTGGCATGGGGTGCACGGCAGAGAGATGGGGCATGGGCAGGGGCAATGGCATTGGTGTGCGCGAGTTGGTGAGTTGGAAGGGGATTGGAGCCATGTTGACGAATGGGCTGCTGGGCACAGACGAGGCAACCTTGAAGGGGCTGGGCGCTGGCGAGTTCAATGGGTAGGAGGCACCGTAGGTGCTGTAGGCAGAGTGCGCTACATTTGTGAAGTTGTTGTGGTTGGGTTTGGGGGTCGATGGCATTGGCGACGCGAGGAGACTGGTCATGGCCGACTTGGCCATGATGATCTCGTTGATCAGGTCGAGCTCGGCAGGCCTGGCCATCGGAGTGCATTTGGATCTCAGCGACAACATAAAGTCGACAGAGTAGGTGATCTTATTTGGGTTGGGGATGAATGGCTCACATACATCGGCGGCGGGGGCGGCGGGGGACAAGATTGGGACGGCCAACTCTTCGACCTGAAGAGTAGCATTGGTGTCTTGTTCAAAAGTTGGCACTGGCACTGGTAGTACTGCTGCTGGGGTTTGCTTTGCAGCCACACTCAACGAGTTTGATGATGGAGTAAACAATATCTTTCCCTTTGGTGTAGCAGACACAGACTTCTTTGTGGTGGCATTGGGAGTTGTTGGTACAACTGATGTAGTTGTTGAGATGGATTTCTGAGTTTGATGAGAGAAGAAATAGAAGTTTGGATTGATTGAGTTAGTATGATTGATTGGAGTGTGTGGTGGTCATGTGATTGATGAAGAAAATATACATACCTTGCCAGCAATGACGTTGGTTGGGATTTGGTTCTTGATGTTCTTGAACAGTGGTCTACCATTGGATGAGTTGACCATGTTGGTTGGGATGATTGTAGCCATTATGTGAAGGTTATTATGGTGAGTAGTTAGGTAGGTGTTGACGGATTGTGAATAGTATAGTATGTATACTGGGTGTTATATATTAGTTATAATATTATATAATATATTAATATTGGTTATTAAAATGACCGTTTGAAACAATAATATATATTTGAATAATATAGACCCGTCTTTAATTGATGAAGTTGAGTTGTTTGTTATGTGTCTGTTAAAGCATTGCACATCTGAACAAGTGAGACCTATTTGTAGAGTTGTGTTCACGCGTGTCCTATTAAAAAATGAATAATGTGCAACTTTATTTCAATCAATACTTTATTCATGATCAAGATGATCACTCCACACAACATCTATGAAAGAGGGGGTCTAAAATTCAAATTTTCAATCACAAACTTTCGCGCCTCTTCTACAACGGTCATTTACAATTTGAATTTCATTGTTTTTGGCGCGACTCTAGCCCCCAACAATCACCCCAACCCCAACCCCACAACCCTTACCCTTGCCCTTGCCCTTACCCTCGTTCAACTCTTTACATGAACAAGCAATGTTATCCTAATCTTAATCTTATGTTTGTGATATTTATTGTTGTTGTTGAAATCATTTAAACGAACTATTTGTTGAGTGTAATAATAAAAATAATAATCATCCATGTTGTAATAAAACTTGTTGTATCCATCCTTTTCCTCATTGTTTATCCAATCGTACCTTGTCCTCCAAGTCAAAGCACGATTAATGATGATGGCCATTCTTGAGATACGACTCGGAAGCACCACCAGAGTATTGCTGCTGTTGCTGTTTGGGTGTCCAAGTCGATGATGACGACGATGTGTTCTTTTTGCCGCTGCTGCTGCCGCTGCGATACGACATCCTTCTCTGGCTAGAGCTGGAGGCGACCGGTGCTGACTGGCTGGTAGACTGATTGGATTGATTGGAGGAGGAGGAGGATGATTGACGATGATGATTATGTTGTTGATGATGATAGTGTGTTGTGTGGTGTTGTTGTGGTGCTGGAGTCTGTGACTGCTGCTGCTGCTTCATTAACTTCTCATGAGCACGGAAATCCTCAATTGATCTAAACTTGTTTAGCAACTGTTGGATCTCTGGCATGATCTCTAGCTTGGTCCTATCCTTGCGATACTTGAGGTAGGCCCAGAACTTCTCGAGTCCATAGACGTAGCCGTCCTTGTAGTCCTGTAGCACGAGCTCCTGGAAGTCTTGATAGAGGTCGGCGCGATATCTCTTCTCGAGGCCATAGCTCAAGAACCTGAATATACACTCGAGTCCGTAGCGGAAGTTGTACTTGGCGTCCTCCAGAGCCACGGTCTTGAACTCGAGGAAGATCTTGGTGTTGAAGTGATCGCGCAAAAAGTGCGACCAGAAGCGGAACAATGTGTTCATCTCGGTTGACAGGCCAACGCCGAGTTTCTTGCGCTCCTTTAGGCACTTGGAGCGGAACTTGTCGTACTTGTGCTGGATGAATCCATTCTCTTGTAGTAGCTCGTGTGATGGATGTTGGAAGTAGGGGATCTCCTCGGCGTCTGGTGTGCTCGACAGACGTTTGGGCAATGGACCATTGCTTAGGAGATATGGCTCGCTTGGACTTGGTGTCCATGGGTCACCCATTGGTCCCATGATCCAACCAATGGCAGGTCCCTCATTCTTTACCTTTGGTGAGTATAGACGTGTTGGTGCTGATTGTTCTTTAGTCCTTGTCATTGTTGGTGTTGTTGGTGGAACAGTAGTAGTTGTTGTTGTTGTTGTTGTGTTGGTCTTTGATTGAGTGGCCTTCTTGATGGTTGGTTGTGGGGCTACAGTGACTGTTGCATAGTTGTTCTGTTGAGTGACCTTCTTCTTCTTCAAGTCTTGCTCGTAAAAGTATAGACCATCATTGATGATTGATGCCATCTCATTGGAGAATCCTTTCCTATTGTTTGACTTTCCTTTCTTCTTGTATGGTGATTGTGTAACAATGATGAGTTTGCTAAATAACTCTTCCATTGCATCATCATCATCATCCTCGTCCTCATCATATTGGTCCTCCTCCTCCTCCTCAAAGTAGACATGTTGTACTCCTTGTTGTTGCTGTCCTTCTTCTTGCTCTTCAGATGACTCGTCGTCCTCTGAAACAACTACTCTTGTCTCAAAGTCTCTCCTCTCCTTGTTGAAAAAGTCCTGTTGTTGTTTGGTCAACTCTTCCAACTCTTCATCAATCTCAAACATTGGTTCCTCTTGTTCAAACGCTGAGTTGATTGATTTGTTGTTGTTGTTGTTGTTTGATGACTCTGTCTCTGCTGTTGCTGTAGCTGCTGCCATTGTATTGTCCTTCTTTAGAGGTAGACCATGCTTCTTTGATGTGACTGTTACCCATTCACCACCACTCTCTGATAACGACGACTTTGACGACGACGACGATGATTCAGGGTTGTTGGCATTCTGGAAACCCTTCTTCATGTCCTCGTTCAATATCCACATTGTACGTGATGTCTCACTGATCAATCTGATGTGCGTCTTGTCTTTGTTGAACTCTACGAGGTCTGAGCCATCCAGAGCACCAATGACGTCCTTGCCGTCATAGAACTTCATCCGATCGAAGCGCATAATGAATGGTAGTGCTACCCAACCATCATTGTCCATATGGCATCTTAAATATACATCTCTACATAGATTATCTATACTAAAGTAGTAGTTACTGTTTATGTATATATATTTGTAAGTATTTGATTGATTGAATGAATGAATGAATGAATGATAACATACATCTGTTGTGCGATCAACTCTTTAACCTTTTCAGTTGTTGTTACAGTGGTCTCATCATCTTGTTGTTGTTGTTGTTCTCTTGGTTGTTTCTGACCAAAGTACTTTCCAATGTATTTGGTTGTTGTAGGTGCTACTGCTGTTGCTGTTGCAGTTGATGTAATAATAGGAGTAACTTGTGATGACATGGCGATATATATACTTTGTGCTAGTGACTTTAATGTCGTCAACAGCACATAGAGGGAATAAAGCAACAAGTAGTGCTACCTAGTAGTAAAGTATACTCTCTTACTGCGGACTGAATGTTTGATCAACAGTTATCTGTAGTTGACTGACTGTAATATATTGAGATATTGATTGGTTGATTAAATAAATAATATTATTAATATATATATATGTATTTGTAATCTAAACCAACAAAGATTGTTAATGAATAAAGTATTCGTCAGACCTCATATTTGATTTGAGGCTTGTGTGGTGGCCCAACAACTCGGTTACTCAATTTCCCTTTTTAATTTAATTTAAGTATCTGTTGTGACTTGAATTAATACCATAAGAGAAAGAGGCAAGAACAACTTTGTTTGTTATACAAAAATATAATTATATTTTTGTTAATACAAGAGAGAGGAGACAGAGTTGTTTTGATTGCAAAAGATTATTATTGTTGATTTTCTAATCGGTGCGAATGATTTACAAGACGAGTTGGAAAGAATTTGTCCAGTTTAAGCCGCTAACAAATTAACCATAGTATAAGGCTCAAACTATTAACTTCCAACTCGGTCTATTACATTGGAATTAACCAGAGTATACATTGGTGATTACTTTGGCACAACCAGAGCTTTGTTAGAATACTTTGTCAATCACCACCGACTTGTCCACTGCTTTGACAATCACTTGAGTGATATCAAAAGTATCATGGAGTTCGGATAAACCATCGAAGGCTAACAATAGAATTCCAAGACTATACATGGTCAATTGATAGGTTGATATCGATTTTTGATATGTACCCGACTCAGAGGCATCACTTCCCATCATCCAAGGGGGTGTGGTATACATGGTAGAATGCTAGCTTTGCATGCTTGAGAACCGGGATCGATACCCGGCACCTCCAAAGATGACCTTTTTTTTCCAAGGATCTAAAAAAAAAAAAAAAGAAGTTAAAAGTAGTAGTCTCTTGCTCGTGCTCCTATACTCTACACTGTAACGTCACCCTCCAGTCCAACTTCTTATTATTCTATTATCTCTATATTTAAAGTTATCTCTTTGATATCAATCTTGACACATTGACCAAGTGAGGTATTAGTTGCACAAACAAAAACAATGTTGTTGGACCAAACAAACCCACTTTGCAAAGTCAATTCCAAGAATGACAAATATCTTGCTCATCTCTTCATCTTTATTTCATCTATCCATTTCTTTTGTATTCCCCCTCTTGTGACATTGATTGCAAACTGACTGTCCTGTTGGATAAACTCATCAAATGATAGATGGTAACGATATTGGATACGACCACTAATCAATAACCTCATACTTGCTACATATTTAAAATAGTCAAACTTCTCTATTGTCCAATAACAATGTCCATAATCCATATTACTTCTTCTATGTGACAATGAGTTTAGACCAAGACATACCAATACTATATTCTCTACAGTATATCCATATCTTGTATCCAAACGTTCAATTGACATTTGGAAGCACTTGTCATACTCATTGGTACCCATTGATATCATTGGGAAACCAGAGTAGTGACATAGACCCAATTGATGTTTCCATCTTACCACCAATGTATCAATTGTAATAGTATCGTCCAGTTGTCTTGGTCCAAGTAGATTATTCTCATTCCTCATAGTATAGAGTAATGTATATAATGTTGTCTTGACTCTCTCCACCTCAAATATTCACTCCAACTTGTAGAATGGTTCTTTCCACTTTGATCTCTCTTCTATTTGATCGTTCAATACTATTGAGGACATTTGTTCTTGATTAAATCTGTAGAGATTATTGAGTTCAAGTATGATGATTTGAACATTGTCTTTAGTGTATCCAACATTGTCATTGACCTTGGCTATAGAGGCTGCCCAATTGACATTGATTCCACATACCATAGGTATTCCTGTGATGAAACATCTACTTGATTGTCTATGGAGAAATGTAATACCTAGACACTCCTTATCAATCAACATTGAAAGTTGTCGTTTGGAATGATTGTATCCATATTTGATCAACATCACCTTTTGATCAAAGTATTGATTGATATCTGTTTGATAATAATCATTCCTATATGTAGTATTAATATATTAGGTATATATGTTTATCTACCTAACAAGGATTGATATACTTACAGACATTGATTACATAGATTTATATATGATAGACGTTGGAATGATTGGTTACACTTCTCACAATAAAGAGTTGAAGTCTCAATATTGGATATTTGGTAATGTACACCTTCCTTCTTCCAGTTTATATACCCGTCCTCCTCAATCATGGATCTAATGAGGACTTGAATATTCTCTATCTTATTCTCATCGTCTTGGTCAATCATCTCTGATAAACTATCAATCTTGATCATTGATTGTTTAAGAGAGTTCTTCTTTTCTCCAATTGGAGTGGTCGTCTTCCTCTTGATTGATTGGTTAGTCTTCTTTACTTTACTATACATGTTTGATTAAATGATTGATTAAGTCATTGAGAGTTTGATTGATATTGAGTATATATAAGAGTACAAACCTATAAAATCATTAAAGTTGATCCAGTCAATCAAATAATCCAAGTCCAGTCAATCATTATTTCCTTTTCAGGAAACAGTGGGTATGTGTGTTCACCATCACTTGTTTGATGGATTTGCACACATATTCAACTAGGAGGAGTTAGCTAGAGTCAGGTGTCCCAGTCTAGTCTCTAGGATACATTCCTTCCTTCATCCCTCCTTCCATCCTTCAATCACTTACTCAAAAACAAACAAACGATGGTGTCAATCAATGAGCCTTTGTTCATTAAAAATGAGTTGTTTGTATTATTACGACTAATAGCGATATATATATATTTATTCACATTCTATAACTACTAGATGATTGATTGTGTGGCCCACAGTATAATAAAAAGGAGCCTGTCAGTGAATAGGAATAGAGCCTGTTTGTTGCTGACGATGATTTAAGCAGCAACCAGCTTGGCAACCAAAGTGTTCAGTCTTGTTAGGTTGGCACCAGAGAAGACATCAATCTGTGTTCCATTGTGGAGGGCAATGAATGTTGGTACACCAGTGACATCCTTGACGATTGGGTGATCCTATGTATTTGTAAATGTTTACATGTTAGTGATCAATTGATGAATCAATCTTTCGTTCATTACATATATATATACATACATTGCACTTATCAATGTCGACCTTGAAAAACTTGATTGAAGCATTAGCGGCATCATCAGAGGCCTTTGTAAAGTGTGGAGCAATCTGTCTGCATGGACCGCACCATGTAGCGGTCAAGTAAACGAGCTGCTTGCCACCTCCCTGGAGTGCTTCGGTGAGTTCAGATGTGTTGTTTGGTTCAGCGTATACCATTATTTAATAATTGTTTATATTATATGTAGATAGAAAGAGATAGAGAATAAGTTATGAATGAATGAATGAATAAAGTTGTTGTATGTATGTACAATGTTTATGTGAATGATTGAATTTGTGTGTATGTGTATGTTCACCACTCTCAAACATGAGTTTAAATAAATAATTTTATTTTATTTTTGGGCATTGTTGACTCAACAGCTCGACCTAATTTTAACTTGTATTCTCGATCAGAATGCAAGAGCGCATTCCGTTCCATTCTTTACAAACACCCACAACTCTGTTTTATCAATCAAACAATCAATCATTATGATGTTGATAAAGTTGAGATGATGATGTAATAAATTTTATTTATATATAAACACATAACCCTCCTTGTGCCGTTATCTACTATAATATACTTGGTTTGAAGAAAGCACTCGAATGTTCTATCCAACATGCAAAGATCAAATAGTTGAACAAAACAGGTATCTTGTCAAGGATCAGTAATACAAGGACATTGCAAGATCAACAAAATTGGACCAAGTGTTTGATTGGATCATATCTCACCCCACATGTCAACACATGTCAAACCAACAGACGGATGTCCGACCGACCACTCGAATGCTATTCCAAAAACGATAAACATTTCTCTTTTTGGATGGTATTCCATCTATTGACATTAATATAAATACCCGGTCGACCGGGTATCCAACAAATTCATATTCATATATACTCATACAAATACATATATAATAATGATAACAAACAAAAGAATATTATTAGTATCTAGACCATCTGGAAAGGCAACACCTGACAATTTTAAGTTGGAGAATAATTCTCAATTGTCAACGGTACTTAAGGATGGAGAGGTGTTGGTACAAGTGATATACTTGTCACTGGATCCATACCTAAGAGGAAGAATGAATGAAGGAAAGGCATCATTCGCTGGTGCATCAGTACCACTAGACTCTGTAATGATTGGTGGAACAGTGGTCAAGGTGATCGATTCCAAGTTACCCGGCTACGTACCAGGTGATTGGGTAGTATGTAACTGTGGATGGCAACAGTACTCTGTCACTACACCCAAAGACCATGACCTCTTTGTCAACCTGGGCCAGAACCCTGTCAACCCATCCTACGCCCTGGGCATCCTTGGACTGACTGGATTCACTGCCTACATGGGTCTGCTCGACATTGGCAATCCACAGCCTGGAGAGACAGTGGTGGTTGGTGCTGCCACAGGTCCAGTTGGCGCCACCGTCGGCCAGATCGCCAAGCTCAAGGGATGTCGTGCCGTTGGAATAGCTGGAGGCAAAGAGAAGTGTGACTATGCCAAGTCGAATGGATTCGATGACTGTGTAGATCATACTGATCCAAACTTTGCCGAGTTGATCCACAAGGCCTGTCCAAAAGGAATTGATGTCTACTTTGAAAGTGTTGGTGGCAAGGTCTTTGACACAGTACTACCCCTGATCAACACAAAGGGTCGCATTCCAGTCTGTGGAGTGATCTCCAACTACAACTCGTCCGAACCACCCAAGGGACCAGACCGTGTGCCAATGCTCGAATCAACCATTCATCGAATGCGTCTAAGAATGCAAGGATACATGATCTACGATGACTATGGACACAGGTACAACGAGTTTTACGAGGCTATGAGTGCTTGGGTTCAACAAGGCAAGATCAAGTACTTGGAACAAATGATCGATGGTTTGGAACATGCACCAGAGGCACTCATCGGTCTGTTTGAGGGTAAGAACTTTGGAAAGTTAGTCGTAAAGGTATCATCAGAGCAATAAATAAATAAATTACAGATAAATATATCTCTCTATGTTGTTATTGTTTGGTTGATGCTGCCTCTTCTTCTTCAACTTGAGTATCATGTAACTCATCCATTGCCAATGTTTGAGCTGCTGCATCATCATCATCCAATACACGAACAGTTGTAGACACCAACTTTTGTCTAACCTTTTGTTCAATCTCTTCCAGTATCTGTCTGTTGTCCTCTAGATATTGCTTGGTCTTCTCACGACCCTGTCCAAGTTGTGTGCCACTGTAACTGTACCATGAACCACCCTTCTCGAGGATGCCCTCCGATACACCAAAGTCTATGATCTCGCCAGTCTTGTTGATGCCCGACTTAAAGTCAATGTCGAATTGAGCCTCGCGGAATGGTGGCGCCAGCTTGTTCTTGGCCACCTTGACCTTGACCTGTGTGGCAAAGGCCTGATCGCCATTCTTTAGCGCGCCAGTCTTGCGAATGTCCAAACGGATGGACGAGAAGAACTTGAGTGCATTACCACCTGTTGTAGTCTCGGGGTTGCCAAACATAACACCAATCTTCATTCTGATCTGATTGATAAAGATCAGTACACAGTTGGAGTCGCTGAGGTTTGGTGACAGCTTTCTGAGTGCCTGGCTCATCAGACGCGCGTGTACACCAACGTGCGAGTCACCCATCTCTCCGTCCAGTTCAACGCGTGGTACCAAGGCCGCCACACTGTCCACAACAATCACCTGCATGGTCTTTGAGCGCAACAGTGTGTCTACAATTTCCAATGCCTGTTCTCCAGAGTCTGGTTGTGAGATGTATAACTCATCGAGGTTGACACCCAGTTGTTCGGCCCATGATGGGTTGAGAGCGTGCTCAGCGTCAATAAATGTACAGTTGCCTCCTGCCTTTTGTGCTTGTGCAATGACGTGTAGTGCAAGAGTGGTCTGATATGGAGTGAGTGTGAGTTAGTACAGGGTCCTTCTGATCAATGTGATGATGATGATGATGTTGTTCATACCTTTCCAGAACTCTCTGGACCAAATATCTCTGTTATTCTACCCTTTGGAAGACCACCAATACCAAGTGCAATGTCAAGACCTAGTGATCCAGATGATATGACGTCAACCTTTTGTGTGGCGAATGATGTACCAAGTCTCATCAATGTTCCCTTTCCAAAAGTCTTTTCAATCTCCTTCATTGTATTCTCCAATTGTCCTCCAGCAGATTGTTCCTTCTTTGATTTCTTTGTCGTCTCTCCATTATCATCATCCATATCTTCAGCTGCTTCCTTTGCGGCAGCGGCAGCAGCAGCAGCCTTTTCTGAAAATGATTGATTGATTGATTGATTGATTGAGTAAGTGATGTAATCAAGTTAAGGGTTACAGATATATCATTTTACATACTCTTTGACTTTGAAGATAGAAAGAGCATCTGTTGATGAGGTTGTTGATGACCCATGAACAATCTAGTTGTGGTGGAACTATTCCATTTTGTGGCTGTTGTTATGTTTGTAGTGTTAAATATCGATCGACTTGTTACACATCTAAGTATTGAGTTCATCATTATCTCTCTAAGTGTATATGTTGTATAATATAACAATGAATGGTGTAATGTAATGTTGACTTTGTTTGCAAAGTGAGTGAAGTTGTCAAAATGAGGTGTTGCTGAAGTCGAAAGCTCAGCTTGTTGTGAGATGTTGTGTTGATTCGAATGAATGTCCAATTCCAGGAATAGTAGTGTCGACACTACTTGGACCATTCATCCATTCAATTGGATTGTCCATAAAGTACTTGATTGATGATGATGTGATCACTGTCAGTCTGGGATCAACTACCTCTTTGAATTTACCACTTTGTACCGCTTCGAATATGACTTCGTTGTCACATCGCTCCTCTCGTGATTTGCTGCAGTCGGCAATGACTATGAGTGGCTCCAAACAGAATCGTCGGAAACAGTTCAACTCCAACGTACAATGTTTGTTAATACAAGACATTGGTCCAACGTCGTATTTCAAACCGGAGCAATTGTGGCTCTGGGCACAACGTGCGTATTGCCAGACGATGGCAGTACATCCCGCGGGCAACCTATACGAATGAGTACAGTACCCTATCGATGCCTGTGTATCACACTTGCAGAACTCTGGCGACTCGCAATCAGTGTTCTGGTAACAAGGACGCAGTGTTGGTGCCTCTGCCCTGTTACATCTACCTATCCTACTTCCAAACTTTAATGGACGGCACTAAGTGAATGTTGTAGGCGAGGCAGTTAGTATATGTTGCTGGTCCCCTCCCTGTACACTACACTACGTACGTAGAGTGCCTTGTAGAGATTACAGGTGTAGCCGCCAACGATACATAGGTCGCCAACCTCGGACCAACCTTTACAGACACCAAACCTGTGCCCAAGGTCGGTGGAAACGGGAGAGCAGATAGTCGAGAGGTTGCACATGTCCAGCTTGGAGAAGAGGATGCATTCGCCAGGTTTGAGGTTGGCCGGCACACAAGTACCATTGGACAAACAGATCTGACGTTCTGGACATTGGAAGTCGACTATACATCCAGTGTGTGGAGCGCCACATCTCCATCCTGTACCGCCATCTCCATTCAAAGAGCAGACCAAACCGAGTACGCAGTCATAAGTGTTTCTACACTCATCACCAAAGTGTTTGTAGAATGATAGACGACACCTGCCTTGCTGTGGAGTGTCATCGACAATACACATATATCCTCTATACTTGTCACAGTCATCATTACTCATGCATACCTCTCCCTCTGGAACAGGTTCCTTGCATACTCCCTGATTACATCTATAAGGTCTGTAACATTTTGGTCCACTTGATAGATTGATTGATTGGTTGAGTGAGTGAGTGACTTGTCGGTCCATCGATCAATCAATTATTTGGAATGGAACATACGTGAAAGGATATTCATCATCACATCGTTGGCCTTTATCTACACATGCTCGTTGATTACAATAGTAACTCGGTACATCGCCATAATATTCATCGTATGGTACAACTGGATTGAATTCATCTGAATCCAAGACATCTGTCGATCTTGTTGTTGATATGAATAACAATGATATGATAATAACAATCACTAATATATTATTATTCTGAAGAGACAACATCTTTTAGATATCCAAGTTGACTCTTGTTAGTTTGTTACCAAGATTAAGAATGATACACCAGTGATCAGTAATCACCAACAACACTGTTCGTTCACGAACACACATACACACAGACACACACTCGCGAGCACGTGGATATGTCGGTGGATGGAGGTTCGTTCCATTCCATTCTGATGTTTAGTCAATAGTATGGACGGACAGAATGTTGTATTATTATTTGTTTGTTATCTCTTTGAGGAAAAGTCCAAAGTTTCAAAGTGGCACAACAGAAGTGAAGTTGAACTTTTGAAATGAATGATCAAGTGTCATAGTTTGCATTGTTTCGTTGTTCATTGTAATATATAAATAGATAGAGATAAGAGTAATAACAACTTTAGTACTAGCAATCAAACAATGTCATCAAGACTCAATCCAAACTCATCAATGTTCATGCCTATGGTATGTATGAATGATCGATCAATCAATCAACCAAACTCACAAGATGCTGATAAGATACTAACTGAGTACTAACATGACATGCTAGCAGGTTGGCAGAGGTAACTTCCAATTCGTACAGCCTAATATAGGCAATGTTATGGGTCATCATGGAATGGGTCACAATGCATTCAACTATCCATTTGCTCCACAGATGATAATGACTCAACAGCAACAACAGCAACAACCATACACATCACAACCTCCACCAGTTGGTATACAGCCTGCTGTATTCACAACAGGCGGTAGCGGTGGCGGTGGCGGTGGCGGTGGTGGTAGTGGAGGTGGTAGTGGCAGTGGCAGCGGCAGTTCGAGCTCATCATCAACATCGACCTCATCTTCATCAAACACATCTACATCATCAACTAGCGGAGCAGCGGCAGCACAGGTCAAGGCAAACACAGTACCATACACTCAGTTTAAGAGGTAACATGTCATGTCACGAGTCACTCATTCATTCATTGTGCGCTAACAATCCAATCACTTGTTTAGTTTGGAGACTGCGACAAAGTATTTCACAGAGTGTACAGTCAAGGAGCTACAAGGTCATAAGAAGAAGGTTGGTAACTTGTGTAACATGATCATGATTCGCGATCCTTTTCACTCACCCAATCAATCAATCACTAAATCAATCACTCAATCAGGTCAACTCAGTATCATGGAGTTGCGATGGAAAGAGATTGGCAAGTGGAAGTTGGGATCAAACTGCAAGGATATGGAACATAGAGAACCCTGTATGTTCAACCATCAACTCGAACATCACCAACACGCGCGACACTAACCAATGTACATGGACCTTTGATTGAAACAGAAACAAAAGGAATTAGAACTACGCGGACATAGTGAGAGCATTGAGCAATTGAGATACAGCCCCACTGCACCTGATGTACTGGCGACAGCATCATCGGACAAGACTGTAAAGATATGGGACACACGCAGTGGCAAGTGCACAATGTCAATAGCAACGAGCGGAGAGAACATCAATCTGTGTTGGTACGTCGATGGCTCACTGCTGGCCGTCGGCAACAAGGAGGACAACATCAGCATCATCGATCTGAAGCGACCGGACGACCCTATCATCCGCACGAACAAGTATCAGCAGGAGATCAATGAGATCATTTGGGACACGACTGGTCAGCTGTTCTTCATGACGACGGGCACGGGCCTCCTCGACGTGATGCTCTGGCACCCCGACAGCAAGAAGTACACTCCCCTGCATACGATCAATGGACACACGGCCAATCTGTACACGATCGAGATGGACCCGCTGGGCCGCTACTTTGCGATTGGCTCGGCAGACTCTGTCGTCTCGCTGTGGGACATCAACGAGATGTACTGTCTGCGCTCATTCACCAAACTCAACGCACCCGTCCGAACGATGGGCTTTAGCAGCGACGGTCAATTCCTGGCCTACTCCTCCGAGGAGCCATTCATTGAGATTGGACATGTTGAGAGTGGCCAATCAATCTTCCAGATACCCGTTGAAACAGGACTTGTAAGTTGTTGAGTGTCAAGAGAGTAGAGTGATGCTGTTACTGACCTACCACCCCTGTTGTCATTCCTCCAACATTGTAGAACTCGATAGCATGGCATCCAAGTGAGCCATTGATTGCATTCGCCAGTGATGATAAGGATCAAACAAAGGACGCAGGTACCATCAAGATCTTTGGTAAATTTACCAATCCTTAAATGAATGAATGGTTGAATGAATGAATGAGATGTGTACCAATGATGATTCTCTTATCTAATCTAATCTATGTATAATATAATCTATGTATGTCGTCCGATTGAGTTTATTTCTTTGCTGGCTTGCCTGACTTTGCTGGCTTGGCAACCTCGATGGCACCACCAAGCTGTCGTAGTAGGGATGTTAGTTAGTATTGGTTAGTCGCGACTGACGTCGTTGAGAGTTAGGGTACTACATACTGAAACAAGATCCATCTCAGTAGTGGACAGCTTTAGTCTCTTTGGTGCTTGGGCAGCTGTAATATACACAAAGTTGCCTTTCTTTGTTGATGATGATGGTGTTGGTGCAGCTGTTGGAGTGGCTGTAGTAGTTGTAGTTGTTGTCTTTGGAGTAGACAGATTGACATGTGTCTCACCAGCTGTAATGTATGATACATGATAACGCATTCAATGTTAGTGTATCCTCTGAATGACACTATGATTGGTGGAGACATCACATATCGGATCAACCCTTACCATGTCTATTTGGGAATCTGATCAAAGGCACACGCTTGTATGCTCTCTCAAAGAGTCTAAGTGCTTGAAACTGCATCTTACAGTATTTATATATAATATATATAAATAATATATTAATTATATATAATATTATATGTTATTTATTATGTTAAGAGTCATAAGACGAATGTATGAATGAATGAGTGGTGGGTGGATGAATGAGTGGTGAAGTGATGGTTCTTCGGGTTTGAGTTTTGAACTGGGCGACCCAGGAAAGACAAAGCGTGACGTCGTCGAGGCACCACGCACCACCTTGCCTAGGCTGCAGTAGTCACCTCCTTATCCTTAACAAGGAGAATCGAACGGATGTAGAGCGGCACAGTTCCATTGTTGATAATGTTGATGGCAACCTCCGTCGAACCATCTATAATGATCGGACAGAGAGTACCGCCAGCGACCTTGACATCGGATGCATCCTCCTTGGCTGCAACTGCGACTGTGGTGGTTACTCCAACCTGGGTCGTTGTTTGGATCTGGTATGATCCAGCCCCAACACTCTTGACCACGAATCGGATGTAATATCTGATCTTCTTGCCACTGACCCATTTGGTTGGCATAAAGTTGTAGGTTGCATTGTTGCCTGTCTTTAGACAGAGCGCTGCCATGCCTGGTCCAAAGTACTCCTGCTCCATTGAGCCATTCAGATAATCATATTTGACAGCGTCAAAGGCGTGCGCTGGTGCCTGGTAATAGATCCAGTTCCTCATGAAGAGCTCGACTGGTGCGAATGAAACAAAGGCCGAGTCGACAGTGCCTGCCGCGCGCACGTTTTGATCCATGTTGACGCCCCAAGACCAGATGGCCTGAACCTTGTGGTACGGCTGTGAGAGTGTGCTGGCCGAGTTTTGGTTGTATGGGAGGTTCTTGACGTAGTTGTAGCGAGCTTCGTTGCCAGAGCGACCGCCGGCATAGGCCTCCGTGACCATGAAGTAATCCTTGCTGTGATCGATGTTGGGAAATTTGAACTGGTTCATGCGACGATGCCACGAGAACTCGGCCTGGCACTTCTTGACTAGCGAGCCACTGTCCCACGACGCGCAGTTGATGTCATCGACACATTTGATCGAACCGGCGATACTCATCTCGATCGACTTGGGTATGATGTCGTAGCGGATGGTGACCTTCTCCTCAGACTCACTCGAGCCCACCTTGTCCTCAGTGTTTACCGCCGTTGGGTTGGTGACAGTGGAGTCCTTGGTGATGGTTTGAAGGTTGACATTCTTGCGGAAGCCGTTGGAGATGGTGACAAATCGATGCTTGACCTCGTCCTTGGTCAAGTAGAGGTTCTCATGCTCGCCACGGAAGATGTAGTACTTGTTGGTGGCAAGATTAGCCAGTAGATTAGTGCACGTAGCCGTGTAGTAATCATAGTTGACGCCGCCGGGTGTGTTGACTGGGCAGCCCACTGTGTCACTGAGGAGCAGACGAGTCTTCTCCGAGATTACCACACCCTTTGGGAACTTGGTGCTGTCCAGATACTGCCAGAACGAGACAACGTCAAAGACGTTGGTGATCATCCAGTTGCGATACTGTTGGAGACGGTTGAACAAGTTGACATCGTCAGCGACACCAGCCTTGACCTTGTCAATGCCAGATGTGTAGGTGTTAACGCACCACTTTGTGTAGTTTAGGATACAAGACTTGAGCTCGGGCTTGTAGCTGCTGGTGATTGACGCAGCTGGTATGTCCCATGACGTGCCATTGGCCACCAAGTCACGCAACAACAACAAACGAGTTGTGGCCATCAAAGTGTACATGTACAACTCTGACTGGGCGGACGATTGTTTCGAAGACAACTCAATACCTTGTTGGAGGTTGTCCAGTGCCAACTTGATTGTCTCCCTCAGCTCAGTTCTCAACTTTGCATCAGCTGGTTTCTTCTTGAGCTATATATTGAATGAGTGAGCGTGAGTGATATTGATCGAGAGTTGGAGTACTACATGGACCACTTACATTCCTGACGTCGGCGGCATACTTGACCACGTATGTGGAGCAGTGCTTGTACTGGGCAAGGAGTGTCTCAGAGTCATAGATGTTGATGGACCTGTCAACCATGGCCTGGATTTGCTTCTTGAAGGTGGTAACCAACTCTGACGTGTTGCTCTCTTTCTTGGAGACCTCTTGCAACACGGTCCAGATGGTGGCCATGCCCAACGCCACAAAGTTACCAATCTCTGGTATACAGTAGACGGCACCCAGAGCAATGTTGAACAAGATGTTCATCAGACTTGGGCCTGAAGCAGCAGTCTGCTCCAACAGAGCGTACAGCTCAGTAGAGTAATCCTTATCAACAAACAACTTGAAAAAGTCTGTTGAAGCCTTTACACGATCATCCAACCTATTGGATGATAGCATTAACTTTAAGTTATTAATATTCATTGTTTGTTTGTTTGTTTGTTTGTTACTTATTGAACTGATTGAACTAGTTAACTGACTACTTCACTCACTCACGTTACTACATTGACATGACTAAAGGGAGGTAATTGTCGTAACGATAAATACAACTATGCCACCTGAGTGGACATACTACAAATGTAACTTAAGTAATGTAAAGCTTGAACATGTAGTTGTTTGTGTCCAGTTGGGCACAACGCTTCGTCTCAACAGACAAACGAGAGAGGTGGGTTGGACAGATTTGATGTTGTTGACAAATCATGTCTTTGGACATCAATTAATGGGCTGACCAAGGCCTGCAAGTGATCTGAGGTGTACTAATTTTGTCATTCCTAGACTAGTGTAATGCATGAAGGTACAACAAGAGATACTACATGATCAAGTTGATTGAATAAGTACAACCCTACCCTACTTCAAGATAATAGTTCAACTGAACCAAACATTCAACCAATCAATCACAACAATCAAATGAACTTCAACCAACCATTCATGCATTCTTTCACATCAATTACCTCAACATCACATCATTACATTATCTCGACTAGTGTTGTTGATCATCAATCAATCATTCAATCAATCAATCACCCTTGCCCTAACCAATAGTTATACTACCTGACATGATCTCTACCTAACTTGGGTAACTTGTTAATGACTACCTCATGCCTGCCAGACAGACAGACAAACAAGAAGGTGGAATGTGATTGTTTAATAATCCAATGCCTATTTATGTACAAGTTTACTGCAAAGATGTTAGATGTCAACCACCATCCATCCATCATCCGCTCCAAGGCAGTATGATGATCGCTGTATCCTCAAGTCAGATGTGATGATGATGATAATGTTCAAAGCGTAACACTTGAGATCCAAGCGAGTACCGACCACACACCTAGAGTCAAGGTATCATCTGTTCATTGCCAATGACTTTAATTGGAAAGGTACACACTACCGGGAGTCGACTCTCTCGCGTGGGTGGCTATGGTGAGCAGATGTTGTTGTCTGATAATGTAACAGTTGGCTGGGCCTAACAACGTCGCAGCAGTGTTTTAATGGAGAAGAGGGCAGTCGTCAGTCATCCCACACATCTACAACAACATCACTTCCATCATGCATCAGGCATCAGACATTAATCGAAACCAACAATAACTTTCTTGCCTCCACACATCAACGACAACAGCACCAACACTCAATCATCATCCAAAGTCTTCTTCCTTGTCAATCAACCAACCAACCAACCAAACCAACCAATCAATCAATCATTCATTCATTCAATCATTCAATCAATCAATCACATTATAATTCAAACAATTAATATTTATATTCCCGCCACTTTGACAACAACAACAACAACAACGACTTGATCATCATAATTACCACAGTGTTATTGTTAACACTTACACTTACTTACCCGGCCGATTGATTGATTGATTGATTGCAATCAATCCAGGGCGCGCCAAATACCCCACCGTACCACTCACTCTCCCAAGTTCAAGTGGTCTCATGGTCCATTGCCCTTGGGGCTTGTTCAATCAATCAATCACATTTCGTATACATCTATAAGTGTCTGTTCAATTCAAATTATAATCTACAACAACAACAACAACAACTTAACTGACTTGGATCTGTTACACTTTATATTTGTTTAAATATTTATTTTAATTATTATTATTATTATTATATTACATCACATCTACAATCTGTTTTTTTATTTGTTGCCAACAACATCATCAACAACAACAACAACACCTACCTTCATAACTGTTTATTGTTACCAACATCTTGCCTGTCATTGTGCACATACATATATAAATATTAATAATTAATTATTTGTTGATTGATCATAATAATATTACAATATTGTTAAAGATGGATTACAATCATCAACATCAACATAACAACTCAAGTGCATTGTCATCACCAGTGTATATGTCCAACAACAACAATGTACATCAACAACATCACCTATCACAATCAATCAATCAATCATCATCATCATCATCATCCGGACCAGACCTCAGACGAGAGTATTATGTACGTGAATTCGATGTTACGCTTGCCGGTACCAAGGAACCAACCTCTGTTCAATACTTTATCAACGGTGTCAACGAACCAATATACTTCCCCGATCGCACCCTGGCCGCCCTATTCCACTGCAATCTGTCCACATTGCGCGGACGATTCAATCGTCTGACCAAAGACCCAATCTACAATGGGCATCGTGTGCTCATCAGTGAGAAGTCCAAGACCCGTCTATCCACCTACCACTATATCAACTGGGGCAAGCGACCAAGTATCTCTGGCTCGTCCTCCTCCTCATCCACCGGCCTCATAGTGTCTCCTCCAACATCCCTGTCCAACAATAGTGACGACCTGTCCCCGCTTCCAACTCCGTACACTCTATCTCCAGCTGCCTCTCCAACTTTGAACTCTGCGACAACTACCAAGACCCCAACGACTTCCACTACGACCACAACATCGGCAGGCAGTTCACCTCTCCATGGCCTGGTGGCACTGAATCACTTCAAATTGGTCAACATTGCACTATCTGAATGGATCGCGGCCAACTATGATCGATTGGGCACACACATCAACATCATCATTGAGAACTTTCAAAAGTGTCAAATACCTTACCGTCGAGTCGGTGACGTATTGTCCATCGTGGTGGAGCAGAAGGAGGACCTACACGTCTACGGCATGAACGCATCTGGCAATGTTGGTATGATGGGCTCACTGCCATTCTATCAAAGGACACCCGCACTATCATTCAGCAATGGTGGAGGAGGGCAGTCTCCAGGCCTCATGACTACCGACTACTCTCCCCAGTCATCTCCAACCACTCAATATTCATACTTGACACAATCGTCCAGTTCGTCATCATTATTTGGAGATTTCTTAGACAATGGGTACGACAACTCAAGTTCAACAATGACATCACCTCGAGAGTATGCCAGTCCACAACTGCCTCCACCCCTTCGTTTGAGCTCATCGGACAACTCAATCTCAAACAACAACAACTACAATGGCATAGGCAACAAGTATAGACCATCGACATCATTGAATGGTTACTATGACACAATACAAAGACCAACACCGTATCGTTGTGGTAGTGGCAGTGGCAATGGCATTGGCAGTGGAAGTGGAAGTAGTGGCAATCAGATATCACCACGTGGATTGAAGGGTGGCCACTCCAGTCCACATTATCATCCATATGGATCGAATGGACCATATAAACCATCAACACCATTTCAAACAGTCATTGAGGAGAGGCTATCACCAGACTCGCGACACATCGAGGTGATTGATCAAGTGCCATCATCCTGTGATAACAGTCCACTATTACGTCCTGATGACAGAGGTATGTATACTTTGATTGATGAATGAATGAATGAATGTGACTAACAAACATACCAATAGATATATTCGACCTTCATCATCAATCGAGGAACAACAACAACAACAATCACAATTCATCATACGGACTTAATGGAACATCTGCATTCAATACACACCAATTCCATGTCAAACCAACTGGATATCCATTCAATGATATCCACCATTTCAACAACAATAACAACAATCACAATTCAACTACGACAACAATGGTGCCATTTAACTACAATCACAATCATATTATCCCTGGGCCATCAACCCTGAAAATATCACCATCCAAGAAGTTGGCACCATTCCTACTCCAGAACGATTCACCGCCACGCCCTCACAACGTCAGCAAGCCAGACATCCCGAAACTATCATTCAACAGGAAACAAGAATGTCTCGAAGGTCAAGGTGATACATGGGTGGACTGTAATAGCCCATCATCCTCCATCTCCATCTCCACCAACAACCAGTCATATGACAACCGACCATCAACTGTAAATACTACAACTACTTCATCAACATCATCAAACTTTGACATCAAGAATATACTCAATGATCAATGATCAATTGATTGAATGAGTGACCGAATATAAGATACCAACGACTCCATGTACAACAACAATCCCATAATTACTGGCAATTATTATGATGGGCTGATAGGTCAGCCGATCACAATTGCAATACACTCACAATCATCATTATTTATAAACAACGTTATTTCCAAAGCTTCAGCGTCAGTGTAAGGGTAAGCGTAAGGGTTTATATATAACATGGATGAAGTGTCTCTTCTTCTTCGCAATGGAATGATGATGAACACCCTGGCGCATCCCTACTCTTTGCCAGACAACATAGCCAATAGACACCTGAAGGTACACCTCTGTTCTCCACAATGTCTCGGATGTCCGTGTGCACCTTGCATATGGCGCTGTGATTCCAACACTGACGGTACACGCGATGGCACTTCCGACAGTACCTCTGTCGCCACAGATCGCAATAGATCTTCTTCCACTTGATCATCTTGGTGTGCTCGTGCTTGGCCACCAGTGTTCGTACATTTTGTATGTTCATCCAGAGCATCATATCACGAATGATCAGTGAGCGCCACACTTGGTTGTTGCGGCCCACCACGTAGAAGAACCGGCTGACCGACTGCAGTGTGGCGAGGTCGCGAACATTGAGGTAGGATACAATATGAGACAGCAACTCTAGTGCCATCGATGAGAATTGATCGTTGGGTGCGCTATCAAATTGTTTGCCATCCTTTTGGAAGTCCAGGCCATCGATCAATTCCAACACTCTATATAACACTTTGAACTGGTGATGTTGATGTTGTTGTTGGTTCATTCCATTCTTTCCAGGTATTGATGAACAATCTTGATTGATTATATCTGTTGTTGTCGTTGAGGCTAATGTTGAATCGATTGGCAAGTCCTCATTCAAATCATCGTCATCGCTTCTCTGTCCAGTGGCATGTCTTGACAAGGACCTCCTTTTATACTTTGGTAATCTTCTGTTCTTGCTTAACTGTATGCCCATCAAGTTGATCGTACTGGAAATTAGTTTGATTGATGATCAGTATATATTTATAAATATATTATGATGGATGGTCCACTTAGTTAATGAATGAATGATTGAATAAGTAAGTAGTACCTGTATTAGAAGTGTTTAACATACCTTCATCCATCACCATCCAATCACACACAACCCGTCCACACACACGACCCCAACCTCTCAATCAACCCTTGCCCCCACCCCAATCAAGGTCGTGATTAGAGTGATCGAAGTGAAGTGGTGGGTGTCGGTATGTGATGTGCTCCTCCGCCGATCACTCACCAACTCGGGAGGTGGTAGACGAGCCCCGTCTACCTATCTATCCATCAGTCTAATGTTGCTGTTCAAATTGCTGGCGGCCTTCATCACGCCACCTTTTATTTGTTGTCGACTGTCTTTAGCTGAGTGATGAGAATGAATGGATGAAGGCTGCTTGCTGTGTGTGCTCCCCTGTTGGAGGAGGTCATCACTTCTGCTTCTTCTTCTTCTTGCTCTTCTTGTCTTCGTCGTCTTCGCTGCTGTCTGGCTCGACTGACTTTCTCTTTTTACTGCTGCTGCTGTCATCCTTTGACTTGGACTTTGATTTCTTGCTCTTCTTCTCGTCTTCCTCTTCATCATCATCGTCATCAGACTCTGCCTTCTTGCTCTTCTTGTTCTTCTTTGATGGTGTCTTGACTTCCTCCTCCTCCTCTTCCTCATCATCATCAGACTCTGCCTTCTTGCTCTTCTTGCTCTTCTTGCTGCTCTTTGTCTTTTTCTCCTCTTCCTCTTCCTCTTCATCGTCAGAGTCTTGCTTCTTTGACTTTGACTTCTTGTCCTTTGAGGAGTCCTTGGACGACTCTTTTGACTTTGATATCTTGGTGTTGTTGTTGTCGTCATCATTGGCATCCTCCATAACTTCATCCTCATCCACCTTCTTGTTCTTCTTGTTGGTGTTCTTCTCTGGCTCCTCAACGCTCTTCTTCTTGCTACTGCTGCTAGTTGTGTTGATGTTTGTGCTTGTGCTTGTGACAGTGCTAGACTTATTCTTCTTGGACTTTGAATCCTTTACTTTCTTCAGTATCTCATCTCTTGTCGACTGTTCATTCAAGTTCTTCTTGACTGTTCATATGTTGATTGATTGATAATGTATTAGTGTATGTGTCCTCGATACCAAGAACAATACCAACACTTACATTGAGCTGAACCTGGTGGGAAGAACATGCCCTTGATACCATCTGGTTGTTGTGCTTGCTTGGTTGGTGGCAGTGTTACATTGGTCGTTGGCACTTTGAAGACCTCTTCGATACAGATGTACTTGCTGAATGGTACACCCAACTTCATTGTACCATCCTGCTCGTCACTGGCCCACATATTAACCAATGACGAAACCTCATTAACATTAGCCTGTCTCAATCTATACTTATTTGATCTTCCATCCACCTTGATATCACTGCATTCAATCGACTCGATATTCTTAATATCAATAGACTTGTCATCCAATGAGTTTATATCAAACTATTATTGATTGATTGATTGATTGATTGTCAATACCATTCATTCCTTCTTTCCTTCAATCGTGATAACTCTTACATTTCTTGGAAGCTTGAACAGCCATAGCTGATCACTCTTCTTGTTCAATGTGCTGATGGTCAAGGGTGATCGTTTGTCAAGCTTGTAATCTTTGCTCAGCAATGTACTCTCTCTTGATTGTTCGTCGTCACTCATTCTTGTATTTATAAGTGTTTATATATTTTTGTAAGTATGTATAATGAATGATTGATTGTAAAGTGTTCGGTCGACTCGTCAAAAACGATCGTTTTTGCATTTGATGAGTGATTGAAAAAATAAATTAAATAATAATGATTGTTGTTCATTCATTCATACAATATGAAGGTAGATTATTTTATAAGTTAAAGTCTAGTGACTAGAGTAACAACAAAGATATGATGATGGTCATGAGAATCATTGTTGGCGCAACAATCAATGACATGGCATTGTTTGGATGTCCACCAGTGGTCGTAGAGGTCATGGTAGTAGTGGTAGTAGCAGATGTTGATGTTGTGGCCGAGGTGGTGGCTGGCGATGTAGTGACTAAAGTGGTAGCAGTAGTAGCCGGAGTAGTAGTAGTAGTTGTTGTGGTAGTTGGTTGACTTGGAGCACACTGGTCGACATAGAGTGATGTGTTGGTAACCAGGAATCCACATTGTTGAGTAAGACAACTGTTGGGCTTGTCAAGTAGAACCATTGGACATGTAGACTTGTAGATACAGTCGACAAAGTTGAGTATGAACTGTTGGGACTTTGAGTTCTGGGGTATGATATCTCTACAGGTACCAGCCCATGTCTCTCCCTCACAAGTACAAGACTGCATACTGTTACACTTGGCCATAAAGGGAAGAGTACAATTACTGTTGGCAGGTCTCTTTGTACAGAAATCGTTGTAACACTATGATGATATAACCAATGCAGAGTTAGTTAGTACTGGTACATTAATGATGGTGCAAGTAGGTATATATATATATATATACATACAGTTAATCCTTGAGTCAGATCACAAGATAACATGTTGGTACATGCTAGACCCTCGGATAGAGTGAACAATCCATTGCAGACGGTGTAGTTCTGGGACTGGGTGGTGATCTCACAGTTGGAGTATCTCAGACATTGACTTGAAGAGTTACATGCCTTTCCATCTGGGAATGAAGTCATACACTTCTTATCATAACATCTCTCAGATGCCTTACAATGATTGTCATCGGTACAGTTTGGATTGCTTGGATTGATACAGGTCAAATTTGTACCATCACATTTCAAACTTGGATCACAATCACGATCAGTGTCACAACTCTCACCCAATCTGTGTCATATAATTTAAAGTTAGAGATTGTCAATAAGTGTCATACCATACATGATTGATCATGATCATAAATATAATGTACATACCCTTTGTTGGCAACGATTAGACATTTGGTGGTGCTGGCGACGGTCTCACAGGAGAGGTAGTCCTGGCACTTGCGAGCATCCGAACAGTTAAGTGAGCCGATGGTTAACTTTGGAGTGCAAACTGAGTAGGAGGTGTCTGGCTTCTGGACACATTGGTAGCCAGATGGACACAAATCACCATCAACAGAACAATTCTGGTTGGCCTTACGACATGTCACACATTGTTTGGTCAATGGAGCACAATCCACTGAGACCAATGTCAATGTAAATACTAACAATAATCCAAATAATATATATTTCATTTCTATCTATGTTCTATCTCTAATTCTAATATTAATATTAATTAATTAATTTATAAATTAATTGATTAGTTGTTTGATCGAATGATTTAAAGTGTCACCTGGTGACTTTATATTTATATTTGAGGAGAAAGATAGAGAGATATAGAGAGATATGAGTTTGACCAAAGAGGAAGTAGCAAGTAGCAACGTTGATTGTTTGTTCAAACTATTTGTGTTGTGTACAAGAATGATCATTGCTTAGTACTATGAGGCAAACATTCGGGTACCCAAGAGTGGATAAATAGTTATTAATAAATACTTGGATATTTTATAGACGAGACGTCTGTTCACTTTGTTGCAAGGGAGGAGAGAGAGGTGTGTTGTTGTGTAAGGGTAGGGCGCCCGTTGGAGCTGATCAATGTTGCGATCAATCATCCAACCAACCAGGTGGTCGATTAGTAGTGCTTATTCAATTGAATACACACACAAAGGAAGGGCACTGTCTCCTACGGGAAGGACCAACAGACTATTTACACTACCCAATAACCCAGCAACCAAACAACCCCATCAAAGATAAGGCTTTTGGGCACAAAGTGTAAAGACCCTTGTACAAAAATTTATCAATCAACAAAAGTTTCGTTTTTCTCCTTGACACAACAATTTGTAGATCAATAATTCCCAACATTATCATTACTTTATCTCTATAATATTGAGTTGTACAACTCATACTAGTTTGAAATTACTACAAATAATTATAATCAATCATTGAACTCTACAATAAATATATATTATAATAGCTTTTGCTCTAGTCGTCTCCACTATAATATCAAAAATATGTGATTAATCCTCTAAATATCAATGAATACCAAAGATATTCTCTTGGGGTGAGGTGACTCTATGTCTGCCTTCATCTATTCGGTCGTTGTATGCGTATTCGTTCTCGTTGTGCTGTTAGATTGCGCATTATTAGATTCAATGTAAATCATTTATGTTAGAAATATACTGGAGGGAGGAACAACCTTTGGAGAAGTCATTATAATGCTTTAATTCTATAATAATTATTGATTGCAAACTCTTTATTTAATGGTTAAATAATACAAATTAAATTAATTAATCAAAGTCCCTTGTTTTTTGTCATTCTCATGGAATAGTGAAGAAAAAATCAAATTGAGACCAATGAGTTAGTTCATTTACCAAACAACATCAACAAATATTATAAAGAGAGAAGACAGACAGACAAACATGTATGGACTCTCACAAGATGTGAACTCTCGAGGGACAGGACTCGACAATAGCTCGCAATCGGCAACGAGCCAAACAGACTTCAATTACTTTGACTTTGCCGACAGCAATACACAGGATGACTACACTCTGTCTGCACCATTCGAACACAACAACAACAATAACAATAACAACAACTCATTAGGTGTTGCATCCAATGGCTTCCCCTCACCAAACGACCCATCACAACGGGTCGTGAAACACTCTGCGCCCAGAAACAACAACAACAACAACAGGAATCAGAGTGGCAACAACATAGGTGCTGGTCGTACACAACAACAACAGATACAACATGACGAGCAACATCATCATCATCATCACAGTCACAATCACAATCACAATCATACTCACTCACCGACCAACTCTGGCCGCAATGACTTTGAATCGCAGGACTTCATGTCTTCACAGAACGACGCGCTACTACTTGACAACTCACAGCTGAACTTTGAGGACCCCGAGGACATGGACAGCATCAAGATCAATCTGCCCGACTACGCTTGCGGCTACTGCGGTCTGCACGACCCTTCGACCGTCGTGCGCTGCTCCTGCGGCAAATGGTTCTGCAATGGCAAGGGCAAGACCAACTCGTCACACATCGTCACTCATCTCGTCAAGACGCGCCACAACGAGATCTCGCTGCATGCCGACTCGCAGTTTGGTGAGACTGTGCTCGAGTGCTACAACTGCGGCTGCAAGAACATCTTTCTGCTGGGCTTCATCACGGCCAAGAAGGAGCAGTTTGTCGTGCTGCTCTGTCGTGACCCCTGCGCAATGGGAGGCAGCAAGGAGACGACCAACTGGGACCTGTCCAACTGGCAGCCACTGATCAACAGCGAGCGTAGCTTCCTCAGCTGGCTGGTCAAGGTGCCCTCAGACGAGGACCAGCAGCGTGTGCGCCAGATCACCACCAAGCAGATCCTCAAGCTCGAGGAGGACTGGAAGACCAACCCCAACGCGGTGGTCGTCGAGAAGCATGGCGGTGGCCCAGAGATGATGGCCGACGAGAGCGCGCCACTGCCCACTCTGTTGCGTTACGAGGACGCCTATCAGTACCAAGAGATCATCACACCGCTCATCAGACTGGAGTCGGAGCACGAGAAGGTGCTGCGCGAGGCGCTGTCGCAGGACAATGTGCAGTTGCGCTGGGAGCAGGGTCTGAGCAAGAAGTGGACAGCCTTCTTCAGCTTCAGTAGATCGGACTTTGAGTTCAAGGTGATGCCAGGCGATGAGCTCAAGCTACAGTACAAGGGCGACCGAGAGTCACCCGACTGGGAATCAGTGGGCCGTGTCACCAAGATCAACGACGAGGGTGAGGCATCGTTCGAGGTGTCTCTCGAGATCTACAACTCACACAACGCGCCCGTCAAGGCCAGTGGACGCTTCAAGATCGACATGGTGTGGAGGTCGACCTCATTTGACAGAATGCAAGCGGCACTCAAGGCATTCGCCGTGTCCAAGGACTCGATATCCGATCACCTCTATCACGCACTGCTTGGACACGATCGCGTGATGCCCAAGACCAACGTGCCCCTGCCCAAGACATACGCCATCAAGAATCTGCCCGCTCTCAACAAGTCACAGATCGCTGCGGCGCAACAGGTGCTCAAGAGTCCGCTGTCCCTGATCCAGGGTCCACCTGGCACTGGCAAGACCGTGGTGTCATCATTCCTCGTTCATCACTTTGTCACACAGGTTATCAAGAAGAATGAAAAGGTGTTGGTGTGTGCACCATCCAACGTGGCTATCGATCAACTCGCAGGCAAGCTGCATTCAATTGGTCTCAAGGTGGTCAGACTCTGCTCCAAGCTCAGGGAGGAGGTGGCCTCGCCCGTCCAGCATCTCACGCTGCACCAACAGGTCTGGCAGCTGGATCACAAGCACAAGAACAATCTCAAGAAGTTCAAGGAGCTCAAGGACGATCAAGGTGAGCTGAGCGCAAAGGATGAGAAGATGTACTGGTCGCTGAAGCGTGCCGCCGAGATCACAATCCTCAAGGAGGCCGACGTGATCTGCACCACGTGTGTTGGTGCCGGCGACCCCCGTCTTGCCAGCTTCAAGTTCCCCTACGTGCTCATCGATGAGTCCACGCAGGCCAGCGAGCCCGAGTGTCTTATCCCAATGATGCTCGGCGCACGCCAGGTCGTCCTGGTGGGCGACCACTGCCAGCTCGGTCCAGTGCTGATGGCCAAGAAGGTCATCGAGGCAGGTCTGTCCAAGTCCTTGTTTGAGCGTATGATCAATCTCGGATTCATCCCATTCCGTCTCACCACACAGTATCGTATGCATCCTTCGCTCTCTGAGTTCCCCTCAAGCACATTCTACGAAGGCCAGCTCGTCAATGAGCTGTCCTACAAGGACCGCGTCTACAATGAGATCAAGTTCCCTTGGCCCTCGTCACACGACCCAATGTTCTTCTACAACTGCACTGGACCAGAAGAGATCAGCTCTTCGGGTACATCATTCATCAATCGTACAGAGGCATCATTGATTGAGAAGATCGTCACCAAGTTCTTGGAGCTCGGTACCAAGCCACAGCAGATTGGTATCATCACGCCCTACGAAGGACAGCGTTCCTACCTCGTCAATGTCATGATCAAGACTGGCAAGCTCAACATTGAGTTCTACAAAGACATTGAGGTGGCTAGTGTTGACTCGTTCCAAGGACGTGAGAAGGACTTTATCATCCTGTCCTGTGTCCGTTCCAACGAGTACCAAGGTATTGGTTTCCTCCAGGACCCTCGTCGTCTTAACGTCGCCTTGACCCGTGCACGTTATGGTCTAATCATTTGTGGAAATGCCAAGGTCCTTTCAAGGGTATGTATACTCAATCAATCAATCTCATTCAATCGTTCGTTCGTTCACTAACTCACAATCAATCATCAATTAATTAAAATAGGATCAACTCTGGAACAACTTGATCTGTCATATCAAGGAGAAGAACTTGTTGGTCGATGGAACATTGTCCAACTTGAAGCCAAGTTCGGTACAGTTGCAAAAGCCAAGGAAGCTGTATGGAGAGGGCAAGTTGCCAGTGGCTGGAGCACAGCCTACAGGCTTCAGCTATCCAGATCAGCGCGGACCAGTCGATCCTGCATTGGCCTCCAGCATGGTGTATGGCCAGCGTCCACCAAAGTACTATGACAACAACAACAACAACAATCGTTACTCACCTCAGACGTACCGCGGCTTCTCTGGTCTTGGCGGCAACCCATACACCATGTCCAGAATCACCAACTCGATGGCCACGGTCGACTTGTCGCAACGCATGGATGGCTCGCAGTCAGTCAATGGATTCAGCCAGCAATCAGCATCACAAGAGTCATCCCAGAGTGGCGGATACTTTATGAGTCAATCATTCCCAATGAGCTTGAACGAGATGTCTCAGGTGAGTTGTTGCGCATCATCCATGGATGTATTGGCATGTAATCAAATACTAACTCTCTCTTTGTCCACATGTAGGAGTCGGGCAACATCAACCTCCGCAGCAAGGAGAACATATTCTAGACATCCATCTCTGACATACATATTGGATATGCATGCGTGCATGTTGCTTTCGCCAATCATTCCATAAGCAACAGCAGCAACACACCCATCCCTAAGCGGCAACACACACCGTATCATCATCGCCGTGACGTATGATCCTTTGAAGCGCGCAAACACACACATACCCCTTAGCTTGTGTCCTGTGGCTACCAACCAACGTCCATGTGCAGAGTAATGCCCTGCTCGGTCCTGCCACTCTCTCTCTCCTCCGATGTGTTTCATCGTTTGGGAACAAGCCACAACCTACCCTCCCCCCTCCTCACCTGTCGTCCACTGATCAAGTGATCTGATCAATGACCAGAGTCCAGATCAAGAGCCCTACTCCTTGTGATAACTCGCTCGCACTCAAATAAACATCATCAGACTGTTGATCTCTCTATCTAACTATCTATCATCGCGTTGATCATCATGTGATCGTTGTTGTTGTTGTTAACATGTGTAAGTTTAGTTGCTATTTAATCGATCGACAACTCTATCCATCTATCTCGCTATATAGTGATGATGATCGCTCGCTATATTAAGATCTTGGTTGGTTCAACCATGGTCGTCGGGTGTTGGCCTCCTTGTATTTGAGGAAGTCGTCGTAGATGTGATTGAGCTTTGAGAAGTCTGTGTCGTCCTCCTGCTTGACGTTCTTGTCCTCGACGTGCTCCTGGATAATGTCATAGGATGACTCTGACAGAGTGATGTTGTTGATCTTTGCAAAGTTGGCCACTGAGACGCATGCCATCACCTCACCAAGTGCGTTGTATCTCTGAATCAATGTGTCGTACACTGGTGCGCCAACCACTTGGTTAACCTTTGCAAACACCTCATCTAATGACTTCTTTGTCAGGTTTGGCTTGTTCAATGATTCCAAATAGCTGTATCATCATGAGCCTGTTAGAACATTCACAAGCAATGTCTGGTCTGTTGTCTGCTGCCCTTACCTTGAATCGTTGTTGGCAACTGCAGATGAAGAGTATAATCTAGTGAATCTCATGGTTGAGACTCTGCTTGTGAGCAATGATGTAGCAGTTCTAAATGACAACATCTTTTAATGTACAACTATGTATTTATATATATATCTTTATCTCTTCAGAAGTTATTGCTTGTTTGAGTAAAATGATCAAATCATCGTTTTTTAGAACCATTCTCAATCAATAAAACTCCCTTCATTTCAAAGTAGGAATCAATAAAACTAAGGATACATCAAGTTGTATGTACAAAGAACAATGGAACTGGGATGTAGATGTAAAGGTAATGTTTTGATAATGGTAATGGTATTTGAATCGGTGTAGTATGGGGTCAACGGAATCTACACAACTTATTCATAGAATTATGGGTGAATCAATCACTGGAAAATATAAATCGATAATAATAATAAATATCAAGTTCTAATACTTTGTGTCTCAATTCACAACAAGATATAACAGATCGACAGTATTGTAATACAATGAGGGGCAATGATTTATTAATTGATCGCGTCTAGTGTGTGTTAAGAAACACCACTCATGCTAATTATTAATAACTTCTCCTAGTTCTGGTGTTTGTTACCTACCATCAATAGTAACTCTTACGATTCATGGTTAACTTTACCATATAAATATAATTACGGTTATAACTTAATATTCTTATATTTGTTGAAATAACTTCTTCTATACTTAAATATTAGAATAATAATAAAAATAATTAAACAATGAATAGAATAACTATATTTTCAATGTTAGTTCTATTACAGTTTGTTCTAATGGCATCGTACCAGTTCGATTTTAAGGACGCCGGAGTATACAAAGGCCCCAACTTCCAAATTCCTAAATAAATACTCCTGGAGAATGGCAATAATGACATTTATGGGTATCAAACTTAAGACAATTACAAAAATAAATAATACTTCTTTTAAAAAAATCAAGTAAGTACCCATTAAAAGATGGAAATAAGATTCATTCTATAAATTGATGTTATTGTTCCTGCTCACAAACAAGTAGATCAACCAAAATAAATCTTCCCTTCTTAATGGTAGAATATTTCAAGTTTGTTTAAATGTTGGAATTGGAGTTAGAGATGTAAAATTAAGTCAGTCAATGTGTTGAAGTTTGTTCAAATAATTAACTATTGAGAGATATAATTATTCAAAGAGATAATAATAACCTTATACTAAAAGAGAAGTAAATTATTGATAAAAGTTTGACTTGTACAAAGGTTCTAAAATCTACCTCCTAAGGCCTATCCCGCCTTCTGGTAGGTCGGGCTATTGTCCCATACTTGGTTACAAACCGTGTCCTTTGGTCGATTGTGATGCTCATTACGTGTTTTGATTGGATGTCACCTACTTTGAAAAAAAGTGATCAAAATTGATAGCTATCAACCCTGCAAATAATGGGGTTATAGTACTTTACTGATATTACATGTAGTTATCAAGTAAAAGAATAAATAGACATTTCAATTGACATTAATTAATCATCAATCCAATTATCTCTAACAACTATATAATAATAATCATAACAATGAAGTCATTCCAAATTATTGCCGCATTGATGCTGGTCACCGTGACCTTGGCCTACGCCAGAAACGCCTACTTTGTCTTCTCCGATAACACCAACGAGTTCACCATCAAGCTCACCAACCCAACTTTGATCCAGCATGCCCGTGACCTGATTGCCAACAGAACCGAGGAAGGACGCGGAGTGATGGGAATCATCAAGCGCGGAGACACCTTCTACAACTGGCAGTGGTCATACTACCTCGACCCAGCCACCATCTCCTTCTTCGATATGGCCGCCGAGGTCTGTGACGCTTCCATTGACTACGTCGAGAACCACCTCAACGAGGTTGGTGGTGCTCTCCTCCCAGGCAACAGATGGTGCCCATGGCAATCACACTTGGTTCGCGAGCTTTAAATCAGTCCGTGTATCCAGTTCCAGATTCAATCATCTATTTCACCAAGTCGATCACCCGACCACCCGAAAATAATAAACTTTCCCTAGACCTTTGTTGGAACAATTCCAGCCCCAATCTCAACTTTCTGTCATATTTTATTGTTTTGTTTAAATATTGATTTGATGGGTTCATTTTGGTAACCGGATAAATTGGTGATTGAACTGTCCACTCGCAACTTTACTCGAATATCAACAAGATGTTGAAGTGTTACATCATCATAATTGAGTACCAACGTCTTTGTAAGCATTGGTAACACTAATTGTTTGATTTTGTTCAATGTTTGACCATCATCATCACCTGACACATATCCAATTAGTTGATCAAGTTGTTGTATATTTCCAGGTTTGCTACATATTACATTCCTTAAAAGATCGAGGATACGTGATGGTGCCTTTAGACCGTCGATGTACACGAGTTCAACCATCCTCTCACCATCTTCACCACCACCATTGTTCTCAAAGTACTCCCAGTCAATGATGATTGGATCCTGTTTGAATATGATGTCCATCACTTCAGTATCTCCAACATTGAGTGCTGTTGAATGTTGAACGATGTTGTCAACATTGCGGACAATGTTGGAATGATGTGCGCACATGTGTCTGACAAGATCGACCTGATCTTGAATGATCGCGCCACACATCAATAGGTTGCATCGATATTGATCTGGATTGAGCTTGATGATGGCCAACTCCACCAACTCGACATCGCCAATCTTTCCAAGCATGTTCCAAAGTCCACCATCAAAGACCTCGCCCCTAATATGATCAATGAGGTATTTGAACATATCCACTTGAACACGACCTGATATTGATTGTTTGAGTGCGTCCATAGTACCACAATCATTGGTGTCGCGATACCTATTCAACAAACGTTGCTCAATTGCCATGTTTCCAAACTTGATGGCCAATCTCTCTTGTTTGTCGACATAGATCATATCGGGTCTATTGTTGAGTGCCAACTCAAAGTGAGTAGAGTCGATGAACATCCAATGACCAGGTAGTCTTGGTATAATCTTGTTGTTGTCCGATAGAATGAATGTGAGTGTATCCAATGGTCCATCATAGATGATACTGGGAGAGAATTGTGACTCGGTCAGGACAACTCCATTACTATTGAGATACATCAGTATGCCAAGTCTATCGACGTTGGTATGTGGACTCGTGAAATGTTTGATCAGCTTGTCACAATCAAAGTTTGTTGGCGATGATGATTGATCGGATGGACTGATGAATCCCATCGCCAACCTGGCCTGATCCAATGTACCACATTGAACAATTTGATTGAACACCATGTATCTCTTCCTTTCCAATACTGTCATGAATGCAGGTATGAGTGTGATGTCACCCGTTGAGATGTATTGGCCCAAGGTGTCGTCCATTGCACTACCACCATAATTCTCCAAAGCCATCACAAGCCTCATGTACAGCAGTCTCTGGCCATCATCCATGACATCATGATGTGATGTTGTTGTTGACAATGACTTGATATGTTCAATTGATTGTCCTATGGCTAAGTCCGCTTTGAGTTGGAAGTCATCAGGTTGGTAAAATGGAAAGATTCCATAGGTCATCATTCGTTGGATATGTGCCCATTGTCTCTCCGCTGATGCATTGATCAATAGTTGGTCATTTGAATTGTATTTGAGATTAAATGATGGCAGTGGTAGTAGTTCATCGATAAGTGCCTGATCCTCGGTCATCAAGAGTTCAAAGATTGATTTATCGGCATGAGATCTGATGATGTTGGCCAGCTCGACGGACGGCAGGAAGTTGGGTGCCAACACTGCTCTGATCATGACCGATGAGCGAGTTGAGTATAGACGTCGTGCAATGTCCTTGGACTGGGTCATCATGAATGTGTTGGAGAGCAATCCTTCGCGCAAGAACATCACCAACATGGGCAATCTTTGATAGTCGATGGCGTCAAGCAGTAGATGATGATTGATGAGCGGTGATTGATTGGCAAGCTCATTGAATATATCGATGTTGCCAGACTTGATCACATCCATTATGATCGATTGGGGATTGAATTGACTGGGGAAATGCAGGCTGAGGTACTTGAAAGTGTCCAAGTCCATTTGGGAATAGCATGATATAAAGTTCACCTTGTTGGCAGCGTATCCAATTGGTAGTGCACTGATGTGTAGTCGTCGTTTGATACGATCTTTTAACAGGCCAATATGTTGATGTCTTAGTATAACATATAGATCAGTCCAATGTCTATACTTTGATCTATATTCATCAGGTCCATCCTTTATATCTCCATTCTTTGCATCCCTCACTCTTTGTTCATAATACAAATGATCACTTATAGTATGTATACATGACATAATCAATCTTATCAATACTATATTGTTAAGTAAACTCTTGAATAATGATGTCTTCTGATCATCAGGTGTTGATGATTGTGATTGAGTATGGTGGTCCATTAATTTGATAGATCGTCGAGTGAGTGATCACCGGAACAGAAGTAGATTGTATATATATATATATATATATATATATATCTGTTTATGATTAAGATGAGTGATTGAGTGAAGGGAGGAGATGTGTTTTATTGATTAGATTTTGATTGATTAGTGGGATTATTCCGTCCCATAAATTACCAATTAAAGCAACCCACATGTCCTTTTTGGGCTCCTCCAATACACTTTGACAAGTTATCATTCGTCTTCTGATCATTCACATTGACAACATAGTTATACTAATCATACATACGATAATAAGATGGTACAGAGCTTCAACTTTGCGGCAATGCGATCGCTTGGAAAGGTGTTCTACAATCGCAGCTTGGTCATCCCGCACTTGATGCTGCAGGATGTTAGATCAATTGACTTTGCCCGACTGCGTAGTATGGGCTTCGATGCAGTACTGTTTGATAAAGACAACACCCTGACAGAGCCTTATGCCGACCACGTCTATGCGCCATTCAGCGAGGCATTGGAGCATGCCCGACGGGTGTTTGGACCAAAGGGCATCGCCGTGTTATCAAACAGTGCTGGATCTAGTGACGATCACGACTTTGTCGAGGCTACACGTCTGGAACGAGAGTTGTGCATACCTGTCATCAAGCATGGCACGAAGAAGCCTGAAGGCATTGAAGCTGTGATCAAACATTTCAACGACACTGAACCATCACGCATCATCATGGTTGGTGATCGATTCCTCACCGACATACTCTTTGGCAATCTATATGGTATGATGACAATCTACACCAGTCCGATCACATCAGTAGGTGACAATGGAGCTGTAAAGTTGGTATGTTGTTATTCATCAGATCCAAACATCCAAGTCATGTCCAACCAAGTTGTTAACATTGATTGATCATTCGATTGACTTGCGAAACTTATTATATAGATTAGAGACAAAGAAAAGTCATTCGTAATGTACAACAAACAGCATTATAATGCACCTGTACATCCTTTGTTCAATGAGGAGAGCTATTTATCAAAGTCATCAAGTTGATAATGGTCAAGTGACACCTGTCCAATACATGGTCGACTACATTCATCGACTATCCAGATCATGACCAAGTACTAGTCATTCTTTGTTGGTGTTGTTGCCAGTCGCCTTGGTCATTCACATGAATGAACAGACAAGACGAACCCTTGACCTTGGCTGTCGACTTACCCTCACATCAAAAAGCCCTCAATTTCAAGAAAAAAAGAGGAGTGGATCTTTGTTGATCTCAACTTCATTCATTCATTCAATCAATCAATTAATATAAACTAGTTTATATCTCTCTTTGTTATATTTGTATTCATTCAATCAATCACAATCATGGACAGCTTTGTAACTGAGGCCAGAAGGGAGACAAACCCAAAGACAATGAAGACAAACTTGACTCACTTTGAGGATACATTGTCAAACAATCTACACAACCTTGATCAGGTACTTCTCGTATTGGACCCAAGAGCACACTCCCTAGGTTACCTCTTTGTATTGTAAGTGAGTCACTACAAGAAGTAACAACACATTGATGCTGACATGTCAATCAATCAATCAATCAAACAGGAAGGCAAAGATCAATGATCAGAGAAAGAATCCTCAGAGTTATATCGCACAGGTCACTACATTCTTGTCAGCCTGCAATGCTGAGTTTGTTCAGGCTGCTCCTACTCAATGTATGAATCAAACAACAAGTGATCAATCACGCAATCATTCCTCACTCACTTACTCCAATCCAATCACTGAAACATTATAGTCTGTCAGGTCTGCAGACATTACACTGATCTGCTGTTCCAGGTCAGACAACCAAGCAGAGGAGTGCTGCCTTTGAGACGCGCACTTGGTATGCTCATTACAAGCTCAACACAGTTGACACCGGTACACGCTGACTTCCTTCAGCTGTGCATCCTGTCCAAGTGCTACCACATGGCATTGCCCGTCGTGTCACAGTCGATCACAGATGTCAACCCCGACCAGACCAGCATCACAATCCGCGACGTTCTCTGCTACTTCTACTATGCTGGCATCGTGTTTAGCACTCTCAAGATGTACAGACAGGCCCTGGACGCCTTCAGACAGGTGTGGACGGCGCCTGCCACCGCCATATCGGCCATCGCCATCGAGGCCTACAAGAAGTACTACTTGGTCTTCCTCATGATGAACGGTACCACACCAGGATTCCCCAACTACACTCCAATCGTTGTGCAGCGTGCCATCAAGAACCACTGCAAGGCCTACTCTGAGTTTGGTACATCCATCATCAATGGCAACATCAATGAGATACATGCCAAGGCTTCATCCAACGCTGAGACCTTCTCAAAGGTATGTTATATCGGTTCATTCATTCATTCATTCATTCAATCAAACTAACATCTTTGATTCATTAGGATAACAACATGGGACTTGTCAAGCTGGCAATCAAGTCAATACATCGCAGGAACATCAAGAAGCTCACTCAAACCTATATGACCCTTTCAATTCAGAACATTGCCGAGCATGTCAAGCTCACTCCAACTGAAGCCGAAGCAATCGTTTTGAAGATGGTAATGATCAATCACTCCGCCACTGCTCAATCAATCATATTAACATGTACATGAATCAAACAACATTTAGATTGAGGATGGAGAGATCTTTGCCACGATCAGTCAGAAGGATGGAATGGTTACCTTCCACGAGAATCCAGAGTCATACAGTGGACACAAGATTCTGAATGAGTTGGATCATCAGGTGAAGAGTGTGTTTGCTCTTGATGGTAGATTGAGAGCCATGGATGAGAAGTTCTCAGTCAGCCAGGCCTACTTGAAGCGTTTGGTCTCATCAGAGAAGAAGTTGCTTCAGGAGGAGCAGTTTGCGTATGTATCCTACCTAAACTCCAACGTCATCCTTAAGGTGATCACTCACTAACCCAACCTCAACTACCTACTCCAATAATAGTATGATGGAAGATGTAATGTAATCTATTCTGTTCTATTCTGCCAAAAATATCAACTACATCTAATACATCAACAACATCATCAAAGATGTTACCAAAGTGAGATGTCATATCCCCAAGGACTTGTTGGTCCACCTCAGTACCTGCACTCATCTTGTCCAATAAATCAATCATTTTACAGCTCCCATCTGGATACAGACTAACAGGACTACCCTCCACATGTGGCCAAAGTAAGTGTATGAATAACAAGGAGAGTAGGACGTGCTGTCAAAGCAACGCCATAGCTCATGAGAACTATTTATAAATATAAATGTAATATGTTATGGGATGGCTGGTGCTGGCGTTGGTGCTTGTTGCGCACGCCAAGTAGGTCGCGAGAAATCGTAATGCTTGACCACTCCATCAATGAAGCTGGAGATGACCATTGAGTCGTTGGCTGCCATCGCCGACATGTTATTGACGTGGCCATTATCGAGTATACTTGAAGAAAAAAGATCATTGGTTGTGGACTGTCCCTGGCCTTGGCCCTGGCCTCCAGTGGTCCACACATGTAACATCTTGTCACTACCAGAGACAAACCGGTCGTTGGAAACTGACTTGATGAATCGGATTGGAGAGGTGTTGTTGGGTGGCTTGAGCACGGTGATCGCGCTGGACGGCTTGCGTATGTCCCAAACGCGTATCGAGCGGTCGTTGGAGCCAGTCAGGATATTGAACTCGCCGTACACGTCAATGCAATTGACACCTGTCGTGTGTCCTTGCAGGACGATCGACGGCGCTGAAGGTTGCGCAGACAAGTCCCACATCTTGGCTGTCTTGTCGCGGCAGCATGTAAAAAGGGTGTTTGGGTTCTTGCCCAGTCTTGCCTGGTTGATCTTTGCCCGCGCGTCGAGGGACACCTTTGTGGTGCGGGTGGAGTACTCGCCATCCCAGAGCTGGACCGCATTGGTCTCCCATATGTATACATTGTGATTGTCAAAAATGAAGCCATCGGCCAAGAAAACGAACCTCTGATCAGTTGAGATTGATCGATGCTCGAGGTCAATGTGCGAGATGAGTCCGTTTGAATGTCCAGCGCGGATAAAGCGACGATCACTGGCACCGCTCTCGAATGTGATCACACTACAACTTGATTGTTTGGCAATCGAGCTGTATGCCATGGACTTGAGGTGCCACACCTGGAACTCCTTGTCACGCGAGCCTGTGATGGCCATGTCCTGTCCCATATATATGCCCGTGATCTTTGTCTTGTGTCCAGACAACGCCGTCACCTTTGCCCTGGCCACTCTCCAATTGGTATATATACAATGTCTGTCCATGTATAATCTTCGCCAGCACTCCAAGTCACTTGCCGCGCTACTGCCACTACTACTATTGCTATAGGTGTTGTCATAGAGTGAGCGCCAGAGGAAGTTCTTGTTGCCCGTTAGATTGAATAGGGTACAGGTGGATGATACGCGTGCCAGTGATTGGGAGTCGAGATAGGAGAATATATGTTCGATGATCTCTTGTGGAAGGAGAGTGAATGTGATGCCAGCATAGAATGATGGAGTGCAAAGACTGTTGTCCTGTGACCTGACCAACATGAATCGCTTTCGTTTGATGAATCGTTCCCAATTGGGTGTGAATGGTAATGGAGACCTGAGTGACAAGTCATTGGCTTGGATCTATTTGAATGATTGGGTGTCAGTCCTGGCACTCATTGGATCGCAATCAGATCAGTACTTACAGATGACTCTTCGTTATTTGATTCCAAATCATTGTACTTCCTCTTGTGATTGATAGAGTCGTGAGTATTCCTGTTAACCTCATCAATGGCAATGTTATATAATAGGTCCAATACTTCGTCATCAACACTAGTGTCGACCATTGGATCCTCTGGTGTACTCTGTCTGACGATGGCCTCATGGAATGAATGAATGGTATTCTTTATCCTTCCAGAGAGTGTCTCAACAATCTGTGGAATATGGTATGAGTGAGTGAGTGATTGAATGATTGATTGAGAGAATGGAATGACTTACACTATCGACAGACACATTGACAGAACACTTGAGAGTGGTGTTGATGAGGTAGCGAAGTGAGCAACTTCCTTTGGCCAGTGGTACAATGTAGTATCCTGATGGCTGGATCCACACTTTAGTCGAGTTGGCCAGTGTATCAAGTGATTGGAAACCAATGAATGTGATGTTGTAGGGTAGTACTTGCTTCTGCTTGACAAGGAGGTGAGGTGTGTCTTTGAGTGCCTGGTGTAGAGACCGCGAGTGGATCTCAACTATGGACGATTGGTCACTGAGTTGATTGACCATGCGGTAGTGAATATCGTTGGACTCGTCCGTGGCCATGACAAAGGCCTCGATGACCTCGGGGGTTGCGTCGATCTTGATGACGCCACTTCCCAACACGTCCAAACACAAATGCTCGCCAGTGATGGCTCCAAGACGTGTGCGCACATTGGCAGGAGTCTCGCGGAAGTAGAACTCCTCGTCCTTGTCCTGGTGAAATATGTTCCATGCGGCCGATGCCGACTCGAGTTGAGCGATGGTCTCAGACACGGCCTTAAACAGGTGCACCGAGGCCGTAGAGATGAAGAATCGATCCTGATTGATAAGCTGTGTGCCCTCGTTGCGAGTGTGCTCCACGCACTGCTGCATAAACTTGCGAAGTGAGTTGACTCGGTGCAGGCAATGCAGACCAGACTTGCGATATAGTTCTCGGATGTACTCTCGCGACTCCTCAGAGAAGACTTCCAGGTTTGAGTTACTGATCTGTGTGATGTACGATACGCTTGACCTTCCCGTATCCTTGATCTCCTGAATGATGAAGCCACATGGCAGTGCCTCGGACAGCGTGCCCGTTGTACCATTAGCCACTATTGCCACCTCACGCTCAGCGTCCCTATGATATATCGATCGATAAGATATGATGAAACGTCTGTTTGACAAGTCCATCGAGCAGGACTTGAACAAACAAAAGTTCCTAATAATGCCTCCAAGTGGTGATGCAAAGGCCATAAAGTCTATAAAGTTGAGTGGGTCCAACTGTTGGAGTGTCTTGGACTGATCAGAGAGCATTAGTGATCAGTGATTTGGTGATTGGAATGATTCCAAAGAATCTTGGGGACTTACCCTAACACAAAAGTTATCCCATTTCTCCATTAGTTCTCCCCGATAGAGAACGTTCCAGATGATCTCGGCTGGACAATCAAGCTCACCAACACTTTTGAAGTTGAGTTGACCGGCACGATCCTCGCGTGAATATACTGTGGTCTCGGGTGAAGGGTGGATCAGGTCCCAATCGGGGGCCCTGTCCATCTGGACAATCTGTTCCAGTGTCTCGGACGCTATATCCAGCCCATTGACATACTGCATTTCATGTGTGAGGATACACCTGTGGTGTGATGGTAATCAATTGTTGTTGTTAATACTATGATCATAAAGTTGAGTGGAAGTTGAGATATTGAGGTATTGGTAATTGAAGTGAGATGGAAGTGTTTGTTTGATTAGTGAAGTGGAGTGGAAATCAAAGTCGAGAGGAATTGAGTTGAGTTGAGATGAGATGGGATGGCGCGTATTCTAAATAGGTTGATTGATTGATTGATTGATTGATTGATTGACAGACGAGAGAGAGGGAGACACTTGAAGACACAAACATAAACAAACAAAGAGGAAGGCGCGCACTGGCAAGGGGCAACAAACAATCAATCAATCGTTCAACAACATTGACTGTTAGGATGGGTCAATTGACGAGAGGCGGACTTTTAAGCATGTCCACTGCACTTCTCAACGGGCAATGATGACGACTGGATTGATTGCCTGTGTCGACTGCTTGCCTCTCTAATCTAACTCTCTCATATTGGGAGCATTGGCAGTGTGTAGTTGGGATGAATGGACAGTGTGTGCATTGAGTCGTGAGTCGAGGTGATGAGACCCGCTCACACTCTAGAGTGGACCCTGATCGATCAGAAAACACTCAACAAGTCGTGTGTGTGTATGTTTGTTTGTTTGTTTGTTTGTTTGTTTGACTGTGATCGATCATGATGCAAAGGGTGAGAGGGTCTTTGAAGATGCATAAGCTATAACTACCTCTTCTTATATTATAATACTAAATGAATGAATAAATAATATATAAAGTGTAATATTTATTATGTGTATGTAAATATGTATGTATAAGTTACAAATGGGCTCGATATAAATATATATACATCGTTGAGTTGAGATTGGCTAGCTCATCTAATTAATGTTGACACTTATGTTTGGATTGATTGATAGTATCTTGGGGCGTGTCAACACTTTGTATTTCGGCCGTGGGATAGAGAATCAGGTCCGAGGTCACGACCATGCCTCGGGCTGGGGGTTAGACATGATACACAACACATTACAACAACAACCGCGCGTGTGTGTCATCCATTAACCAATCCATCGTGAGGAAGTAACGCATTTGCGATGGTGCCGGGAATGGACACCAAAGTAAAGCAAGGCAGGCCAGGCTAGTCGACTGATCAGCCCCACAGGAACTGTTGACACGTTGTAGGTTGGTGGTGATGTTTCATTGCGGATGTTTGGGGGATGAACGCCTCTTGATCGTTCATCGGGTGGAAGATACACAATTAATAAAAAATCAAGCAATTTTGCTCGCCATCGCACAACCATAAACGAGGTGATGATAATGTGACGGTAAATGAGGGATGGCGCCAGTTGTCGACCTTTTTTTTTTCTTTAAGAATCGCACATTGGTTCTGTGTCAGAGGTGTGTTTTGGTATGCAATGACCGCTTAGGGAGCCTATCAATGCTGGAACACTTTAAAACATCTACATGTTTCTGAACTGTCGACTGTCAAAGGTCTTCAGGAACCTTCATTGTCCAGCGAAGTTAAACCTGGACCGTGTCATAGGGATGGGAGACTAGAACCCTCTCTCCCTCGGCGACCAATTTTTCTATTTGTTTGCTTGTTATAATATATCTTTATTATAACATTCAATCAAAACCTATAAAATTAAAAGATAAACATTAGTATTTGTGTTATGTTATTGTCATTATATATCATTATTTGTTGTTGATATCACAATAATAATAATGACAATAACATCATGATGTACTCAATACAATGTGAGTTACATTCACATCGTAAGAGATCTAGATTCCTGGAAGGTCTTGTCTTTGTCGACATGAATGTTGAACACGCATATCACCCTTCACACACTCACAAACACTCTAACACAATGATATAGATACATAGATACACATAATTATTATAACATTCAACAACACACACATTCTATATCTCTTTGACACTCTCTCAAGCTCACCAACACAGATTCTACAATGTGTTTGAAAAATGGGCGGAAGAGGATAGAATGTTCCATATGTGTGTAAAACTGCATTCAATTTCCGAAATAGGATAGATTGTTTGGACAATCGTTTGTCATTATTGGGTCATGACCAGTTTCCCATGATGGGGGTCGTTAACTTAGCAAACAAACATTTGTTTTCATTTTAATTTGGAATTGTTTGAGGAACAATGTGGTGAGTATCTTTGGCGATGATGCTTTGTATTGTAGGAGTTCCGCCTGCGCTACCTCTCTCACCCACGTGCAGTTCCAAATTCAAAAAGAAGGATCACTTCATGTCTGACAAGACCAGTCTTAATCTCGCACGATACAACTATACTTATACTTATACAATATATAAATAATGGTAAGTCAAGGCATCTCTTCGCGAACATCATAACACACACGCACACACATACAAGTCAGTCACCACTATCTTGTCCGATGTGTGTAGCGTGTTGGTGTTAGTCACAACAAACACAAATAATACAACATCTCATCGTTCAAACACAATACATACATATACTAACATACAATATAACTACTATAACTTTATAACAAACAAACAAACAATGACGACGAAACAGGAGCCAGCTCAACAATACTTTGGATTCGATCACATTACTTTCTGGGTCGGTAACGCTTTGCAAGCCGCCGGTTGGTATAATGCTCGCTTCGGTTTCCAGAACATCGCCTACAGAGGTCTGGAGACTGGCGATCGCAAGTACGTCACCCACGTCATCAAGCAGGACAAGATCATGATGGCTTTCGTCTCACCACTCACCACCAACGATGAGGAGTTTGCCGAGCACATGAAGCTCCACGGTGACGGTGTCAAGGATGTCGCCTTCAACGTCTCTGATGTCCAGGGCATCTTCAAGCAGGCTGTCACCGCTGGTGCCAAGCCAATCAGAGAGCCAGAGGTCATCTCTGACGAGAATGGTTCACTCACCATTGCCACCATTGCCAGTCCAGTAAGTATTGAACTAAGACCGGCACAGACACGACACGCCGACACAAACTAACATCTACTCCCTCACAGTACGGCAACACCACCCACACCTTCATCGACAGATCCAACTACAAGGGAGTCTTCTTGCCAGGATACTCTACCTCTGTCCTCAAGGACCCATTCTCAACCATCACACCTGCCGCTGGTCTTCTCCACATCGATCACATCGTGAGCAACCAGCCAGATCTCGAGATGACCCCAGTTGTCGAGTGGTACGAGAACGTTCTCAAGTTCCACAGATTCTGGTCCGTCGACGACAAGACCATCCACACCGAGTACTCATCGCTGCGATCGATCGTCGTCACTGACGAGAACGAGCGTGTCAAGATGCCAATCAACGAGCCCGCCAACGGCAAGAAGAAGAGTCAGATCCAGGAGTACGTCGACTTCTACGCCGGCGCTGGTGTCCAGCACATTGCCCTGCGCACTGAGGACATCATCACCTCGATCACCAACTTGAGACAGCGTGGAGTTCAGTTCCTCTCTGTTCCAAAGTCCTACTACATCTCCCTCAAGGAGAAGTTGGCCCACGCCCCAATCACCGTTAAAGAGGACCTCGACAAGTTGGAGGAGCTCCAGATCCTCATCGACTACGATGACAAGGGATACTTGTTGCAGATCTTCACCAAGAACGTCGAGGACAGACCAACCGTCTTCTTCGAGGTCATCCAACGTAACAACCATCAGGGATTCGGCGCTGGCAACTTCAAGGCACTGTTTGAGGCTATCGAGAGAGAGCAGGAGAAGAGAGGAAACTTGTAAGCGTGAAGCCGCTTGGTATAGACCATCCTCATCCGATCATCTTCCCCCCTTGTCCACATGCGATCCACACTCCAGAGAGCGCATTATATTATAAATCAATCAGGAATTGGCAATTCAAGTCTGGCTCAATAACAATAAAGGTTAGAAAGGAATGGCCTTTCCAATGAATGTGGTCTAGTTTGTTTAGTTTATTAGTTTGGTTAAGTTAACTCGTCCTGTCCGTTAGCCTAACGATAGGTCATGTGGTGTGTGCGATGTACAAGGTCCTTCAATACCAACAAGCACTTATCTGATCAAACACACACATTTACGCTCAAATGATCTATCGACTGATCAAAAAGTGTTAGTGTGTGTGTGTTTGATCAGATAAACTTGTGTTATTATGTGTCTGTTGGAAGTTGTGTGTATGGTTGGATGTTATAATAGAGTTGGAGTGTTCTAATGGGTACTGTCAATATTTAAAGAGGTCAACATGGGGTGTCACACACGATACCATTCCTTTCCTTTATAATATCAACACTCACTCAAACACTCAATCAATGCAAGTCAGCTGACTGCCTCCTCATACATCATCAGCTGATTATGGTGATGGTGATGAATAGTGATACGATGTGATGTTGACTGTTGTTGCTTAATAAGGTTGAATGGGGATGGACGATGGTAATGGAAATGGGTTAGATGTGTCATAACATCAACAATCAATCAACCTGCCACCTGCACACACTATCCCATCAACACCAACTGTAGCCTGGTTGATGGATTGTGTTGACACTTAACAATATTGGGTCAATTCTATTATAACAACTTAGAGAGGAAGAAGAAGAAAACAACACTTTCAACATCACCAACCTCACATGGCCATACCATCAACTCATTCAATCAATCAATCAATCATATCAATCAATCCATTGAGTTAACTAAACTATATTTATATTTTTATTAATATGGACTCAAGACAGATTATATTATCCATATTTATTGGATTGTTGATTATTTCCAATGTTGAACCATCTTATGGAAGTGGATTGTTGGCTGGAATAGTGACATCAACAGAGAATAGTTCATCATTACTTGGTTCACTGATAAATAATACAACAACTGGATTACTCACTGGTGGGCCTACACCAACATTGGACAACTCTACAGGTTCAGCTAATGCAACACTCACTGGAATCTTGGGTGGACTTACAATCACATCTGGACCACCACTGGTTGCCACAATTGGTTCATCTCAGCCACATCCAGCTCCAAATGGAACAGTATCAAATGTTGATGGAACTCAGACTTTTGTAGACCAAGTATTATGTGTTGGAATACTATGTCCGAATGGCAAATGTGTCACTCAATCAAATCAATGTGCAAATGAAACAAATGGAATCATACAGAGATGTCCCTCAGAGACACCTTTTAGATGTGATGATGGACAATGTAGAATCAACATTACAATTTGTGATAAACCCAAGCAAGTCTGTCAAGTATATTGTCCCAATGGACAATGTGCCCCATGTCCCGACTTTGATGGATGTCCATCTGATTCACCATACCAAGTAAGTTATCAAACTTATTTATACAACTTCTGATTTAAGTCATTGGAACTTTTGTCTAATTATCAACTCCTCCAGTGTCCAAATGGTAATTGTGTAAAGGATGAACAAGTTTGTGAAAGATGTAATGATGGATCATTCATGTGCTTCGATGGAACATGTACATCACCTTGCCCAAATGTAAGTTTACTTTAATTAATCCTAGTATTAGGATAGATTGATTAACCAATACCATAATTAGCCACCATTCTATTACAAACCAATATCAATTCAAACATCTATTCAGAGTCATGATCTTCAGACTATGATACCAGTAAACACTTATAGTCAACCATTGAACTATTCTTCACCATTGACAAAGCTGATGGATATATTCATTGAGCCCGAGACATTCCCTGTCAACACAACATTTATGGTTCATGCAGTGGCTGATTCATACGTAGGATCAATCAATACTCAAAGTTATATGACCTATTTGGAGTATCCAAAGTATCTCCTATCACCGGTGATCAACATCACTGCCACCTTCCAGAGCACGCCCCAAACTCAATTCGAAAAACCTGTCAGACTCCTATTCAACCTTCTCTCTCTAAACATGCTCCAGGTAAGTCAATCAATCAATCAGCTAACACATATTCAAACATGATACTAACTAAACATCAACATTATATAGGTTGACGTGAATAATGTTTGTTTGGGATATATTGATGTGATGGACAATCAATGGAAGTGCATTGATGGTGCTGTAAACTCAATAGTTAATGGCCAGGTCACTACTTTTACCAACCATTTTACATCATTCGCATTGCTGACCAAGTACAGTGATGACAGTAGTAGTAGCCAAGTAGGCACCCCAAGGATATTCAGTACAAGTAACCTTCCACTCATGTATGGTCTGATATTTGGATTCGTTGGACTGGTGCTCATGGTAGTTGTCATTGGTACACTGTTACACTTCCGAAGTAAATACGGTTCTGTCAAGAGATGGTTAGTGGCCAGTCGACTATCACAAGGTAACCTACGCTCAAGCAAAGGATCATCGTCCGAGTCCTCAAGTCCGCTGTCGGCATCCCAAAACCCTCTAATATTAGCAGGAGTCTAAGGTAGTCATCCACACGAGTCCTTGGCTAATGTACATAGTAATATAAAGACCCAAACCTTATTTATTAATAATCAATGAGACTGGAGAGTGTAATTGGAAATCACTAATACGACTGCACACGATGGTGTAGTTTGTACTTGAGTTTATTGCGCGTAATAAAGGGTAGTTTAGGAATGTTCTATAATTATACAACGTTTGTTGACAGACCATCCGATATGGATGGATTGTCTATATTACATCGATGGTGTATATATAAGTATATATAAGAGTATATCTGTTTGGTTATCGTTCGAAGGATGGTAGGTTGTGCGTTTGATGTGAGTGAGTGAGGTGAGTGATTGGTTGGGTTGGTTGGTTGGGTTGGACAGGCAGGCAAGACATCTTCAGCCAGGGGGCAGGGCAAGACTTTGGAACTAATTGACTGTATAATCTAAATGTTGTTGTTGTTGTTTAAAATGTACAGTTCAATATCAGGTTTTGTTGTTCAATCTTGGAGATTGGTCCTGGCATTATTGGTGCGGTAGCCAGAGACAGTGGCTTGGGATGCTTGATGTGGCCAGTGGTGGCCCCCAGTGTGAAGAAGTTGGGCGATGGCGTCGAGAACTTGGGAGAGGGTGGTGCGGCAAATGGATTTGGCAGCGTGGTGAACTTCTCTGGGACGTCGACAGTGGCGGCGGCGGCAGCGGCAGAGGCGGCAGCGGCAGATGGAACCTGTTGCTGAGCCTGCTGTGGCTGCTTGACCGGGGATGATTGTGCGTATGGTGAGGATGAGGTCGAGTTGCTCTTCCATGAAAAGGGCAGGGCAGGGATTGGTGGGTTGGTCGTCAGCATGGTCATGGACAGCTGTTCGCTGTACATAATGGGACTGGACACGGGTGACGTGTGTTGTGAATCAAAGTCCAGCACCGTGATGCTTGGATTGGCGAGCTGGGCAGTGGCCACCATCGTAGGTGTCTGTCCGACCATGCTGTGGTTGTGGTTAACACCGTTGGCCGATGTGTTTAGATTGAGGTTGTTGTTGAAGTTGGACAGCGAGAAGAAGGCGCTGTTGGTTGATGTCATCATTGGACTGTTGCCAACGATTGATGGGCTGGTGGTGAACTTGTTTGGCGTGCGACACTTTGGCGATGGCGTCTCGGACGATGACGAGAATATCATTGGCGAGTACTTGAGGTTGAGCAGGTCCTCCTCCAGACTGGAGTTGTTGTACATCTCCATGTCGGTGACCTTTCTCTTGCGGCACTCACTCTCGTCCAGCGAGTCCTTACGCTTGGGGAAGTTCCTGTACAGGGGGTCCTCGCGAGGGCTCTTGGCTGGCATGGCGCGTGGCGACAGGGCGGCCTCGGACGACATGATGGTGGTCTCCTCCTCATCGATGATTGCCTCACGCTCTGGTGGGAAGGTCCATGGGTTGAGTGGCTGGATCAAACGCCAGTGACCGTTACAGCCCATGGCATCCCAGCCGGATTCAAAGTGGCGGCAATGGCTCAGCGAATCCTGTACCTGCTTTCTCCAGCGGTCCGACTTGGCGGTGTTGACAGAGAGAAGGTCCCAGTGGCTATCGACGTAGGTGTAGATGTCCTTCTTGAGGTTGAAGTACTTCTTCTCGGGGTGGAGCACGCTGAGGCAGTAAAGGGCCACGCGCAGCTTTAGTGTCCAGGTTGCACGACGCTTCTGCAGACAGCAGGGTGTGCCATTGACGCACAGCTGGCAGCCATCGTATTCAAAATGTGATTGGTTTGGCTTGCTATGTCCGCTTGCCGTTGGTGAGCTGGAAGTTGGTGTTGTTGGTGTGGATGTATTGTTGTGGTTGTGGTTGTTGTTGTTATTGTTGTTGGCCAAGCTGGTCAAGTTAACAGTTGGGATTACAATGGAGATCTTATCCTTCATTCTTTGATTGTTTGATTGTTGTTGTTGTTGTTAATGTATGATAATGTTGTTATCGAGGTTATTGATATCTTTGTACAATTATTAATATATTATTACTAGTATTATGTCTTTCATTATTGATTGATATGTTAGTTGGATGTCTTTGTTGTTGTTGTTGTCTATAGTCGCCAATACATACCTTTACAAAACTAAGTTATTATGATACGATATGATGGATAGACTTTGATGGATGGATGGAGGTGTATTATCCCTCTCTACTAACCTCTACCTCTATTTAGGATTGATACCAAATGGTTAGATATACTTTGTTCAAGTATTTAGTGATATAGTTAAAGTGTTAGATAGACTATAATTGAGTGAATTGGAGATCCAGAGAGAGTATTAAGTATTAGTTGAGTGATCGGGTGACACAGTATGAGAGTATGAGAGAGATTGAGTGGAATGAGTTGGTGTAAGAGAGCCGCAGCAAACACAACAACAATGAGGGCGAGGCACTTCACTTAAAGGCCAGTAGTAGGTAGGTAGATAGGTAGGTGCGTACTACTGGTGGTCAAGTACTTGAAAGGTTGTCGTCAACAACAAACGATCAACAGACACTGGATCGCTAAAGGAACTCAGTTGTCTTTTGGACAAGGTGCACCTTATGAGTGGTCCATGTGAGGTCGTTGCCGTGTTCAAATGACCAAAGTGGGTGGAGTAGAGTATTGGCCGTGAGTAGACGATGTGCGTGAATGAAGGTGGAAGGGGAAAGGTTTGTTCTTCGAGAAATTGGTTGAGTGTGTGGGAAGGTGGGTGTGTGGGTGCGTGAGGGTGGATCGACGGACTTGCGGTTGGCGGTTGGTTGGTTCGTCGATGGATGGAAGGATGGATGGTGTATATTATAATTGTAATGGGAGATGCACGAATGAACGAACGAGCAAGTACGCAGACACAATAATTAACTATTAATTAAAAATATAAAAGGAAGTAGGGAGATGGATAGGGATGGATAGATGGATGCCCATCAAGGCGAAGAAAGGTCCAATTGGTGAATGACCTCCGAGAATGAACACACTTGTTGTGGTGGTTGTGGGCAGTCGTTGTAGACACTTCCATCTTTGGACAATAAGATTGCCAGACTCGGTGGTCCGTCCACTTTTGGTTTTGATTGAGTGAGTGAGTGGACCCAGGCAAGGCTGGGCCAGGCCAACAAACACAACCACAACCAAAGGCCTCTATGTCGAGAATGAATGACAAGTATGCTGATCTCATTGAGGCAACCGCGGACGTCCAATAATAAAACACAAACTCGTATAACACAATTGAACTTGATTGGATAGTGCATGGTTGGGTTGAGAAGACGTGTCAAGTCCCAATCTGGACTTTGTTACGGATGAACGATATATAGATTGGATTGGATTGATTGGATGGATGGTTTGAAGAGCGTTGTTGAGGTGGTTGGATGTATGATTGGTTTGATGAGTGAGCGAGAGAGTGATTGAGTGTCAAGGTAGTTGGATACCAAAGATGACATCAACATCAGGACAATAACTGACTAATGGAGTGGATTGTCATATATACACATGCGTGACATGTAGACACTCCTGGAGAAGGAGTTGGAGTTGGACTTGGGAGTTGGAGTTGGAGAAATATTTACATATATGTCTATTTGTGGTAGATTTGTTGTTTGATTGATTTGTTTGTGTGTGTCCGGCGACAGTGCAGACTTGAAGTGATGCGAATGGCGAGGATTGATTGAAAGGTTGATCCACAACCGTTTGTTCGAGGTGATGCAATGAATGTCGGAGCGAGCCACAATGCGCAACACGATTCCTCCTTCCCAGACAGCTGGCCACCCCACCGCGCACATCGGGTGGTCTAACTATGCCCTCACCCATTCAATCACTAATCGAACACATGTGATTGTTATGATTTAGAACAAGAACAGTAAGTCAGACTGACCTAAACACAACAACAACAACACATGAGTGATTGAGTGAAGGAATAAATGAATGGGTATGGTGTGCTAGAGGGGAGAGGTGGGAGCACAAATACAAGATATTTGCGAGATATATGGGGAGCTCATGACTCGAGAGGAGAGAGCGTGATGCGATGTGGTGGTTGCGGTGCCCCTGGTCGAGGCCTTTAAATTGAATAGGGACGGACTTGGCATGAATGAATAAATGAATGTACACTCATGAGTGAATGGTTGAATGTGGTTTGGCGTGAGTCTATAACTCATTTATCAGGGGCAAAACTGATTGTGGGCCGGGGATGATGAGGTGTAAGGGCACGCCCCTGCCTTGACTGTGGCTTTGGGGTTGTCCCAAGGCGGGTTGGTGTGAGGCTAAGCGTGATCACGGTCAAAGGGGGTCACATCAAACATCAAGTTTCTTTGTTTGTTTGAGTCGTGTTTGAACGAATAATGTATGAGTGTTGGCGATATTTGGATTGGTTGAGCATAATGGATGGTGATGGCCACCAGATCAGGTCTGGATAAAGAAAAAGGCAGCAAATATAAAAGCAAACGTGATTGTTGAAGATGGATTGATGGATGGATGGTTGGATATCATATGAGATGATTTGATCGGATAGATTGTATGATTATAAAATATTTTAAAATGTAACGTAATGTAATGTATGAATGATTGATTGGTGGATGAGACTGGTCAGGGAGGCGGGGAGGCAGTCCCATTGACCGGCCATCCCATCCATCTCCCCCAATATTGTGGAGAACGGAGCAATCACAACAACAACAAACAAGAAGTGGAAAGAGGATTGAGTATTAAGTGGTTCGCGAACTATTACCCACCTTTAAAAGGCTTATTGCAAGGGGGGACTGGCACTAGGGTAAGTGGCAGAGACGCGATGCAAATATAAGGTTGGCTTGGCTAGCTTTGGTCTGGAGATCTCTAACTCTTTGTTTGAAATTCCTGTGTGTGTTTGTATTGCCCTCTAACGCGCGTCGTTGCGGCAATCAATGTCCACGAGTGTTATGGATGCTAAATTGAGATGGCAAGTAGGTGAAGCGAGTAAGTGAGTGGATGAGTCATAAAGTAGATCCATGAAAGATTGGATTGATGGACTTATGATTAATGATGGTGCGGTGATGGTGGAATGATGGTGATTATATGATTGTATGATTACCTACATGTGAAGACACGTCCTTAGTTGAATGACTTGGTCAAATGGATAATTAATGAGATGGACTTGGATAAAGTCACAAATCAATTATCTATTATATTAATATATAATATATTATATTAGGTCTAAATTATTATTATTATTAATAATATTAAATTAGTAATAATTAATAATAATTAATTAAATAAGGGAAGATGAGTAGGTAGGGTGTAAGTCAGAATAGTGGATACAGGCAACAACACAGATATCAAAGTCAGATTATGAATGATTAAGTATATAAGTATATAAGTATATAAGTATGTGTGTGTGTCTGTTGGTGGAATGATATTTGTGTAATGATGATGAACTGTTGAAGATGGATTGGTGATGTTGTGAGTTGTTAAGTTTTGTTGTAGGATTTAGGAGTAGACAGGGAAGGGAATGGCAACGATTCGATCGGGATGATGGCATCGAGAGTTGGTTGGGAATTGATGTGCCCCTACGCTAAAGTCTCTCTCAAACACTGTGCAGTAGGTAGCAAAGATACTCTCTCTCGCTGGGTCCCTCTATCACACGAACACAAACACTCACTTATACAGACACACACACGGATGGGAGACCACCCCTGTACGCAGTTGCTGGTGTTACCAACTCGTAGCCGCTGAACAGCGAATATGAGTGGGCCATCCCGTTTTGCCACACGACAGACAGTCATTGTCGCAGTCGCTGAGTGGCGTACTTTAACAACGATGCTCAGCAGTTGGATGACATCAACACCATATGCGGACAATGATTGCTAATTAATTAAGTATAGTATAGTGATTGACATAGAGAGAGAGAGGACGGTGAGAGCAGTTGTAGTTGTAGGTAATAACTCACCTTCTTGGTCAAGGACGTTTAGCGATGTGAACGTCACATTGGCGAATGCTCCGCCTTTCAAGGGGATGGTAGCAGTGCTCTCCTCTGACCTGCGCTCATTCATTCCCTCCACTCACTCACCTGCTCACTCACTGACTTGGATTTGCTTGATCCGCATTGGAAGAGCAACAACATCTAATTGGACGATTAACACCTTTGGGCAGTTAAACTAATAAGGTGCGTCCTGGTTGGCTGGATGGTTTGCTGGTCGAACTTTGAGAATTAGTCGTGGTCCTCAAGGCCTGTTGGATGGCCTCAACCCCCCTCCCATCCATCCATCCAGCATCCTTTGTCTCTTCAAACAAACACCTCTCTCTCTCTCTCCCTTTAAGGCTCTCATCTCTTACAAGATCCATTCACACAGGTACACACTCATTCAAACACCTTGGTATCACATCTACATCTCGTCGTTTCCGAGTGGGTGTCGAAGAAGACCACTCAACACCACTCAACTCCAGTTCAAATGAGTGAGTGAGTTGCAATTGAATTGCAGACTTGCATCACACACAATCGGGGTGGTACATTACGAATACACTTGGTCCTTCCAACTGCCAAACATTGGTGCCTATTGGTCAGTCACATGAACTAATTAGTAACATTATTAATGTGTGTGTTTGGCCTCAAAGTGAGGATATTCAACGCTGAGATGAAAGGACCAACTTCGAACTTACTCACTCACTAAGTTGGATAAGGAGCAACTGGTTGCCGTTTGAACAACGAGAAGATACACGAAACAGGGTTGAACAATCGATTCAGACCTGAATCAATCAATCAACCAACCTACTCCTTTACTTCATTTACATTTAATAACAATAATATTACTTAACTCCTTAAATGGTTAACATTAATATTGTTTTCTTTAAATGACCAATTGCAATCCATAGTTATTGAGATTGTTCATTCCTTGAATAATACTCACCTTTACTCCACTTCCTTTACCCAATCAAATCGATACCTGATCCATCAATCCAACTGAAGTGGTGTAGTATACTACTACGACATACCAGTTACACTTGAATTTGATTGATATCTCCATCAATGAATACGTTAGACCTCCTTCCTACTATAATAATATCAAGACAAAGAAGAAGATGATAGTAACGTTTGGAACAATATAATATTACATTATATTTATTTAATTGATTGATTGAATCAACCAACTGAATACATTTAGTAACGAATTGATGAACAGAAGTCTATTGTGTGCTTGAAGTTTGCCCAACACCAACACAACCACTCACTCAACCTTTTATTCATTCATTCCTGACTTGGTAATCATTACTACATCAGGAAATAATGCTATGACTTTATAAAGTCAATCATTAACATTGATTCTATCTACTCCTACTCTCTCATTCACTCATACATTCAATCATTCACTCACACATCCAATCAATGATATCAAGTTGTTGAGTTGGTCGCCTAACATGGTTAACATAACCATATTCAGACATCTTGTTAGATCAATACTACTTACACCTACATAAACATTACTATGTTAGGCAATGTACTGCCTTTGGATGGATGGATGGATGATCAGTGTGTTGTAGTGATGTGGAATGGTAGTCATCAACACGATTGATTGAGAGTGAAGTGACTCTTACCTCACTCACTCATTCACTTACTCTCCCTACATCATCATCATCATCATCATCTTGATACCTATCACCATACCTTTATAGTAGTATACAATGTCTTATCAAACAGTACCAAAGACACCTTTGACAACCTCACCTCATGGTCCAGGCCACGGTCATCAGAACGCTTTACCAAGGTCATTGACAGCCGTCTCGTCGCCATCGTCCATGTCAGTAGTTCAACCGAGAGCTGCTACCAGACATGCCAGTCACCTCAATCCCATCTTCTACAACTTCAATGAATCATCAATGGACTGTGTACCAACCACGCCCGTTCATCAGTTGCCAAGAATCTCATTGCCCACCATTTCCGAGATGGACGGCGATGTCACCAACTCACCCCCCCAACCCTTGTATCAACCTTCACATCATGGACTCCACTCGCCTATTCAAACTACTGCCGCTTCTGTCTACACTTTGCCAAAGCCACGTTCACACAATGTCCCTCCACAAGATCAGAGTTATGGCAATGGCAATGTCAATAGCCAGAGGATCATGTCCTCCCCACCTCCACCTCCTCCACTCAATCCAGTCAACTGGTCCGCGCTCGACAGAGATGTTGTGCCTCTACTCAACTTGAGGAACTACGCCAGCTCCTCACCAGACAAAGCCAAGACTACATCTCATGCCTCCAACTCACCCAGCTCCTCGGATTCCCTATTTGAGCTTAGTTCAATGTCACCAGCATCTCTGTCACCTCTCAGCAGCACACCCAGATCAAGTCCACGATCAATGTCTGATCACTCACCATCACTCAGTCGTCCTTTGACGCCTGGCAACCAAGACGATGAGCTGCCCTATCCCAAACAATCACCGCATCTCTGGAGGAAGTTAGAGTACTACTCCAACCACCTGAACACATTCATTGCAGACACCATGCGAAACAAAGACTTTGGCAACATACCAACATTGAACAACAAGTTCCAGGAGCTCACCAATGCGGTCCAAGAGATAGAGATCACGAACAACATATACAAGACGTAAGTTGATGTTGTGTACTTTGTCGGGATGTACTTCTCTAACGTGTAGATACCTACAGACTACCTCCACAGACTAGATCAAGGAAGAAGAGAGCCACCAAAGCAGAGAGACTCCAACAAGACCCAAACGCGATCAAGGTTGGTAAGATGGATATGTGTGGTGGCTTGGACAAGCGGTCTGGCGTGCATACTTACATCATTCAATCAATCAAACATTCATACCATCTCATTCATTGATTTATCAGAGGACATTCGTTACGACGCCCAAGAGTAAGGGCAACTACTGTTACTTCTGTGGAACGATGGAGACTCCGGAATGGAGGAAGGGACCGGGTGGTCACAAAACGTAGGTTATTACGACAACTTTGTTGGGCGATAACAAGGTGTAGATAGTACATCAGGAGTGTGCACGTGCGCAACTGTTTGATGTTGGTGTTTGTCGTGTGTCGCGTTTTGTGCGCGCGTCTGTGTCGAAAGGTGAAAAGAAGGATAGCGATCAGATCTTTGTTGTTGTCCGGGCCCGGACATGTCCCGCGTGTGTTGGATTGAACAACAACAACAGTAACTAACAATAATATCTTGCCCCACCTCTATGTTCGTTCGAACGTCTTCTGACGGATGGACGGACGGTTGTTGTTCAAACAAACAAACTATGTTAGGTTGTGCAACGCATGTGGCCTCCACTACGCCAAGAATATCAAAAAAGAGACTCTGTACAACTTCAACAACAACAACATTAGCAACAGCAACAGTGGTAGTGGCAGTGGCAGTGGCAGCGGCAGTATTGGTCAACAGTCTCCATTGGATGGACACGTAATGGCCGTGTAGAAGATGAATATGAGAATCAATCAACACTCATGAGTGTTTCAGATTTAGTCGCGTCCCCTTTGGAGTAAACAAAACGAACAAACCATCGATCATTCAACCAGTCAGTGAGCGGCGTGTGTGTGACATCTGTTAACAATAGTGTTGGTGTATGTGGGTGTCATCACTCATCAATCAATCAATCAATCCAATCAATCAATTAATCAATCACACACACGATGAATCAACTCGATTGGATACAACAAGCAATAACCCAGGGAGGTCCATTGGAAGGTTATGAAGGGGTGAGAGGCATCATAATGTTGGGGTTGAAGCGCAGGCAGGTGGGTGACAGGACGCAACGACAAACCTTGTCGTCCATATCGCAATTGGCAGGCAGGCGTGAGCAATCAAACAAACAAAGATCCAGAGTGTGGTGTTTGGATGCTTATGGGAGTGTTCCTTGGCCAGATGATAGAACAACATTACTTTATCGGGCTAGTGTGCTGTCGCCACCATGAAGACGAACGTCCACATGTAGAAATTGGTTCGCAGAAATATCGATGTTTGGTTGTTGGAAGATGCTCACTCTCATCAACTTCGATCCCCCCTCCAATCAGCTGATAGGCGTTTCCTCTGAGTGTGTTAGTGTTGTTGGAGTGGAGGTTAGACACGCCCTAAGTGGTGACCCCCAAAACAACCAATTATAATCCCAAAAAAATAGAATTAAAATAAAATACCACAACCCCTCATCCACTCATAAGGGAGGTGTGTATGAGAGTGTGAGTGTGTGAGTGAATGCGCTACACCATTAGCACACTGTTGCTGCTTCCCTTCCATCCTTATTTGTATTTGCTCCACTCCGCTCATTCATTCACTCCCATACATACTTCCAACTTCTCATCCACACACCTTGTGTTTGTGATTCTGGTATTAATCGATCTGAAACAATACAGCTAGTCAGCTAGTTTTAGTTTATTCACATAACTTAGATAATACAGATACATCGTACTTTACTTACTTTTATGTGTGTGTATTGTATATTAGTAATAATAATAGTAATATAATATAATAATAATAATATAATATTAATCAATCAATCATATGATAGTTTTATAAACTTAATATATATATATTCGTCTTTTTTAATTAATTAATTAAATAATTTGTAAATAATAATAATATCAATCAAAGAAAGAATCAAACAAAGAAACAGATTTATATAGACTAGTCAAACGAAAATGAATCAATATAGTTTCCAATATATCAGCGGCGGTTCTCAATCGTCATCACCTGTTGACTTGTTGGCACCACCAATGTATACAAATAATAACAACAATAGGACGTCAATGGAGGGATCATCATCATACTATTATAATGGCAATAATAATAATGAAGGAGCAAAGATTTCCCCATCTTTGCTGCCACAGGGTTCATCACACTCGGCCACAAATCCATTCACATACTATCCACATCTTCAACAGCAATTACAGCATCAAAATCAACAGCAACAACAACAATTACAGTTACAGCAACAACAGATGCATCAACAGCAACAACAGCAACAATTACAACAACAACAAAAGCCAAAAGGTACTGTTTATTATCCATCAATGTCGTTGTCATCGATTCACAGTGCCAGATCATCATCATTAAAGTCATCAAGCAATGGTTCACCTTCGTTCAAGTCGTCACCGGCATCACCATCACTCTCATCAATCAATCAATGTAACACAAGTTCCAACTCGACGACTCCCACTCAGTATTCATCGCCACCTCCATTGCAGTTGCTTCCACTCCAACAACAGCAACAGCAACAGCAACAACTCCAGCAACAACAGAACTATATGATCAACAACAGCAGTAGCAGCAAGCTTTCCAATCTACTCAACTCATCCGACTCGGGCAGCCCATCATCATCGCCCAATGAGGACAACCCTCCCAGCTCACCATGCCAGTCCATGTCGGCCGGCTCCGACACCCACGAGGACTACGAAGCCCTGCGCGACCTGTGGAAGAAGGCAAAGGATATCAGCCAAGAGTTGACCAAGATCACCAAGCAAGCCACCAAGTCAGAGTACACGCTCGTCGAGTACGTCACCACCTTCCAGAAGGAGTTTGAGAACATTGGCAGCCTGATCAACATGATGACCGAGAAGGCCGACCATCTCAAGAACGACGAGACACTCAAGAGGAAGAAGAAGGAGTCTGATAAGAATGCCGAGAAGAGAGTAAGTTAGTTCATCAATCATTCAATTACATCGACACTAACATCTGTGATCACCTTTACGAATCAAACAGAAGAAGAGAAGAGAGGCCACTATGTTGTTGAACAACGTTTGCAAGAACTGTGGCACTACTGACACACCGGAGTGGCGTAAGGGACCAGATGGAACCAAGTCTCTATGCAATGCCTGTGGACTCCACTATGCCAAGAACCTTAAGAGGGAGACCATGAACCACTCCAACGTCCTGCAGCAGCCAAAGGAATCGATGAAGGTTGTCTCCATCCTCAACTAAGCGGCCGCCTTCGCCGTCGCCGCTAATCGATATCAATCACCGAGCCGGGCTCTTTGGAGCCTAACCTTATCAAGCCTTGCCTCGCCATTGGCAAGTGCGCATTCTGTGTCCGCGTCGCGTGGACCAGACCTTCTCCAACTATATTCACTCTTCTTCCAATGCATTCTACTGTGCACCAGAGACCTAACTTGTGTGAACTCATCTTGGTTGTGTAGACCTCTATGACCTGTTCCCAAACAATGTTACACCAGTGTGCCGTTTGTACAACGAGCAAACCTAACGAAGAAGCTCATCCATCCATTCATTCATGAGGGCATTTATGCTCATCATTGATGATGTCCATTGTAAATCAAACCCGTCCGTCCATCCATCCCCCTTACCAGTCCTTCCGCAGAGAAGGCCAACTTCCCTCCACATGGATGGTAGTCGTCCATCCAATCAATCCATTGTCCACCAGTACCTTACTACCAATGACATAACAATAAAGATGCATCCCCCCCCATGCACTAGATAGACTATTCCATCCTTCCCAATCCCTTCAATCACTCATTCAATCACTCGTTCAATCAATGATCATTATTTGGGAAGGGACGTCGACAAAGAGTCGACATGTTGGATGTTTATTATTAATACGATTAGTATACACGCACCCAGGTACCGCCAGTCCTCAATGGGACCTCGTGGACGGTTGTGCCGGTCTCCTCGGCCTCAATCATGTAGTCCTCGCCATGGATCTTGCCAACGTAGAGGATGACGTGGTAGGTGTCGCCGCGTGGACCAAAGAACTGGACATCACCTGGCTGGCGCTCCTCGTACGTGATGAAGTGGCTGTACTTGCTTGGCTCCTGTTGGTTCGTGCCACCTCCATCACCATAGTCGATGCCAGCGCCATAGTAGAAGGCGTCTCTGACAAGACCCGAGCAGTCCAGTCCGACGGTGCTGTCGGCGGGACATGGCTGGATGATTCCGGTGTAGCCATCACAGGTTCCGATCGATGGACCAGCATATGGGTTGTGGCCACCGCCCCAGACGTAGGGCCAGAGGGCAGCGACTCTTGAACGAGCCTGCTCGATGACCTTGGTGTAGTTGACATCGTTGCCTGGTGCTTCCTCGAGACAACACTCATTGCTGCTCGATCCGGAACAGTGGCCGGCGACGACGTGGCCGGTGCACGACGAGCTCGACTTGCACTCGCCCTTCTCGCCAAACACGTAGCAGACGTCGCTGGGCGACTCGGGGATGCAGCACTCGCCAGAGCCAGTGCAGTAGTTGCCCTCGGAGTGACCAGAGCATGATGATGGGTCCTTGCAGGTGCCGGCAATTCCATTGACCGAGCATGATGTAAGGTGGATGCAACACTCGACGTCCACAGAGCCTGGACAGAATCCTGGGTATGACTCACCACTGCAGTCCGATGTGTATTGGCATGTGCCAGCATTTCCATTGACCTTGCAAGATGTGGCGGCCAAAGTAGTGCTAGACAACATGCCGAGCAATACAACCAATAATATAACAATCTTCATTATTTGTTTGATTGTTGTTACGGATAGAGATTGATTAATAATAGGAAGATGGATGATGAATGTTTGTAACTTTATGTTGTTGTTGGTTCCAGACTGGCGGGGCTGGACACCTGCTCAACCACACACACAATCAATCAAACAAACAATTTGATCAGAGAGGGGGCTTAACGCCTCCGTAATAATAAATATCTTACACTGGTGATATTTCAAATTTGACTCCATCTTAGTTATTGGGGGTGGGTCCACAAGGCCTTGGATACCTTAAAAAGTCCAATCACTCCGAGTGACCAGATATTTTACTTGATGGCATCGTGGTGTTATTCATATCCCAGTCCCCTCAGTATGATAGTTTCTACTTGGACGGTCAACAACAATAACTTGTCGTTCCATCTTGAACACCAATCACCAGGACTAGACACCTTCGAATGTCTTCCCCAGTTGTTCAACTCTACACTCCAGGAAAGACAGAAATTTCAGATCGATCAATCCATTGTACCTGGTAAACATTGTACAATTCTGTTCATCCACTACAATTATCTCTTTCCATCAAAGGAAATCCATAAAAGTATTTTACGAAACATGTTGAAGTTCTTTAATTGAGTTTGATATTCTAGATTGGCAGAATAACTATTTGGAAGTTCCAAAATCTAGTAGCGTCCAGCTCTTGTTCGACTTTTGAAAATCATCATAGCATGGCACACTTTTTGCGCCAGAGAAGGATGCTTCATAGTGTGTTTCTCTTGAACTTTTCAAAGTCCAAATCTACTCAAACAACTTCATCATCGTCATCGATTCATTGTCATTGTTGTAATTATAATAATAACACAAACATACAAATATAAAGTTTATCAATCAATCAATCAGTCAATCAATCAATCAACAAAAAAACAGTCGATCAAGATTAGATTAGATTAGAGAGATAACAAAAGATGGAGGGCTCTGAAAGCGGTGTCACTACAAGTGGCAATCCACCAACGTCGCCCACCACCTACCCAGTCAACGAGACATTGTTGGACGATACATGTAAATACTTATGTAAAATAGTACCTCCACTGCTCGATGGCGATGCTACAACATTCCAAACCCAGCTCACTGCCCCAGAGGCACTGAACAAGCTTCGCAAGTTCATCACCGACTCGAAGCAACCAGTGTTCCTCATTCAAAAGCATTCCCAAGATGATGAATCCTCTACAGGTTGGTATTGGTGATCGCGTTCAAACAATCAATCAGTTGATACTAACTACATCGTTCAACGATGATGATGATTCAGAGTCTTATACATTCGAGGTTGAGGTCAGATTCGGAGGAGACAAGACAACTAGTTTGGTGATCACCAAGCGTGTGCCAGAGACTGCATTGGACTCGAGCAAGTCAGTGTCATCACAGTTGCAGGCTATCAACCTCGGAGAGGGCAGCCCATTCGATACACTGCACAACTACATCCACAACTCTGTGGCACCATTCATCCGATCGTTCTCGGCCAAGTCGCAAAAGGCCACACCCGAGAAGGACAGCAAGATGGGCATTGGCGCTGTCAACCAGAAGATCGCCGAGCTCGAGCTGTCGCTGTTCAACTGCAAGCAGCAGATGCAGATACCCGAGGTGGTACTCGTTTTCCACCCCGAGATCATGGCCGTCTCCAAGCGATGCCGCGACGCCGGCCGCGCCATGAAGGTGGAGGACATGGGCGAGGTCAGCCAGGAGCTGCTCAACGCGCTCCAAGCTGGCGTTGGCCAGTGGGTCAAGGACATCCAAAAGGTCACCAAGTTGAAGGCCATCGAGGAGTTCCTGCCCGAGTCGACCACATCGCAAGAGATCAACTTTTGGCTGCAGCTCGAGGTGTCGCTGCAGAACATCGAGGAGCAGAAGCGCTCGCCAGAGTTCGAGGTCACACTCGCCGTACTCAAGCAGGCCAAGCGTTTCCTGGCCACGGCCAGCTTTGACACTGACAACGTCGGCCTCAAGAAGACGGCCGAGAAGGTGCAGAGCTACAAGACTCTCATCAAGGACTTCCCAATCACTCCCCTGATGACAGGCACTGATGTCGAGTCGGTCTCGCAGGCTATCTTGCAGATCTACTCGCACTTGAAGAAGTCCAAGAACTCGCCATACCCCATCGAGCGTTACCTGGCTCTGCTTGAGGCCATTGGCAAGGACATGTGCAACCGCGTGCTCCAAATCCTGCGCCAGAAGAACCTGATGCTCATTGAGTACCTGGACTTTGAGCGCGCCACCGCATCATTCCGCGCTCTCTTCACACTCTGGGACGATCAATTTGCCCAGTTCCGTGAGACCCTGCGTGACATTGCCAAGAAGAGAGGCAGCGACCGTGTGCCACTCTTGGTCAACGTCGACAACCGTCGTTTGCTCGATCGTGTCCTCAAGATCCGCAAGTTCCGTCGTCAACACGACGAGCTCAAGAACGTCATCTCCACCGTGTTGCCCCAGCAGTCTGGTGGCAGCGCTGGCGCAGGCGACAAGCAGGGAGAGATCAATGCCATCAAGGAGATCAACGAGGCCTACGACGAGATCAAGGACATTGACGTCCTGTTGCTCACACAGGAAGGCGAGGACCTCTGGGCCAACGCCATGAAGCGTTACAACAACCGTATCGATCGTGTCGAGTCCTACATCACCACCAAGTTGCGTGATCGTCTGGCCACAGCCAAGAATGCCAACGAAATGTTCCGTGTCTTCTCCAAGTTCAACGTTCTCTTCTTTAGACCAAGAGTATGTAGTCATCATCACTGATTCATGCGCACATGCACTCATCCACTCACACATCCATCACATTCACAGATCAGAGCAGCCATTCAAGAGTATCAAACTCAATTGATTGAGCGTGTGAAGGAGGATATCAAGGGACTGCACGAGAAGTTCAAGCAGCAGTACAGCAACTCAGAGGCATTCCACATGAGCAACTTGCGTGATTTGCCTCCAGTGTCTGGAGCCATCATCTGGGCTCGTCAGATCGAGCGCCAATTGGACACTTACATGCGCCGTGTCGAGGACGTGCTTGGTGAGAGCTGGGAGTCAGATGCCGAGGGCCAGAAGCTCAAGGCAGAGTCGGACCAGTTCCGCTCCAAGCTCAACACCGACCACATCTTCAAGAAGTGGGAGCAGGACACATTGTCTCGCAGCTTTGAGGTGTCGGGCAAGATCCTCACTGTCGTCAAGAAGGGCGCCAAGTACTCGTTGGACATCAACTTTGATCCACACATCATCATGTTGTTCAAGGAGGTCAGGAATCTGCAATGGCTGGGCTTCCGTGTGCAGCTCAACATCTCTTTCATCTCGAGCGGTGCCAAACAGGTCTATCCATTCGCCGTCTCGCTCAAGGAGACACTGCGCACCTACACCCAGACGTGTGGCAAGATCACCCCTGAGATTGCCACATTGGTCGCCTCGTACAAGCGCGACGTGCAGCTTCTGATCAACGAGGGATTCAAGCTCAAGTGGGAGTCATTGCCCCAGCTCGACCCATACGTGCGCAAGCTTAGCACTTCTGTCAACATCTTCCGTGACAAGGTGGACGACCTGCTCGTCAAGTACGCCGAGATCGCCAAGTTGTTGGACGCCATCAAGTACTCACCATTCAAGCACGAGTCATTCGTCGACACTCTCAAGAACATCCAGAAGTTGGTGGACGAGCTCAACTTGGCCAACTACTCCAACCTCTCACTGTGGGTCGGCCAACTCGACACTATGGTTGAGGCTGTTCTGATTGAGCGTTTGAAGGACGCCATCCACTCCTGGATCGCTTTGATTGAGGGCCGCGAGGAGACCATTACCAGTGGATCTGGCGACTCAACTCAGTCACACGGTCGCCTGGTCTACGCCTCGCGCAACCGTGCCATCAAGGACGAGGGACAGGGAGCTTCCACATCATCCACTGCTGTCGTGCCCTCGCAGAGCACCGTCAAGCCAACCCTCGAGCCATCTATCCACGAGATCGTCATCAGGAACCAGATCCTCTACCTCGACCCACCCCTGGAGTTTGCCCGTGTCAACTGGATCTCGCAACTTCACCAATGGCTCAACATTGTGTGCGACCTGCCACGCATCCAGGCTTCGAGATACGACGAGAGTATCTCTCATCGCGACGACTCACGCTCGCGCAAGACCTTCCGTGACATGCTCACCAAGTTGCCAAAGGAGACCCTCGAGACTGCCTACCAGACCATCCAGTCCAAGCTGGACAAGGTGCAGCAGTACGTCCAGGTGTGGCTTCAGTACCAGGCACTCTGGGACATGGAGTCGTCATTTGTCTACTCCCGTCTCGGCGACGACCTCAACAAGTGGCAGCAGATGCTTGCCCAACTCAAGAAGTCGCGTGCCACCTTTGACAACTCGTCCTCGCAGAAGGTGTTTGGCCCATTGGTCGTCGACTATGCTCAAGTACAGTCGAGTGTCAGCAACAAGTACGACTTCTGGCACAAGGACATCCTCTCTCACTTTGGCTCCAAGCTCAGCGAGAACATGCGCACCTTCTACCAGACTATCTATGACGCCCGTGGCGACCTGGAGAAGCTCTCAGCCGAGACTGCCTCCACCGAGGAGGCCGTCGCCTTCATCATCCAATTGCAAGAGATGAAGCGTCGTCTCAACACATGGGAGGGCGAGCTTCGCTACTTCCGCAGCGGCCAGGACCTGCTCCTGCGCCAGCGTTTCACCTTCCCCAACGATTGGCTCGAGTGCGACATGGTCGAGACCGAGTGGAACGCATTCAACGAGATTCTGAACCGCAAGAACGCCTCGTTGGGCGAGGCCATCCCCCACCTGCAGGCCAAGATCCTTGCCGAGAGCAAGTCGATCTCGGACAGAATCAAGGAGTTTGTGGACGATTGGACCAACTCCAAGCCTCTGCAAGGCAACATCAAGCACTCTACGGCGCTCGAGACCATCAAGATCTTCGAGGGACGTCTTGTGCGTTTGAGAGAGGAGCACGACCGTCTGCGCAAGGCCAAGGCTGCACTGGACCTCGAGCAAGGACCAGCAGGCGAAGACGACCGTCTGGCACCCGTCGAAGAGGAGATGCAAGACCTCAAGGCTGTTTGGGTCGAGTTGGCTGCCACATGGCACGAGATTGACAACCTGCGCGAGACTTCCTGGTCCGCAGTGGTGCCACGCAAGGTCCGCAAGTCATTGGAGGACACTTTGCAGAAACTCAAGAACTTGCCCAACCGCATCCGTATGTACTCTGCCTTTGAACACGCCCAGAACACAATGAAGGCACTGCTCAAGGCCAATGCCATCATCACAGACCTCCATTCCGAGGCCATCAAGGAGCGTCATTGGAAGACTCTCAAGAAGCGTCTCAACACCAACTGGATCTTCACCGAGCTCACTCTGGGCCACATCTGGGACTCTGATCTTGTCCGCAATGAGTTTGTGTACCGCGAGGTCATCACAGCTGCCCAAGGTGAGATTGCCCTTGAGGAGTTCCTCAAATCAGTGCGCGAGTACTGGTCAGCACTCGAGCTGGACATGGTCAACTACCAGCGCAAGTGCAAGCTGATCCGTGGCTGGGACGACCTGTTCTCCAAGCTGGCCGAGCATCTTAACAGTGTGTCAGCCATGAAGATGTCGCCCTTCTTCAAGGTGTTTGAGGAGGAGGCCAACGCCTGGGACGACAAGCTGAACCGTGTTCGCTCGTTGCTCGACGTCTGGATCGACGTTCAGCGTCGCTGGGTCTACCTGGAGGGCATCTTCTCTGGCAGTGGTGACATCAACCAACTGCTCCCCGCCGAGAGTGCACGTTTCAAGAGCATCAACAGCGAGTTTATCAATCTCATGAAGAAGGTTAGCCAGAACCCACTGGTCCTGGAGGTTCTCAACATTGAGCGCATCCAGTTCACAATGGAGCGTCTTGCCGAGCTTCTGGGCAAGATCCAGAAGGCACTTGGTGAGTATCTCGAGCGCCAGAGAGCTGCCTTTGCCCGTTTCTACTTTGTTGGAGACGAAGACCTGCTGGAGATCATCGGTAACAGCAAGGACATAGTCAAGATCCAGAAGCACTTCAAGAAGATGTTTGCCGGACTTGCCAACCTGATCCTGGACGACGAGAAGACCACCATTCTCGGAATGACCTCCTCTGAGGGTGAGGTCGTGATGTTCAAGAAGACCGTGTCCATCGCCAACGGTCCCAAGATCCACGAGTGGCTCACGATGGTCGAGAATGAGATGCGCAGCACCCTGGCCGTCCTGCTCGACGAAGCACTCAAGCGTTACCAATCATTCAACACCAACGATATGAAGGCATTCAGCACATGGGTCGCCGACTATCCCACCCAACTGGTCATCCTTTGCTCGCAGATCGTCTGGTCACAGATGGTCGACAAGCTACTGCAAGAGAGCGGTGCCACCAACGGCCAGCTCGACGCACAAGAGAAGCAGGTGCAAAGCGTGCTCAACAACCTGGCCGATGCCGTCCTTCAAGACCTCGACCCACAGACGCGTAAGAAGTACGAGCATCTCATCACCGAGCTCGTTCACCAGCGTGACGTCATCCGTCAACTGGTCAAGTCGCGCATCTCCTCCAACAAGGACTTTGACTGGCTATACAACATGCGTTTCTACTACGACAACGCCCAAGAGAACATGTTGCAGAAGCTCACCATCCACATGGCCAACGCCGTCTTCTTCTACGGCTTTGAGTACCTAGGCATTGGCGAGCGTCTCGTGCAGACCCAGCTCACTGACCGCTGCTACCTGACCCTGACCCAAGCACTTGAGAGTCGTATGGGTGGCAACCCATTCGGACCAGCCGGTACTGGAAAGACTGAGACAGTCAAGGCGCTGGGCAACCAGCTCGGCCGTTTCGTCCTGGTCTTCTGTTGTGACGAAGGATTCGACTTCCAAGCTATGAGTCGTATCTTTGTCGGTCTGTGCCAGTGTGGTGCCTGGGGATGTTTCGACGAGTTCAACCGTCTGGAGGAGCGCATTCTCTCAGCCGTCTCCCAGCAGATCCAGACCATCCAGGTGGCCCTCAAGGAGAAGGCCAAGGAGGTGGAGCTCATTGGCAAGTCTGTCAAGATCCACCCAGACATGGGTATCTTTGTTACAATGAACCCTGGTTACGCCGGACGTTCCAACCTGCCAGACAACCTCAAGCAACTGTTCCGTAGCATGGCCATGATTCGTCCAGACCGTGAGATGATTGCTCAGGTCATGCTCTACTCACAGGGCTTCAAGACTGCCGAGGTGCTTGCCGGAAAGATTGTGCCCCTCTTCAAGCTCTGCCAGGAGCAGCTCTCTGCTCAGTCTCACTACGACTTTGGTCTGCGCGCACTCAAGAGTGTGCTGGTCAGTGCTGGAGGCCTCAAGCGTAAGATGGTGGCCCCAACCCGTGCCCCTGACGCCCAAGACTTTGACACCATCTACACCAAGTACGAGATCAGCGTCTTGCTCAGCAGTATCTCCGATACCATGATTCCCAAGTTGGTGGCCGACGATATCCCACTCATTCAGAGTCTGTTGCTCGATGTGTTCCCAGGCAGCGAGATGGAGCCAATCAACGTTGCCGGTCTGCGCGAGGAGATCAAGCGAATTTGTCAAGAGCGCCACCTCGTCTACAAGGTCGAGTGGGTCGAGAAGATGCTCCAGCTGCATCAGATCCAGAACATCAATCACGGTCTGATGATGGTCGGTCCCAGTGGCAGTGGCAAGTCCGCCGCCTGGAAGACCTACCTGGAGGCTATCGAAGCCATCGACCACATCAAGTCCGAGTCGCACGTCATGGATCCCAAGGCCATCACAAAGGATCAATTGTTTGGTTCGCTCGATGGTACCACCCGTGAGTGGACCGACGGTCTCTTCACCGCCACCCTGCGTCGTATCATTGACAACGTTCGTGGTGAGAGCAGCAAGCGTCACTGGATCATCTTTGACGGTGATGTCGATCCCGAGTGGGTTGAGAACCTTAACTCGCTGCTCGACGACAACAAACTGTTCACTCTGCCCAACGGAGAGCGTCTGGCACTGCCAAACAATGTCCGCATTGTGTTCGAAGTCCAGGACCTCAAGTACGCCACTCTGGCCACCATCTCTCGTTGTGGAATGGTCTGGTTCTCGGAGGAGATCCTCACCACGCAGATGATCTTTGAGAACTATCTGCGTACCCTGGAGCACGAGGCCTTTGACGAGGTTGAGCGCGAGCAACAGCGTCGCAATGAGAAGTCTGCCGCTCCCCTCATCACCCCCGGTCTGCGCGTACAAAAGGAGTGCGCCGCCGTGCTCACCCAATACTTTGAGCCAGGCGCATTGGTACACAAGGTGCTCGAGGACGCCGCTCAGCGTCCACACATCATGGACTTCACCCGTCTGCGTGTGCTCAACTCATTCTTCTCGTTGCTCAACCGTTCAATCGCCAACGTTGTCGAGTACAACCAGTCTCATCCAGACTTCCCAATGTCACCAGAGAATGTGTCCACCTACATCACCAACCGCCTCTACTACTCCCTCATGTGGGGTCTTGGTGGTTCCATGGGTCTGGCGGAGCGCGAGAACTTCAGCAAGTACATCCAGTCTATTGCCATCACACCCATGCCACCTGGCACCATCCCCCTGCTCGACTACGCTGTCAACGTCGACGATGGTCAGTGGAGCATGTGGAAGAACAAGGTGCCATCAGTCGAGGTCGAGACTCACAAGGTCGCCTCACCAGACGTGGTCATCCCAACAGTCGATACCACAAGACACGTCGACGTCCTGCACGCCTGGCTCTCTGAGCATCGTCCACTGTTGCTCTGTGGTCCACCAGGCTCTGGCAAGACCATGACCCTGACAAGCACCCTGCGTGCCTTCCCCGACTTTGAGGTAATCTCGCTCAATTTCTCATCGGCCACATCGCCAGAGCTGATCCTCAAGACATTCGACCATCACTGCGAGTACAAGCGTACACCCCAAGGTGACACCGTGCTTCGCCCCGTCGCCATTGGCAAGTGGCTCGTCGTGTTCTGTGATGAGATCAACCTGCCCGCCACCGACAAGTACGGTACTCAGCGTGTCATCACCTTCCTCCGCCAGCTGGTCGAGATGGGAGGATTCTGGAGAACATCTGATCACACCTGGATCCGTCTGGAGAAGATCCAGTTCGTCGGTGCATGCAACCCACCCACCGATGCTGGTCGTGTGCCACTGTCCCATCGTTTCCTGCGTCACGCACCAATCCTGTTGGTCGATTTCCCATCCGCCTCATCGCTCACACAGATCTATGGTACATTCAACCGCTCGCTCATGAAGCTACTGCCCAACTTGCGATCATTTGCCGACGCTCTCACTGACGCCATGGTGGAGTTCTACGCCGCATCCCAAAAGAGATTCACGCCAGACATGCAGGCTCACTACATCTACTCACCACGTGAGCTCTCGCGTTGGGTTCGCGCCTTGCTCGAAGCCATCCAGACAATGGAGGGCTGCACTCTCGATGGACTCGTCCGTCTGTGGGCCCACGAGGGTCTGCGTCTGTTCCAGGATCGTCTCGTGGAGCAGGAGGAGCGTGACTGGACCGACAAGATGATTGATGAGGTCGCCATGAAGTACTTCCCCAACATCAGCCACGACTCTCTCAAGCGTCCAATCCTGTACAGCAACTGGCTGTCCAAGGACTACGTGCCCGTCGAGCGTAACGAGCTGCGCGAGTACGTCAAGGCCCGTCTAAAGGTCTTCTATGAGGAGGAGCTGGATGTGCCCCTCGTTCTGTTCAACGAAGTGCTCGACCACATCCTGCGTATCGACCGTGTCTTCCGCCAGCCTCAAGGTCACGCTCTGCTCATTGGTGTGTCTGGTGGTGGCAAGTCCGTCCTGTCGCGTTTCGTCGCCTGGATGAATGGTCTTTCCATCTACACAATCAAGGTGAACAACAACTACAAGGCCGCCGACTTTGACGATGATCTGCGTATGCTGCTCAAGCGTGCCGGATGCAAGGAAGAGAAGATCTGTTTCATCTTTGATGAGTCCAACGTGTTGGAGTCATCGTTCTTGGAGCGTATGAACACTCTGCTCGCCGGAGGTGAGGTCCCAGGTCTCTTTGAGGGTGAGGAGTACACCGCCCTCATGCACCAGTGCAAGGAGACGGCCAATCGCAACGGCCTGATCATGGACACTGAGGAAGAGCTCTACAAGTACTTCACGGGCCAGGTGCGTCGCAACCTGCACGTCGTCTTCACAATGAACCCCGCCAGCCCAGACTTCCACAACCGTTCGGCCACATCGCCTGCCTTGTTCAATCGTTGTGTGCTCGACTGGTTCGGAGAGTGGTCTCCTCAGGCACTCTTCCAGGTCGGTTCAGAGTTCACTCGCAACCTCGACCTCGAGAACCCCAAGTACGCCGCCACCTCTGAGTTTGTCAACGAGTGCGAGAACAACATGATGATCACACCGCCACCCACCCACCGTGACGCCGTCGTCAGCTCGCTCGTCTACATCCATCAGACGATTGGCGAGGCCAACGCACGTCTCCTCAAGCGCCAAGGTCGCCAGAACTACGTCACACCACGTCACTACCTCGACTTTATCAACCAGGTCGTGCTGTTGATCAACGAGAAGCGTGAGCAACTCGAGGAGGAGCAGCTCCATCTCAACATTGGTCTGAAGAAGCTGCGTGACACTGAGCAGCAGGTCAAGGACCTCCAGGTCAGTCTGGCCCAGAAGAAGAACGAGCTCGAGACCAAGAACGAGCAGGCCAACAACAAACTCAAGCAGATGGTTGCCGACCAGAACATCGCCGAGAAGAAGCAGAAGGAGGCACTGGACCTGCAATCACAGCTGGACATCCGTAACAAGGAGATCCACGTCCAGAAGGTCAAGGCCTACGCCGACCTCGAGAAGGCCGAGCCCGCCATCATTGAGGCTCAGGAGTCTGTGTCCACCATCAAGAAGAAGCATCTGGACGAGATCAAGGCGCTGCCCAAGCCACCCCAGCCGGTCAAGCTGGCCATGGAGGCCGTCTGTCTGATGCTCTCTGGCAAGAAGCTGGACTGGGCCGAGATCCGTAAGAAGATCATGGAGCCCAACTTCATCTCATCGATTGTCGACTTTGACACCAAGAAGAGTCTCACCGCCAAGGTTCGCGAGGCCGTCAAGAAGGAGTACCTCGAGGACCCCAACTTCAACTACGAAGCTGTCAACCGTGCAAGCAAGGCTTGTGGTCCCCTTGTCAAGTGGGTCACTGCCCAGGCCACCTACTCTGAGATCCTCGATCGTGTCAAGCCTCTGCGTGAGGAGGTCGAGGCGCTGGAGAACGCCGCTCTCGAGCTCAAGTCCAAGCAAGACGAGATCGTCAAGACCATTGACACTCTCAATGAGTCGATCGCCACCTACAAGGATGAGTACGCCACTCTGATCCGTGACACTGAGCTCATCAAGACCGAGATGACCAAGGTCAAGAGCAAGGTGGACCGTTCCATTGCCCTCATCGACAACCTGTCGTCAGAGCGCAGCCGTTGGGAGCTGCAGAGTGAGAACTTCCAGACCCAGATGTCCACCGTTGTCGGAGACGTCGTCCTGGCAAGTGCCTTCCTCGCCTACATTGGTTTCTTTGACCAACACTTCCGTGCCGACCTCATGCAGAAGTGGATGCACCGACTCGAGTCCGTTGGCATCAAGTTCAAGGCCGAGCTGTCCGTGCCCGACTTCCTGGCGCGTCCCGAGGAGCGTCTCGCATGGCACGCCAACTCGCTGCCCGCCGACGACCTCTGCATTGAGAACGCCATCATGCTCAAACGTTTCAACCGTTACCCGTTGGTCATCGATCCATCGGGTCAGGCCATGGAGTTCCTCATGAACCAGTACGCCGACAAGAAGATCACCAAGACCTCTTTCCTCGACTCTTCATTCATGAAGAACCTCGAGTCGGCACTGCGTTTCGGTTGTCCATTGCTCGTTCAGGACGTCGAGAACATCGATCCAGTTCTCAACCCTGTGCTCAACAAGGAGATCCGTAAGAAGGGAGGCCGTATCCTTATCCGTCTCGGAGATCAGGACGTTGACTTCTCGCCATCGTTCATGATCTTCTTGTTCACTCGTGACCCGACCGCGCACTTCACACCAGATCTGTGCTCGCGTGTCACCTTTGTCAACTTCACCGTCACTCCATCGTCGCTGCAGTCGCAGTGTCTCCACGAGACGCTCAAGACTGAGCGCCCCGACACCCACAAGAAGCGCTCCGACTTGCTCAAGATCCAGGGCGAGTTCAAGGTCAAGTTGAGAACTCTGGAGAAGTCACTACTCAACGCACTCAGTCAGGCACAAGGCAACATCCTCGACGATGACTCTATCATTGGCACGCTTGAAACACTCAAGCGCGAGGCCGCCGACATTGCCGTCAAGGTGGAGGAGACCGATGTGGTCATGCAAGAGATCTCAGCCGTCAGCGCCATCTACAACCCCATGGCCCTGTCGTGCAGTCGCGTCTACTTTGCCATGGAGCAGCTGGCCCAGCAGTTCCACCTCTACCAGTTCTCCCTGCGTTTCTTCCTCGACCTCTTCTACGTGTTGCTCAACGCCAACAGCAACCTGGACGGCGTCAAGGACCAGACCGAGCGTCTCAACATCCTGCAGCGTGACATCTTCACGTTGGCCTACTCTCGTGTCTCTCGCACGTTGTTGAACGACGACAAGCTCACCTTTGCTCTGCAGCTGGCCAACATTTCGCTGCGTGGCACTCGCGATGAGATTGAGGACAACGAGTGGGACTACCTTCTCAAGGGAGGTGACAACATCAGCACGATCCGCGATACCCTTCCCCAGATCAGCTCAATCACCAACAGCCTGCAACAGAAGTGGTTGATCACCCTTCGTGGTCTCCCATCATTTGGCTCGCGACTGATCGACCACATTCAACAGAATGGTCAAGATTGGAAGCAGTTCTTTGAGACCACCAACAACGTTGCCACCATTCCAGACTCCTGGATCCAGGTGCAGATGTCCTTGAACCCCAAGAACACTGAGATCACCTCCAACTTTAGAAAGATCCTCTTGATGAAGGCCTTCCACGCCGACAAGACTCTGCAGTTCACTCACCAGTTTGTCTCGTCAGTGTTTGGTGAGCACTTCCTGCAGGTGCACCAGTACGACATGGCCACGATCGTCGAGAAGGAGAGCAAGGCCGTCGCCCCACTGATGCTCTGCTCCGTGCCAGGTTACGACGCCAGTTCCATCGTTGACGACCTCGCCGTCGAGCTGCGCAAGCCATACAAGGCCCTGGCCATCGGTTCCCCAGAGGGCTTTGAGTTGGCTGAGAAGTCCATTTTTGCCGCCACCAAGAACGGCTCGTGGGTGCTGCTCAAGAACATCCATCTTGCGCCACAATGGCTTGTCCAACTCGAGAAGAAGCTGCACAGCCTCACGCCACACCCCAACTTCCGTCTATTCATGACGTCCGAGATCCACCCGAACCTGCCCGCCAACCTGCTGCGTATGTCGCACATCTTCTCGTACGAGAACCCACCTGGAGTCAAGGCCAACTTGATGCACACGTTCAACAACATCTCAGCCGCCAGAATGGACCGCCAGCCCGTCGAACGTTCGCGTATCTACTTCCTCCTGGCATGGTTCCACGCGTTGATCCAGGAACGTCTGCGCTACATCCCCATTGGCTGGACCAAGGTGTTTGAGTACAACGACGCCGATCTTCGTGGCGCCCTCGATGCCATCGACTACTGGGTCGACCTCTACTCCAAGGGCCGCAGCAACATCGACCCCGACAAGATCCCATGGGTTGCTGTGCGCACCATTCTCGGCCAGACCATTTACGGAGGACGTGTCGACAATGAGTTTGACATGCGTCTGCTCAACTCGTTCCTGGAGCAGCTGTTCACGCCCGCCTCCTTCAACCACGACTTTGTGCTGGTGCAGTCAATCGGACTCACCGTGCCCGAGGGTACCAACCGCGCCCACTTTATCAAGTGGATCGATGCTCTGCCCGACCTCTCCACCCCACTCTGGCTCGGTCTCCAGGACAACGCCGAGGCACTTCTGCTCGCCAACAAGGCTAAGAAGATGGTCAACGACCTGCAGAAGATGCAGATGTCTGAGGAGGACAACAGCTCAGAGGAGTCGTCATCCAAGGACAAAGAGGACAAGCCAAAGGCCAAGCTCAGACAGACCGTCACTGAGTGGCAAAAGACCCTGCCCAAGCCACTCAAGCCACTCAAGAGAACGGCCCAGAACATCAAGAACCCGCTGTTCCGTTGTTTCGAGCGTGAGATCACCACTGGCATCAAGCTCATCAAGAGAATCACCAACGACCTTGGCAACATCACCGAGATGCTCGATGGCAACATCAAGCAGACCAACTATCTCCGCTCTATCACCACAAGCATCACCAAGGGCATCGTGCCCAAAGAGTGGAAGAGCTACTCAGTGCCAGACTCAGTCAGTCTGTCCGTCTGGATGGCCGACTTCTTCAAGAGAATGCAACAGCTCAATGAGATCTCTGAAGCCTCCGACTTTGCCTCGGTGCAAGTCTGGCTCGGTGGCCTGCTCAACCCAGAGGCCTACATCACAGCCACACGTCAATCTGCCGCTCAGCTGAACGGATGGTCACTGGAGAACCTGCGTCTGCACATCCACTCGTTGGGTGCCACCTCTGGCACTGGTTTCGCCGTCAAGGGTCTCACCCTCGAGGGTGCCTCCTGGAAGGATGAGAGATTGACTCCCACCGTCGAGCTCACCACCGGTGTGCCAACAACAACACTCACCTGGAGAGACAAGGATGATCCAATCTTCAACGAGAACCTTGCCAACAAGCTCACCGTCCCAGTCTACCTCAACGACTCTCGTTCCGAACTCCTCTTCTCCATCGACCTCCCCTTCCAAGAGGGAACCACCAAGCAGACTTGGTACCAGAAGAGTGTTGCCATCACCTCATGGAAGGTTGACTTCTAAAGTCGTCAGCCAGTCCAGTCCAGTCCAGTCCACACAATAAACTCGTTCCAATCATACGTTTATTCAACTATCTTTAACAACTAAGAATGTATCCTTTGTCACATGTATCTCCATCTATTGATGTCTCTCTAAGAATGAACCTTGCACCTTGTTCTGTACAGTCGGCGTCGTTGTAGATAGTGTAGAAGATGCGGCCAGAGCGGCCAGGACACTCTATGGTCGTGGGCATATGGTAGAGCTCGGGATTGGTGAAGCAGGTCCTGGTTGGGAAGTATGCAATCACTCTAGCATTGCATCTTCCATCCAGCTCTGTGCCATACATCAATGAGTTCATTGGCAGGTTGATCTGCTCTGTGACTTGATACACCCCAGACGTGAACTCTCCATAAGATGATTGATAATAATGATTGTTGGACACAGATATCAACTCTGTTGTAGACTCAATCCTACAATCATTATCAACAAACAATGACCATTCAATCGTTGTACTATTTAATATTCTATAACTTGTTGATGATGTACCGAATGGAACTTGATGATAATATATCTCTGTATTATAACAATGTCCAACTAATATATATATACCGATTCTGTCCGTATTCTGTATCCTAATATATTTGTTATTATTATAGTTATAGTTGGCTGATACTTGTAACAAATTCAACAACAATATAGTTGTTACCAAGATTACAATTAAGTTACTACACTTCATTGTTATATCTCTATCTATCTTTACATTGTAATATGTATGATGATGTACTACACATACACATCTACATCTATCCACACCTACCTACCTACCACTTTGTATTCACCTAATCAACTGAGTTGTTGTTGTTACCAATGTTACCAGTGGGTGCGGAAACAAGTTACCACCTGTTGACAACTTGGAAGTTCACTCAAATGAAATGTAATCACTTCATTCGTGCTCTTTCATTCATTCTTTGATCTATTCAGATCTTTATAATCATTTTCATACATATACATATATACTCTATATACATCAACTCATACAAGCATATAAAGGATATATATCATGTCGGGAATAGACTCCAACAACTACTTCTTCTGCAAGAATGTATCAAGGCCTTGTACAATTACTCATGTCACTACAGCTAATGTTAGACGCAATGACAATCCGAATGAACCACCTAATGTTATTGCAATCAAGGGAAATACTATTCAGATACAAGAGTTGGTTGGCACGACTAGAATGAACACTGTGGACGAGACCTACCTCTTCTCTACTGTTCGCGACATTGCAACACTACCACCATTACGCTCAACACTGACTGTTGACCCAGCAATGCTATCCACAATAGACTCCAACAATAACAACAATAACAACAATAACAATCTGGCCAACAACAAGACACCTCATCTCAGCTTGGCCAGTGGAGGTAACAAGACATTGCACTCATTATTCAAAAACAAGGACCAACAATCGCCATTGCTATCGGCGGACAAGTACAGACTTCCCGGACGAGCTAGATCACGCGACCTAATTCTGGTCACCTCGGACTCGGGATATCTCTCTGTCCTTGGATGGTCAGACGATCACAAACAGTTGGTAGCGCTCCAACAACTTCAAATTGCTCCGCCCTCGCCATCCCTCACGATCAAAGACACCAAAGCATTAGGCAGTCGCATCGTTGTATCCACATGGTAAGCATCAATCAATCAATCATTCACATCACGCACTCACCTTCACTCATTCACTCATAGTGGACGTGTAGTCGCTGTGGCCGCCAGCAATAATAAGGTGTCTTTGTTCCCTGTGCTTCGCAGTCAGAATCCATTATACGCCAGTGCTGTGTTCTCAAAGGACTTGCGTGAGGATATAGAACATCAGGGCACCATCACTACCATTGGCTTCACAACATCCACCGATATCAACCGCCCCCACAGCATACTGTGCGTCACCTTTGAGCAAAAGAAAGAGACATTCATCAACCTCTACCAATACAGCCACATTGATGCCACTGCCACCTGTATCTCTTCACAATCTACACAGCTCCGTCCAGACATGTTCATCCCTCTTCCACACTCGTCCAACAAGTTCCTCATTGTCACAGTATGTTTGTTGTGGAACATGGTCGATTCAATCAATCAATGCTAACGCCTCCAAACACACAACAACAACAATAGAGAGATGAACATATAGTGATGATGGGTATTAAAGGTGATCAAATACAAACATTGGTAAATACAACATTGTTCAAAGACAAGGCCATTCCAACGCGCTATGACGAGCACTCAAATGACATTGTCACATCACATTGTTGGAAACATGACAACAAACAACTACTGCTCTCCACCGAACAAGGACACTTCCTAAAGATAACATTCACATTTGGCGACGATGACGCCAACAACAACAACAATTACATTGATATTGACAACATGGACATTGGCACATCTGGACATCACTCAATTATGATTGAACAACTCAAACCAATCAATCAAACCAAGTATCTGGTGGACTTGCGTCGCGATTATATACTGGCGATCGGTGACTTGGATACCTCAGTGATGATACAAGTGTCCGCTGATGGCAAGATCACCACACACTTCTCCACGGAGAACAACTATGCGCCAGTGGTGGACTTTAGCGCCGAACCCTCATCCATGATTCCAGACCTCATGCAGGTCTACATGTGCAGTAGCCGGGGCAACATGTACGGCACACTGTCGGTGCTCGAGAACTGTCCGGCCATCAACAACTATGGTTACGTCGAGATTGATCGCACGTCAGACGTGTGGAGCTACCCAACCAGCCTGCAATCCAAGTCGGTGCTGATCGTGGTAGGCTGCGACAAGTTTGCCGAGATCACTCGAGTGTTCACACTGGACGACGTGGCCACAATCAGAGAGAGCACGATGGACTATCAATTCAGGATCAACGAGTCCACGTTGTACAGCAACACTATCTCCTCTGGCTATCTCCAGGTGACATCGAGTCGCGTACGCTTCGTCAGTTCGCGAGACTTCATTGACTGGATGCCAAATGAGGAGCAACATGGATTCATTGTCAAGGCGATCTCGCGAGGCAACGACATAATCATCTCCTGCTCCAAATCACTCATTCATCTGCGGCTGAACATTACGAACCGGCAGTTTGAGCTGGCTGCTCAGCGCCTGTATGAGCACGACATTTCGTGCCTCGAGATGGCCAACCCAACCGTTCTGGCCAACTGCACAAAGGAGGAGCAGGCCGTGGTGTCCAACCTCTTCCTGGTTGGCACATGGCACACGAGGGAGATACACATCAATCGCATGGACGCGACGCTCTCGACATTGTACAAGGTCAGCGATCTTGTTAGCGTGCCACACTCAATCAAGTTGTGTCGTCTGGGAGACACGCACATCAAGGTGGTGGCCGGCTTCAAGGAGGGGCAACTACTCAAGTGGGAATGGGAGAACATCAATGTCAACCCATTCCAATCGATATATGCCTACAGCAAGCAGCTGTCGCAACAACATATTCAACTGAGCACGACGCTGGATGATGGTGCGCTGGTCATGACCAACAAGACCTACTATCTCACGTTCATGAAGGGTCATCCAACATTCAAGAAGATCGCCTTTGAAGATGTATCATGTGGTGTCATCAATAACGACACGACAGTGACCCTAGTGCAGCCAACAGTTGGTATCAATCTGGTCTCGATTGACTTCTCCAACAATACATCAATCACACCACTTCCGACCCAGGATCTACAAGTATGTGAACATCCTACAACTCTGGAACTATCCTATCATCCTACTGACTGATCACATCCATATTTAGAACCCAAGACGACTAGTATTCATCAAAGAGTTTGGTGTACTGGCCATACTATATGACAAGGAGATAGTACTTCTGGAGCCAAATACAAAGAAGGTTATCATTCAAAAGAAGCATGAACTTAGCACTCCAAACTTCCTCAAGTGTAACTATAACCGATCAATCATGGAACCATTCCAATCACCAACTCACCCACGCTCATTCAATCACTATTATCAAGTTTGGAAGTCAAAGAACATGGTAGTGTTTGGAGGAAAAGGTGGAAATGAAGCCGGTATCATCTACTTCATGTCCATATCATTGATGGATAATGTATATATCTCACCTCAAGTTCAGTCCACTCGCGGAACCATTCCAATCACTAACATTCAATCAATCAATAATATAGGAAATTGGATGCCTTGACTTTAAGAAGATACCACTTACGGATGCAGTTCATTCAATGCATCCTTTAGAGGATAGTTACTTTATAATGTCTACATCCAGGGACACAACAATCGTAGACTATAATAACTTTAGTAATATGGAGTCTACCATCAATATACCCTATCTCAACTCTGTGGTAGACATTACCTATCAACATCGTAGGATACTACTGGCGACGCCCCGCAAAGGATTGGAAGTCTACGAGTATGACAAGAAAGCAAGAACATGTGTAAAGAAGAGACAGTAAGTATAACCCATTCATTCATTCATGACTGACTCACTCACTCACTCAATCCAATCGACTACAATATGTTCCAGTCAAAGGACACCAATGTTGACATCAAGTTGTCAATTCATGTCTGATGATTGTTTTGCAGCAATTGATCGATATGGTAACTTCACTGTTATGGCCTATGGTGATGACGAACAACAACAAGGTGTTCATACATTGAACACTGTGGCCAGCTACTTCATCAGTGAGTCATGTACCAAACTACTCAAGGTAAGTTATGTTAAGATTGACAGGATTGGATTGTTTGATATGATTGATTGATTCGATTGATTGATTGGATCGCCAACCATGCCATACTGACGAACCACCTCCACCTGGCTACTCCTCCCCAATCATACACGCACACAACCTACACCAAATAATAGGTTGACAACAATCACTTGATTTGCTCTGGTATGCTTGGTGGCATTTATTCGATCAGCAGAATCACCAAACGAGAGTATCTTATACTGAGCATGTTGACGGATATTTTATGTCTGTTCAAATTGACGCAGCCACTGTTGGGCAACGACCATGCCATGTATCGTTGTGGACTTGTCGAGATGCAGTCAATCATTGATGGAGATATGGTGTCACAGTTCCTCTTGCTGCCAGAGGAAGTCCAGTTGGAGATGATCAAGACGATGTTGGCGGATTCGCGTGTCACATCCTCCACCAACGTGGTGACAGATATCAATCAACCGTTGACCTACACGGATAAGGTCAAACACATGGAACTGATGGCCGAGAGGGACCGCACTAGGGCGTTACTTGAATCACTCTGTGAGTCCTTCATACCCACCAACACTACATCCAACTAGGGAAAAAAGTGTTGGGTTCCTAGTTGTTGTTGAACCATGATCGATCAATGTGATGGGTGCGTATCACTCATTAATCGACCATTGGGTGTCTTGACCCAGATGGAACCTTAGACAGTGCTATGGCCCAACAACAGGGCATGCTGTGCCTATTATTAAACACGAATCCGTACTCAACGGGCCAGTCATTCATGAGAGGCAAGACCCACACGAGAGCACGTGTTGCAGTTTGATTCCTCGATGAATAAATTGATCAAAAGTGACACACGCATGCCCATACCCGGTGATCAAAAGCAAACAAGTTGTAAACGTTGCTTTGTGGTGGTGCAAGTCAAAGTGTCACATGTTTCAGAGATACCCAAGTCCTGGAACAATGCGTTGGACAACACAACAAGACGAACCATGAACAAAAAGTAATGTGTGTCTGCGTTGATGGATTTATACTTTGCTTGTTCTTGGACACCACGCAAATAGCCCCAGCACGAGGGCCATCTCAAGCCCTTGGTATTTTTATCTCAAGGTTCTCTGCAGAGACCTTCACATCAGTCGGTGGTTGCAAAGATGAATTGTGTGTGTTTGTTTGTTTGTTTGTGTGATTGTGTGTTTGAATGAGTGTGTGTGATAATGATGATCGATTTGACTGGTTGTTGATGGTGTGTGAATACGAAATCTGATTGATCAATCTCTCGTTAGGGAGAAGACCAATAGTCTGACGATGGGCAGGGCGCTAACTTTGATCAGGGTCGCATTGGATTGGGTCCTAGGTCCATACCAGATCCCCCAATCATTGATGATCTTGGCGACACTCAGTAATAGTAAAGTAATCAATATTATTACAACTACTGTATTACTAAGTCCATCATACAAATAATATTATATATAATATACAGATACAGTGATACAGAGATAATAATATATTATAAAATATGGCTACACTATTAAAAGTGTTGGTTTTTGTTTTGATGGTGATGACCATGTCGATGACGATGATGATCACTCAAACAAGTGCACAACAGTTACCAATTGACTTTGGTGCCACTTGTGAACAACTGGATCCAAACTCAAAGTGCAAGCCATATCTACCATACGACTCTATATACCTTCCATATGGAACCAATCAATCGGAAATCGAGACCAACGTCACAAACGCAATCACTCTACTTTCATTCACACCACTATCTTGTTCCGATGTTGCCATTCCAATCACCTGTTTGATTGTAAGTACTCAGGACCTGATGATGAGATGTGCCAAGACCATCACCTAACCCTCGCCCCTCCCCACTCAATCAATCAATCAATATATCAAATCCAGGCATTCAGACAATGTAACACCATCAACACAACATCACCGATAATCAAATTACCCTCATCAGCATGCCTATCAGAGTGCGGTAAATACTCCTCTTGACGATTGATCACGAACTTACCTTGACCTGAACTGACCCCCGACCCCTGGAACCATCCCACCCACCTCCACTCACCCATTCCAATCAATCAAACATAGTATCACTGAATACATCATGCTATGATGTGTTCAAAGCGAATAATGTACCAATCAATTGCAGTTCAGATAGTCATGGTACCCCGACATTCACCAATCAATCAACATTGTTTGAACTGCGAGACTATGGTGGACCTTGGATAACGCCAATCCAATGCGACGTGGTGGTGGGCGGTGTGCGCCCCAACGCCACCTGCCTGAAGCCACTGGTCATGGTATCGCCAGAGGAACGTAAAGAGGGACTCTACTTTGTTATCGATGACAAGGGTTGTGCGCTGCCGTGTCCGTCGATGGTGTTCTCTCCCGATGAGGGACGCATCGTGCACATCACCAACGTGGTGATGAACTCTGTGTCATTCGTCGGCTCGGTCTTGACACTGCTCTTCTTTGCGCTGGTGTCCAATAAGCTCAACTATAGAATGGAGATCATCTTCTACTTCTCTCTGTCCACCATGATGATATCGATTGGCTCGTTCATGATGAATCCGCGTCAGGAGCAATTCGCATGCGCTGGACCTCCAGGACGATACAAGCTTGGCACCAAAGAGGCAGACTGTGGCATTGGCTATCTCTTCTACCAAATTGGTGCATTGGCCTCAATCATTTGGTGGACAATCATTTCCTATGATGCTTACAACTCGACCAAGATACGTAAGTCTGACTCACTCACCCACTCAATCAATCAATCAATCAATCAATCAATCATGTGACTGACTAATCCATCCATCCATCCATCCATCAATCCAAACCAACAACAGAGAAGATCAAACATTTCAATATATTCAAGTTCTTTGTTTGGGGATTCATTATATTGTTGTCCACTATACCTTTGATGTTCAACAAGGTTGGAGCAATACTTAGTTCCAATGGATGTTGGATACTTAATAGTGATGGAAACGTTTACCAATATGTATCATTCCTCGTACCATTCTGGATATGTCTAGTACTCATTCTCTACTTTGTCACCTACGTAATCTTCCGAGTATTCAAGATCTACAACGTAGTCAAAGGTATGTCAATCACTCAATGGAACTATCCCAATCACACTCACTCACACACAATCATTCAATCAATGGCCATACTTCTGCGCATGCACACAGATAAGAAGATGCTCAAGTTTAATGTATGTAATCAACAATCAATGAATCACTGGAACTATCCCAATCGCTCACTAACTCCATCCATCTAATCAATCAAACAATATAGCTGAGAATGCTTGGAATGATGTGTTACATATTTGTCGCTTCGGCATTTGTTACATTCTTCCTGTTCTACTCGAATGGCAGATCGAAAGAGTATATCAAGTTGATCGTCGATTGGTTATTATGTATCTCCAAACATCAGGACGACATCTCTTTCTGCCATCTCTACACACCAGACTTCAAGCTCAAGATGTCCACCGCAATATTCTTTGGTGGATTTGGTCTGATTGGTTTCCTTTCAATGATGACTGTAAGTTTATTCCCATTCCTGATTTGGAATCATTCCATCAACCAATCATACAATCACTCACTGGAACTATTCCACCCCCACCCTAGGACCCTGCCAACAAGAGACTGGCACGTCAATCAAAGATATTTATATACTTTGCCAACAAGTATTTGGAGTTCAGGGGAAGCGGTAGTAGATCAAAGTCAACGTCGTCAGAGTCATCGTCATCAACCAAACCTACGACATCATCACAAATCAGTAGTGGAGTGATATCAAGTTCGAGCGAATGGCTAAAGGCACAGCAAGAGAGGAACAAGGAGATGATTGTCAAGATCATGAACCAACACCGCATCGAATCTCAGGCACATCGCGACGATGCCATCGAGCTCTCCAGTCTCGACAACAACTCAATCAACGGCACCTCGGCAATCATAAGCGTTCCAGATCTAGATCTAGGTAGCAGCTCGACTCCAATCAATGATCCAAACAACAACAACAACAACAATAGTCAAGTTATTTTAAATGTAGACCCAACAGCATCATCCATAGTATTGGACAACAACGACAACAACAACAGCAACAACAACAACGCCATCGACATTCACCACAGCGACAGTGATAGTGACAGCGACAGCAGCAGTAGCAGCAGCAGTAGCCATCAAGACGATTAAATTAAATTAAACAGGGCAAGCTCATTGGCAATGCCTTAATACTTATTTATTCAAACAAACCATCACGATCAATCAATCTATCGATCAATCGAGTTACTTCCTTGAACCGGATGCTAATGCCATTCCTTGCATGTATGACTCGACGATGTTTCCTGGTTTGGCAGCTTGCTTGGAGCTGACAAGGGACAACCATTGGTCGGTGGTGATGACGGCAGCAAAGGCAGAGTGTAGGACAACGGTGAAGGCACGGTGGATCTCCTCAGCGGTGGCAGATCCAGCAGAGTTGGAGTATGGCAATGAACCAGAGGCATCAGAGATGAACTCAACATTGAACAGACCTTCATGGGCAGCTTGTAGAGCAGTGGCCGTGTTGCAGTTATGTGTCATGTATCCAACGATGGTGATTGTGTTGACACCCTTGGACAGAAGGTACTCCTTGAGGTCGGTGTCAACGAAGCTGCTGGCCTTGCCCTTCTTTACAAGATGGTCGTAGCCACGTGAGGTAACAACAGGATGTAGTTCAACTCCATGTGTATCGGGGGCAAACACTGGGAAGGTACTTGGGAAGAAATGTTGGACGGCCACAACAGGAATACCAGCAGACTTTGAAGCATCAATAGTTCTTCCAATATTATTTAAAGATAGATTGATATCAGGATACTGGATCTTCAATCCACCGTCAACATACTCATTCTGTACATCAACTACAATAAGTGCTCTCTTAATATCAGTAATGGACATTATTATTAGTTTGTTTAGTTTAGTTATATATTTGTTGTTTGTTATTATTATTATTATTATTATGATTATGATATAGAGAGTGATGAACAGGCTGTATATTTATAGAGGGCTTAGAATCATATTATCGATTTAAGAATAAAGTAATAATATCTGATTCTTATTCTAAAGTAGGAGTTAGTAGTTGTTTGAACAGAGAGATATTTGGATAATTATAATTAGAACTAAGAATGGTCAATGGTCAACCAATGTTCGAACAATTCGAATGTGGGGTGTCTAAACAATTCGAAAGGGTACACACAGCTTTCGAAGACTTGTTGTTGGGCATTCGAAGACCATCATCATCAACTACACTATGGTGATACTCATCAACAATAGTATTAGTAATAACACCTACTTAATATTGATAACTACTTTATTATAATTAATTATTAGTAACAATATTTTATTAGATCTGCCCAGATGTGCCAGGGTTGTCTTTGCTCACAACTCTCAAATTGAACTAACGTTTATGGGTTGTGGAGGGTTCACTCGTTTCAGAACTAACTTGACAACAACATCACCAGGGGTGTGAATGACGATGATCTTACGCTTTAAAGTGGACCAATTGCAGTATTTGTAGTTGTAATCATTAATCTAATATAATATTTAACATCTTATCAACTTCATACAGATATGACAGGTTCAGCAGCATCACAAGGTATCAAAGATAGTGTAGCTGGAACAGTTGCTGGCGCTGCATGTCTATTCACAGGGTATGTTCACGACCCATCAATCAATCAATCAACAATACAGTCATTAACCATCTATGAATGAATCACATCATATAAAGGCACCCCTTTGACACGCTGAGAGTGCGTCTACAGACATCGACAACGAAGTTGGGCATGATTGAATGCTTGAAGAACACTGTAGAGAAGGAAGGCGCATCGGCTTTATACAAGGGTGTGACGAGCCCTTTGTTTGGAATGATGTTTGAGACTGCCGTACTCTTTGTTGGCTACGGACAAATGAAGAAGTTGCTCCAGAAGGACCCAAACAAGCCTTTGGAGTTGTGGCAATATAGTTTATGTGGTGCGAGTGCTGGCTTTGCCGCGACATTCGTTCTGACGCCTGTCGAGCTGATCAAATGTCGTCTGCAAGTCCAGACGACTGGTCCACCCAAGTACAAAGGCACATTCGATTGCTTTGTCAAGGTATTGAAGGAGGATGGTGTGACAGGTCTCTACAGAGGTATCATTCCAACACTGGCGCGTGAAATCCCTGGCAACATGGCATTCTTTGGTGTATATGAAGGTCTCAAACGATACTTTAGGACCAAAACTGGTCAAGAAGACCTTCCACTTCGTTACCTTATATTGTCTGGAGGCATTGGAGGTATTGCATATTGTAAGTTCATTCATTCATTCATTCAATCAATCATGGAAACATTCCAATCGCTGACACCAAACAATCAAAATAGGGAGTATATTCTATCCAGCTGATGTAGCCAAGTCAAGTATACAAGTGAGTGATAATGGACCAACACCATCACTGTTGGCAACACTCAAGAAGATTTATCAAAAGGATGGAATACGTGGACTCTATCGTGGATATGTCTTAACAGTCATGCGTGCATTCCCAGCAAATGCTGCCATGTTTACAGTGTACGAGATGACAATGAAGGCACTGGACAAGGTAATTCCATGATCATAATCATTAAAGATAATAATAATTGAATAGATTAGGAAAGAAGAGGAGGAGGAAGTTTTATTACATTGCAATGCATGCTTGTGATTGATATAATTAATTAAATTGTGGAGTTGATGGTGATTGGAGAGGATGTCTCATCAAGACGATCGTAGGATGAGTCCTGACCAACACTACTGACTCCAAATAGAGCGCGGGCTCTCTGCGCCAGCTCAGCTGACTTTCTTGGACCAAGTGCCAAGTATATAATAAATGCAAAGTAGAATAGGAATCCTATGACCAGGATAGTGATCATCCACCATGCCGTTGACAACTGGATAGTTGCCTGAACAATCAAGTAGATGTTGATACCAATAATAAGTACGGACAGGACTCTAACAAATATATTGTTGAGCCAATGGTTCTTAAATTCCTCTCCCATCACATCCGCTCCTAATTGATTGAATGAGTGTTAGTATCCATGGATTAGTATTATGTACCATGATTGATTTGATTGAATACTACTTACTTGATGTGAAGTAGAGAACTGGAAGGATGGCAAATGGGAGTTGGACACTTTGGAGAACGTTCAGCCACTCGTCAAGTGAGTCAAGATGGTTTTGTGAAAGGATGGCAACACAGATGGCTGGAACGATGGCCGAACAACGAGTGATGAGGAGTCGCTTCCATGGTCTGATCTTGAGGTTCAAGAAACCCTCCATAACAAACTGACCGGCATAGGTACCTGTCATTGTAGAGCATTGGCCTGCTGCCAGCAGTCCGACGGCCCAAATATATTTAGCAAACTGGCCATACTTCTCACCGAGGAAGGTGGCAGCGGACGAAAGACCAATGTTGTCAACACCCTGGAAGCCCACGGCAAAGAGCGAGACGACCAGAAGGTTGAGAATGAATGAGATGAATAGGGCGATTGCACTCTCGATACCAAAGTACTTGTTGGCAATACGAATCTGGCGCTTGTCTGAACGGTCAAAGTCACGAGACTGGACCAATGCAGAGTGCAGATAGATGTTGTGTGGCATGATGACCGCGCCCAGGATACCAACGGCCATGGTTACGTTCTGTTTGGATACCATCGGAATGATGCAACCTTCAAGCACCTTGAGCTGATCAGGCTTGCTGATGCCATACTCGATGGCAAACGTGATGCCCATGATGGCTATCAGACTGCAGAAGAAGGCCTCAAGCTTTCGGATACCATAGTTCTCTAGCATGAGGAAAGTGAAAGTGTCGGCGGCAGTGATCAACACACCAGCCCAAAGTGGGATATGGCCGTTGGACAGAATGTTGATGGCGATGGATGTACCGATGACCTCTTGGATATCGGATCCTATGATGGCAAGCTCAGTCATGATCCACAGGAGGATACGTGCAGTCCTTGGGTAGTGTTGACGACAGTGCTCAGCCAGATGCATACCAGTGACAGTACCAAGACGGGAGGCCAACATTTGAAGCCAAAGACCGACTATCGTACTCCAGAGTAGGACCCAAAGCAGTTGGTACCCACCAGCAGCGCCAGCTTGTATATCAGACTCAAGGTTGCCCGGGTCCAAATAGGCGATGCTCATCAAGAATCCAGGACCGGTGAATGCCCAAAGAGTTCTAAAGTGGAGGAATTTCTGGAAGTTTGTGTGAGTGATGTTGGTCATGTGACATCTTCTTCTCCAACAACAAACTCAAACTTACTCCTTCGGCTTCCAGTATACTATCAGTGCATTGAACCTTGCCATGGCTGGTCTTCTGGTAGTCATCGGACTCAACTGCTATGTCCTCTTCAGGGCCTGGCAGTTGTGCTTGGTAGACGTTATGGTTGTAGGTCATCTTTGGCTGGATGGCGGGCTGGCAGTAAGGTATGGTTCGTGAGTTTCCAGGTGTAGGAGTAGGAAGAGTTAAAGGAAGATCATCAAACAAATGAGTTCAATCGTCGGTGAAGTTGGTTGTTGTTGTTCTTGTTGTTGGATCGTACTGACTGATGTTCTTCCGTTCAGGAGTGGCGCACGAGTAAGGGGAGGATATCAAAGCAAATGTGATAAAGAGTGATTGGCTTAGTTTGAGTTAGGGTGTAGTAGTAGTCGTGAGTGAGTCAGGGGGTGGCCTCTACAAGGTATAGTATAGTGTGTAGAAGAGGAATGAGGCGGGATATATGAGCAAAGGGGTGAATTGAATTGAATCAAGGGGGCGGTATCTTGAGGTTGATCAGGACTGTGCGGGCAGGTTGGTGGTGTCAAGAAGAAGAATGCTCTATGTAATGTTCGTCGTTTAGCGAACAAGTTAATATCGTCAATAGTCGTCGTCGTCGTCGTAAATGTGTACAACTAATCAATACCAACAACAAAATGAACTCATGACATATTCGTGATGTATCAATGCCAGGCATCGTTGTTTTTGCCATTGGCACTAACTGGGCTTTTATCGGGCTGTGGGTAGGCGGAGAACATGTGAACGAGTTCTGACATTAATTAATTTACAAAAAGCCGTGATCACGTGTTCAACTTAGCTTCCTTGATTGATTGATTGACAGATGTCCCATTTGTATGTTTGTTGTTATGGTAGTTTATTGTTATACCAAATGATATGGAGTATATGACAGATGATTATTCTTATTCGACGAGGTTGGAGTGGGTTCACTTGATGCACGCTATTGGTATCCGTACTATTTTCGGGATGGCAATAGAGCACAATGGGAAGTATGAGCGGCAATTGTTACTTCCTCCGATGGTCGTATTCTTCTACTTGTATCAAGTTCGACCGATCCAAATGGTTGCAATGCTCCTTCGTAAGCATTGAAACAATTTGAATGGCGAGATAGCTTCTATATGTTGCGCACGCGCGAGTGCCTGGCTGGATGGGGCGAGGGCGATGGCTGGCGGCGCGATTGGATTGACTGGACTGTCGCATTCGTTGGGTGGACGGGACTGGACTGGTTGTCCAGGGACGATGATGCGAGTGCGAGTATGAGTTGAGGCTATCAAAAGATATGACTATGGGGCTCGGTAAGGTCTTGACGACTCTGGTACTAGCCAAATAGAACCGCTGGTTGTAGTTTCGTTACAACAAAATCAACAGTGGTTCTACCAAGTGCAATAGACATGCATTATTGCATGTCTATGGCGAGTTGGTTGCATAGTTATTCGAGTGGTGTGGGTATATGTTTGTGTTGGTGCTGGATGAATAGTCGAGTGAGATTGGTAAGGTTGTTACTGGATGGGATGTTGAGGGCTGAAGAGATGGTTGAGTTGAGGTGGCATTGGCGGGTGGTCTCTTCTTCTTCTTCTTCTTCTCCAGATTGGCGTGGTTGTGATGGAGCCAAGATAAGAACTTCTATCATGTTATATAATATGTATATCGATTGATGTGAATAAATACATAACTATTTTCTAAAACAAGCTGATTGGTGATTGTTGGTGATTGACTGATTGACTGATTGGTGTTGGTTGATTGATTGGATTGGATTTGGATTGGATAACACTTTGATAAATTTACATACCAGGCCTGGATTGATTGATGCAATCAGGACCTTGGCTGGGGGTTGGGTTGGGTGAGGGGGAGCTGACGTGGAGGGTGTCGTTGATGTGCGATATATAATATATCGTACAATCGAAACCTTGATGTCGATTGAAACTATATGGCAGAATTAAGACAAATAGATTTTCCATTAACCTGTTCTTCCATTGGATTCAATCTATGTCGAGGCATAGATGAGAGTTGTAGTGTCGATATTCGACACCACAATGGTTGTTGAGTGGTGGTAGGTAGTGATATAGTTTGTTGTTGTTGTTGTATACTGATATTATGTGTGATAATAATAATAGTAATAGGGGGGATATTATGATGATAATGATGGATGGATGGATGATTGATTCATTGCTGCAGTTCGTGAACTGCGAGCAACACATGTCGGCCATGGCGGACACAATTAATTGTGTGTGCGCACTTACTGGCGTGTATGTTTCAACATCTCCAATGTCTCCAAGATATTCTCCAAGCTGCCTGTGGCATCTCCCTTGTGAGCAGCATGAAGGGAGGTGACAGGTACAACGAGGTGCATCTTGTCGACGGACTGACTGCCAGACAGAAGGGTGGCGGCGGCCTCGGATGATGAATCATCATTGAGGAGGCGGGCGGCGCACTTGTTCTGTGGCGTCTGGGGGACGAGTTGGTTGGATGAACCACTCGCCTTGACCGTGGCAACGGCTTGTTTGAACCAGGCGGTGGGTGAGCTCGAGTCGTCATCCTTCTCGAGACAGCCGGTGATCCTGATCTTGACGGGACGGAGGCACTCCTCACGTTCCTGCATGAGCTTGTCAAGCTTCTCACGGTCCTCCTTGGGGATCTCAGTGCCGTTCTGGAAGGACAAGATCTTGATGACCTTGTCGATCTTGCGCAGATAGCGATATGGCCACTTTCTCCTGGTGCACTCCTTGAAGCGCTTGCAGAGCATGGACTCAGAGATGCCAAGCTTGGTGGCGGCTTCCTTCTGTGGCAGGACCAACAACTCAGTGATGTCAATGTAGTTGTTCTGGTCGGTTGTGGTGGAGGAGGACGATCCGCTGGATGGCACCATTGATGTGGTGGCGTGGTCGTCATTGGATGAAGCGACCACAACGGCACCTGGCAAGAACTGCGACTGGAATGGCGAGGATGGTGACGATGGCGAGGAGTAGCTGCCTGGCGAGGACTTGTTGTGTGAGGGCGACGAGGGCTCTTGGGGATCCGAGTCGATGGCCGACTGATCGTCTTCCTTCTTGCGCTTGTTGGAGCGTGACAAGACGTGGAATGGAGAGGAGACGATCTGAGTGATCACATGGGATCGGCCGTCGGGCATGGTCTCGGTCAGGGTGAAGGTGAGGCTGAATGATTGATGGAGATGCTTGGAGGACACCTCGCTCACCTTGAGCTTGCTGAATGAGACAACGCCGTTGCGATCGACGTCTTGACTGAGCACACCTTGGAGTACCTCCTGGCGGTCCTCTGTCTGCTTGGGTGTGACAGGCTTGGACGTGGATGAGTAGATCAACGAGACACCAACCGACAAGGCGCCAATGGACTTGGCGAGGGATCTCCCTGTCGACAGCCAACGATGGCGATGGCTGGATGTAGCGGTGGCAGATGACCACGTCCTGAGGTTGCTGGCTGATAGCAATGATTGGAGGAGTCATTCTGATTGAGGGATTAGATATTAATAACATTGTCGTTGATTGAATGAATGATTGACCAATCTTACCTTTCAGATGGGGACGACGATGGTGATGCATCGGTTTGATCGTCAGAGTCATCAGAGTAGTGCTTCAAGTTCTCCAAGAGGAATGACTCGCGCTTCTTGAGGTTGGCCAACTCTTGCATCCATTGGAACATGATCTGCTTGCTGGCTAACATGTTGTTGCCGGGCGAGCCGACCTGTTGGTCGATGGGAGACGATGGCATGGACGAGCAAGGTGAGAATGAGTCGTTGACAGAGTTGGTGCTGTTCAGAATTGATCGACTGTTTGAGCTGCCATCCTTGATGATCATTATTGGAAGTGACGAAGTATGAGTTGGCGACTTCTGTTGCTGTTGTTGTGGCTGTGCCTGTTGTTGAGGTGCCTGTGCCTGTGCCTGTTGTTGCGACGGCTGCTGTGGACGTGGTCGCTTCAACTCAAATTGGCTAAAGTTTGGCAGACTATTGTCAAATGTTGGGTTCAAAATGTTGGCCAACTGTGACTCCTTGTCCTGGACCGGAGAGGAAGAGGACTCATTGTGAGTCTTGAGCTTCTTGTTGCTGCCACTGTTGTTGTTGTTGTGGCTGATGGTGGTGTCAATTACAAGAACTCCAGTTTGTTGTTGTTGAGGCTGCTGTTGGGGCTGCTGCTGCTGCGGCTGTTGTTGCTGCTGAACAAATTGAACATGTTGTCTGTTGTTGTTGAAGAATTGGTACACCTGTTGTGGATCCGGTTGTCGTATTGGAAGACCCCATTGAGGGTAAAGCTCTAATCCTGTTAAATAACCAGTTGGTGGCTGTGAGCGTTGTTGTAGTTGCTGCTGTTGTTGCTGGTGACTGTGTATTGGGCTAATGTGGTGCAATGGCCTTCCCAATGAAGGGATGCTAGCAGGATAGACCTTTTGCATTGTTGTTATTATGTATTATAAATAGATAGATAGATATATAAATATATATTGAAAGCGAGCGTTGTACTATTAGCTGCTACTGTTCATTTGTTCCTATAATCTTGTTGTAATATATATTATTATTTCAAACTGTCTTGTTACTGTCTACTATATCCTCTCTCTTTCCTGTTAGTCTGTGTTTGTTTGGCAGATGGTTATCAGTCTGCCTATAATAATAATTATTGATTATTATTGATTGTTATGATTATGAGATAGATATGAATGTTGAATGAATGAATGAAAGAATTGAGTTAGTTAGTTAACAATGCTGCGTTGTTGCAATATTGTGAGATGTTGTTTGTTTGTTTGTCTCTCTCTCTATTTGTGTATTTGAGTGAGTGAGAGAGAAGTGTGAATGTGAATTGAATGGAGTTGAGTTGTGTGTGTGAATGAATGGTATTAAACATGTGTGTGTGTTGGTGTTTGTGTGCGAATGAATGAGAGAGAACTAAAGGTTGAGAGAGAGATGACTTGTGTGAATGTGTGTGTGTATGTATTGCTTGTTTGGTGAGATGGTTGAATAAAAAAGGAGAATAATGGTGATTAGATTTGAATGGTGTGACAGAGAGTGTGAACATGAGGGGGTAGTGCCCCTTTACAAGATGAGTGTGGTGTAGATGGCAGCTGATGTGTGAATGGAAACAACAGATGGCATTGGGTTGTTGATGTGTTAGTGAGTGTGATGAAGGGAAGCGAAATGAAGTGTGTGATAGTGTGTGTGGTGTGATGAACGACTCAATCAAGCACCAACTGACCAGTCTTGTAACTTTTGGCTCTGGGTTTGGGCGCCCAATACAAAGATGGAAGGTCTCTATCTATCTTGTAATAAAAACTGCACGTGGACAAGCAAACAAGCCTCGACTCGAGATATTTGGAGGCTAAGATTAAATGTCGATGTGCTGGTACTGAACAATAGTCGTTATATTTGATTGGGGATGGATGCGTGAAGTGACTATGGAAGGGTTGTATATGAATGATTGAACATATGATGGACGTATGGATGGATGATGGATGAAGGCTGCTGATCAAGTTGTCTTCAGGATGAAGAAGAAGAAGGATGGATGTTTGTGTTTCCTGATACCGTACCCTTGGTAATCAATCAATCAAGCAATGTGTAATAATAACTTTGTTGTTGAAAAGGAAATTGAATGTGTTGAATTGGATCGGATTGGAGTTGGAGTTGTTGTTGTTATTGAACTGGAATGAGTGAGAATGAATGAATGAATGAATGATCGTTGACCAGTATACGCTTCACATTGATGCCACACACGGTTTGGATTGGATTGGATTGACTGGTCACACAACCACTCATACAACCACTCACTTGAACAAGAACAAGAACAAGATCAAACATCACCGTTAACCATGTGATGCTGAGCTCATCTGTTCAAACAAATTTGTTGTTGGAATGGCAATATTGAGTTGAGTGAAGTGGGGATGGAAGGATGGATTGGTGGATTGATGGATTGCATGGTGGGGGTACAAAGGACGGGCTGTCGGTGGGTATGTGTTGGTTGTTGGTTGTTGTTGTTGTTGTTGTTGGCAATAATAATAACATGAAGTATTGTATTATTTATATGTAAGTACACTCATACATACACTCGTGTGGTAAATTCCCCTCCAATTGATGGTGTCTCATATTCAATAATGTATTGAATTGATATATGGTTTAAATTGAATGGGAGATTGTTGTAGTGGCAGTGGATGCCGTGATCCATTAATGCGCCTGTTGCCAGGCTGGCTTGCTGGCTGGCCGTACATAAATGTAACAAATTGTATTTGCAAGATAGCAATGTGCATTGAAGTGATATGAGTTGAGTGATTGGATTGAGTGAAGGTGGGGAGAAGCTCTAAATTCTTGTGGATGATTGAATTCAATCTCAGCTGATTGAGAGAGAGAGAGCATTGGTTTGAACGCATTTCTTTTCGCTTCGAAGCGACAAAGATATACTCGTACGTGGATCGGTAGAAACAAACACAAACATAAACGCACAATGGTAGTAGTAGCTTGCTCGACTGACTGTCTGGCTGGATGCGAACATGTTGGACATGTTGGAAACACGTAAATTTCGCGAAAGTCGATTCAACTTACTTTACTTTGAGAATGGAGGTAGGTAGGTTGGTTGGTAGGTAGACCAGGATGGTGGTATGAAATAGAAGGATAAGACAATAAAAGATAGACAGATAAGATAGATAAATATAGATAGTAATTGTATGTGATTGATTGTATTTAGAAAACTCGTACGAAATGGAATGGAAAGGGGATGGGAAGAAGGTTCACTTCCCTGCACCTCACTTTACTTCACGAAGCAACTTCTCCTCAGACAAAGCAACTAGGTTTTTTTGTGAGAATAACAGGAGACAAGCATGCTTGTGTGTGCTGTATGCCAGAACGTCGACAATCAATACGATTTTTGTTCAAATCAATCAAGGTGATGGCTGTATTGTATGCTTGAACTGGTGGATAGAATCATTGAACAGACTTACCTACCTCGTTTGATCAGTTCCCAGGCTCCCATTCTTTTGCGATAATGATCTGGCCATCATGAGCTCGTTAGGGCCTTGAATTGACCCACTTTTTTGTATTCTTAGGCCACTTTTATTAATGTTGGGGCGACCCTTTGCCTTCCATCACAACAGTATCACCCATGCACCACACTGTTCTGTTTCCGCATACTTGTGCGCAAGAATCTACCTCTTGTCTTGGGTGTTCAACATACAACATACATCTTCAATCAACAGATAATAATAAATTAATGAAACATTGTTGATAATGACTTGAATTGAATTGAGCCGATTGCTCCATTTACATTTCTTCATCAGATCTTTCCACAATTGACTTTCAAGTTCATTAAATGACGAATGTCATCAGATATTATCATTCTGATTTTGGTGTTACAATTCGCAATTGTTAGCAACACAATGCACCTTTATTGGGTTGGTAAACATTGGTTGCACTTCGAATTGATGATCAATGTTCTTGACTATTCATTGACTTCCCATTTTGATACCTCTACCATCATGATCAGGCAAATTGACTTCAGCTTCAAAGTTGTGGTTGGACAAACAGATAATGGAGAATCTCCCAAACATCATCATAAGAGAGATATTGTTTGAATGCTTCAATAGTGAGTATTGGACAACTAGAAAGAAGACGGTGTTGTTCCATTCATTGGTTGGCGCAGAGGGATTGCTTCAAGCCGATTGGTTGTTCAACAGAGCATTGATCTGTTGGAAATGGTTCCACACATCTTCTCTCAATGGTGCATTCTAAACATTCAGATATTGCCAATGCATCTGCCGAGACTACACTTCACGCCACTCTCTCTCGTTCAATCGGTTAACAGTTTAAAGACTCATCAATCACCACGATCATCTGGAATTCCCAACGATTACTATAGCTATGAGTTCTGTATGCCACGCAATCAAACAGATCATCAGATCATGTGTTCTCTACATCAGCTCGAGCAGTTGGATTTGCAAGTTGGTAGCTTCTGCGAGCGGGAGATTGGATACCTCCGACAAAATGTCGGAAGGCTCCCAGAGAAGAGGCTGGCCAATCTCAAATCACTAATTGTGCGCATACAGGAGCCATACGACATGAAGGATATACTGACAGACTTTATTGGCGTGGTCGGTCGTCTTGACAATTTGGTTGAGCTCGAGATGCACATCCGTGGCGCAAGAGGTTACCAAGTGGGAGACTTGATGTCCTTCATCAAGCATTACTTGCCAACACTTCAAAGACTCAAGATCCAACCCTACTATAATAAGCCATGGTCATTATTCAATTCACTTCAACAATTATTACAACAACAACAACAACAACATCAATCATGTGTAGATAACAATAATTCAATCATTCAAACATCTAATAGTGATCATCAAGGATTATTATTATTAGAGGTAATGATTAAGTTGGATTTGGACATGCTTAGAGAAACAGAATCAACAATGCCTACCATTGGACAACACTTTGGAGGTCATCTCGAGGGCGATATCATAATGTTTACATGTTAAAGTTAGTTTAACCAAGAACCATTCAGTAGTCTTCATAAACAATCCAGTTTGTTAACCATAATACTAATTATAATTATTCTGAAGATGGAAGGTTGTTTGTGAAAAAAAATAAGATGAGATGAGCTTTCTTTGTAACTCCGATCGGGTCTCCTCGCAGCACTCACTCACTCACTCACTTCACAATCATGATTGTTCACATCTTGTACAATCAATCACCATCATTGATACACAGATAGATAATAACAAAAACAATATCAACAACGGAAACAATGAAGTTAACAAGCGATCAAGTTAAACAATACTTTGAACAAGGATTCTTGGTAATTCCAGACTTTGTTCCACATGATGAGATTGATGGATTGCAATCTCAGATGGCCAAACTCATCAAAGAGTTTGATGTTGATGCCACCATAAAGTCAGTCTTTACAACAAAGGAGCAACAGGTATGTTTAGGTTTGATCATAAACATCCAAACACATCACCTAACTCAATCAATCAATCAATCTCATCGCAATCATATCAGAGGATAACAAACAAATACTTCTTGGAGAGTTCAGATAGTATTAGATTCTTCTTTGAACCGGATGCAATTAAGGATGAGAAGTTGGTAGTTGAGAAGGATGTGGCGTTTAACAAGGTTGGACATGCACTGCATGACTTGGACCCAGTGTTTGAACACTTCTCCTATCACCAACGTATAAAGGATTTGATAAAGTCACTGGGCGTGTACAACCATCCATTGTCTGTCCAATCAATGTACATATTCAAGAATCCAAAGATTGGAGGAGAGGTTGGCATTCATCAAGACAGTACCTTCCTCCACACCACGCCCCTCACCACCCATGCCATCTGGTTCGCCTTTGAAGACTCCACTATCGAGAATGGATGTCTCCGTGCTCTCTCTGGTTCACATAAGAGTATGTTGAATGATTGAATGAATGATCATCATGATTGAACAAGGACTAATCAATCAATCAATCAATCCAATATTTAGATGGCACAAAGAGAAGGTTCATCATTAATGAGGAGAACGAGACTGGTGTGTTCGTCCCACCAGAGAGAGACGATAGTATATATGATCGTAATGAGTTTGCCGCTCTGCAATGCAAGAAGGGATCAATTGTGTTGTTGGACGGTGCAGTGGTACACTACAGTGAGCCAAACACATCAGCCAAGTCACGCCATGCCTACACACTTCATTTTATTGAAGGAGATGGATCGGCTGTCTACGAAAAGGACAACTGGCTCCAGCGTAACAATCCAGCACTACCATTCCGTGAGCTCTACTAAACAACTGCGCTGTTGCTGGACCAATTGGTCGACCTGGATTGTTAATAAAATGACGCGTGAATGAATCCAAACATCTTTGTTTGGTCAGTTCAGTGAATCGATTCAGGATATCCGAATGAGGTAATCATTGGAATGCCGTGTGGACACGCTCACTCTTGCGAGCCCCAGAGTGATTGCCAAGATAGGACAACGCAACAACCCCCTTGTGTTGTTAGTGTGTGTGTTCGCGCTCATCATCATCCTTTTCCCAAGCCTTGCCAACCATGACACACTCACTCTTCATCATCTCCAACTTCACCTTCATCTTCACCTTCATCACATTCACCCTTTGTCTACACACTTAGTGAAGAGTGAACATCAACATATATATAACACAACACGTTTTAGTATGAGTAGAACAGACGACACAACTATACATTTAGTCAGATTGTTGATCAAGACATTGTACACAATACTCTTTGTCTTGGTATCCTATGTGGCAATGGCTGGAAGTAGCAGCACAAGCAACAGCAATATAGATGTAGCACCAACTACATCATCACCCAAAAGACATGATGGTATGTGTTGATCAGTCAAACAATGAATGAATGATCAAAGACTGACACATGATTCTTAGAGTTCAACTTATACATTGAGATTGCATCTGGTACATTGGCGGGTATGTTGTCCAGCTTTACATTCTATCCTTTGGAGTGTATTGAAGCAAAGTTACAGGTAATGGCTGGAAAGAAGAAGCCTGGTATGCCAAGGTCACCTTTGGACATTGTACGAACAATAGTAAGACAAGAGGGCATTGCTGGATTGTATCAAGGCGTAACACCAACAGTACTGGGCAATGCGGTAAATTGGGGTGTATACTTCTCAATATATCGTTACTCCAATCATTGGTTGCGAACATCTGGTATGGTCGAGGTACCTTGGATGCAACACTCACTGTCTGCCATCAGTGCTGGCGTTGTTACAACAGCAATCGTCAATCCATTCTGGGTACTCAAGATCAGACTGGCGACATCCAATCGATACAAAGGGATGTTTGATTGCTTCCAGTCCATCCTCAAGAATGAAGGTATCGGAGGGTATGTACTACTTCTGATGGACAAGGCGAGGCAGCTCAAGTCACTAACCCATTCAAACTCAAAGATTCTGGAAAGGTGTTGGACCATCATTCTTTGGCGTGTCAGAAGGTTTGGTCCAGTTTGTTACATATGAACAGTTGTTGAATCGCTTTAGGAATGGTAATGAACCAATCCCTGCCATTACATACTTGATGACTGGAGCAACAGCCAGACTTGTGGCGGGATTGGTGACTTATCCCTATCAACTACTTCGTTCATCCATGCAGTCCGAGGGATCAAAGTACACTTCAATAGGTGATGCTACAAGAAGTGTAAGTAATAAGTCTTGTCTGACTCTTATTCAATCAATCAATCACTAAACATAATCATACATAACTCTAGATATACAAGAGTGAAGGACTGGCAGGATTCTATCGAGGACTTGTTCCTAACTTGACGAGGAGTGTACCACCCGCTGCAATGATGATGTATATCGTGGAGTTCTTCCGAACGTCATTGACTACTGTATTCAATCCTACTACTACAATTCATTCTTGATCAACCATGGTCAATCATGGTCAACATATCGTCATCACCATTTCCCCATCATTGCGTGTAGTGGCCGCCCAACCCATTGGTTGTTTCAATCCCCAAGCCACACAGAGACAGACCCATGTATATACCTCAACAGACATGCCCATTTCCCGTTCCCACTTTGTAGAACTGGATTGAATGAACTCAAGTGCAGCAAAGATCATTGATAATATCCACTTTGATATGTGAGGGTCTAAATTTAATTAAATTTAATATCGTTGAGCCCAACCCCATTGGGTCCTCGTCTTTGCAGTGTTTAAGATTGATTACACCATTTCAGATTCTCATTTATACTATCATTCATTCATTCATTTATTCACTATTTATTACAAGTAGTACATATACAAATACAAAGATGGACGCTGACATTATTGAGATCAAACCAGCCACCAAAGAGGACTTGGTTGTCGTTTGGGACATGATCAAGGAGCTCGCCGTCTATGAGAAGCTCATCCATATGGTTGGTATTGGAGTTTGATTGATTGAGTGTCCACAATCACATCCTTTCATACTTACATGACCCCAAACTGGAATGATCCCATCACTCAACACACAATCAATCAGGTCGTTGGATCAGTTGAACAACTGGAACAATGGGCATTTGGCGAAGAGAAGGTGATCTATGTGTTTGTTGGATGGGTCAATGGACAGGTTGCTGGATACACTCTGCATTATCTCAACTTTAGCACATTCTTGTGTCGCCCAGGACTGTACATTGAGGACATCTACATCCGTCCTCAATACAGAGCAAAGGGCTTTGGCAAGAAGATGTTGCTGCATCTCTGCAAGATTGCTGCTGATCGCGGATATGGACGTGTCGAGTGGCAGGTCCTCGATTGGAACACACCCAGCATCAACTTCTACGAGTCACTTGGCGCCAAGCCCATGAAGGAATGGATCCAGTACCGTCTGGTTGGCGATCAGATCACCAAGCATGCCGAGGACTTCACCAAGATGAAGTGCTAATGAGCACATACTCTCTCATCATTGTTTTAATACATTGTGCCGCCGCCGCTACACATATTTATTCATTCCATTCCTCAAATGTATCGCTCAGACAACCTCTGCTCGACCAAGTTCATCAAGTTGTAGCGAATGTTTTGGAATCGTTCCAGGATGCGATGGAATCCCTCGCGACGCAGGATCAACAAGCGCGTGGGACACTCTTCGGACGAAGCGCGCGCGGAGCATGTGCGTGGCAGACTGAGTATCAGCGAGATCTCACCAAAGCACTCCCCTGTCGACAGGGTCTTGAAGTCCTTGCCAGCTTTGGACAGCGTGACTGCGCCCTCCTTGATGATGAACATCGTGTCGTTGGTCGCACCACTATCGTCCTCGCGGATGATGCTGGCGCCATCCTCAAACACAACCTCCGAGTCGATGGCGGCGGCAAAGTAGTCGATCTGTTCCTTGGTCAGGTTGAGTTGGGAGAATGGGAATGTTTTGGAGAAGACGGCAGTGAGGAAGGGCGAATACAAGCCGATGCGCTCCAGGTCCAGCGATAGCAGGCGTGCCACATCGCCTTGATGAATCCTCAAAAAGTCCTCGTAGGTGATGGACAACAATGTCATGTCCGTGCGGGCAATGATCGTGGCGCTACGTTTGGCGCGTATTTGTTGTTCCTGGCGGTGGCCACCCCACAGCGCATTCTCGCCAAAAGTGTCGCCAGTGTAGAAGCTGCCAACGAGTTGATCGCCAGTTCCTGGCGTGGCCACGCTGTTGGCAGCCTCTGTGCCGGGTTGCAATGCATCGGCAGTGCCACTCTCGACGATGTAGCATCTGTTGCACTCCTCACCCACGCGGATGATGGTGGCGCCAGCCGCCACCTTGAGCTCCTCCATCGCGTAAAACACTCGGTGAATCATTGCAGGCGGAATGTTGCGGAAGAAGAATGAGTTGCACAGCATCTGGAAGCGGCGCACAGCCTTGCTGTAGCCCTCGTTGTAGTCACCGATGGGCACGGTCATCGTGTGTTGCAGGCCCACCTCAGGGATGCGCAGACCGACTAGTGGCACAACTGTGCCATCAGCGCGAGTAATGGACTCTGGCAGCTTGGATGTGTGAACGACTAACAACTTGCGTTTGGTTGATTCCGGTAGATTGTTGAGCGCCTCGGCCGTTGTGTGGATGGGAGGTACACCGCACTCATGTATGATTATATCAGCGTCAAACACAAACAGGCGGAGACTGGACTCGCGCAGACTGTTGATGACACCCTGCGCAGCCAGCTTGCTCAGCGACTCGGGACAATACTGCGTGTCGGCTGAGTAGGCGATCGTGCGACTGTGTAGACGCACCTTGAATCGTATGGTCGGGATTGTGTGGTAGCTGTAGTCGAATTCAAAGTCGGCGCCCTGGATACGGATCACCTCGCCAATGGGCACGGGCACCCAATTGTAGTAGTCACTGATACGTTCGATGCCCGTGAGTGCGCGAGCCTTGCGCATATAGCTCTCGTGGATTGTTTTGGTCGTGTACAAGGTCATCTTGATGCCCTGCACCAGCTTCTCAAGCAGTCCGCTGTCGTGATCCGAGTGGCAATGAGTAAGGATCACGTGCTCGACAAACTGGCCTGCCAAGCCATGGCGACGAAGGTAGTCTGCTGTGCCAGTGGGTGGGTCGACCAAGATGCCATTGCCATTGACCCATAGGATGAATCCAGTTGTCTGGCCATGTGGGTCGAAGCCATGACTTGTGCCCAAGAATGTGATGCCGAATGATGGCGGGACGAATGTCGCCAGACTCGTGTTTGACGCGCTAGCCATCGTCTGTATCTTGTTTGCAGGGTGTGTGAGAGAGATTGGAGGAGGGACGACGGGTGAGTTGGCATGGCCAAGACGAGGCGGTGCGGATGGAGCGAGGGTCGAGTCGACGATTCCACGAAGAGTTCCCTCCTCAAAGAAACAGATTAGTCCATTGCGGTTCTCTATCGTGACACTCGCCATCTTGTCGGGGTCGGCCACGCTGGGCAGCTCGATGACCACCTGATGTCGTGCGCCGTTGTTGTACGGCTTGAAGATGACAAAGTCTTCAATAGGTGCCTCCTGGCCATACTTGGTGTAGGCGAGCGTCGCTCGCTCGGCTGGGAAGTCCACGCGATAGCCTTGAAGTCTTCGTCGCTCAGATATTTCCTCGTTGATGTAGAGCTGGTCGGGGTCGGGTCCAAACATTGACTCCTTGAAGATAGCACGCACACGCGCCAGTTGCTCCTCGTAGGCAACCATTACAACGCGACGCATGGGGTTGGACGCTGCCTTCTTGATGAAGAAGTTGAAGAAGACGGGGAACTCGACCTCAGAGTACGACACACCATTGGAGCTGAGCAAGTGCGGCAGCACGTACACCTGGGGCACAGCGACTTGCTGCTTCATCGACGTCTTGATGGTCTCGGGCGGCACGCCCACCTGGATCGGTCCCACACTACTCTCGTACAAGTAGCTACCCTCTTCTTTTGGTCGCACAGTCGTCTCGCTGTAGCAGGGCTCAAATGGTGAGCTGCCTGTGGCGCGTTTACAGTCGCGCAGGTAGTCAATGAGTGGCCGCAGATGAGCGGTTATCAGGTCCATCTCAAGACCGGCTGTCAGGTTGAGGTTGCTCAGTGTCTGGGGTTGCTTGCTGCGTGGCGACTCGACAAACACCAGCGAGTTGAGGTCTGCGGTCACTTGATCGCTGTAGGCCACGTCGCCATAGGCTGTGCGCAGGGAGGCCATCATATCGCCAGCCAGGCGCAAGGCCTTCTTCATACATGCGAACAGACCATTGTAGTTGACGGTGCCGATGGCGTCAATCGCTGCAAACTCTGCGATCAGGTGGTCGCAATTATCGATGTTGCCCGTGAATGGGTGGGCGATCAACACCTGAGAGACGCTGTCGACCAGTGATTCAGAGTAGAGACCAGTGACCTTAGTCTTTAGTGCAATGAGTGCAAGTATATACTTGGCCAACTCTGTGTGGAATGTACATCCTGATGGTGTCTTTGATGTGTTGTTCTGTGGCTGATCAAGCCAACTCAACAACTTTGAGAACCTAATATGGAAGCCAAAGGTTGAGAAGAACTTTTGTAATCTGTTGATATATGATTGAGTTAGTGTGATCGGGGCTTAGGCCTTGAGGCCTCAAGAGAGTACTCACTGTTGAAGGTAAAGGAAGGAGGACATTGTATATGTATGTATATGTATATAAGTATAATTATTAGTTTACAAATGACTTCAAACCATTGAAAGGAGCTGATATTAATAGGTGATCATTTTGACCCCAGGGGTTTGAGATCGATCAGCAGTGTGATCATGATAACCCCCACAATGGAAATAAAGTCCTAAAAAGGTAATTGTACTGATTAGGAATTAATCATAATTCCCTGGGGGCATCTGTTCATCTTGAACAGATATAAATATATAATATATTATTTAGAAAGACGTTAGAATTGTGTTTACAATTTGGGAGAACCAAAGGTCCCCATTCATTCATTCTTTGATTGATTGATTGATGGGGAAGGTGTGATCGATGGAGTGCCTGGGGAGTATGATCAACATTGAGACAGATCAGTTGAGTATCGCCATGTTGTGGTGGTGCGCCTAAGATTGGCCTTGGACAGTGTCCATTTGATTCCAACAATGTCCACCAATGCATATAGTGATCCAAGGAACAACATAAACTGTTGTTCACACTTATAATCAATTGATCCATACAAGTTAATATATTGTACCGTGGACAATATATTGGTGACCTTGGCCGAATATATAATATAGGTCATTATCTACATGTAATCATCATGTTAGTATTCTTGGTACCAGCATGTGATTGGATGGTATACATACTGGGAAGTAGTCATCAGCGCCCAATCCTCCACACTTTGATGCGTAGATATCCGAGAACACCTTCCATGTATCAAGTATACATTGAAGCATGTCATCCGGTGCTGTATATCTTGCGATATTCTGGAGAACTATTTTTGATTGAGTAAGTATGAGTTAGTATGTGGGTGATTGGAATAGTTCCAAGGACAATCATACCTTCAACTGCCCTCTGCCATCTATCTTGTGGAATATACTTTGGCTTGATCTCCAACTCCTTTAGCAATATGTCCTCATAGCCAGGTATTCTCTTCCTCATATTCAACGCCATCTCATATTGTACATTAATATTTGAAATCTGGAACAAGCTGGATTGATAGATTGATTGATTGATGGAGTTAGTACTTCATTGATCATAGATGATATTCCGTGGACAACATACAATGGATGGAGCTTGACCATAATATCCTTCTTAACCATAGCGAAACCTAGCTCACTGCTACCTCTTCGTTGGATCGTGCCACTTCCCTCCTTCTTCTTGTGCTCCTCTTGGATGACGCGGAGAACACCTTCAACTGATGACTTGAGGATGGTACATCGATGACATGGATCACTCGTTCCGAGAAGGAAGCTAAAGTTGCAGTCGCATAACTTTAGTCGTGCCGTGAACTCCTTGAGGTATCGCATCAACTCTCCGAGTGTGGCCATCTCAACACTGCGTGTCTTGTAGAATTGATTGAGTGAGTGATTGTCCACGAGACGCTGGTGTCGACTCTCCAGCAGGTTGAGATGGTCCTTGAGCGTGCCCAGCTGTCGTCGACTCCTCTTGATCAACGCCTTCATCTCGTGCTTCTTCTGCTTGATGTCCTCCAGCATCACCGTGGCCAGATGGCTGTAGTTGTCGGTGACATAGACCTCGGGCAGCTGGTCCAGGTATACAAACACCTGCTCAATCAACGCGCTAACAATACTGTTGTCACTATTCATACGAGAGTAGTGCGAGCGTAGCAGACCCTTGAGGTCGGTGGACGACATGCTGCACTCGGTCCGATTGAACTCGGTGAACAGACGGATCAGTGTATCCTTGCACTCCTTGAGCGGGTGGATCAGCTCGTCGGGCAGCGGCTCCTGGGCCTGGACGGACGCATCAATCTTGTACGAGGCCATGGTCAGCTTGGGTTTGGGAGTGATGTTGACCTCGATCAATTGTGCTACGGCTTTGGGCGCCATCATTGGCAACTTCTCAATCTTCTCCAATCTCTCGCGAAGTTGCAGACTAGCAAAGTCGTCGTGAGCGTGTGACAACAGGTCGTTGATGAGTGTGCGCAGCTCACGGTTCGAGATGAGCATCTTGAGCTGAGCTTCGCTCTGCGAGTCAGACTCCATCGCGCCCGAGAAGTATGAGTCGATGTCTACCACATCGACCACCTCGTCGAACAGGTCTTGGAGTTTGGCGCGCAGGTTGAACTCCTTGTCCAGTGCGTCGGGGATGTCGGCCGGGAACTCGACATAGTTGTTGAGCTGGCGTGCCAACACATTAAGGTTGTTGCGCGTGGACATCTGGCGGATGTACTGTCCGGTCATGAACGTGACATTGTTGGTCTTGACAAGCTGGTTGGATATGTAGGCCGCGAAGATCACCTGGGACACGACTGAGCTGATTGAGGGGACGACATATGCCTCTCCCACGACCTGGCTGTTGCTGGCCATCTGTAGATTGTACATCTTCTTGGCGTACCATTTGAGAGCGTAGGGGATGAGGTACGAACGATTGAGTATCTCGTTGAGCAGGGTGGCTGTGGAGCGCATGAGGTACTCTTGGCGGAAGATCTTGCTGTGGTTCTCAGTCATGTTGATGGTCTTGGACTGGCGACAGACAATACTATTGGCGTCGTCATTGGGCTCCATGGACGCGGTTGGGTTCTGTGTGATGCATGCGATGAATGGTTTGATCGCCGAGATGAATGACTTGCCCGCGGCATTGGACAGGTAGGCGGCAAGCAAGCATCCAGAGAACAGCTCGTATGTGGCGTTGAACTTATCGGGCTCTGAGCTAGAGGCCTCGGCTTCCATCACCTTATCAATGAGGTTGAGCAAAAGACGCTCATCACACTCTGTCAAACATGAACCAAACAGACATTCGGTGATGAAGTGTGCAAGACTAGACTGGCTATTGTGGCGGCCCAATAACTTTCCATTCTGGAGCAACTTTGTGATGATATCCGGTTTGGTACGCAGTAGGTAGATCAGTCGCTCAACAGTCTCATAAGAGGCGACCATTATAGGGCTAGCTTCATCTGGCTCACCGTATCCATTGTCATGATGGTCATGGTCATTGTTGTTGTTGTTGTTGTTGTTGTTGTTGTTGTTGTTGTTGTTTGGGTCATTGGACGGGGAAGAGGAATAAGAGGACGAGGACGAGGATGAGTGCTCCCTAACCTGCATCTCTTTGATTGATAATGACATTGCATTGATTTGATTGACAATGTCTTTGGTGGACTCTTTGAGGTACTTGAGTCCGGCCATTTTGAATCCGGTCTCAATCTCATGTGCCTCATCCTTGAACTTATTCAGCACCATAATCCACTTTGAGTTATTGGACACTGCAATGGACAACGACAAGCTGTTCCGATGAAGCTCGGGCTTTGACGAGCTTTTCCAGGATCCAGACTTCATCTTGATTGAATGATTGAATGATTGAATGATTGAAAGATTGAATGTTTGTATTGGATGAAAGTACGTAAGTATGTAAGTTATATTAGTTGTAGTTGTAGGGTAGGAGAATGAGTTGGGAATGATGATGATGGACTCACATTGCTTGGTTTGTGGAGTGACCCTTGCTTATCGTGATGCAAGGGTTGTTCCAAAAAGGATGGCCATCCAGCCACGGGTCTGAGTTTAAGCGCACATCTCACAAACTCTCATCCATCTTGGGCACAACTCGAGTTCAACAATAGAACTGAGTTGAATGAAGAATCGATCAATGTTTGTGTGTGTGTGAATCAGAATGAATGAGTGAGTGTGTGAGTGATCATCTTGATTGGAGAGTGGTTGGTTGAATGCAAGGTCCAACAACCACACACTTTGCCGTGAGTTAAAGAGAGCCGACTTTGGACTAACCAACTCAGGGCCATCTTCATAAATAGCTCGCCAATGATGGGGCTTGTATTTAGTGTTTGTTGGGGTGATCAATGATCACAATCACACTGTTTCATCATTAAGAAGCAGTAACTAAGAGTGTGCGACTATTTGTGTTTGAAGTGATGAGATGGATGAATGAAATCGACATGAAAATGGTTGGATAAGATGAGGATTGGTTGGATGGTAGGTTGGAGTTAAGTACTATTATACTCATAGTGTAGACGATGATGATATAACATCCTATTGGTTGATCTAGGAGTTAGTAAGGTAGCACTCCACTCCCTCCCACTGCCTCCCCCTCTGCATCACCAAACATTGTTGTTGACATCATCGATCCAAACTCAGGAACCTGAGTTGAGTTGATTGAGTTGAGTTTATTGAATATTTGTATAATTATTATTATAACTCGATACCTAGATTATTGTTCAGTTAGAATATCAGGTGCATGATATAGATTGGAGGCAAAGATATTGAACTGAGTCCTTGTAGAATCCTTGTCCAACACATTGTCCAAATCAATAAATATTCTAATGAGTTGAATGATTGACATAAAGTTTGGAACACCTGCTCTATGTACAAGGTATAATGTGACCTTAAGTGAATGATAATTGTTAGTAAAATAAACAAACAAATAATATTAATTCATAACAAATATATATATACTTACTGGAAGTACTGTATCCGTTCCACCAAAATCACCATACTTGTGTAAGTATACTGATCCAAGTACATCCTTGAATTGTAATATACACTTGAGCATATCCAATGGATCAGTATATTTAGGTAACTTCCTCAAAACTATAACATTGATTGAATATATTGTGTCAATAATCAACTTAATTAAATAAATTATAATGTTATATACATACGATCAACGGCATGTTGCCATCTATCTTCTGGAATTAGGTTGCGCTTCACATTCTTAAATAGGAATTGTTCGGCTTGAGTCTCACTAATATTGGTCAACTGGAGGAAGTGCACTCTACATTCCTGTTTGGGTATTGAGAAGAATCTAAATGTTCCAAATATTAATATTAATAATAATTATTAGTTTGGAATTAATATACATACATTCTGTTGAATCTTGCTTTGACCACAGTCCTTATTGAGTCATTGGCCATATAGGCATACTTCTTGTTCTCTACCAAATCCTTCATCCTTTCCAGACAGAACGATTGAAGGTCCTCGGTAAGCTTCCTCATCTTTGAGCATGGATCACATGCTCCTGGGTATTCGGCAAATCCAACTAGGTAGTCAACGGAACATTGGCATGGTGTATTTTTGAGTATCTCTTCGTAGCCATGGTCGAAACCATTCATGGTGGTGTTGTAATCTTGATCGTTGAATAGTATGGTCAAGAGATTATTGGTGACCATCTTCTCATACTTGTCCATTTGTGATTTATGACATCGTACCAATGATTGAACGTTGGAACAAATATCCAAAGTCTCATGGATCTTCGTCATGATTGAGAGTGAGAGTAGTGCACCATAGTCGTTGCCATCACCAGCCGTCTTGACGGCCAACTGGTCTAGTGCTTCATTGATGGCATTTGAGTGGGCGGCAATGTGATCATTTAGGCCTTTGTAATAATGAACAAACTCTCGCCAAGTGGTTGTTGATGCCAGGAAACACATGGGTGCTTGCTGGGCACTGCTGATCAACTTGAACAAGCCCAAAAGGAGTCTCTCACATTCTATGAACTCTGGTGAACTGCATGTAGAAGGAAGTCCATTGTTGTTGTTCTTGGCGTTGTTCTTGTTGTTCTTGTTGTTGTTGTTGTTATTGTTGTTGGAAGTAGTGGTACTTCTACCTGATTGATTGTCGGCTTTGTAGGGATCGGATGACACATTGAAGTAGAGGTCCTTTGGAATAGTACCATGGGTGATCAGCAATGATGTTGCCAAGCGTAGTGGCTCGACTTCGGCATTGGCGTGAGTATCTTGAGGACGGACATGTAGTGCATTCATCAAGTACATCAACTCCTTATTGTTGATCATTGATCTGAGTTCAATATCGGTGTTGTTGTTGTTGTTTGGGCTATAATCAGGCATTGTTGAGGCATCGTCCACAGGCAGTAGACCGGCACAGAACATGTCCAACTTGGCCTCTAGACCATACTTCTCCTCCAAGTTGAAGGGTATCTTCTTGGGTACTGTAACATATGTGATCATGGTCTTGATGAACTTGTCCATATTCCAATTGTGATTGATCAATGATTTGAACTTGTCCAAACAATTTGGAATGTAGTAACCAAAGATCACTTGAGCGACCAGGTCCCTGATCATGGCCTTGCCACCTCTGCTCGTACCTTGATTGAGTAGGTAGCACTGTTTGATGTAATACCTTAGTACCTCTGGCAGGCATGTTTGGGTACTTATAATCTGGCAGATATAGCTGACTGCGGTAGACATGTGGGGCAGGTCAGACTTGCCATTATTTGGCAATACCGTGGTGTTGATGAGATGGATTGAGATCAGGCACTCTTTGGGTACGATTGAGAGCATGGCTGAGAGTAGTTTGATTGAGAAGGACTGGCCAATGGTGAATGATCCTTTGGTGTGATCGTGCAATGTCATCTCCCTCTCGATAACAAGACGCAATAGATGTTTGGAATGAGTCTGGTCGAGATCCCAGCGATTGGACATGAATATTCTGTGGATGATAATGAAGGCTATATACAACTCATCAGGGTTATTGGCACGGCATAACAATATATTTGAATGTTGGAGTAGGTCCACAAGCAGACTTGGTTGGAAACGAAGTAGTGATACGAGGAGTTGGGCACAAGTCTCGGCTGGTGGAATGTTGGAGTTGGATTTGGCTGGGGTGGCGGCCGTTGTAGATGTTGTTGTTGTTATTGTTGTGTTTGCAGGAGTACACTCTGGAGGTGCGTTGGTACAGGTCACCTTCAACATTTGGTCTGCCTTCTTCTTCAAATCATCCATTGTTATACGAGGCAATTGATCAGTACTGGCAGACATTGCCAAGTAATCAATGAATGCTTGCACAGGTGAATTATGTTTCTTATCCATACTTATAATATAGTTATTATTACAAATGATTGATTGATTGATTGAGTGATGGAGTGAGCCAATGGATGTAATGTTTAAATGATTGATTGTATGGATGAATGGTTGTTTAAATGTGCGAATGAATGAACAGTGATTGATCCACAATCACCTCTTATGAAAGGGGGAAGATGGACAGTAACATCAAGTCAAGGATCATGATTCGAATATTGATTTGAGTTGTTGTGTATAATGAACAAGTGGAAACTGGAGTTTCAAGTTGCCAACTTGACTTTGAAAGTTATGTTGTTGAGTTGTTAGTGTGTTGTGTGTTTGTTTGATCAAAGTGTGATGAGTTGTGTTGGATTAGACTTGAGTTCACATCTTTGACCATCACTCTCAGATTGAGAGGCCTGGGAAGTAACCCAGTCTGTCTCATATGTAACTTCTAAGTTGATATATAAATGATGATCATTTATATATCTCTTTGTAATTGTATAAATTGATATGTCAACAAACAATTACCTTCCTTCTGTGAAGTTTGTTGGACAAAGGTTGGGTCAAGTTATGGGTTTCATTAGAACAAACAAACAAACAAAACAAATAAGTGGGGATGATGGATCAAACCCACTCTTTGATCTACCCTTCACTCTCACACACAATCATTCATTCATTCAATCAACCAATCAATCATTCAATTGTGTGTACATAGTTTGTAATATATTATAGCTATATATTATTTATCATTCAAATAAACAATTAAAGGAATACATTCAAATATGTTTAATATCAAGATATTGTAAGTTTCAAATGATGTCAACAACAGAGAGAGATCTACAACAGCGGCGATGATCATGATCAATGATTGTTAGTGGACTTGGACTTTGACTTGACTAGGATGTAGATGTTGACACTTTCATTCGTTCATTCATTCATTCATATGAATATATAGTGATAAGAATAAGACATTCAAGCCAAAGAAGGGCTTTAGCAAAGGAACCAAGAGACATGATCTTCATAGACACGCAAAGGCAACACTGGGCAGTGGCAACTTGAGACTTGCTGTCGCCTTGCCAGAGAGAGAGGACTTGAATGAGTGGTTGGCTGTAAACAGTATGTTATCAATTGATCAATAACAACAAGTAGAATGAAGATATACTAATGACTATAAATTGTAGCCGTTGACTTTTTTAATCAGATCAACTTGCTCTATGGAAGCATCACTGAGTTCTGTACACCAAAGACATGCGAGGTGATGTCTGCTGGACCAAAGTACGAGTACTTGTGGGCCGATGGAGAGTCTGTCAAGAAGCCAATCAAGGTGTCTGCTCCAGAATACGTCGAGTATCTTATGACCTGGGTTCAGAACATTCTCGACGACGAGACTATCTTCCCATCGAGAGTTGGTAAGTGTCCTGTCTACAAGTGATGATTCATCATCACGATCAATATTAACATGTCCTCTCTCTCACCATCTCCCTCACCTGCTCACTCAATCACTCAATCAGACGTTCAATTCCCCAAGAACTTCCAGACTATCGTCAAGAACATATTCAAGAGACTGTTTAGAGTGTACGGACACATCTACTACAGCCACTTCCCAAAGATTGTATCACTAGGAGAGGAGGCTCACCTCAACACCTGCTTCAAACACTTTTACTTCTTCATCGTGGAGTTCAACCTGGTCGACAAGAAGGAGATGCTACCTCTCCAAGATCTGATTGATAACTTGACAAAGACCAACAACTAATCATTCAATCATTCATTCATTCTTTCAGCGCGGAATCAATCATTCAATCATTCATTCAAACAGTTAAGCGAACAGCATCCATTCTCATTATATATCATTCATCAACATTCATCATCTACACTATCCATTCGCCTTGCGATCTCAAGGTCGACACAAAGCAAACTTGGAGATAGGTATTGCCAACACGACCACGACCAACGACCACAACAACACAATGACATTGTACAACATAACTTGAACCAAAGGCACACCAAATAAACTCAAACGACTACCTCGTCTACAAATACGAATGCGAACGAATGAATAATATTACAACAACAATGACGACAGGACACGAGAGCTATGAATATGACATGTGCGAGTCTCACAACAAGCGGAGGGAGTTCATATGTCTAGATTGTAATGAGTTGGTCTGCAAGCTGTGTCTGAGTGCTTCGCATAAGAAACATGATGTTGAGAGCGCAGATCACATCAGGGAATTGGCAGAACAACGTCAGTACAATGATGTCACTGTGGCCAGGTTGAGACTACTCTGGAGCACTCTTCAAAGATTGGCAACAACACATAAGAGTCTGAAAGATACATCCAAGTCTGTGACCGAGTCATTCAAACTATTTCACCAGATGCTCATTGCCGAGGAGCACAGATCCAATGCGCCAATCATTGACCGACTACAACAGACTACAACGAGCATACGAGACATTGTCAAGGAGATCAAGAGCATCAACAACCTGTTCAGACCGTCAACCGAGGATAACACACTGTACAACGACAGTTATGCCGACGGCAGCGAGGAGGATGACATGGTTCATACGATCGCCTCTTGCTCATCGATGGATCAGTATATTGAGAGGTCATTCCCGGCTCCATCATCAGGCCAGTCTGTTGCTGTGGATGGCTTGATTGCGTCGAGCTCAGACACTCAAGTGTTGACAATGATGCAGAACATCCTCTCCTTCGATGTTGAAGGTGTCCACGCGAGATAGTAGCTCTTCATCGAGTTCACCCCCCACCAAGTAGATGAGTAGGTTGCCATCATAGATTGCTGATTTGTTGATACCTCCGCCATAATTGTAGTCCATTGGACTGTGATGCCATTGTTTGTCCGCCAATGAGTATCGACTATATGATCTGGCGTCTTTTCCTGTGCCAAACACATAGACGTTGCCTCGGGCATACACTGGGAACAAAGAGGTGTTGGTCTCTGGTATGACGGTGCCATTCGACCTTTTCAGTTGGAAACATGAGATTGTATCCTCTCTTCCAGGTACCGTCACTTCATGTGCCTATGACTGTCGTGACAAGTTGTACGTGGTGTCCGCACTATCTTTTGGTAAAGTGAAGTTCACTTGTTTATCATTGTCGACCGAGACCATTGCGGACCTTGTTTCGCCACCTAGAGACGCGATCGACAAGAACAATCTGGTACTCTCACCGACAGAGAAAGATACTCTCTATTTACTCAGAGGACACAATCACAGCTACCGATACTCAATCACCAACCAAAAATGGACCAAGATCACAAACAACGACAACAACAACATCAAACAGAAGGTAGAACCCTACATTCGTGTGAAGGGCTCTTGTGTCCTGTCAGACAAGCGTCGTCATTCTCGCAGACCGGTCTCCAATCCAATAAACCCAACAAACGATGATTGACCAAACGAAGAAAAGAAAGATTGAATGATTGATTGAAAGAAGGCCATTGTGGCACAACAACAATGTTTATTATTACTGTTGCACCGACAACATCGTAACTCTTGTAAGAACAATGAACGTATGCTTACTTGAGGGGGATGAAACGGGAAGAGTGAGTAGCACCGATACCTGGACGACCGTGCATAACTGTCTTGTAGGTGAGGGAGAACTCACCGAGGTAGTGACCGATCATCTCTGGCTTGATCTCGACCTGGTTGTACTGCTTTCCGTTGTAGATACCAACGACGGATCCGATCATCTCTGGGACGATCAAGATGTTACGAGCGTGGGTCTTGACCAACTTTGGCTTGTCACCAGCTTGGGAAACTCCGGCTTTCTACAACATTGGTTGTAATCAAAAGACAAAGCAACACAAGTGAAGGTGATTGATTGATTGTGATTGATGTTGATGAGGCATCAAGGTGATGATGGATGAGGTTGGTTAGAATACAGCACACCAAGGAGAATGAAGTAGTGTGGAAGATGATTGAACATCTTTTAAGGTATTGGATGTTTGGATACTTACGGCCTTTCTGCACTTCTTGAGGAAAGAGACGTGCTTGATTGGGGTGTCGCGGTTAAGCTTTCTGCGCTGACGGCAACGGAAGATCTTGGCCAACTGCTGCTCCTTAAGGTCCAACAGGGACTCCAACGCAATTCCGTTGTAGGTGAACTTCTTGAAGGTTCTCTTCTTAACTTGGGTCTATAGTTGGTGTTGATATGATGACTATTGTCAGGATACTGTCATCCCTGGAGGATTGATCATTGATTGCATAGAGATACATACATCGGCCATCTTTAGAGTAGTTGATTCGAGAAAAAGGACGAACTCAATGCGAAACAAGTGAGCTTACATAGCTTGGGGTGTGGCTCGTCTCTCGCTCATTCTGTAAAAACTATCATAAATCAAAATAAAATTGAAATTAATCACTTCTCAACTTGTGTAACGTTATACTTTTGATCACTTGGTCAATTAAACAATTAATAACAATCAATGGATATTAAGAAAAATTAATATAATAATAATAATAATATATATTGGATATTGATTATTATTATCTGTTAAAAATAAAATAATTATAAATAAATGATTGAGTGATCCATATTTGGATATATATATTTATTAATAATTGATGGTTGATTTATTGGGATAATTTGGAATGATTGATTTATGGAAGATAGGGTCTGAGTAGATCATGATGCTCTTGACTTACAAACTTTGACACTTCGAGTGCAAGTTGAGTCCTCTCTCTTTCAATGACAGAAATACTTGGTTTATATAGTGATAGTTGATCTTTGATATATTTGATCCTGTCTTCCAACCAATGTCTAACATCCTTATCTTGTATTCTCCATATTGCCAACTCACATTGCATCATTGAGTCGTCCAATTCAGGTCTATCACTCCTGTTGCTGGTCCTTCCAATAATGGGATATCTCTTTGCCAAAATATATATTAATAATATAACTTCAACAATAAAGAATATAGTCATATAATATAATAATTGATCAAACATTATTAATTAATTAATTGATGATAGATCGAATAATATTTGTTTGTTTGTTTCTGAGTGGAACACTTAGAATATTCTGAGTGGATATATATAAATAGTTAATAATAAAGGGTTTCATTTTGACTAACCCTTGACATCCTTGAATAGGCATCCACTCATATCTTTCATGGGGGATTAATGTAGGACCTACCTCTGATCAATTAATCAGGACCACGAAAAGTCTCCAAACACAACAAAAACAAGCAATCTTTTTCACAAAGCACACTACGTAGGCAATGACATCTTGGAAATCCAAGTGCAGTCAAGTTCAAAGTTCAACAATGTCGTTGGACCAATAATAATAATCAAAGAGGTTCCGGAGAATGGAAGTATTGATCATTAGTTGACAGTCATTTACTTTAATAATCAAAAGTGTTTGTATCTCTTTTGATGGCCATGTCACTACCAATGCATGATCAGGACATCAGATCCTCAGGATGTCCAGGATGCTTTACTCGACCTCTAAGAATATACGCTCGTTCGTTGTCCTTGTTTGGTTGGTTGTTTGATTGACCAATTGGGATACACCTCATTGACTGTGGACTGGTTGCGAGGAATAGAAAGTTCTGCCTCCACCATGCATCGTAGTGTCGACGTTGTCATATTGTTGTCCATGATGATGATGTTCATCCTGTCGTTGTTGTCGTTGTTGACGTGTCGAATCATCCATCATTGCTACAAGGCTTGTTTGAGCTAAAATGAGCATCTCCTGTAGTTGCTCTTGACTGAACACATTGTACCATTTGAATCGTTCGTCTGCCAATAGATTGCATAACTTTGAACTCTTCTTGATGTGTCCAGTGCCCACCAACACCTGATGCAGTGAGAAGAACAATGCAGGAATACAATGAACTCTAAGTGCATGTATCTGTCTCTCATTCTCATCTGGGTTCTCTGTAAATGTGATTGGTTGTGATTGTGTTAGACGCGGCCGGCCCTGCGAAGGAGTGACGTGTGGATACACATACCAAAGACACCATCTTGTGCATGCTCAGGACATAACCAAGTCTGTTTCAATATCTTGAATGTAGACTCAATGGCATCCTTGCCATACATCATATTGTTCTGGTTCCATTGTCCATACTCCTCCTCAATCTCCTTCTTTCTCCTCTCAAGGTCCAACTTCTGAGCGTATGATTCCTTGCCAGTCCTGTAATGTACATCGCGATTGGTAAGTAATCTCATCAAAGAGTGGAGGATGATGATGATGGACAACTTACAGCCTGAAGTAGAGTGTCGTCTGCTTGGGCCTCTTGGAGTAGTTATGCGCCCATAGTCCAATGCGCCTGGTAGCCTCAAGGTATTGTGCCCAGTTTGTAAACTCCTTGAGTATGTCCACGGTCTCGCTCTCTGAACGTGTGCTCTCTGCTTGTGAGATGGCCACTGTGTTCTTGGGCAGTGCATCTAGCAGTTGTTGCGCGGCGTCGCTCTTTCCATCGGAAACAAACTCGCGAATGAGCAAATTGGACTTGAACACGGCCTCGATACGTTGCTGAGGGTTGAAGCAAAGCCATGCGATGGCGTCGATCTTGGCAACGTCGGCTGGTGTCGTGCTTGATGACGAGCGTGCAGAGACGCCTCTGTTCTGTGCCGTAATGTTGTTGACCACTGTCTGAGTGATGACGTCCGTGTCCAACTTGAACTTCTCGGCCTGCTTCAAACAGGTTTGTCGTTCCTCTTGCTCAGTGATGCCCTCCAAGAACTTGGAGTATATCTTGATTCTTTGTACATTGCTGCCCAAGAATGATGTGTACAGCGCTACCAAGTCGTTCTAGAATTTGTTGTGATTGTTAGTGAATGGTTGGAGCTGGATGGGCAGGGCGTGACATACTCTTTGAGTGTCAATCAGATGACTGATGTATGAGTATATGATGATGTTCTCTGGTGCCTTCTCGTCCTCGATCACTTGGTAGTTTGGTGCGCGGAACCTGTAGAACAGGATCAGGGACACTGCCAGGCGAAGGAACTCGGGTGTTTGCTTGCCTCTGAGGTAGTGATTGATTGAGTGAGTAAGATGTTTGATCGTGGGCCAAGGCCACATTACTCCATGGTCGAACTTACGTCTTGATCAGCTCGATAAGAGATTGAAGGAGTGTTTGATAGTCATTCGAGATGACTCTGTCTTGAATGATGTGATATGGCTCGATTGATTGGTTCATGATCTCGGTTGGTGAGTTTGTTCGCAGGATGTGCAGTAAGTCCTTGGCCGTGTAGTTGGTGGAGAGTGATGCGGGGATTGCAGCAGCATCCTCCTCGGATGTGGGCGGCGTCGGGATCGAGCGCAGCATTTCATTGAGCTTCTCATCGATGAGAACGCGTGTGTATGTCCAGAGGTAGTCGTTCCAGTCCTTGCAGGCCACCAACGCGTTGCCAATGTTGCCTGCCAGCAGGCCGTATATCGCGCGCTCGTGCTCGTTGTGTGTGTTGTTCGACAGCTGCAGACAGGTCGATCGCCACAGGTTGCGGAAGGGGTTGCCCACCTCCATCTCGCCGGCAAACTTGGCGTCGCCAATGAGCGTCTGTGCGCGCCAATGCTGTCCGACGTGCGCGCAGAACTGCACGGCCAACTCGCGGTTGCCCGAGCGTATGATCGACCACAGCGTCGCCAAGAACTGATTGTCGTCCTTCTGATCGGTGAGGTCCAGCTTGAGGTTGGTGCGCTGTGGTGCATCGGGATCCAGCTGCTTGATCAAGCCTGATGACTGATTGCCCATTCTAAGACGCTCGAGTGTTTTGCTCCAACATACTGGCTCGTCGCTGTACTTGATCGTTGAGGCCATCTCCTCCAACCAATTCAACACGATGATGTTCTCACGCATATAGTAATCCTTCTTAATGATCATATTCACGACATCGACCTGTGTTGAGGCCTCTGTATCCATGGTTATATCTTCCTGATCCATCTCCTTTGGACTAATTGATTGATTGAATGCATTAGTATCTCCGTCGATGTGATTGATAAATCATGGTATGCTGGATACATACTAGTCCACATCTCTGTCTTGGTAGAGACGACACAGGATCTCCCATGTGTCCTTCTCTTTCTGATATAGTGCGGCCAGACGTTCAGTCTCCTTCTTGTTGGGGAGGAAGTAATGACTCTCGAGCTCATGATTGAGTAGTGCCAGTCTATGAGCGAGGCAGGTAGTGTTAACAATGTGCCCGCCTGATGATCGATCGCAAGTAGTACTACTCACTTTGAGGCGCAGTACGACCTGAGTTCCATGGCGATGGACATGTAGTCGAGTTGATTGCGAGTGACTTGTCCTTCGACAATGTCGTAGAGAATGTGATCGTCGGTCTTGTTCTGGGTCATCAGTCTGAAGTTCTCCAGTTGCTCATTGTTTGTGTTGACATCGATGTCTTCCAAGCCTGTTGGCGTGGCCAAATCCGTCTGTTGTTGTTGTTGTGTAGCAAACATTGATCGTGACGCTGTACCAGTTGTTAATGGACTCCTCATCGATGAGTTAAGTATGCTACTAAAGTTGATCTCATCGTCTGGTAGCATATCTAGTAGGATGTTAGTGAGTGGCTGATTGATTGAGCGAGTGAAGATGTGTGAGCTCATACTTATGTCAAAGTCATCATCATCGATATCATCATTAATATGTGATGGCATATGATCATTGTTGTTATTAGCTGATGTTGTTGTTGTGCCCCATATTGAACCTGTATAGTTGTTATCATTATAATCAAACATTGATGATGACTGTTGTTGTTGGTTATTGTTGTTCAATGTTGGATCATTGTTGTTGTCCTTGTCACTCCAGCCAAAGCCTTTGAATGACATTGTATCTGTTTATATATATCTGTCTTGCCTATCTGTTTGAACAAAGTGAAGTTAACAAAGTTCGTTGAATGTGTTTGTTCAGGCGCGAAAACTAATGATCAAACAATCAATCATATTACATTAATGTATACATGTTACAAATATATTTATTGTACACTTGAGGATGAACGTGACAATGGGTTGGTGGAGGATGTAGCGGCCATGGATGTTACAAGACCCTCACTCTTGATATAGAGTTGTGCGACAAGTGTCATGATCAACTTTTGTCTCACCTCCACAATGTCCTCCCACACCAGGAAGATGCTGCAGTCCAACTTGCGTCCAATGTTAATGATGTACTGCGCGTTCAGCTTCCTGTCCTGCTCAGACTCGCCGGGCGTCACCACCGAGTAGTTGATGCAGCCCTTGGACATGGCCTCAAGCAAATCGATCAAGAACAGTCCATTGCCAATCGTTGGGTCCTTGAATGAATCGATCGTCCTATGATGCGCGCCAGGGGGGCCACTGCTGGCCACCTTGTGATTGGCCCAACGTATTGTGTCCGACTCGGTGACACTGACGCCGCTATCCTTGCGCAGGATCGACAGCAGATGGTACTTGCATGCCTGCCATATCAGTGCCAGCGTCAACTTGCGGTTACCCTCACGGATGTCCCTTCCACCAATGCCAACCAATGAGAACTTAAGTGTCTTGGCTACCTCAATACCAATGTTACAATTCTCCAAGCACATATAATTATTGGTTGGCGTCAAGTTGACCAACTTCCAATTGACCGAGCTTGGTTTGATCTTGTTGAACATCTGTTTGATTGATTGATTGATTGAATGAGTGAGCGAGTGTGTCCAAGATGTCCAAGGAGGAGTGTTCAACAATGTATACATACCTGAAGAATGATCAAACCATCTTGTAGGTCTTGTTGTAGGTTGTTGACGTATGGTGTTAGATTGAGTGAGTTGAGCCACATGCAGAACGCACGCTCCTCTCTGGTACCATCGACATCGGACAGATCAGACAACTCCTTGGCGAATGTCAATGACTGGCTGTCCACTGCCATATCAATACCAATGCCCTTATCCGACAGGAATAGACTGGCTACAAACAAGTATGCAAGCTTTGGATTCCTCTGTTTGATTGATTGAGTGATTGAGTATGAGTATGATTGTGTGAAGCAAGGTGACCTTGCTTGGCCCCAAGGGAGTACATACCGATCTCCATGTATCAATGCTCATCCATGAGAATAGGTTGAATCTGTTGGTGGACTCGTCCACAATCCATTTGTAAAGATCAGATGGCTCTGTCTCTGTGCTGGGTGAAGGTAGTTCTTTGTCCAGGATACACATCAACTTGATGCAATTGATTGGATTCAAGATGATGTCTTCCAGTGAGTCTTTGTTGGAACTTGGAAGCGCAAGGTGGTACTTGAGCCATCGATGTAGTAGTTGAGAGGGACTGAGCGCGGCAAAGTGTTGAGGGTTCTCTTTGTCTGTCCTGAGTGTAAGGAGACTGGGATAGTTCCTGATGTTGATTGATGAAACGAGATGTACGCGGACTAGCTGGAATAACAATGATACGGCCACACGTGGATCCTGGACAACAGTCTTCTGCGTGTCATCATTGATTATACATCCAATGGCGCGTGCCGAGTTGGCCACCAGGCTGAGGTTCTGCATGGCCTCGATCATCCGGCTCGGACGCTGATTCATCACACGCGTGTCGATCGTGCCCTCCTTGGCCAAATTGACCAGCTTGCACAGCAGCACACCATCGTAGATTGAGAAGGCGATGTGCTTGGTGGGGTCGATGGGGAAGACATGCTCGATGTCCTCGCCTTTCGGCAGGTGATGGTTGATGTACTTGATGAGCGGCAACTCCTCCTCGATGTTGTAGTCCTTGAGCAACTGCTCAAGGTTTGGCGCCTCGAGCGCTTGCTCCAAGACCTCCTCGCTGCTCTTGGTCTTGGTGCTCAGATGCGTCAGCTGTTGTGATAGCTCGCGCACCAACTCGCCATGTTTCCTGGTCTTGTCCTCCATCTTGATCTGGATCTTGTCCATGCGGTACTTGAGCTGGCTGTTCTCCTGTACGAGCGTATCGTTGTTCTCCTTCTCATTCTGCAGCTCAACGAACAGCAGCTCCTTCTTGGTCTCTAGCTCCATCAACTGCTGCTGCACGGCCACCTCTTGCTGATGTATCGCGGCCTGCTGCAGCTTGATCTTGTCCTGTGCCGCATCCAGCTTGTCCTGCAGGTGTTGCAGCTTGCCATCGATCGTGCTCAATGTGGCGCAACTCGATGTCTGGGCTGCACCCATCGCCTCCTGGAACGCTTGATTGAGTTGTTCGATCTTGTGATTGAGTGCAGCGATCTGTGCGTCCCTGGTCTGACAGTCTTGGTCCAACTTGGCGATCCTAGACTCATGCTGCTCGCTCTGATCTTGATGTGAGATGGCCTGCTTCAGCTTGGAGTTGAGTGCGTTGATCGAAACAATGTGCTCGCCCAACAGTGTGTTCTTCTCCTCGCGCAGCTGATTGATCAGGGCCTTGTCTGCCTCGCGACCGCTCCTCTCCAGTGTGATCTCGCTCTGCAGACTCGCGATCTGGTTGTCCTTGTCCTTGCTGACCTGCTCCAAGTCCACTCGCAGCTTATCCAATTGCGTCGACAGCTCTCTGGCATTGTCCTCCTGCTGTCGCTGGCTCTGCTCCAAGGCCGCCTTGAGGTTACGGACCTCCTTGTCTCGGGCTTCCCTTGCTGCAATCTCTTGATCGCCTTTGGCCTTGAGTTGATCGAGCTGGTGCCTCAGCGACTCGATCTCCAACGCGTCCGATAGGTGTTGCTGATTCATCTGTGTGATCTCGCGGTCATGTCGCTCTTGTAGCTCGGCCAGCTCCTTTGTCGAGTTGTCGTTAATGAATGCCGTCCTTAGCTCGTCGGCCATGGACATTGTGTGCGAAGGCTTGGGCGTCTTGAGTAAGTCAATGTCCTCTTCAAGCTTGGCGTTAATCATCTTGGCCTCTCCCAGATCGTACTCCAAACTGGCGATCACCTTCTTGAGTGTGCCAACCTCGCTGTCCAACTCCTCAATAGTGCTGCGCTCGCTTTCCAATCGCTTCTTATCGTAGGTCGTGTACTTGTAGATCGAGACGACGCACACCAACATATACAGGGCAGCCTGCGGGTCGTTCAGGGTCTGCGCATCGTCAGTCGTGTTGTTCGATTCATTCGATTCATTTAGCGTGCGGATTGTGCTGCCCGTGCTGCCTGTGATCGCTTGTTGCTGCTGGTCGTCCTCCAGATACTTGATCAGTGTTGCAATCAATGATGTCTCACCGCCAGTGTTGCTGGTCAACTCAGTCTGCAGACGGCGCAGCAGGAAGCGAGCGTTCGAAAGTACTTGGTGGTTGACGTCGCTGGGCATGGTCACCAGCAACTCCTCATTCTTCATCAGCTCCTCAAAGGCCGACTTGATTATATGCTCTGGCTCCGTGAGCAAGGCCTGTGAGCTGCTGGCATCCTGTAGTTGTTTGATACGTGCTTGCAGCGCTGTGTTCTTGAACTTGAGCGCTGCCACCTTGGCCAGCAGTTCGTCGTATCGCAAGGGGTCCACGCTGTCCTCCAGCGCATTCTGCAATGTGTACATCGATGAGTTGAGGTTCTGGTTCTGCGAGGCTAGGCGGTCGCGTGTCTTCTTTAATGCCTCCTCGGACATGTGAAGATCCTCGACATCCTGTTTGAGCAACTCAATCTCGCGTCGCTGTTGATTGATCGTCTTGGCCTTCATGGGTGAGTACTCGTTGCGCAGCCACTGTTGCTGATGATCCAACTGCTCCATGAGCTCGGCCTCGCGCTCAATTAGCATCTCGTTCTCGCGCACCGCCGACTGGATGCGCGATGTGAGCATTAGGTTCTCTGTGCGAAGGCGGCCATTGTCGTCTGTGGCACGCTCGATGCTCTCGGCCTGCTTGATGTGGCTTGCTCGCAGTGCCTTGATCTCCTCCTCAAGCAGCTCATTCTTCTCTAGCAGTGACTTGCCAATCTCTGCAGCGATACGTGTATCCTCCTCCTTCTCCTGCAGGAGCTTCTCAGTCTGCTCCAGCTTGGCCTTTGGGTCGAGATTGAACATCATTGTGTATGACTTGTACTTGAGGGGATGTGGCGTGAAGTTGGCGGGTGACTCCTTACTACCGCCCATCAGCGGCAGCTTGGGCTTGTTGAGTGAGGAGTAGCTCTTGGTGCGTCGACGGTCCATCATCTCATGGCCGTTCTCAGGCGTCGAAGGTAGGTTGTTTGTGTCTGAGCTGAACTGGACCACTTTGATTGTCGGCGCAAGGTCGGCAACATGTCCCAACAGGTCCTCGTTGGAGGTGAATGGCGAGCGTGGAGGCGAGCGTGCCACGCTCAAAAAGTGTGCTTGGCGATTAGTGTGCACGACTGTGCCAGGCGTGAAGTGTACCGGCCGCGTTGAGTCGCTGGAGGTGTCGCGTGTCTCTGGCGAGACGGCTGTGGGCTCGCTAGTTCGGCGAGCTCTGAAACTCTTGGCCAAGCTGCGCTTGGCACTGATGGTAGAACTGCTAGAGATTGGTGTGGTGGATGCGCTGCTCGAGTCTGTGGCGGCCTCCTTGCCGAATATGTACAGTGGCTTGAAGTCGCGGCGTGTAGCGGAGCGCAGTCGTCGCAGATTGTCCGACTCCAACTGAATATGATCCTGTGTGGCGCTGTCTCCCAGCTGTTCCAAACGCTTCTTTCGCTGATATTGATAAGTGATCAGTGCATGATAGTACTGATTGAACCATTGTTTCATCCTAGTTGATCGATCCACGCCACCATCGTTATCATCATTTCCATCAACATATTCTCCAGAGTCTATTATCTCAATATCTTCGTCATCATGATGATGGTTTTGTTGGTGTTGTTGTTGGTGTTGATGTTGGACATCATCTTTGTCTTCATCATTGTTATTATGTTTATCGCAGACCATGTAGTCGCCAATATCTGTTAGACCATTGTAGTGGCTATCATGGAATAGTGTGGCGCCAGTGAATTTGCTGATGTCCAGCTCTGGCCTATCAGTTTCCTCCATTCTATATATGATCATTGTGAAGTGTCAGTCAATATATTGAGTGATTTGATTTGATGATCAATCATAACAACATACTAATATCTATATCTATATCTATATCTCTATATCTCTATCTTTATCTTATCTCTTTACTATTCATTCATTAATTCAACGCGCGAAGACACCTTTGATCAATGATTGATGAGAGTGGTTGGGTGACTGGACAGTGATTAAAGTGGCAAGTTTCGGACGTGCACAGTAATACTGTTTGCAAAACAACCTCTTGGATTGGGTCGATCCAGATCAAGCCTCCCACACACTATTTTTGACCAACTAACATACACACACAATCAAATCAAATGATTTTTTCATTGAAAGCCCCAATCACCTCACGGAGAGAACCCCACTGCATGACACGACATTTGACAAGTGTAAATATTATTATTATGTACAAGTAATAACTCTTTATTCAAAACATTGGATATGTCCAAGTCCATGTGTATCAGAATGATGATGATGACAAACATCTAGTATGTTTCTTGCCAAGGTCCAAACAATCCCACCATATGTCTGATCTGAGGGGAGGACCTTGACTGACTGGACCTGGATTGATTGAATGAATGATCTGGACTAACTGAGGTGCTGAGACGTAAGAGAAAGAGGGAGTTGAGGAGGGGGATTGCTTCATCGACTGGAGCTGGTGGTGGATGTTTGTTGTTGCTGTTGTCTCTCAATGATGTTGTTGCCAGGAGCAGGTGGGAGGAAGAGGAGGGGAATTGGGGGAGTGGTGGATTGGCGCAGGTCTAGGACGTCTTGAACATTTTGAATATGCCTCCAATGCCAGCTGCGTAAGGTCGGTTGCCAGCCACTTTGGAGTTCTGAGCATTGATGATAACCGAGTAGCTCTGATTGTTGTAGACGTACTTGACAAAGTATACGGGAAGGAATACACGCTGCGAGGCCACCTTGACAATGGCCGTATCGACAAACCTATCCTTGATGACAGTGGTGCTCGTGCAGCTGTCCCTGATGCGCGACTCGCACAACTCCTTGTCCTTGAGCATGACCTTGACCTCGCCCGAGCGCCTCCAGGCGGTGGTCTCGTCGCAAAGGAAGGGCAGCGACAGGGTCTTGGCCAGGGGTGGCGAGGAGTTTTCAATCGAAGGGATATTGGACAGCTCCCATGACTGCACTTGGATCAACAGGTCACGCTCTATTAGCGAGCTGTTGGCGATGGTGGCGTGGTGGTACCTATTGGAGAAGACGGTCTCTTTGGTCGTCCACAGCTTGTCAAAGTTGCTATAAGAGTTGACCGAATTTTTGATAGGCGAGTTGGGTGCAGAGAAGGTGGCGCCGTATCTGGTCTGCGTGTGTGCTTCAAAGATCCAATAGGGCAGGTAGACGGGCTTGATGTATCGCATCGAGAGGTTCTGGTTGAGATCGGATGGCGCGAACCACAATGACTTTATCCACTCGCGGAATATGTTGGCGCACCTCTTCCTCGTCACATTGAATGGCAAATAAATAGGTGGATCAAACTCGTTCGGTGTGAATGTATCGACGTCAAAGTCTTCTTGGGTGTCTGTTCCATCGGACACGATGATCGTGTGACTCTTGCTCCTGTCTGGGTGCAGCTTGTCGCAGCACGACTTGCACAGATGCACCTTGCACGTCTCGCACTTCCTCGTGACCTTCTTCTCGACGCAGTGATCACAAAACTTTGGACAGAGATCAAAGGCCTTCTTAACATTCTCGCATATGTTCTTCAAGTCTCGGTTGATTGGCAGTCCCTGTACGCCCTTTTCATTCAGCATGGTGACAGTACGACAGAGAGGGCATGTGATACTCTTGTCATTACAACATTCCTGCAAGCAACATGTACAGAATGAATGGAGACACGTCAGCATCAATGGTCTGTCAAGTATTTCGAAGCATACTGGGCACTGGATGTGATAATGAATGGATTATTATTAGTATTGTAATACAAAGTTGATTGGACAGGTCATCGATGACATACCTTGACATCATTGGTGAGTGATGAGAAGAACTTGAAGAGACTGGAATTTGTGCTGTAGCCTTCGTCACCACTGCTGTCACTAATGTCTGACTCTCGCTTTGCTCCACATGTGTTTGAAGTGTTCTTGACCATCATCAAGGTGCACATCAAAGATGGCTGTAAATCAATTGCAATCATTTCTTTCTCTGTTCGGTAGTGTTGTATTTACAATGAGGTAGGTAGGTAGGTGATTGGATTGATATTTATATATTATATTATATATGTACAGGGTAGAAGGATTGTATATATGTACAAGGTGAAGGGGTTTACTCTAAGGGCGGAGAGAGCTGTTATCGGAGAGAGAGATATATATTGTTGCGTTGGGATATGGATAGAGATATATTTAAATATTATATATTATATTATATTGTTGTTGTTGTGATCGTAGTCGTATAATATATGTACAAGTAGTTGTTGTTAACCAACTAAGGTAGATAAAAAAAGATAAGGGTATATATTATACAAGATGTTCTTCTATTCCATCACTGTCTATAAGTTCCTATGTCCTCTTCTTCCTCTATCTAATTCTGTCTATGTTGCAATGAGACTGTTATTCTGACTTTTAACAAACAATATTGGTACTATGATATAATATGATATATGATATATATATATTTATAGATTGTTTACAACAACAATAACAAGTAGTACTAGGTTGTGATTATAGTAGTAGAAGTTGTAGGAGTAGTTAGCGATGATGTGTTGTTGGTATTGGCGTTGTGTTGAGTGAGTGTGTTAGTGATGGAGAGAGAGAGTGAGTGATTTGAAGAGACAAGGGAAATGGAGAACGGGAGGGAGTTGTTTAGGTTGTTGGGTGGATAGATTGATTGACTGGATGAGAGTGAATCAATGATTGTGTGTGTTCGTGTGTGTATGTGACCGTTAAAGGTAAAGGTTGATGGATGAATAGATGGGTGTTGTTGATTGATTGATTGATTGAGTGAGTGGTGGGATAACTGTGTTCTCACTTCCACACTATTGCTCTATCCTTCTTTCTTTCTCTCTTTACGACTATATACGCCCTCTCACAATTATATGTTGTTATAATATAAATTTTAAATATATTATATTATGTATATATATCAATGTATGTATGTGTAATGTATTGTTTACTTCTAATAATATTGTTAATATGTGTGTGGGGATGTGCGTATCTATGTGGATGTCCCTTACTTTGGAATTGATCTTTTCACTCCAATAATATTTATTATTAATATAATTATAATTAATTGGGTCTACTTCCAAACACAAACTTCCCATTTTTCCCAGCCCTGAGCTGGTTCACAAAGAGACTCTCTCATCGACACACCCATCCAACAAACACCACACCAATCGCCTTTTTTGGTCGAAGAGTCAGGTGAAGGTGAGGCTTCAACTGTTTCTCATTGATGTTGATGATGGGTTATTGCTTGGATGCCACTCATTCACTCAAAGGCATAGCACACAACAACTGTTGAATCAATGATGTTGCTGCTGGTTCAGTGTCAGTAGCAGTGTCGACTACTGATACTCACCTCATACAACTACCATTCTGAAACATCACATCATCATAGTTTTGCCCTATCACTTATCTTTTAGGTGATTACTATCCATCACTTCGTTTGGTAAATGATCATTCTAACCTACATTGTACAATGCATGTTCGTTGTGTGTGTATGTGTACAACTTTGGCGAAAGAGTGGACCCATGACTTGCCTCATTCCCTGACTAAAAGTCAGACACATGAGTGAGCAAAAAGATAAGAATGAACATTATTATTGTTATTGTTATAGTATAAGTTAACATACTAACTGTAAATACAACAAACAAAGATATATCAATCAATGTATTGATTATGCTACAAACAAACATCCAATCCACCAACCAATCAGCGATCTGTTTACGATGAGAATTCTCTATCTCTATCTTTACTTGGCAACATTACCCGATTAACCAACTTAGCGGCTCTGGATGGACAACCAAACCATCCCAAACCATGTCCATCTTGATGTCCCGCTCATTCATCAATACTTACATGACGACCATTTTTAGAACACACGATCTCAAGATCATTGAGTATCGTTCATTCATTCATTCTTGCATTCATTCACACACAATGATTCGTGCTGAATAAACAGTACTCCATCTTTAGCTTGGTATGTAGCATCGTACACATCACAGTGTTTGGTGAATCAAAGGTACACAGCACACTCTGAACCATCAACAATCACCAGCCCACAGGCACACACACACAAACACGCACATCAGGAATTAAATGAATTTGGATAAACCCATCTCTGGATGCTTGGCTTGACCCATCAAATAATATTATTTTAATTATTTTGATATTTAATTGAAATTACCTCTTATCAAATGTTGATGATTATGATTGTTGGTGATGTGCGTTGTGTTTAAACCAACCTGTATGAGTTCACTTCACTTCTGCACCTTACACAAACACAACAATAATATATAATATATATAATATATAACTTGTATGTATACATTTCATTCATTCAATTCAATTCATTCAATTCATTCAACCATTCAATCAATCCTTCAACTCTTTCATTTCCTTTCCTTTTGACCCTTTGACTCCTTTGACCTTTTGTGAGATTGAATCGTCAATATACTCTTTCTTCTTCTTTCTTGCTTCAAAATATATGCCTTGTCGATGTCCATGATCAAGCTTTAAAGAGTGAACATTTACCCGAGACAAAGGACAAAGGATGAACCCGGAAGATTATCCAAAGGATGATATGGACTTGGAAAACAAGGATATAAAGACAGAAGAAGAAGAAGAAAGAAGAATTGATTGATTGATTGGTCATCGATCAAATGAAATGCGAAAGATAGAATGAATGAATGAAGGAAGGATGGAAGATGATATTAAGATTGAAGAAAGATAACTAACATATTACTTGTTCGTTCTTTCTTTTCCCTTTGAACCAAGAGTAGCTTTTTCCTCCCAAAACCCCTCATATAATCAATCATGTCCTGGCAATCATACGTCGATACCTCCCTTGTTGGTGCTGGTTTTGTTAACGCCCTCATCCTCGGAACTGATGGCTCCACCTGGGCCACCTCAAAGGGCTTCGCCTTGAAGGCCGGTGAGGAGAAGACCATCGTCGCCAACTTCACCTCCCCAGACAAGTTCACCGCCAACGGTATCATTGTTGCCGGTGTCAAGTACCTGGCTCTGAAGACCGACACCCGTTCCGTCTACGGAAAGCAGGGAACCGGTGGTATCGTCCTCGTCAAGACTGGCAAGTGTGTCCTCATCGCTGTCTACAACGACAAGTTGACCCCAGGTGCTGCTGCCAACATCGTCGAGAAGCTCGGTGACTACTTGATCGACGCTGGTTACTAAATAGTTTCCTTCAAGTCCTTCAAATACTATTCTACTTTGCTCAATCATACTGTATTCTCATTAGCTTCCCCTCCCCCACGCCACAGGTGTTGTTCCTAGACAACATCTATGTTCTATCCCCGTACATATAATAAACCTAGTGTTACATTAATAATATAAATACCTATTATACCTGATTGTCAATGTTCTCAATCTTCTAAATCAATCAAACTTGCATTCCCAAGTCATTCCTTTCCTAAACTGGACACCAACATCATTCATTTCAATCATGTTTGTATTGTTCATGTATGTTTGTATGTGTGTGTGATTGAGCCCGGGTCTTTATCACTTGTGGAACATTCTGATCAATGTTCGCTCATACATCACTTCACACTCATAGATTCCCCCGATCACTTTGAGGAATAGGGTGGGGTAACTTGAGATAAAGGTCTATTCAAAAAGTACACATTATTGCCCCGCATCGCGAGAGTGATAGAGATAGAGATAGAGATAAAGATAAAGAGAGGTGTACATGTAGTAACAACATAGAGATAGATAAACAAACAAACAAAACAAACAAACAAACAAACATAAGATAAGATAATGTTCGAATTCACCAAATTGTTCTCGTTGGAACATGATGTTGTGACGAGAATACCTGCTGAGCAGTTGACACCAGAGGTCAAGGCAATATGCCCAGTGCTCACACAACCAAATGATATTATAAACAAGAGTGGCAGTGTTGGCATGATGGACATTGGCTACGTCGAAGGCACCAGCAACAGTAGTAGTGGCAATAGCATTGGCAACAGCATTGGCAATAGCATTGGTAGTAGTAGCAACAGTATCAGTATGACAATGTTGAGTGGTAGTATAGGTATTGGTAGTAGTAGTGGTATAAGTACAAGTAGTAATAGTATCGGAATCATCAACAACAACAATAACAATAATAATGATCAACAATCGTACTCACTCAATGATATCAAGAATCATAACTTCAAAATGGCTTCGTCATTGTACACCGAACCACAGAAGCAGCGATACAATACACCGCAGGCACCCATTCGAATCGCCAACAGCAGCAACAACAACATGAAACATCTGTACAACTCACAGGGCATTGGCGGCAGCTATCCTAGCTCATCATCTCAGAGGTTCCCCGACACACCACCAGTGTCCTCATACATCCCATCCAGCACACTACAGCACTCTGCCGACACCAATGACATGTCCTCGGAGGACCTTCATCACCATCATCAAGTGGCAGGCGTCAATGTTGATGAGAATGATATCAATAGCGTACGCTCATCAGCTTCAGAAGTCAACAACAGACTATACGATGCCTATCCAAGCAGGAGTGTCGCAGAGATCATTGATCTGCGAATCATTGGTAGAGACAACAGTGGCATCTTCATTGTTGCAAGGCTTGGCATGTCAGAAGTATGTTAGCCTCATTCATTCAATCATTCATTCCTTAGCAACAGGCCATCAACTAACTCCACTTGTCATTCATTCGTTCAATCATTCCAGGGTGCGATCAAGACCTTTGTCGATCTGATCGATATCTATGCTACACAGAAAAGGCCAGAGACTATACTCAAGCTCAGCAATGGAAGTGGTAGCATCATAAGTGCATGTCTTAGCAATGACTTTAACAAGTCACTACTGATATTCACAGTCAAGTCTCCGTCTCCCGGAGACAGCAAGCAATATGGTATGAATGATTGATTGATTGATTGATTGATTGATTGAATGAGCGAATGACACTTACACCTGCCTCGCCTTGCCTCCACCCTTTAGTATACTCATCACATATACATGAGATCAACAGGAAGTCATCAGAGCTTCACAACTTGGAGCTTAGCTCACGTCATCCATCAACATACTACAGCGTGCTTGTAGAGAAGAGCTACTTGCATCTGCTACTCTTACAGAATAATGAGAGCTATACGGTGAAGCTGCCGATACAGCGCGACTGCAATGGTATCTTTTTGAACGCAAGCCACGGCAAGCAGGTGGGCAAGCGTAACAACATCTTTAAGAACTTCTACTGGCATCAGTACGACGAGAACACACAGACACTCTACGCACTCCAGTATCAGAAGCTCAAGTCACTCAATGATCCCTCTGACAACCTGTTCCGCGCGTGGAATCTGCAGACGGGCAAGGCCGTGCTGCTGCACGACTTCTCGCTGCCACTCTACATCGCCACCAAGATCTCGCCTTCCTCTCCCTTCCCCTTTGCCATCAACAGCCAGCCCGAACAGATTCATCAGAACATCCACATTGTAAATTTAAATGGTGTAAGTACCTTGTGCCGGCCACGCGATCACGACGACCCATCCAGAGTGCTGACAACCCTCTCCAATCATTCAGACTGGACTATGCCTGTGCCATCAAGAGGAGTCAACAAACACATCGATCAGGATCAGTATATACTTGTTGCATTTGAAGCAATGGATACGATATGCTATACCGCTCAATGATATAGAGGGAGGATACTTGTCCATTCAGGTCACACGAGTGCTGTTTGATTGTGTTGGCAACCTGCTAATGGTCTACGTGCCTGGCAAGTTCCTGCAGTTTATCGATTGCGCTGATCACGAGCCATGCTTTGGCGCCACACTCTACTTTGATCTCTCGCCACCACCTCGCATGGACGACACTGCCTCGGACACATTATCAATCCGTGCACGACCCTTCCCCAGGCATCTAAGCACATCTATCGTGCCCTACTACCTCACCAACCATAAGGATAGATCAAAGCCAGGTATGTATGCGTGTGAGTGCAGGATGGAGGAAGGAGGACACCAACTTACTCATTCACTTCATTAGATCAATACCTCTTTGACTATTCACGTGGTATTCTGTACAAGTATCAGTTCCATAAGGAGTCTGTGTCGCGACTGTTTGACAAGGACTCGCAGTCATTGTTTGCACTGGACCCTGGAACGGACATCAAGGTGCTACATCTGGCCAACATTCATATGAACGACAGTAGTTTGGTCAATGACATTCTATTAAGGGTTTCCAGTGAGCCTTCACTGATCACACCAGAACTGTTGCGAGAGTACTTGTTGGGTGCGACATTCAGGGCACTAAGCGACATCAAAGTTGATCCACACCTGCTCCAGATGCTACCAATGACCAGCAATGAGGGACTGGACACAGGATCGCTGCTGAGGATCGACGTCGAGTTGACCGCCATCACATCGCCACTGCCAAACTCATTGCTCAGGAGCAGAGACGACAGCAACAAGAGGAGACTAAAGACATTCCAGTACGTCAAGTCAGAGGTCGTTGTCAAGGACTCTGCCACGCCAATGGGCTTCATCAAGAACTTCTTTAGTGATTGTAAGTTGATTGATTGATCTATCGTTCTGTTTGGACCACTCTAACATCATCATCATTGGCACACATATTAGTCAGCGGCAATCGACAGGACACAACATCACCTTTGTCACCACCTTTAAGGACATCATCCTTGCCGCGAGCACTTGTCCAGTTGACCGTGCCATTGGAGGACTATGAGGAACACTCGGCTGTGGAGTACAGGTCATACCCCGTGTGCATGGCCGACTATCTGGCGCAGATCACATCGACCAAGGAGCCACGCGAGAAACTGATGGAGCTGGCACTGGCATTCCGGAATGCCCAAATCAACTCGATCAATGATCTCTACTCCACACTACGCACCAACATATTGGATATGACTGCCAACCAGTATATGCTCATTCACAAGCATCCCAAGAAGGATCAGATGTTCCGCACGATGGAGAAGCTGTACATCGCCATCGAGGAGCTGGGCTGTCCTTTCCCTAAGGACTTCTACTCACACTTTGCCGTCCTTGGCTTCTACTGTCTGCCTCGTCTTGTGTTCCTGCAGTATGTGCAGCGTGGTGTGTTTGTTGTGACGGCCAACTTCATCGATGAGCTGTTCCGCTACCTGATTAGCTCCAAGAGCAACGACGACTACAACTTTGTCTGCCAGCTCGTGCTGCAACTCAAAGACTCGAGCAAGATGGTGGACTTTATGAAGGAGCGCTACGATATTGATCCAACTCAACACAACTTCATCCTGGAGCATCTGATACTCAAGATGGTCAACAGCATCGAGGCACCCAAACAAGAGGCCGACGCCATGGGTCCAGATCTCTCGCAGTCCCTGTTCATGCCACTGACACTCTTCCTCAACTATCTGGAAAAGGGCCTGTCGTCGATCAGTAGTGTTGTCGGCACACCTGGCATCAGCTCGCCAACCAGAGGTGGCCAGTTCTCGCCGCCCCTGCCGACCAGCCCTTCACGTCACTCATTCATGGCGTCGTCGATCTCCAACTCCCCAGGTGTCTCATTCATCCACTCGCCCTACGTTGATAATGGCAACCAGGTCTACGTCAAGCAACAATGTCAGAGAGCGATTGAGCAAATGTTGGACGAGGAGAAGATCACAGTGGCATCAGACAACCTATCAACATTAGACATCAACTAGCCCAGTAGTTTGTTCAACATGTAAATAACAGAGGATAGATAGATAGAAAGGATCAATATATAACACAGTAGTGAGCTTGGTTGCTTGCTGGGCGCAGCAAGATAAAGGGATATTTATTGGAGTGGGATTGGAAAGGGAATGGATGGTAGAGGAAACATCCTGGCGCCAGGATGCATGTGTGAATTGATGGCTTAAGATTAGGAGGGATGGGTAGAGTGTTGGTTGTTGCCATTGGAGAGGGAGGAGGATAAATATACAGTGGGTTGGGTCTGTTGGTTTGGCTGGCAGCTAGCTGGCTGGCTTTGTGTCCAACTAGCTTGTGTGGCGGTGTCGGGATTGTCTGGTTATTGGCAGGCATTTGTTGTCTTTGCGTTGTCGTGTGCGGTTGTTTGATTATTGCGTGATGTTGTTTATGATTGATGATGATGATGACGAGTGGACGACACATTTACATCTTGCGATGCTTGTCATGCTCCATCACCCAGCGAAGTGGATTGCCGTTGGGACTCATTATGGAGTTAGGCTGTGGGGGAGACATGTACTGTGGATGCTTGACGTAGGTCATCATGTTCTTGGGTGGTTGGTACTGTTGACCCTGAGCCAGATAGGCCTGGTTGCCAAGCGCCAGCTGGTTGGGCATGCCCATCGAGGAGACGGGGTCGGGCAGGTTCAGCTTGGGCAGCAAGAAGTCCTGGTTGACCGCCGAGAACATGGGATGCATGCCATAGCCAAGGTTCATCTGTGAGCCATAGTTGTTCCATGGGTTGGACTGGGGCAGGTCGTTGACCTCACGTGGTGTGCTTGGCGAGGGAAGATGCTGGTATGGGTGCGGCAGCTGGCCCTGATGCATGTAGGGACCGCCGGCGGCCTGGTCGGGCTGGTGCGCAGCAAGGTCGTCCTCCTCCTTGTTTGAGATGTATGATGTCAGCGGCGCAAACGAGTTGACTGGCGTCAGCAGCTGATTGATGGAAAACTGTGGTTGTTGTTGTTGTGGAGGAGAGGAGTGCATCTGGTTGGGGTACTGGAGCTGCAGTGCCTGTTGCTGCTGCTGCTGTTGTTGCTGTTGTTGTTGATGATGATGTTGTTGTTGTTGATGTTGTTGTTGCTGTGCGTGATGGTGGTGCAGGGGTGCCTGCTGTGACATGTGGTGCTGCTGCTGTTTCAGGTGGCCTTGCAGATGGAGGTCGTTGGCGCCGGCTGGCTCATGGTCCAGCTTGACCTTCTTGGTGGTCTGCTTGATGCCATCGTCCGACGTCAGCAGCGACGTGTTCCTCTTGTGTGAGCCGTTGGCCAGGATGGAGGGGTTCTTCATGATCATGCTCTTCTTGTTCTTTAGGATGGTGATCTCGGCCTTGGCACAGTCCTCCGCTTCATTGTTTGTGTTTTGTAGCGTGGCCTCCAGGTTCTCAATCATCTTATTCAAACTCTTTATCTTTCTATGTGGCCATCTGGGGATTCCATTGCGTCTACATATCTTCTTGAGCATTGTGGCGCATATTCCAAGTTCCTTGGCCACATCATTGATGGGCATATGGAAGTACTTGGACAGATGATTAAAGTCAATGTTTGATGTTTGTGGCATTCTAATAAAGTGATGAACAAAGTTAGCATATCTGAGTTTGCAAAATAGTGAGTTGAGTTTGAATCAAACAAACTCCAAACATACCTGTGTGATGAGTGTGTGATTGTTCTTGTATCCAAAATGGGACGTTAAGGTTATTGACCGGGGTTAAAGGTTGGTTGGTTAAAGAATCTCTGTTGGGGAATAAGAAGGTAATAGGCATAAAAAGGTATAAGTATAAATGTCAATGATGATGTCCAGGAGCGAATGGACAATGATGCCTCTTGGCAGCTTAGAGGTGAGAGAGTGAGAGAGTGATGCTTGGTTGGACAAATGCTTATTATGAATGAATGGATGGAAGGGATAGGATAGGGTAGGTAGTATATGATGGGATGGGGATGGGATGGGATGGACTGAATTGTGATTTGTTGTTGTTGATGATTGTGATTTCCTGGAGTGTCCGATCGCATGTCCAGGGACAAGACAGACAAACAAACACGAGTAAACAAATGTCTAATGAGACTGTTGGATGTTGGACGGCCAAAGAGACATTACCTTTTAGTTAGGATCCAGTGCTTGTTTGGAAATGAATGTGATAATGGGATGCTTTGTGCCTATTGGTGTCAACTCTGGATTGATTGATTGTTTGTTGATTGATTGGTTGGCTGTCAAATGATGATGGTTGAAACGCGTTAATAATTGGATGCGTGTGTGCCTGTTTGATTTGATTGAATGTTGTTGATTGATTGAAGTGATTGAAGTGATGTGATGTGCACGCGAAGTGRAAGTGATGTGATGTGGACGAGTGTGAGTGCCTCTTGGAGTCCGTAGGGACAAAATACGGTAAGGTAGTAGATGCGAGTTGGAATTGGCGTAGACAGGTCTATGTCTGTCTTATGTTGTATGTATGATTGTTGTTGTTGTTGTTTGATTGATGGATGTGGTGTGTATATTGGTTGTTGTAAGGACGTACGTCTGATGGTTGGTGGGCTATAGGCACACGTGTGTGTCTGTGTGTGATGTAAATATATATCGCTAAACTAAGAAATGATTGATTGACTGATTGATTGATTGATTGATTGATTGGATTGACTGATTGTTTCGATAACAAAGGGATATATATATATATGTGTATGAGTGTAATGTAATATATATATAATATATATTATGTGTTGTGATGTTTGGTTGTTGGAGAGTTTGGAAGTGACGCCGGCGGAATGTGATGTGGAAGGCGATTGATTGCTGTTTCCGTTTTAATCTTTAAATTGCGTCCAGCCACAGAGGGTTGAACCAAGTGATGGTTGGCTGGAACGACGTCGTTGGTTGGTTTGTGTTATGGTGTGTTGTGTGTTGTTGTGTTGTTGATGGTGGTATATATTATTATGTGTTTGTTTGTTGTTGTATTATGTGTATGTAAAGGGATACAAGTATGTATGTGTGTATGTGTGTGTATGAGGGAGAGAGTGTGGATTGTGTGTGTGTGCACTACGACACTGATCTTGATCAAACCACCTCTTTAAATTAAACAGTTACACACACAGACAGTCACAGTCACAAAGGCAAAGACACACATACATAGTGTACAGACAGACAGACAGCCAGATGAGGAGGGTGTGATGGTTGGTGGATGTTGAGTCTCGTTGATGTGATTGTGAGGAGTTGGCGTGGGGTATTGATTTCTTGCTGGATCACACTCGCACGAGCTCACGATCAATCATGCAAAAACTAAAAAAAAATAATAAATAGAACAGTGTGTGAAGGGATTTGATTGGGCTTGCGGGGCAGGCACACACAAAGTGATTGTTGGGGTGCGAACGATCACAAAGATAGATTGTGTGTGTGACTGTATTAAGGCTATGCGTGGTTGGGGGTACCTTGCCTTGATTGACCAGACAAAGCAAGAACACAGTCGAAACACAATCAACGCAACAAGCAATGTGGCAACAGCGACTGTTTGTGAGGGAGTTGTGGATAGATGATAGAGATGAAGGCCTTTGCTCATGAGAACAATGGACCAGAGATGCGACCTACCTTATGAAGAAGGTTGTTCGGATTGTGGATAGAAAGGCTAACTTTGGGTTAAAGAACAGTGAATGATGGATGTTTGAAAAGGGTTTGGAGGTCAGTCATTCATTCTGTCAATCAGGCATGTGAATATCATCCAGTTTGCAAACTGGTCTCGGGTACAATGTCGCGCGAGTTGTTCATGTTGGGGGTGGAGTGTGGTAGGGTCGGGTACTGGCCTTGTTCGATCATTAAGTTGATCGGTAAGGCCGATCCTTTGAACAACAGGTCCCACACATGAACACACGTGCTCACTTGTGAACAAACACGAATTAATAATAAACAAAGAGTTACAAACCTGAAGTGTATATTTGTTTGATGGTTGATCGAATAAAGGTTGCATGTTGAAGATTGCGGTTTGTTTAGATGAGAGGACACAAAACTGTATGGAAGAGAACAGTCATAGTCTTGTCGACTACATGAAGGAAACCCTTGTGATATTGATTTTTTGGGAACCCAACAGCCACTCCGCTCATATGCTCCTTGAATCAAACACACACAAAAAATGATTAATTAATTGATTGGATTGTTGGTGGGAGGGTTCGAGGGTTGTTGTTGTTTAGTGAATCATGGGTTTGTTGATGTGATGGTGTGACTGTTGGTTTGGGAACCAGTCGATGTTATAAGTGCCGACAACGAATAAATGTGTTTCATTGCATGTTAAAATAAATATCCAACATCAACAACAAAATAAAATAATATCTTTTGATTGATGGTGATTGTGATCTACCCGATTCGGGTGGATGTTTGAGGGTGGCGAATAATGGATAGTGTGCATAACTTAAATAATAATATTTACCTTTCGTATTACTTGTCAATGTAACAAAGAGAGAGAGTATCTCAATGGATTTGAAAAGAGTTAAAGTGGTAGACTGACTGGACTTAATTGAAGGGAGGGTCCAATGAACTGTCAATGACTCTGAGGGTATATTGCCAAGTATGTCAGGGATGAATATAGGTGATTGGATAGAATATGAAATGTCGTCGAAGACGAGTGTTCACTGCGAATAAATCGATTGGAATTATAGTAGGTGTGTGTGTGGCTGTCGATTGATGCAAAGGCTAATTAATTAATATTGGAATTGTGTGTGTGATACTTATAAATATATTATATATAAATAAAGTATTATTATTATTATTATTATTATCACTGATGTAGATTGGGTATGATGTAATGCTTGAATAATGAATGGACATCCACATATTGAAATTACAATGAGTTGATGTGTGAGTGTGTGATTAAGTAAGCAAGCAAGCAATGGCTTACAACAAACCAACCAACCTATCCTATCCATCAACCACCATGGTACCTTTGCAGGAAAGGCCCTCCAATATGTATCGGGGAGGGCATACCATGTTCATTTCCAGTTCGATTATTAATAAATCGACCATTCTGTCTGTGTGAGTGTGTGTATGACAGAGTGTGTGTTGGTGATGTGGATGTCCATCCATTTGCGGCGGGTACATGACCATCTCCATCATGCCCTGTCTTGGACGTTGGGTGTGAAAGGGTTTGTCGATGAATGTTTGGAATGAAGGGGTGACCCCCGAATTTTGATTGGACAATTTAAAAAAAATCCAAAGCAAGTTCCTTTCCTCCATGGGTCTCATTGGACCAATGAAAGGTTATGGAAACTTGTTGACACAGTGTCAATTCAATGATTAACTGCTTTCACTCTTCTATCTCTATGTCTCTAATATGTTACCAGACACAGGAGGTGGACTAAGAAGTCCAAAGTAAACAATGCGATCTGTCAAATGATCACCCATTCAAGTCAATCTGAATGAATGAATACATTAAATGAATGAATAAATGAATGAATATGACACATGAATGACATAATAATGTTCTGGAACAAGATGGACAAATGTAGATATTATGTTGACAATGATAAAATGAATGGAAGAATGAAAAATAAATGTTGGGGAAGATATATAGTGTAGTATAGTTACTTACTTAATTATAATTATTTTTAGATTATAGATTAGTTTATCGTGTATAACCTTTAAGTTATAATAGGGGCGCGACTGTCTCTTTACAAATGATTGAATGATTGTGTTGTTTGGATTCAGTTGGGACTGACTGTTGTGAGTTGAAATAGGCAGTGATTGAGTCGACTGAATCAAACACTTTGGACTGGTATGAAATGGATTGGATTGGATTGGATGGATTATAGTGTAGTGATCCAAAAGGTGTAGGGTTGTTTGATGTTGTTGTTGTTGTTGTAATCGATCACTCGATGTAGCTGGATGGTAATATATAATGGGGGCTAGATTGATTGATTGATTGATTACCAAGGCAAGGCATGGTTAGGCATAGTACACACCACCATTCACATTCATTCATTCATTCAAAGTAGAGAGAGAGATAGTGAGGTTAACAAAGAAGAACCTAGGAAGATTCAGTTGGTGATGATGATGACGACGATGATGGACTGATGGAGGGTATCAATCATATAGATGTCCCTGTTTCCCAAGCTCACACACACTCTCACTCAATCACTTTCATTCATTCATTCACACCACTACTTTCAAACACAAATACATAATCACTCTCGACCCAGGTCATTGATCAATCACTCGGGGTGTGATCAGCTGATCGAAAGGGGCTTTCATGAGGCCAGGCACTCACAACACATGGGTGTTGATTGATTAATTGATTAATGATAACCCTACCATGTAGTATGGGCACTACCTAATAGTGTAACACTTAAAGGTGAATGTAGGGAAGAAGGGCCAATTGGAGATCGACTTCAATCAACATTTGATCTGAGTCAATCAATCAATCAATCAATCAATCTGTTATAAGTGTGTCATTGTATCTCGCCAACAACATCACCTGGGTGATACATGCCTCACATACTTGGACCTTTAGCTGGGTGCAGGGAGATTGAGTTCTGCTGCTGAACTGTTTGTTGTTTGGATGAATGAATGAATGAATGAAAGATCGAATGAATGTCAAGTCCATTCATATTGGTTGGTTTTCCTTATAAATGGTATCCTATCATCATCTTAGGATATAGAATAGTGTGATTGTATCTCATAGTGATGTGATGTGATTGATTGAATGAATGATTGTATACATTATTATATCATAATCAATCTTATAATTATATGAATGAATCAATGAAAGATATTGAATTGGTGTATGTCGATTTCAGGACAACACCAGTCTGGTCCTGTCCAAACAAATGTCTGACTGTCGGACAATGAAATTGATCATCATCATTGTGCCACATCACCCCCCGCCCACCAATCCCCGACGACTTAGAGACAAGAATTAGATTGTGCCAGTCTTTGTAAGGTTGAGGTCTTGGACAGGCGTCGAAATAAATAGATATTTCAATAAAGTACCCGCAACAAAGTATCCAAGATTACGACTTGCAGATAAACTGAGCGATGTTAAGTGTTGTACAACGACAAATGGTTGAGAAAAGGTTATAACACGAATCGCATTAAGGTCTCTCTGCCAAGAATGGACTGGACTTGTTGTCCTCATGTACGACATGTCATTACTGGGGGATTCATTCTTATCAACCTAAGCTTGCATTCATCCTATCCTATGCACTGGTAACCAATCGAGGCAAGATAAGTAAGTAAGCATTAATGAGCATGTAATGTTATGTGTACATGTATTGCAATTAAACAAACAGATAACCTAACATTATATATATACATAGATACATACATAGTACTTAATCAATCAAGTCAATGGTCATCAGCAGTAGTGCAGTAACATTAATACATATATTACAACGTTTGGTTGTTTGTGTATTGTTGGGCATCATCTGCCTTACAACAACATTCAAGGATGACGCCAGAGGAGTAGGAGGTGTCGACGCGATGATTCAAGTGATGAACCTCACACTGTCCCAGAAAGGCTTGGTACAATTCGTACCATCACAATCAATAAGATTGATGATACTTTATAATACAACGAATCCGATCACATCGTTCAACATCACATGTCCCTCATTTGTGAAGCCACCCAAGGTCCAGATCGGCGTCTTCTCCATGGTGCTCCAAACTATCACCATCGACATGTGGCTGTCGGACAACATACGCATCGACTACTCGCCATACTCCTCCACCGACAATATGCCCTCCACGCTGATAATGACCTACATCGCGGATACCAAACCGGCAATCCTCTCGCACGCAGCCGTTGCCCGCCTCAACCAAAATACAACCTCATTCGAAGCACTGGTCCGGTTCGGCTTCTCACAAGAGGTCGAGGACTTTAATTTGGTCTGTAACACATCGGCACCGATACAGCTTGCCTGCGACCTGGTGCTGGCTGGCCCAATGTCTCAATCGCCACTGTACATCGTACGACTGACGCCTCTGGCCAAGCCTGGCGCGGTACTTCGTCTGCCGTCTTCCGTGGACATCAGCTACATGCTACCCCCGGGCAGAGCTGCGACCACACAGACCAATGTGGCGCTGCGTCTGGACAGCTTGCAATCATTCGTCAGTGATGTCCAATATGTGATCGCCAACAACACGGTGGTGAGCGAGCAGTTGGCCGAGAACTACGTGTACACATATGTCACGGCCCTGTCCAACAATCGACTGGTATATTTTGATCATTCGCTTGGCCGTCCCGTGTCGGCCGTCCAGCAACTGCTTGGCAACCCAGGCAACTCACTGCTCCAATACCGAATGCCCTGGATCACATCGAACTCCTCATCATTTGGACTGTTCTCAATGGCCACGACGGTATCACCATTGGCCAGTCCGATAATGTACACGAGAAAGTTCATCAAGCTACTAACATCGATGACGGGCAACAGCGATCTCGTCAAAACAAACGTTATCGATATGACACTGCTCATCCCGGACAAGCTTGCCAATGTCTACGTCTATGGCAAGACCTTGCCCTTCCCCTATGGCTACCCATCGAGCTCATCCTACCATTCAGACAAGTTCACTTTTGCCATGTCTTTCCCGACCACTGTGGCGCAGGTCCAAGTCCCCGTGACAGCCTACCATGGAACCGACATCTATGTCGGGGGCGGGATTGTCTACAGCATCAAACCGAACAGTAAGGATGTCGCCCGCCCGGCCCTCACTTCACACTCATACATTTACTGACACTCTCTCTCACTCACTCATGACATCCCATCGCCAACAGCACCTACGATTAACGTTCCTCATATGAACTCATTCGTTGTGGTTCCAACAGGTCCTTATTCATGTATTGTTCAGTTTAGCATTACTTGCGCATTGGGATTCTTGAAGGCAACCACTTCTTATGGACAGGTGATTACAACCGCTGACTTGGTGTCTGGTGACCTCGTCAATGGAGTGTACGAGGCAGAATTGGAGATGCCAACCACAATGGACTATCTACCAAGATTCAAACTGTCACTCTACGACACCAAGATGATCGAGGCATCATTCCTCGAGGGGATGCCAATCAATCAAAACTTTAACACTCAATTGACAAGACTTCCATATTGTATGTTATCACGCAATCAGTTACTCACTCCATCAATCAATCAATCAATCATACTTACTTTGATCAATTACATATAGTCTCACTCGATATTAATACGATCCAGAGCTTCAGTTTCCAACCCAACAACTTGGATGTGAGCAATGGTCCAAAGAGCACGACCCTTACCATCAAGGTGCCCACTCCTTGGAAGACTGGTGCACCTCGTTTCCAACTGTTTGTTAATCAAGGCGTTGAGTCAAAGGACTACATATTCCAGGGTTATTATGATGCCAATCAACAATCTTATATCATTCCGATTACAGTCCGCGAGCGACTATTCACAGGACCCGTCAACTATGTCATCCACTCTGACCCAACCCCCTTGACCCCATCACTACTGGCTTCCAACCCATCCATTGGGGACAATGCTTACCTCAATGTTGTTTCAGAATGTAAGTGTTGTTACACCTGACCCCTGCCTTGGATACTAATCAATCAATCAATATAGTTGCCGACTTGATGGGACCGATGGTGGCCAACATCACTCAAATTCCATTCGCTACTGGCGATAATTATTACTTGTGGTATGTGGCAATCCAGGACTTGGAGTCTGGCATCAGGAATGTGGAAGCCTACGCTTGGACGGATATGTACCCAGTCATTCAAAATATCACCAGATTCATTTCGTTTGTCGGTGGGGATGCTTTCACCGGCATCTACGCCATCAAGTTCTTCCCCAATCTCCAACCGCCAATGGACGTCAACTACACACTGGAGCTGATTCTCACGGACAATCTAGGCAATCAAGCCTCGTCATTCAAGAACTACACCAACCCCGCACCCAACGTTGATCCATTCTTGAACATTATCAACACGCCAATGTACTCTCTGCGCCAATACACAGTCCCTCGCAACTCGAGCATTGTAGTCACAACACCGCCAAGTGCTACACAAATGAAACTATTGAATCCGGCAGCGACAATCAATGTGGCATCAATGACAAGGAACATCAGCATGTCCTTTACCCTCACCACCTCTGCACAATGTAGCATCACCAGGATCTTAAACTTTAATGTCGATCATAGACCGATTGTATACATCCACTCAGTCTATGGCGATACCATTGCCGTCCCAGCTGTGTACACTACGAGCATTGCGGACACCACCACAGGGTGGTCCATCAATGAGCAGCTGCCCTATGGCTTTGGCGCATATGGTCTGACAATGTCGATCTATGGCGTGCCCGACTCTTGCTACAACTACACCTCAATCCCATCCGTGCTGATGCTTGATTACATCAACATCACGACAGAGTTCAAGTTGACAGGCCCCGTCATCCTCTCAGCGAGCGACATCACCAGCCGTGGTGGCTTGCTCTCCATTCGCGGCAAGCAGTTTGGTTTCATCAACTCGACACAAACAATCCTGATGGTAGACTACACAGGCAATGCGACCAGCTTCCAGCAGGTGCCAACATCCTTTGTCAGTGGACCACTGGTCGTTGCCAGTATCTCTTCGTTCAGCAGCCCGTCCATCCTGATCAAGGTGATCACGCTGGGTGTCGAGTCCAATGTTTACAGGGTTGTGGCCTATATCGCCCCACCTCCAGTGATTGTCCCGACACAGCGCCCAACAACACCCCCATTGCACAGCAACCAGACATGTCCGGGTAGCCCACCATGTAGCAACCAGGGTCGCTGTGTGAATGCTCTCTGCGTGTGCAACCCGCCATGGTACGGTCCAACATGTGAGTCAGAGATCGTTGACACACCCGTCGAACACAATCCCAATGCACCAACCACAAGCTTTGACTTCTCCACCGGCGTGTCCGTTGTGGAGATTCAAGAGTTGACCAGTACTGGCGATATCTTCCAGCGCTATAACCTGACATCGACTTGGGAGTACTCCAATGTTACAACCAACTATGGCCAGACATTCAACTACGTCTCCAAGCTGCCGACCAGGACACCCTCCAGCGTGTTAGTTCGCGTCGACTACTTTAACGTGGAGGCCAACGTAACATTTGCCAACAAACTATATACGATGCGGCCATCCACCGTCAAGTATTCAATCTCAATCACCCAATATCCGTTCAACTCCACGGTCAACACTCTGCGCGTCCTCCTCACGGCCTCAATCAACAACACGATCGACGACTGCTCGTCCAGCTCGGATGTCGGACAGATCAACAGTCGCGTCCAATGGATCAAACTCAATGTCCGCGGCCACAGTCTGTACGGCCGATTCATCGACACTGGTGTTGTGGACGGACGCCCAACCATCATTAACAACATCCTGATGAATGGTAATGGAAATGACAACAGTACAACCGATGGCCAATCAATTATTGCTATGGACATGCCATACTTCCGCTTCACGGGCATGATTGATCCCGATTTCTCCGTGTTGGTGGACAAGAATTATAATGCCAACAAGTGTTCTAGTAGTAGTGGATTGAGCAACGAGGCCAAGATCGCCATCATTGTTGCAGTCTGTGGCGCCGTCTGTGTGGCCCTCGTCATCGTGGCCATACTCAAACGAAGTGAGATCAGAATGGCCGCTAAAATGCTCAACAGGAAGCTGAGGCACAAGCAAGAAGTCAAGATGGACAACATGTAAACCATGTTTACCCAAACAAATAAACCCTTACCCTTTGTGTTACTAATATTATTATTATTATTACTTCTTCTTTTGTTCGAAGCGAGACAGAGCACTCCTGGTCTTGGTTGGCTCCAAGATCTCGCGCTCTCGGGCCTCCTTCTGAGCCCTCTTCTTGGCCTCCATGGCCTCGACCTTCTTGTGATCGACGGTGACTCTGTTCTTGTCGACCTGTTTCTGGACCTCGCGCTTGTGCTTCTTCTCCTCGGTGCTGACATTCTGGTTGATCGTTCCAATGACGTTGGGATCCAGCGAGATCATATCGTATGGGATCTTCTCGAGCAGAGCGTGCACCTCGGCCTCGCTCTTCATCTTCTTGGTTGCGTATGGATCGGCCTCCAGTGAGTCGTACTGGGCCATACCAGAGCCTGGCACCAACATTGATGAGATACCCTTGCCGTGACCGGCAGTCATGACATCCTCGAATGGACAGAACTTGACTGAGGTAACATTGTCATGTACCTTGGGGATAAGGTATGGCTCGCTAATGCTTGGATCGAATGGGTTTTGCCATATGGATACCTGGCGTCCGTTGCCAATAGCCAACACGTTTGTGTCGGACAGTGCCATGGACGTGGGCACGTTCTTCACGCTGAAGGTGCGAACCTCCTCGTAGCTGTTTCTGAGATCAAACACTTTGACCATGCGGTCGAGGCCAGCAGTGACAAGGTAGTTGCCCGACAAACTGGTGGCGAGGGAAGTGATGGCGGTCTTGTGAGCGAGGATCTTGACGACCGGCTGGTGTGCCTTGGGCACCCACAGGTCGACAGAGCCGTTGGTGTAGCCGAGCTGAATGACGGCGTTGGAGCGATTCTGGCACATTGCCGACAGGGTGCCCTTGAATGAGTGATTGCCCTGTACACGACCAATCGATATGTCCTCGTAGACGAGCTTGCCGCGATTCGTAGCGCTCACCAAAAGGAAGTGGTACGGCAGGAATGAGAGGAACTTGGGGTCAAAGTGCGCCTTGAGCTGATGCAGCTGCACGCCAGCGCTGCTGTATATATATGTGTACTTCTTTTGAGCGACGGCGAACATCTGTTCGTTGTGCAGGAAGCATGCGTGGCGTGCTGGCTGAGACAGATGAGTCTCTGTGATCTTCTTTCCATTCCTCCAGTCGAGTGATGCAACGTGGCCCTTTGCACCGGCCATCAACAAGTACTTTCCATCGCGTGAGTAATCCAAAGTGTAAGGTCCATGATCCAACGTCAAGTCAAACACCTTATTCTTTGACTGCATGTCCACAGCCTTTACAATGTCCTTCTGTGTCAGTGCATATGTCCTCTCACCTTCGTCAGGCTGGATGAATCTGTTGTGTCAGAGGCATGTTAGTGCACGATCATTCAATCAATCATCATTCAATCAATCAATCAAACATACCCAGCGTCTGCTTGGACCAAGATCTCAGCCTTGAGGGCAGAGATGGCTGCTGTTCTTTGGTTGGCAGCTTGTCTCTCGAGCTTTGCTTTGAGAACAGGGTTGGTGATACCTGTCGCTGGTACTATGTTGCCCTTCATGTACTTTCTCGCTCCAGTTGGTATACTCTTCAAATGTACTGGTGTATCCACTTCATCATGTTTCTCTTCATCCTCATCTTCATCATCATCATTATTATTATTATTATCATTGTTGAACTCTGATGGATTCTTTCTCTTTTGACCAACTGGTACATCATCAATACCATCATTATCCTCATCATCGTCTTCCACCTCTTGTTTGATCTTCTCGTCTTGGTCATCATCATCATCATCACTCTCATCATCTACCTCACCACTCAGCTCTGACACACTGAATAGGTTTGTATTCTTCCATAACTTTGTTCTATCCTCATCCTCATCATCTCTTGACTGTGCATCCATCGCATATTGTTCCTTTAAATGCTTTGCAACAAAGTCATCCTTCTTCTTCTTTGTCGTCTTCTTTGTATTATTTTTAGTTGTTGTAGATGTAGTTATAGTTGAAGTTGTCTTCTTATTCTTTTGGTTAGTTGATGGTGCCATTATTACTATCTATCTATCTATCTATCTATCAATCAATCTAACTATCTTTGAGTCATTTGATCATTCATTCTCTTCAAAAGTCATCACTTCCTTCGTTCGTTTTGTTGTGTTTTTCGAATTATTTTAAAAATTAATTAAAAATCATACAATGGATAAAGACGACCGATTGATTGAATGAATCATTCACTCACTCACTCGTTCAAACTTATAATATAATATATATAATTACCTGTACATATAATAATGTCAGAGAGATCTGGATTCAAAAAGAGGAAGGCTGCACCAAAGGTCTCCTTCAAGCCAGAGGGTGACAAGGTCAAAGAGATCGTCTATGATGATCATCAGAGAACGTATGTTTGTTTGAATTGATTGATTGATTGATTGATTGATGATACTAATGAATGTAATGTATATATGTATGTAGTGACTACTTAACAGGATTCCACAGGAGAAAGAAGGCTAGAAGAGAGTTTGCTATGGAGAGAATTGCTGTCAAACAGAAGGAGGAACAACGTGAACAGAAGAAGTTGGCAAAGTTGCAAAGAGAGGCATATCGTGATTCAATCATAAAGGCAAAGAGGATTGGTGAAGGAACCGTTGATGAAGATGACTTTGATGATGATGAAGAAGAAGATGTTCAAGATGGTGAAGATGGTGACGATGATGATCAAGATCAAGATGGAGATGGAGTTACAAAGAAGAAGAAGATTATAAGTACATCAACAGCTATTACAGAGACAGTACAACAAGAGTTTATGAATGATCAGAATGTTATAACTGCAACTATATCACCTTTGAACTTTGATGACGATGATGATGAGAATCAGAATGCTGATGGTGAAGATATTGAAGATGATGACGAAGAGAATGAAGATGACGAAGACGACAAAACAAAGAAGATGAAGAATGGTAATCGTCAATCAACAAAGGAAAAGACACCAAAGAAGAACAAATATCAATTGGCAAGAGAGAAGAAGAAGGCTGAGGAGACGATATCATCCGAGCAGTTGACAGTGTTTGACGCATCAAAGAAGATATTCACCGATAATAGGACTGGCAAGAAGGTGATGATGAAGAAGGAGAAGGGTAAGCTGATACCCGTCGTCCTGTCGGCCGCCGCCGAGAACGCCATGCAACAAGGCTGGCAGCTGCCACGTATGCTGCGTGAGAAGCCCAAGAAGTCATGGTCCTTCACCGAGGCCAGGAAGTCCAGGAAGAAGACCAGAAAGGAGGGCAAGGGCAAGCCCAGTGCCAAGGCTGGCAAGGAATAGAATAAGATGGACAGACATTTATTATTCACTTGGATGGAAATTAAACGAGAACGATGTCAATGTGCTGGCGCCACCGCCAGTGCCATTGCCTGATGTCGATTGATTGGCACCCTCTATCAGCTTGTCCCAGACTGACTGTTTCTTCTTTTTTGATTGTTGTTGTTGTTCTTGGGCGGCTTCGAGCTCGCGTTGTTTATCACGCTGCTCGCGAAGTTGTGCCAGACGTCCTGGATAGACCTGCTCGAAGCTGGCCTGATACTGATCGAATAGATCCTTCTTCTTCTTGGTGGCCATGAAGTCGATCACCTTGAGTATGTTGTGCGAGTCGATAAAGTTGTGAGTGATGGCGATCGATTCCTCCAGGTTCAGCACACAATGCCACCATCCGCAGGGCACATAGATCATCTCGCCTGCCTCCAGCACACATTCCAGGGGGTATCCCTGTGCCGGCTCAGAGTCCGAGCTTGAGATGGACAGTTGTGCCATGGTCCTCTTCTTCTTCATCGTTTGACGCTGTGACTTGGGCGCGGCGCTTCGACGCTCCTCCTCATCCTTATTGTTATCTGGTCGCTCATAATAGTTGATGAACCATTCGACGATTGAGTGTGGCGTCGTGACTTCCAGACCGTCGTCGCTCGGATGTACGCCTGGCGGAGTGATGTGTGGCGGGTACATGACCCACTTCTTGCGACCAGTGACCACGGCATTCCACGCCGATGTATGATTGGGGTCCTTGTGGAAGGTGGCTCCAGAGCGTGCGGGGCCTGCCAGCAGCCACCTGTATGATGGTCGCGACTTGCCCAGCACTGCGAACAAGTCCTCCTTGAAGTATCGATCGGTGGAGTAATCGTCAAGCAATGATGGCATGTTCTCGCCATAATAATGATCGAACAAGTACATTGGGTTCTCCTCTTTGGACGCCGCCGCGTAGTCAAGGTACTCGCGCATCGTCATATACACGCCAGAGTTGATGTAGAACTTTGTGTCGCCGGTGCGCTGCTGTAGTGAGTCACGTGTCCAATGTTTGGCTCCCCAGTCTGCCATGGCATCTGTTAGAATGACTGGCTTGTTGGGGATGAGGTACTCTTTTGTGAACTGCTCATGTGTCATGTTGGCGCGACGGTCAATGGTGTCGGGTCCGCCGGTGGCCGTGCGCTCCCACGTTCGCAAGTCGACCGATGAGCAACGCCATATGTGGAACAGATAGTCCGAGTACATGTATCGCAGACGCAGTGGATATGGCACTGGCAGCACGATGTTACTGCTGTTTCGCGTGTGTACCGCTGTCAAGTAAGTGTGTTTCCAAGAATGATTGTACTTGAAGTGAGCGGGATGGTCTGCGATGGTCATCATCTTCCAAGGTTCATCATCATGTACGAACAAATAGAATGCCTTTGACACGTGTACCAAGCATGTCATCAACTCCTTTGCAGTGAATCGATCAAACAACAAGTCCAACAAGAAGTGATCCTCAAGACATGCGAACATTCCCAAGCCACTATTCCTAGAGTCAACCTATTCATTCATTGATTGATCGAGTTAGTGAGTTAGTGAATGAGTGAGTGATTGATTGATTGATTGAGTGTATAATCTTACAAAGTCAGCATTGAATGAGTCAAAGTAGTAGTTGCCCTTTGGCTTCACACCGTATGGATGAGGGATGTATTGTTCCTGAGGCTCATCATTGTCATTGTTATGATAGTCACGCATTATTATCTGTTCTCTACCTATATATCACTATCATTCAAAGTCGTCTTTGGACTGTAATTTCAACAACCCAACTTTCGTTCGTTTTTTTTTCGACCAAACATTTCTGTTATCACAATCAAAGTTTAAGATGATTAATCATCAAAGTTATATAAATAATGTATTTCGAAACACGTATAACAAATATCAATCAATCAGATAAGAGTAATGATTCTTTCATATTAAGGTATTTCTTGTTGTGGTGAGTTTAGGATCAAAACTAATAACCTTGAGGACTCGCGAGTCCGAACGATAGTTAACAACCTGAGCTTGGTTAAGTAAGTCAACCAAGCTCAATTCGTTGAAAATGATCATGTGAGAGCGTTTCATTCATTAATTTGCAACCCACTTGTTGGAGCTCAAGTGAACAACACCAACAACTCAAGGTGGGTTGCTTCGGGATAGGGGTTTTGTTTCAAGTTAGATCGAGTGTATTGTGTGTTGTTGGTGTTGTATTGGTTGAACGAGCTGGTGAAAGTGAACCGTGTGTCATCTGTACACCATTAAGCATTAACATCACCAGACCAGTCTATCCATCCATCCATCCATCCAACACTCTCTGATCAATCACACCAACATAGACAGACAGAGAGAGAATAGACGATTCATTATTACATTATTACAATACAGTAATACAATCATATTAATTTATTATTTATTTATTTATTTGTTCAAACAGATACACATACTTACGTGTGACATTCATTCATTATCAATCAAACAATCAATCAATCCTATATCCAAACAATTCATTCTCATTCATTGACAGTACTATCGCCAATCAATCAAACAAAACAATCAACATTGTACATTAGACAACCAAGACAGCCCAATCAAACATATATATATATATATATATAGATAGATAGATAGAGCGACGATGCAGGCTGGCTCTGACCCATTGTCAATACTAGCAGCTGAGCAGGAGGAGAATATCCTCAAAGCACAAAAGGCACGTGAAGCAGCTGAGGCAGAGTCACAACAGCAACAACAACTTTTACATAATGGCATGCGACGAATGAATCTGTTTGAGGAGGAGGAGCGAAGATTGGAATCAATAACAAAACTGCATCTGCATGATCCCAACAACATTGGCATCAACGCCAATATCAACTCACTGGAGATCAAGGACAAGTCCAAGATCACAAAGAAGAAGTGGATCAATGCCCTATGCACTGTGAACTTTGATCTAGAGATTGGGCAAAGTATGTTCGTTCTCATTCATTCATACATTCATCAAGACAACTACTAACATCAATTCATGTAGTACTTGATTATAGTCATCCAAAGCTCACAATGAGAGAGGAGGAGATTAAGAACTTGTAAGTTGTGTCTTTGAATGAGTGAGTGATTGACCATGATCACTGATCACTGATCACTGACCCTCACACTTTGATGGAACCAATCAATCAATCAATGAATGAAACGATCAGATGCTTCCTCTCATTCCCAGACTCCAATTCACATCTTCAAGGCGATATTATATACTCATTCAAACTGAAGTGTCGCAATCAAGACGATTCAGTGGACAATCTAAATGGAAGCGGAAATGGCAATCATGCCAACAACAACAACAATAACAATGGCGCGAATAACAACAACATCACTCATTCATATCAATATGGTTATGTGTTCTTTAGACAAGAGAAGGACCCATCACTGCCTCGTGGCTATCTCCAAAAGTCAGTGGTGCTTCTCAGCGACGAACACTTTGTTGGCCTGTTCAAAAAGGTGATGGAGATCATCGGTCCGCTCTACTTCCAGCATGGCGAGACACTGTTAGAGGTGGCCTATCAGAACATGATGTCATGGCCCGAGTTGCGCCTCGGCCAGTCATACGAGCTGCCCATCCTCGGATCGATATTCAACTTCCACGTGCCCTACACAACAGGCGCGCCACACATAATCGACCCGGTCATCACACAGCAACAGATGCAGTCACTCAAAGCTGACATCTCACAGGTGTCCGTGAGCAATCTCCAATCGATCGACCTATACACCTCGTTCAAGGGCTTCCCATCCAAGCTCTGGATGCTCTGGGAGATGGTGTTGCTTGGACATCCGATCATTGTCGTGTCGCCCACTCCACCAACCTCCTCGGATGCCGTCCTCGCCCTCGTCAGCCTAATCTCTCCACTCAACTACTGTAATGATTACCGTCCCTACTTTACTATCCATGATCCCGACTTCCACAAGTATACCGCAACATCCACATCAACATCAACATCAAACAAGACCGATCCACCCGCGTCCATCATTGGCGTAACCAATCCCTTTTTCCTGAAGGCCCTATCACACTGGCCAACAATAGTATCAATTGGTTCAACTCCAAAGTATGTATTACTCGACTTGACTACCTGGACATGGACATGGACTAACTCCCCCTCACTCACATTAGACTTGGAAGGACACCTACATCATCACCAAAAGACAGAACAATACAACAAGCGCTTCAACAATCATCATCATCATCTCAAGAGAACAATGATCAAAAGGTCGTAACCGAATTCAAGACACATACTTCGCCCGACAAGGCAATACTCAAGAAGATCACCGATACTCAAGCCACTTGCATGGCATCGCACAATGAGACCCTACGCAAACACTTCTTCCAACTCACTCTCAACTTCCTCATCCCACTGGAGCGTTACTTCTCCTCACTTCTACCTTTGGCCAAGTATGTATAGTTGCACCTGGCTCAACATGTCCATGATGGCTCACTCAATCACTCCAATCAAACAATCACATTAGGACGATATCAGTATTCAATAGACCACCAAAGTTAAAGAACTTTGATACTAAACAGTTCATTGAGACGTTACAAGAGGGCGATGTTGCCTTTGTATCAGAGAGCAAGAGTAAGGATATCGAGCTGTATAAGGAGTTCTTGGAGACAGCCAACTTTAAGAACTGGCTGGATGAGAAGAGAAGAGAGGCGACCAGACATCTCAACCTACTCTATCGCAAGGCCATCCTCGAGTCCAACATCCCAGCACTACTTAAGAACAAATCGCCATCAGTTGCACTAGACCTTTACAAACGCGTCTATGATCAATTGGTATGTAAATAGGGTGTCCATGATGTCCTGACCTGTGCTAACACCTCCCTCGCTCACAGATACTTGAGGAGATACTGTTCCAGACACCAGAGGACATTAGAGCAAGGATAAAGGATCATCTCGAACAGATACGTCCATATCTTCCACAATGAATGCATCGATCAATGATTGAATAAACATTTGGTCCACGTCGTGTATCCATTACGACGACGTGACCAAGAGAGTGATAGAATGTATTATTAACTTATATCGATATCAACTGCATATCCAAACAGTTTAGAACATGAAGATGTTCGTATAAATTTGGATCGATCACACTTGTAGTATCTTCCGTCTCCACCTCCTGGATCTTTGAGGGCAGTGGTGGAGATGATGATGACTGTGTCTTCTGTTCCAGATTGATATTGTTATGATCATTGATCACAACAGGATCTATGATGTCTATACTGCTATTACTATTACTGTTACTATTACTATTATTGCTGCTTCCAGAAGAATAGTCGAATAGCGTGAATCGTGATACTGGTGCAAATGAACTCCAAAGGTACTCGTAGACTGAACTAAGAGTGTCCTTGACATAGTGATAAAGGTCATGTGCTGTTGTATAATAGTCTGATGTACTTGTTGGTATGTTGTGTGTTTGAATGGTACCATCCATTGGTATATCTATATGTTGTTCGTTCAAAGAGGAACCTACTCCACTGCCGCCGCCAACACCAATGTCATCATCGTGAGCGGGTACCTTCTCTGGGGCCGCAGCAACAGCATTGGGATCGATGTACCTGTGCATGTAGTAACCCTGAGGTATTGGATATTTTGCGCCACTCTCCAACATGCCAAAGAATCTTATGATGTTGCCAGGACGTAAACGTTGGACGTCCTCCAATGAGATGACTGATTGTGGCACTTTAAGTAGTACCTGTGGTTGAATATCTGAGGACTTTAGAGTGTCGATCTGAGTCTGGCTCGATTGGAACTCAGCAACCATTGTTGGATCTGACAATATTGGTTGAGTCAAATGTGGCATTGATATAATGATTGATATTGACGGTGACATTGATGATGATGATTGAGTGGTTGTAGTGGACCCTGGTTCACCAAGGCCATAAACAACACCATGCCAGACTACCATTTGTCTTGAGAAGAACATCTTAAATAACTTGGACTTTGTAAATTTACTCTTCACCTCAATAGTTATATGATATATATTATGGTACTCTTCCCATTTAATTGGCTACACAACCAGGAACATGTAGGATAAGTGTTAGAATAGTGATCAATCAATCAATCAATCAATTGGATACATACAGCACACTCCTCCAGTTTATCAATATATAGTTGTTTCTTTGGTAACATTGAATCAGTACTATTGTTATTACTGTTATTGCCACTGCCATTGGAAATGCCTCCACTACCTTTACTATGTAGACTGTTGCTACTGGAGACGAATTGAGAACTTCGACCAATGCAATCAGAGTATGTAAGAGTCTGTTTCAATGATAACTCTGCCAGATGTCTATTCCAAATCAAATGATCACTTGAGTACATATGATACTTTCTCGAGACCAATGATAAGTTGAACAAACTAAAAGGTGACAAGTATCCCAATATAGCCAACAACACTTCATTTGGCATTGAGTCCAACACCAAACTTGTTGTTGTTGCCATTGTCTCACTCTCTCTCTCTCTCTCTCCTATCTCTATATATTACTTTCTCTCTTTCACTCTTTATCTCTCTTGTTTTCTTGTTGTGTTGTTGTGTTGTTTGGCTGATTGATTGAAATGAATTGGATAGTTCAAGTCACATCCTCTTTTGGATTATAGAGTGAGCATTTATTTATTATTACCGCGCAATCTCAACAAATAAAGGCGTGTGTGTGTGTTTGATTCTCAACTGAACCCAACGCTCAGTTACCCCCACATCCACTACAAGTTACCTCACCATAGATTGTGTGTGTCAGAGTACAGCTGAGATCCAAACAAAATGAAAAAGCAGGAACACACATTCTTTGGTATTTCTTCAGAAGACCTCAACAGCACTGTACACATACATACTCTCTGTTGTCAACAACATTAACATTAAACATTAACCAATCATTGTAAATACTTCGATATACTTATACAACTACATAATATATATCACTAATTACTTAAACTAAAGAAACACAACCGACACATATTATATAACAAGAGAAATAACATTATAATGGCAGAAAAGAGAATATCAGAACTGTTGTGGGAGAGGTACGTATATGATTGAATGAATGATTGATTGAGTAATATATATTAATGTTATCGTCGATCCTTTATCTCTATCTTTCTATCTCTTATCTATCTCTTTTATCTCAATCTCTGAAAAAACAGATTGACAATCTCTGAACAACAAACATATCAATCACCGGCAAACTACCAGAGTGGACCAAAGTTTACACCAAAGAAGAAGAGCAAGTTTGCAACCAACCGTGATTCGTTGGCATTTAGAGAGAGTCCTGGTAAGCCAGGCACAAAGAGATATAATAGATATTTGAACACCAAGTTCTTAAAGGATGGTGGAGTGCTGAAAGACCAATTCACCGCCATCATGGACCACGACCTCTACGAGAAGAATGAGCGACTGGTCTATCAAGACGGCGAGATGGCCTACCATTGGGAGCCTTTCAGAAACATCTCCTTTGACAAGCAACAAGAGATGATTGGTCATGTTGAGGGTAAGTGGCCATGGCAACACAACATAACATAATGTGATTGATCACTGATATGATATCAATCAAAACAGAGGATAAAGAGACCAACAAGAGCAGAAAGAAGTATTTGAAGACTGAGAAGATCAACCAATCATTCTCCTTGCTACAAAAGAACATCCGTGAGGCCTTTAAGAAGCCATTCATCCAAAACTGTGATATTGTTACCGAGATTGAGAACAGAATGATCGAGTTCGTCTCTAATCCATTTGTCAAGACTACAGAGGTCGAGCTTGAGAGTGGTCACCACAGACTGCTACTCCACGGAGTTGGTTCCTACTACTCTGTGTTCACAAAGAGTAAAGAAAGACACACCGCCATCACCATCATTATCACCAAACTAACTAACCATACCTTTACCCTTTACCAAGGCTACACATGCGCGTCGACCGGTCGCCGAATGACCATTATCCGTAAGCCCAAAGTGATGCCACCCTTGCCCGAGCTCTCCATCGTAGAGTACATCACCAACCAACAACGAAAGAACAAGGATCCACATCGTATTCGTGTTGCCTCGCGTTCGCGCTCCAACAGCTTCCAAGGCATCCGAATCCGTTGTTAACAACCCCTTAAGGACGCCCAACTGGCATATGCCCTCCACGCTTTGCAACACATGTAGTTGGTTGTAGTTGTTGGCACAATGTCTCCATTGACACAACAACATACCAGCAACAACAGTCGCACTAGCTACCATGGGGGAGATGATAGCCAACGGTGTACCTTGTATAATTACGATCCATCGTCGTCACTGGCCACCCAAGGCATCCCAACCTCGGGCCGGCAACACAGCGACAACATCCTTTCGAAACTGTTGTTTGGCTTGGTTGTTTGTTTGTTTGTTTGTTTAGTTAGTAAGATGGCTGCACAATGCAACAACTTCAACTACAACAGCAACAACAACAACCAAGGGTACATCCAACGCATCTATATATCTAAATATATTGAACCTCTTATACCCATAGTCCCTGGCCAGTCGACTTGTCGACACTGTGCCACTTCTAATGGATGAAGGAATGTGTTCGTTGTCTCTACCATCATCAGACATCGTCACTCCTTGATGCCTCCTATTATTATTATTATTACAATTGATTACCTCTCCAATACTCCACAATCAACAGGAACATGTCCATGTCAAGTCAGTTACTCCACCGATCAATCAATGGATGATAAGTAAGTAATTAAGTAAGTATTCACTAACTGTATAAAGAGTAAGTTCATATCAATGAATGAAAGAATGAACGATTGAATAAACAAGTCGAACTCTATCTCTTAGAGAGTTTATTATTATAATACATGTACAAGTCTTCAACTGCCTATTACTCCAAGTAGATGTTGTTGAGGTACAACTTTGATTGAGTATCGCCATTGGTATCTTGGAAACATACACCGTCAAACTCTGACACGTTGATGCCAAGGTCATGGAAGGCAACACTAACACGTGTCCACTTGTTGCTTGGAATGTCTTGACCAATGAGCTGATTGATTGGCACGGTCTTGAAGTTGTTGGAATCCTTGACCAGACCAAGTTGCACCTTCTGTCCGCCCTGTCCACCTCCATTAATGTAGAATGTCAGATTCTTGTACTCATTGCTGTTGATACATGATGGACAGGCCAGGTATATCGCGCCCCAATTGCTTGGCGAGAATGAAATAGATGGTGCACCATTGAGTTGTAGGCCATCATCGTTCAACACATGAGTGATATAGCTATAGTCGTTGAAGTTGTTCTGTAGTGATCCATCAACATATATGTTCTTGGTATGTCTTGAATGTGGCTGTGAGGACGATTCTTGGGTGACTGCCACTCTCTTGACTGGTCTAGGTGGCGCTGATGGATTGGGACTCGGTGTCCTGACTGGTGCCGAGGATAATGGAGGCCTAGAGGGAGGAGGAACAGGTGGGAGTGCCTTCTTTGCAGTTGGTGAGGTAGGAGGGGGAGGTGGAGGTGGTGTAGTGGCCACCACACGATGGATTGGGGTAACGGTCGGGTTTGGTCGATGTGACATAGGCGATGGCAGTGCGACAGCCGCGTGGATATATATGGAAGTGAACCATAAACTGATGTTGAGTGAGAGGATTGGTGGAGGGACACTAATGGTAGCGCGAACCTTCTCATTGTCTTTGGGATTGACCATGTAGCATAGCGCGCCGACGAATCCTGCATTGTAGTCCAATGCAACCTCATTCTCAACATAGTCCGATCTGTCGTCCTTATAGTTGTCTAGTTCATCTGGACCTCCAACAAGGGCACCCTTGATAATGTATGTGTTGGTTGGAGGGTTGTTGATGTCGTTGGTGGTGGAGTGGTGCGAGGCTCTGTGATGCGGGTTGACTGGGTAGTTGGGTCCAATTCCCACGACGAATGATTGTTGCTTGGGGTTCTTGCCCAGGATGTAGTCAACCTGGCTGACTGTGAAGTTGGTGTACTTGTCACCTCCATGAACACTGGCGAGGAATGCCATATTTGCGGCGTATCTACATGGTCCCCACTTGCGTAGCCATGCCAGGCCGCCAGGAGTGTAGGTGACTCCGCCTCCTGGTAGCCAGTAGTCCAAACAGTCCTCGACGTCCTTTTTGTGCTCAGGCTTGCCAGTGATGTCGGCCATCAACACAGTGATACCAGGTGCCTTGAGATCCCAATCATGGGAGTTGCCCTTGGCCATGTACTTGATACCAAACTCATCGTAGTTTGCTTGGGCTTTGGTCAGGTATGACTCCTGCTCTGTTGCCTTGTACAGCCAGAGTCCAGCCCACACGATCTCATCCTTGAATCCAGACCATGAGTTGTAGAATGGCTTGGCGGCTGGCACTGACTCGACGTATGTGACACGATACTGATCACCGAATTGATAGAGTTGTTCGGCATGCTCCAGGAGTTTGGCCGAGTAATCTGGATCGTCCTCCTTGAACACCATGGACGCGGCAGCCAGCGCGGCGGCAGCCTCCATTGCCAGTTCGGTTCCCGGATGCTCCTCATCAATCCAATAAATATTCCTCTTGGTTGTGATGGTCTCGGGAGGTCCCCAATAGCTGTGATCATCGGCATCTCCCACTTGAGCAACCAACTTGTTCGGACTGGGATGGCCTGCCATCAGCCAATCAGTGCCCTGTCGTATGTCCTCCTGGAACAGGTCCTCCAGATCGCAAGACTTTATGTTGCGCTCATGCTCAAGGTAGGCAAAGCTGAGCATGGTCATGGAAGAGGCCATAGGCAACACAAACTTGATGTGATCACCAGCGTCAAAGTATCCTCCGGCGAGATCACCATCTTGAAGTACCGACGACTTCCTCCATGGTACCTCATTATCGTTTATGGGACCGGCTCTATTATACTTATAGAACATCAATGCATATTGAAGTGTTTGGCAGTAGTCTGATGGTGCAAACTCGCAGTAAGTAGTTGGCTTGGCTGCGTCTACAATGTTGTGTTGGATGGCAAGGAGAGGGAAGGGTGGAGGTCAGAGTCATGGGATTTCCAGTCAAAGTGGAATTGATTGAATGAATGAATGAATGATTGGATACATACCATTTAGAGCAGCAAGAGATAATAGTAATAATAATACAATTGGGAGAAATCTAGTATACATAGTTAGTTTGTAGATCAATCAAAGATGATGTTGATGTTGATACAAAGGAAAGTAATGTACACAATAACTCTTGGTATTTATAGGACGAAGCTAACGACCCATGATGGATGCCTTACTATTCATCGGTTACTGTAGCGCTGTAGATGGGGACTGGTCACCCAGGTGTTACAAGAAGGATCAGCTACTGATCCTCATTCATATCCTTTCCATACCCTCTTACCCTCTACTACTGCTACAACCACTGCCACAACTACATTTACACCACATACTACTATCACCATCATCATTCATCAGCTGATGTAATACCCTTGTGTTGTTGTTGGAAGGACTTGACCATTCACCAATTTATCAATTGGTAGGCCATGTAGTAGTCGTACTAGTTATTGGGATTGATTGATTGATTGTTTGATTGTTTGATTGATTAATTGGTGGCATCAACTTCAAACGGGGACTGACCGAACAGATAAACTATCAATCACATCACATGTTCATTCAATCATTTATATCAAAGTGGTCATTGGCTAATGGTTGTTGGTGTGTGTGTATTTAAGTTACCACGCGAAGATGTTACCGGCTAACCAAACACTTACCACATTTACCACTCTTGCCACGTCCATCAAAGAATCGCCTCCTTCTCCTGCTCCTCCTCCTAATCGTTGTTGTTGATTATAAGTGTATTTGTTGTGTATAAGTATGTGTGTTTATTGATATTATGTGTATGTTTGTTTGGGTCATTATTAACTTCATCATCTTTAAGAGGCAATGTATTAATAAAATAAGAGCCAACTTCAAGTTCAACATCTGACTGATCAGATGGTCTTCTTTGAATAAATAATCAGGTTTATAAATATCTCTCCCAAAAGGATATCTTAATATCACCAGGGCAAAAATTGTCGAGGTGCTTGAAAGCATGATGATTGTTCAAGTAGTTGTCTATGTTTCATGTCAGGACGAATGAGACCAACTTTAGTTGTTCATCGCATCATTGTGACTGTCTCTCTGCTTGCCAACAAGATCGTTGCACTGAGTTTAGTAATTAAAAAAAAAAACAATGAGGAGTGATGTTGTTTGTGAATTGAGAGTTGAGGGAAGGAAAGAAATGGAAGAGAGACATGTGTCTGTGTGTGTTCATGTTGCTTGCAAAACAATTTAGATTAGTTAGTTGAAAGATAGATAGAGGACTTGTACATAGAAGTAGATAGAGGTAGAGAGATACTGTGTATCATTGTTATATATAGTTGTTCCCCAATATATATCCTAATATCAATCAATCAAATACATATATATAATACTTGAGCATATTTAAACAGTCAGCATATATACAGACAGAGACTGAAGAAGACAGTTTATAAATATACCTATTGATTGATACACGCTTGCGTGTACTTGGACAACGAGACGAGATAACACAACAAACAAGAAAGAGGAATAAGAAGAAGAAGAAGTAGAGGAAGATGTCAAACTATGGATCAAACTCTTCAAGGGAGAACAATGGTCATACATTCGCATCTCCAATGATATCAACGTCGTCACAATCATTCCAATCGATACCGGCGTGGAAGCAGAAGATTGTCACACAACTCAATCATAGGAATCATCAGCAGACCAACACCTTCTCAGACTTGGTGCGTCTCTGTGCTGAGCTGCTAAAGAGAGAACGTACACTACAAGACAGGAATGCCATCTACGAGAAGGAGATCGTCGCACTTCGGAATGAAAAGAGAGGTGACAAGTCCTCAACTGGAGGACAGAAGGACAACTCAAGGTAAGTGATCCAGAGGTCATGTCAGCCATAAATGGACATGACACTTACACACATTCAATCAATCAATCAATCAATCGATCAGCGTCGTACCAAGGGGAGGAAAGAATATTGAGGAGCTCGAGAGCAAGATGTACAAGATGCAGGAGGATCTGACGATGAGCTACAAGCGTAACGCAGAGACGGCTAGCCAGATGCTCAGTTTGACTGACCGAAACAAGAACCTACAGGACGAGCTGCTCTCCAAGGATATAGAGCTGGAGCGCGTGCGATCCATGCTGACGACAGGCGACGAAAACTACAAGAGACTAGAGTCGGTCATCGAGGAGAAGTCCACCATCACCAAGATACTCACCGACGAGCTGTCGGCACTACAGAGCGAGTTCCTGCACAACGAGAGCAAGGTCAGCAAGCTGGAGCAGGAGAATAGCGAGCTGATCGAGCGATGGATCCGCAAGAAGAATGAGGAGGCCAGCAAGATGAACGAAGCCAATGACTTTTATCACAAGATGGTCGAGCAGAGGGAGCATCAGGTATGTATGATATGATATGATTGATGTGATGTGATCACATTCATCGTAACCATCATTCAATCACTCAATCAATCACTCACTAACACATACTAGTTTGTACATGTTAAGAATGATGAGATAAGTCTAAGTAATATATCCACGATCGACGTTGATGAGGAGATCGAGAAGTCATTGAATATTGACAGGCAGATGTATGTATCATGGATATCAATCAAACTGATGAGATAATGATGCTGACAATCATTCATTCAATGACAAAACACAGACCAACTACATCATTGATGCCATGCAAGTCGAGAAAGAAATGGTTGGCCCATCAGTCAGAGGTGTACTGTCTGGCCTTCAACTCGAATGGACAGATGTTTGCATCAGGTAGTAGCGACAAGTCTGTCAAGCTTTGGGACACCTTCTCATGTACACATAAAACAACACTGCTTGGAGCATCACAATCGATCATGTCGGTGGAGTTCTCGCCCAACGATGAACACATTCTTGGAACCAGCAATGACAACTCTGCCCGCTTATGGAATGTCGAGCTTGGTAGGCCACGCGTAAGTATTCATGAAATGACCCAGCTCAATCATTCATTCACTCACTCACTCACAAACGATCAATCAATCAATCAAACATTTATTAGCATACACTCACTGGACATATTGGCAAGGTCTACACTGGTAGATTCATACATGGCTCGGACAAGGTCGTGACAGGTAGCCACGACAGGACGATCAAGGTGTGGGACCTCCAGAAGGGATATTGCAATCGAACAATCTTTTGCTTTAGCAGTTGCAATGACTTGGTCACCATGTCTGGCGGCTCAATGGTGGTCAGCGGCCACGTGGACCACAGCGTCAGATTCTGGGATCCAAACAGCGGCGACACCGTTCACCTGTTGTCGTCTGTTCATGAGGGACAGATCACATCGATCTCTCAGTCAGTGGACCCACATCAGATCCTCACAAACTCTCGTGATCACACTCTCAAAATTATCGACATCAGGACTTACGACACGGTCAGGACCTTCAAGGATCAGGACTATCGCAATGGACTGAATTGGACACGCGCAAGTTGGAGTCCAGATGGCAAATACATTGCCTCTGGTTCCATTGATGGCTCTGTCTGTGTATGGAATGCTCTATCGGGCAAGACCGAGAAGATCCTAACCAAGGTTCACAATACGTAAGTTGAAGTTTAATTGATTGAATGATTGAATGATTACTAATATTATTATTATTTAGAGGATCATCTATTTGTTCAGTTGCATGGAGTCCCACTGGATACGCATTTGTCAGCGGTGACAAAGACAAGAATATCGTCCAATGGGAATAACACCTATTAAAACTCTTACAACTTTTCTCCACTCTCCAAGTCTTGTACTATTGATCAATCTTATTGATCCAGGTCGTTTTCTCTACATTTGGCACAAGTCGGCAGGTGCCATCTTGATCTTAACATTGATATCTTTGAGACTTCCATTGCTTTCTCCATCGAATAGGATCTATGAACATTCTATTAAAATCTTTGAGTTGGAATTCAAGTCGATCATTATTATCGAATGTCAATTGAAAAAGTGGACCTGGAATTCTAGGGTGACGGGTCCTCCAGATGTGTTTTTGCATCAGTTGGAATAAAAATAAACCTCGAAAGCAGGGACCAGTCCTATGGTTTTGATCTTTTGCAACCCGATAGATCTACATTGTTTAAACGAGTATGAGAGTGTGCCATGTCATTATCCTCAGATGATGAGGCACTCCAGACTTTTTACCGGACAATAATATAAGTGTTGGCACGGCACGGTAATCATAATACAATTGTTAGTCCAAATTAGTTTACAGACGTGTCAACTTGGAGTCTTGATGTCCTATGATATTAAGGAATACCACCTTACATTCCAACCCTGGGGGTTCAATCAGTATAAGTACCTATCTGAATGATCATACCAATTACTTCATCTTGATTATTATTATCATATATCTCATATTTATTAGTATTTGTAATAATAATCACAAAGTGTAGTTGTAACAAATAATTATTTATTATTACTACAACTACTACTTAAAGGTAAATAGACAGAAATTCATTAAACAACCTTCCACCATCGATCTCTTCCATTTTAGTATTTAGTAAACTGTTGACAACACTCACTACCACACCATATTATACGAGAGAGAGGGCTAATTAATGAGTGCCACTCACTGGTTTACCCACCTACACACAACACTACCACATTCTTTAACTCTCTCTTGTTCTTCCCACATATCCCTCAATATACTTTCATTCATTCACTCACTCATTCTTTCTATCATACTATCAATGTCATATGTTTATATCATTCAGATTCAATTTGAATGCAATTCATTCGTACACAATACTATTATAGAAATATTATTTAATATTAAATATATTTTCATTTAATTATTTATATCCCAACTGCAGTATTGTTCTTGAACATAGCAGTAGTTACCCTCACTGAGACATCTACCACACCGCGCCACGAGTCAGCTCTCTCTCACTCACTGAACAATATTATCAATCCTTATATATTCTTTCAAAACAACATATATCACTACTACTACAACTATATTAATTAGCAACCAACTTGGTCATAACACTCAGCTGTCTATCTAATACATTGACACTGACTGACTTACTGATATTGCGTATAACACAACACTGACCATTTGTTCGAATATTAATATATTTATTATATAATATTACTTGTTTATACTCATTCCACGTACACACATACATAGACACTAACTTGTTTTGAAACAATACGACTCAACACCAACCAAACCAACAAACAAACAAACAAACAATGTTCAACTCAATCGCAGCTACCATTGGATCTTCATCTATTCTTCATCAGAACGCTGCTATGAAACAGGACGGTATTGGTCTAAAGAGAAGCAAGAACTTAATATCCAGCGACTTTGATTCACATTCCAAATCCCTATTCAACAACTCCTCCGACTTATTTGGAAATAGCAGCAACAGCAGCAACAATATCGACAGCAACAACAACAACAATAATAATAATAATAGTAGCAATAATACATACAGCTCAAGGACATCAATATCTTCACCATTGTTCTCATCACCTTTTCAATTGGGCACGACCAAAGATAATAATTCACCACAATTCCCATCAATGCCAGACTCATCAGTATCACTGCTGGACCAACAGCATGACAATGACTTCACAATCAATGACCTGACAACGGCCGATTTGGATCAGGTGCGCGAGCAGTCATTTGACAACTCAACCACAACCAGACAACGTCTATCATTCATTGGCAATTGGCTGCTGCTTCAAATAAGGACGAGTACCTATCATACATGGATTAAGCTTGCACTACTTGTATTGGTCATTGTTGGAATATGTCTTGCTGTATTTGTATTCAAACTCCAGACACATCTCGATGTACTTCAGACCATGGTTGACAAGTTTGGCATTGTACCTGGAGGGCTAATATTCGTTGCCATATTCATCTGTCTAATTCTATTCTTGGTACCAGTTACTATTCCAACAATTCGTATGTACCCTCCTAGTGTCCCATCACTCGTTCAATGACATCTAACCTTGTAATTCTATCAAACAGTTGCTGGTATCATCTTTAAATTATGGTTCGGTATCTTATTCGTCTGGTGCTCCTCAATGCTTGGAGCAACGATCGCATTCTTGCTTGGCAAATATGTGTTCCGTGACTCAATACAAAAGAAGATCGAGAAGAATAAGAAGTTACAAGCCATTGACCAAGCCATTGGACAAGAGGGATGGAAGATTGTCTTGTTGTTGAGACTGACACCCATCGTTCCCGAGGCCATACTTAACTATGCATTGGCTGTGACCAATGTCAACTATATCCCCTATATAATTTGCACTGGTATTGGTTTGGTACCAGGTGTATCATTGTAAGTATAGTCAATGAATTAATGGAATAGTCCCAACTGATACTAATACTCAATCAATCAATCAAAAAATAACAGCTTCATCTACATGGGAACAATGATTGGAAATATATCCGAGATTGGAAAGAGGAAGCCCATGGGCAAGTCTGACATCATCATGTACGCAGTGTCTGGTGTTGCTATGATTATAGTACGTATCAAAACTTCATACTTTTCAAGATACCCTTCATACTTGTTATACTAACAATCACCTCCCTCATTCAATCACTCACTCATTAGACCATCGCCTTCATTACAATCATCGTCAGGAGAGCAATTAACAAGAAGCTTGACTTTGAGGAGAATAGAGGCATACTGGACGAGGAGGCCAAGGAGAGACTTTTGGATGAGGATATCGTTCAAGAGCCAACTGAGAGAACGCCAATCTTTGTGATGCCATGATCAAAAGATTACAGTGTATATATATTTATATAAATATAATGTGTATAAGGCCAAACAATACTTTAACGACGGATGGACAATCATCCCCTAGTTAAGATAACATGATGATGTTGTTTAACATGTCCGTCCAATCTACACTCTGTGTCATCATATCACCTGACATATATGTAGGTGGTCAACTACCACCTTGAGGGGTGCTTGCGTGTTAACATTGCTCATCATCCATGTTGATCAACCAGATTAGATATGTGTGTGTTGTGTTCCATTCCAATTCCTACTCATTGGCGATGCTATCGTCATGGTGACTATACACGAAAGTTGTAACTTGAGTTAGCCATTGATTGGCAACTTCACTTCATCCTTCTTCTTTCCAGATAGTTGTCTCTTCTCTCTGTCATTGGATGTCGATAGTGGCCCAGGTTACCCAGTCAGTTCCATTTCCCAATTCTATCTGGGGTTGGGAACATTATTTGATCGCCTTCTCTTCCTGTGAATTATCTTTTCAAGCCTCTGTTGCCTCGACCACACAACCCCATGCAAGGCCAAAGTGGTGCTTCAAATTTAGTCGACCACTCGTTTGAAAGGGTGCATTTTGATTGAAAACGACCTAATTTGGCTTTATGAAGTGCACGTCCTTGCACCAATATCTGTCATTTTGATTGACTTCGCCATACAACCTAATCGTGTAAATGGTCACTTGATTGTCGGTCACATCGAAAAGAATGTAGGGAGTTGTAACCGTGGTTACATTGTCATATAACGGAACTCTGGAACTCATTGACTGGTTACCATCCACACACATACACACACATACAACCAATACTCATACTTACATACACATGTCATACCATGTAACTATGTCTGTGACTGACTGACATTCAACCAACAATGTTGACGACTGACCATCCATCAATCAATCAACCATCCAATATAAATACTGATCACTTTTGTTCATTACAAATCACTTCAGTCTAATAATAATAATCAATTATCACTTAAGCAAAGCCTTACCGCTCAATCAATCAAACATATATAATACAATGTACAAGCTCGTCCTCGCCCTCATCGTCCTCTCATGCGTCTACACCGCCAACGCCTCCACCTGTGCCTCCACCGGTTGCCCATCCAACCAGGCCTGTTACGGAGCCGCCGGCAGCCAGCCATCATGCTACACCTACGGTAACTGTGGTATCGTCCCATGCCCATCCGGTCAGTCATGCCTCGTCATCAACGGTCATGCCACCTGCGTCAACCCAACCACCTGCCCAACCTGCCCATCCAACTCTGCTTGCTACTTCTTCGCCGGTACCGCTTCCCCATCATGCTACACCTACACCAACTGTGGAATCGTCCCATGCCCAGCTGGTCAGTCATGCCTCACCACCCCAACCGGAGGTCGTCAGTGCGTCAACGCTCTCTAAATTCAATACACAGGTTAATACAATGTAATAAATTGATTAACAATGCCTTCCTTTGGATGGCCTTCTAGTATAAACTATATATATATCCTCTCTCTCTTGATTGCTTGATTTATTGGACATTAATGTTGATGGGTGACTTGAATCTCCATCGACTATTACTGTTGTTGTTGCCACTACTACTACTTTTTAGGCCGCCAAAGATTGGCGCGCGAGTAATACCAAGACGCCAGAGTATACCTCGTTGTGATGGTGGTCCAATGTACACTGTTGAGATTGTACATCTCTTTTGATGTTTGTTTATACATAGTGCCCAATCATTGTCCACTCTCCTCACTTGCACCACCCTGCTGTCTTGATACAATTGATACGAGTCGGCAAGATGTGGTAAACTTGTGACCAATGAATTGATTGTTCGCACTGCATTTCCAGTGTCTTGATACAAGTTGATCATTCTCAATGGTCTGATGTTGTTGTTTGTTTGTGCGCTGATTGGTGAAGTGTTGTTGATGTTGTTGTTGTAGTACTTGCAAACATATTGGAATGAACAATCAAAGAATGAAAGTGATGTGAGTGAGCTGAGTATGCCTGGTTCAATATCTTGCTTATAGTTGGCGCTTAAAATCAGATTGGTGATTGAGCGTGGATACCAAGAGGAGTGCAAGGGATGATCGAAGCATCCTCCAAGTGTGAGAGATGTGAGTGAGCCAGGTAAGGTATCAGGTTTGATTGGCTTCTCATTGTGGAAGCCAAAAGTAATCGATAAGAGTGATTGAGGTAGGGATCTTGGTGCGAGATGACGGTTGAACATGTATCCAAATCGCAGGTCTTTGAGCTTGTCTGGCAGAACTCCACAGGCAATCTCTCTGTTGAAGTAGTACCCCAGCGTAAGCTGAGTGAGCGAGGCTGGTAGGACACCACGAAGAATTGTACAGTCGAAGCTGCCACCTAGATTCAATGTTGTGATCGAGTCTGGCAGGGAGCCGGGGGAGATGTCCGAGTCGAACGAGTTGCCAAAGGTCAGACTGGTGAGTGACTGGGGGAGGCACTGAGGTGTGATCTTCTGATTGAAATGGCCACCTAGTGTCAGGGTCTTTAATGATGGAGGTATATGACTGAGTGGAACATCGATGCATGGACCTCCCGCCAGACTGAGTTGATTGAGAGATGTTGATAAAACCCCAGGTGTTCTCAAGTCGTTATATGAAGCTGTCTTTATAGTTGCAGTTGTTGTACTAGTTTGTTGTTGTACTGATGATGACCACATTGAGAATTGGTCCACTTTGTAATACATGTACTTGGAGGACAGCCCAAGACAAACAATGTCAAGTCCATTGCTGTTGTTGTCCAACAATGAATTGAATATCATTCGTAGTATAATGTCTGGTAGTGAGTCCATCAAAGTTATTATTATTATTATTAAATTTGTGAGTATATGTATTGATGAGCTAAACAAAATGAAAGAGTTTTGATCACTGATGGTTCCAATCTATCCCACACATTTCGATGCAACCCATTGCACACCCCATTCAATTTATCTGATCAAATTGTTTGTGGGGATTAATTAATTAAAATCCAATGAGCATTTAAATGTTCTTAATTATTGTGTTAATCAAAAATAAAAACACATTTAAATACATTATTGGCATTTATGTATGTTTGAATATAGTTGTTTGGTTAATGTTGGTTGACAAAGCAATAACATATAATTGATTGATTGATTGATTGATTGGGCCTGGCATGCACGCCACTCACTCACTCACTCTTGATCATTACTTGTTCATGGAAGCAACAGCCTTGATGGCAGCGTCATCGAGGTCGATGGCAGTGATGATATTCAATCCACTCTTCTCCAGAATTTGTTGACCCAGCTCGACGTTGGTACCGGCCAGACGGACGACCAGGGGGATCTTCAGACCGATGCTGTTGCAGGCGTTGACGACTCCCGCGGCAATGATGTCGCACTTCATGATACCTCCGAAAATGTTGACCAGGATGGCCTTGACCTGGGGGTCGGCCGAGATGATCTTAAAGGCCTCTGTGACCTGCTTCTCAGTGGCACCGCCACCGACGTCCAGGAAGTTGGCTGGGGTGCCCTTGTGCAGCTTGATGATGTCCATGGTGGCCATGGCCAGACCGGCTCCGTTGACCATGCATCCAATGTTGCCGTCCATGCCAATGTAGTTGAGACCAAACTTGCTGGCCTCGACCTCACGTGGGTCCTCCTCGTTGACGTCGCGCATGTCAAACACGGCCTTCTGGCGGAAGGATGCGTTGTCGTCAAAGTTGATCTTGGCGTCCATGGCGTAGATCTTGCCGTCGGTGGTCTCGGCGAATGGGTTGATCTCGACCTGTGTGGCATCAGACTCGATGAACAGTTTGTAAAGGTTGACCATCTGCTGCTGGGCAATGGCCAGGTTGGCGCCCTTGAAGCCAAGCTTCTGTGCCAGGCGCAGGGTCTGCTCGGGCTGAATGCCCTTGAAGATGTCGATGGGCTCCTTGAAGATGAGCTCAGGGGTCTCCTCAGCGACGGCCTCAATGTCGACACCACCCTTTGGCGAGGCGACGAGGACGGGGCCTCCGCTGGAGCGGTCCATCAAGATGGCAAAGTAGAGCTCACGGGCGGGGTCGACCGACTCGGCCAGCATCACCTTTTGGACGAGAGTGCCATCCTTGGTGGTCTGCTTGGTGACGAGGTGCTTGCCGAGCATTTCGCCGGCCAGACGCTCAGCCTCGGCGCCAGTCTTGCACAGGTGGACGCCACCCTTGAAGCCGGTCTCTGTGAAGGTACCCTTGCCACGGCCTCCAGCATGAACCTGGGCCTTGACCACCAACTCCTTAGCATTGAGCTCCTGAGCAGCCTTTGTGCACTCTGATGCCTTTGACACCACACGCCACTTCTGAGTGTTGACTCCATACTTGTCCATCAAGTACTTGCTCTGATACTCGTGCAAGTTCAAGTGACGCACCTGTTGTTGTCCAGGGTTGAATCTCAAGAATCCCTTTATATTATTGTTATTGTTGATTATATGTTAGATACCCTGTATTTAGGTCCATATCGGACATGTCCGTTCCGTTGTCGCATCATCCTGTCCAGTGATCCGATCGATTGTTTGATTGATTGATTGAATGAAAACTACAAACATACAGCAGTCTGGGTGATTGGCAAACGGACTTTGTTGAACAAAGACATGTCTATCTTTATATATAGTATGTGTGAGTAGTATAATAGGAGTAATTACAAAGAGACCTCTTGTACTTGGATAGCGAACTCTAAAGTTGATCATCACCCACACAATCAAAAGCACCATCAGGCCCCACATGGGCCCAACACAACACAAATAAAATTTTAAAAAAACAAATCATTTTCGTCTATCTCCTCATTCAATTCCATCTGAACAATACTGATGTCACCAGACTAGATTGGCCAGATGATCAAGTGCACTGATCAGGTATCTGTTGTTGTCCAACTATTGATTGATTGATTGGTTGATGGAAGTGATGATGGTATGATTATTACAAATAACAAGGAATAGTATTACTTTATGGGAATGATTGATTTGTTTGTTGGTAGTTGGATGTTGTTGGGTAAGTTACAAAGCTGTCTACCTTAATAATAATATTGATTGATTGGCTGGAGGAAGAAGAAGAAGGTGGAAAAAGGGGGGGAGTTTAAAACATTGATCCAACAATACCTTGACCACAAAGTGGATACTTCCTGGTGTAGGTGAACTTGGTCCAGCGGGAGGTGGGGATGTCAAAGACATAGTTGTCGTTCTGATCAAAGAGGAAGATACGTGTCTTGGAGTCGTAGATCAGTGTGGGACGACAGGTGGTGTTGGTCAGTGGCGGGTAGTCAAGGTTCTCAAACTTCTTGGTGTCAATGTGGAAGCGTCTAAACACTGTTTGAGTGATGTAGTAGATGGACTCGGCCTTGCCATCGATCACCGCACCCTGAACCAGTCCACCCGTGCCCAGCGACGAGTACAGTGTGCTCTTGTTCTCTAGCGTGTCGTAGCACTCGATCTCCTTGCTGGCGCGGCCATTGACCATCATGCCACCGACCAGGTAGATGTAGCGGCCGTCGTAGCAGGGGAACACGGTGTACTTGTGCTTGAGCATTGGCGAGAGCGGCTCAAACTGCTTGTTCGAGGTGTTGTAGCGCTCGTTGCGGTGCACGATCTGGTGGTACTGCTTGGTGTCCTCGTGCACCTTGCCTCCAAACAGGTAGATGTACTTCTTGCCGTCGTAGGTGGCACCAATGCCACCGCCTCCCCTGTTGAGCTTCTCTGTGGACTTCTCCCATTGTTGCTTGGCCAAGTTGAAGCGGCGGAATGTTGTGATGCTGTAGTTGCCTCCAAACACATAGATGTACTTGCCATCGGCAACACACGACGATGATACAAAGGGCAGGCCTTCGGTGGCCGTGCTCTTGAGCGCCTTCCAGTCGTTCTTCTCCACGTCGTACTTGAACACAGTGGACAGGTCCATGCCATTCTCATTCCAGCCTCCGATCGAATAGAAGTACTTGATGCCCTCGTTGGACGATGGATTGTTGATCAACGACAGCTTGCTATCCTTCTTGGACTTGTCCGAGATGCTCGACGGGCTGTGCTCCTTGTTCTGCTGCTGTGTGGTGAGAGTTGGCGAGGTGGCTGGTGTCGACGTCTGCGATGGCACCTGCTGGGCGGCCACCAAGGCCGTCGTCTTCTTGACCTTCTTGACCGAGCCAATCGTCTGTACACGCTCCATCAGTTGCTTGCGCACATCGACGCTCATGTCCACATCAAAGTTGACCGTCAGCTCGGTGGCGTCCTGCAGATGCTCATTCCAGTTGGCACGCTTCAGGTTGGAGTAGTTCTCAATGACCTCGAACTTCTTGGTGCGGTGCAGCTCGCCTGGGGTGCTCTTCTGGTAGGTCTTGGCATTCTCAATGTGTGGCTCCACGTTGGAGATGTCGCGGTCCAGCAGGGTGATGCGCTTGAGCAGCTCGGCCTTGGACAGCTCGTACTCGTTGGTGATCTCCTTGTCCAGAGTCATCTCGCGGTGCTTTATAAGGAATTGGAGGTCCTTGAAGTGCTCGACGATGGCCGATCGACAGTTCTTTGTGTTGTCCTCCAGGTTGTTGAGCATCTTTTGGAGGTGTGCGCGCTCCTCCCTCAATGCCAGATTGTCATTGTTGGCCGTGTTGAACAATGACACCATATCACTGAATTGATCCAATGATACCTCATCGAATGTTGTATGTTGTTTATGCTCCGTTGCCAAACATAATTGACATATTGGCTTAATACAATCCTTACAATATCCAACATAAGTCTGCTTTGGATGATCATGACAACATCTCTCTGCTGGTGTTGTTGTTGTTGGCGAAGTTGGTGTTGTTGGTGAAGTTGGTGATGCTGTTGTTGTTGTTGTCGTTGGAGTAGTCTGCTCTTCAGTGGAAGTTGACTGTTGTGGTTGTGGTTGTTGTTGTTGTGGTTCTGTTGCTATGACTGATGGTTGTTGAGGTTGTTGTTGATCATCAGTGTTACCATCACTTGTGGTAGATGGTGGATTCTGCATTTTATATGTATATCCTTTATCTCTATCTATCTAATCACAATGATGTAATGTTGTGTGTGTTGTTTGAGAACAAAGTTGTAATTAGTTGGAAAAGATTGAATGAATGATGTCACAAAGGGTCGACCTTCAAGAAAAATCAAATCTTGGGTCCTCACCACAAGGTCACTTTATCTTATTCAACAACAAACACATAATAATATCTTTATTTATTTATCTATCTCTTTGAGTAATAATAATAATAATCAGTAATCTGATAAACAATTGATATCAATTTGTTTCTCTTTTCTTCTGTAGTGTAAGTTGAGAGAATGGGCTGGTGGTAGTGTTTGAGAATATCTTCGAGTTGTTCGGAAGTGAGTTTCATGAGATCTTGAAGTGTAGAGGGGAAGTTTGGAGCAGCAGTATTGGTAATATGGTCATGTATTGGTAAGAGTAACATTGTTGAATCATCTTCAAGTGAATATTTATTTACAAGTCTTGCACCTTCATTAATAATAGAATCCAATCTATTCAATATAGGAGTAAATGCATTTGCGATTGTCTTTAAACCATTTACATCTTTAACAAATTGTTGGAACCATGCAGGAGGAGGTTCAGGAACCAATTCACCATTCTTATCATCATCATCCAAACGCAATATTGAACTATTCTCTGTAATATCTTTATTGTTCTTCATTATTATTAATATGTATTTGTTTTTGAAATAATAATTAAAAGGAATGTATTTATTAAATATTATTAATGACCTTATTTGAGGTCAAGGAACAACATGGAGGTGTAGATGGTGTTGGGGTTACCTGGTTGGCAGAATCCAAAGGCATGAACTTCTGGAGATGTAAGTCTTCCAAAGTATCCATGTATGTAATCGATGCCTGATTGATGAATGCATATTGCATTTCGGTCATCATATCTTCGAATATGTATTAAATCTCGATCCATTGTCATTAGATGATATGTTCCAACATTGGGTACATACTTTATCAATAGTTTGATTGACCCAATGACTTGATTGAAATCGGTTGGATGGAAGCATGTTACATACAACTCATCCAACTCCATCTCTAATGATAGTGACAACTTGTGATCTGGAAACAGAAATTCCCTAATACCAATTGATCGAACTGGTGTTGGAAGGGCACCTTCATATCTAAAATGTTTGAATGTGCCAAGCGTGAGGTGTCTGAGACTGGCTGGCCATCCAACCTTGTCCTTGGGCTGACTGTGTGATTGGCCAATTGCCAACCTGGTTACAGATGAAGGTACAACACCATGGTCCAATGGTTTGTTGTACCATTTGCCAAAGATGAGCGTCTTGAGTGATTGAGGGAGCAATGATGTTGTGATCTTCTTGTTGTATCCTCCTAGATTTAGTGAGGTGAGTGATTGTGGCAAAGATCCATTCGCAATGCCACCCTTGAAACTCTCACTTAGGACAAGATAAGTGAGTGAGTCTGGTAGTACACGAGGAGTCAACTCGTTGCGGCCCAATGATAACTTTAGAAGTGATGTTGGTAGTATTCCAGGTGTGATGCTCTGTTTGTACTCTTCACCAAACATCAATGATGTCAAAGAGGGAGGGAGCACGCTTTGTTGTAAAGGTTGTTGGAACGCTGATCCGAAAGATAATGAAGTTAATGTCGTTGGTAGTGTATTTGGTGGGATAGGATGATTGAACACTGAATGTTGTTCGAATGCCAATTCCAAGAGAGGTTGAGGTAGTGATCCAGGAGTGAGTGGTTGGTTAAACTTGGCATCAAACAACAACTCTGTCAAAGTACTGGGTAACAATGATAATTGATGGTTTGAACACGTTCTTGATGTTAAAGGTACATCATCCTCTTCTTCTTCTTCATCATCTTCGTCTACTTCTTCGTTGGAATGAGTAATATGACCATCAAAATGATCAATTGATGGTCTTGTAAGATGAAGTTGAGCAAGAAGATGTTTACATGTTAGACACAAAGATACAGCATCAATGTCATCTAATCTTTGTATTACTGATCTTATCAATAATATATTATCCATTAATATATATATATTAAAGTATTTTATATATTTGAATGATTGATGAAGATGGGTGAGTGAGATATTTGTTGAGATGATTCGTTCGTTCAACAGATATTTTTTAATTAATATTTATCCAAGTGTTAGAATGTGATGGACTGCGACACGATCCAAACGGTGAAGAAGATCCTTCTATCTGATTCCTGGAATTGATCATCAATCTTGATCTTAACTTTTTGTGGTCACGTGACTTCTTCTTGATCACAGACATGACTATGGTTGTTGAATTTGATAGGGTGGCGTGAATGAATGGTGATGAAGAACTTCTAAGTATACATATAACATAATTTTGATCAAGTCTACGAATAGAGTATTCAATTGGTGATGGCTGTCTGGAAAGTAAGTTGATTGTGGCAACATATGGAATAGTCTTGGTGAGATTCTTGACTGCAGTGTACAAGTGATCGGCAATACAACTAGAGTCCAAGTACATGAATGGTAAATATACAGATGATAACTTGTTATCAATGAATGGCATGTGAGAGTACATGTCACCAGGATACTCCTTGATACCAAATGACTCCAATGTTGATGGTATTCTTGAACTCTGAATATAACATATTTGTTTACAATTGTTTAGTTGAAGATGTTTGAGTCTTGGCGGCCAATCTACACAATCACAAGGTTGGTTGAATGAACTTGATATCTCCAATCTTGTAAGTGATGAAGGTAGTGTGTTGGCGGGTATTGAGCTGGCCTGACCCATAATCAAAGTCTTCAGAGAAGGTGGGAGCATCTGAGGTCTGATCAACAATCGACATCCAAACTCCAATGAAGTCAAAGTCGAAGGGAATGCATTATCTTGTATCACATCACTGTAGAATGATAATGATAAAGTATTTAGGTTGGGCTGGATAAAGATACCTGGTGCTATTGGTCCAAATTGATGTAGGGCCAGCTTTAAGGTGGTGATCAGAGGTAGTTGTGATATTTCTATTATTGATGTTGTCGCCATTGATCCTGGATTGTTGGTTGACCACATTCCGGCTCGACACGTTAATGAAGTGAGCGACCGGGGGAATGCTCCAGTGTCAACTGCTTGACGGTCTAACTTTAGTGATCGCAGGCCAGCTGGCAATGCACCTTTAGCAATCGAATGTTGATCGGTATTATAATTATATGATTCTATATATGTCAATTGAGTGAGGGATGCTGGTAACAGACCAGGTGTCAACTTCTGGTTGAAAGTTTCTCCAAATGTCAATGAAGTCAAAGTCATTGGAAGTAGTCCTGGTGATATATCAGTTGTTGCATATATTGTCATTTCATTCTCAATCAATTGAGGATTAAGTATATTATTATTAAATACTAATAACCATTTATCAAATGATAATAATAAACTTTGTATTAATTGTTGTTTCAACTTATATAATCTTTTACATGATAGACATAATGATATAATATCCAAGTCTATCAAAGAACTTCTAACAATATATTTGAGTATAAGTGTTGATAAACTATCCAATGTCATTATTACTACCTATTATTATTATTCTTATATGTAGATAAGATAGATATTAAGAAGTGGATTTACTTTTAGTCAGAGATTGACTTGGAAGTGTAGACTGTAATTCTTTCATTCAGCCAGTCAGTAATTGAACCCGGAACATTCGTTCATTCCATTTTGTTGGGGGGCTAAACGCAAAGAAGCTTGACAAGATCTCATTCTATCCAAACTTAGAAATTGCCTCTTGTGGTAACATAGCACTTGCAAGATTATAATCTTAGACTTGTCGACAAGACACATCTTGTATCTAACTAACAAACTTGTTTACTTTCATCAATGTCATAGTACATGTAGTAGTACAACTTGAACAAATATTTGATCATCACCTTGTTCTTGTGTTGGTGGAATCGGGATGATACAATGCTCTCCAATCCGAAATTGAACATCAACTTTAATTTAATCAATCCCCCAATAAGGGTGTGGTATCCTGATCCAATCAATCATTCATCATAGATCACTGTGAGGGTGCTGGTGTATCACTCACTAATTGAACTTGTGTGATGTTGTTACTAGAGTTAGAGAATAGTAGTAAGATACACACATAGAAAGAAATATAATAATAATATGGAATCAGTAATAATAACTGGAGGACAAGGATTCATTGGAAGTTGGGTTGCAAGAGAACTATTACTTGGTGAGAAGAAGTATAATGTTGTAATAGTTGATGTGAAGCCAGATGATCATATTTTGAAACAGGTGTTGACAACTGATCAATTGACAAGGATACAATGTCATTACATTGATATTGCCAACACGGCACAAGTGAACCAATTGGTTCAAACGGTGCAGCCTGCATTCATTGTTCATTTGGCCGGTCTCCAGATACCAACATGCCGAACAAACCCCATCCTTGGAGCTCAAGTCAATGTCATTGGTACTCTCAACGTGTTTGAAGCCGTTCGTCAGTTGCCCAACAAGTGTCCCATCATCTATGCATCGAGCGCAGCAGTCAGCGGTCCGAGCGAAGACTACGATGGACCAGTCACCGACACTGCTCATCACCACCCTCTCACGCACTATGGCGTGTTCAAGCAGGCCAACGAGGGATCGGCACGCGTCTTCTGGATGGACCACCGCATCCCGAGTGTTGCTCTCAGACCCTTCACCGTGTATGGCGTTGGCCGTGAGGTAGGTGTCACGTCCTCCCCCACCAAAGCAATCAAAGCCTTCCTTCTGGAGCGTGACTATGTAATACCATTCAGCGGACCACTGTGTGTCAACTATGTAGAGGACATTGCACGTCTGTTTATAGAGTTGGGCAGATGTAAGCTTGAGGGCGCCTACACCTGCAACATCAAAGGTGATGTACTCGACGTTCAAGATTGGGTAACAATGGTCAAGCAGCTAAAGTCACAACAACCAACCACTATCAAGGTTGAGGGTGGCAAGCTTCCATTCCCAACAAGCTTCACAGAGGAGACACTTGCCAAACTACTTGGTGACGAACGTATCAAAACCACTCCACCAAACATTGGCATCAAGAAGACCTACGACCTATTCCTCTCGCTTCAACAACAAGGTCTATTAGACAGCAGAGACCTCTAAACAATGTCTTTCAGTCAATCATTCATAATCAAATAACAATATTCATGATAATGATTGATTCATTGTTGTATCTGTTCATTTATATCTATCTTATCTATCTTTGTAGCATCATCACATGTATATCTATCTCTCTCTCTCAATAACTTGCGAATGAATGACTTGAATGGAAATGAACAAATAAATTAAAATAATCCATTTTGAGTGTGTTGACATTGTTTGACACACAAACACAACAAAACAAGACCCACTAAACACACTTCTATCTCTAGGTCACACATTACCAAACAGTCATACACACATACACTCAAACAAACACACACACTTTGTCACGGCACTACTTTGCGTTCATTCACTCAACAACGAACATTTCATTCGCTCTAACTCTCTCTCGTTATCTCTTTACACAAACAACCAACAAACAAACCACAATCCATCCATCCATCCATCCAATTGATACTTATAACTTCAACTTTATCTCTATCTATCACTTAACATTGGTCATTCATCCATTCATTCCATTCAAGTTAAAGATTGAACCAACAACATTTGTAATCTATTGTATTGTAATCCTTATTTAAAATATATATATATATATAATATAATACCTATATAATCAATCAATCAATCATGTCTTGCTCAGGTTGTGGAGATAATGCAGTAAAGTTTATGTGCAAAGTATGTCAGGACTTTCAATTATGCTACCCTTGCTTTGATGATGGCATCGAGATTGATGGCCATCGAACTAATCATGCCATGAACCCTCTGGACAAGTCATGTATGTGTTACACACCCTATCATCAATCACATAGCCATGTACTGACATCCCCTCACAACTTAGACTTTGAAGATGATGATGATGACGATGACAATATCGGAGATGATGACGAGTTGATAGAGAATGACGATGAAGAAGTGTTTAATGAAGATGATGATGATGTAAATGAGGATGAAGAGGATGATGATGACGATGATGATGATGACGATGATGAAGATGACGATGACAATCAATTGGACCTGTCATATCTCGAAGAGATCGATGCATCATTCAGCAAACTGTTCCAGACATCATCAGTGACATACAAGTGCCCCTATTGCAACCAGGATGGCTTGGTGGAGGCCGCCCTGATCGATCACTGCACACGTCAACATCAGCACGACAGGAAGCAGGTTGTCTGTCCAATCTGTGCCATTCGTCCAGGTGGCGACCCTAACTATGTCAGCAAAGGATTCATCGGACATCTCAGTCTGAGACACTCGCGGCCCTCTGCACACCTGCCCAGTCTCGACCTGTTGTCCTCACTGGTCGGCTCATCATATCCCAACATAAAGGCACTGAAGCAGCAGATGGAGGTCGAGCGTCAGGCTGCGGGCAAGAGTCCCACCAGACAATCATACTCGGCCCAATTCGATCCGTCGTCAATCTTCTCACTGCTGCAACACCCCGCCGTACTGGGAGCGGGCGGTGGCAATGGCGCGGGCGGAGGCAGCAGCAGTAGCAGCGCGACCAACAAGATCATAGACTCATTCGCTGGCATCAACTTTGCCGATTTCAATCTAAAGGATAGCGCGCTGTCCAAGGCCATTGCCAACGGCTCGCTCATCAACAGCATTAGCAACGGCAACATTGCCAGCAACTCTAAATCCAGCGACAGCAGCAGCAGCAGTGCCGGTAGCGGCGTCATTGCTCTGCAGCAACACCTCCTCAAGCAGCAGCAATTGATGCAGCAGCAGCAACAGCAGCAGCAGCAAGACTCACCTGTAAAGATAAAGAAACCCCAGCTCGACGACATCAAGCCGACAGCGACCACCGAAGAACAAGAGCGCACCAAGAAAGAGAACGTATTGAAGAGTGTATTTGTACAGGACCTGCTCTACTCGGCCATTTTCTCATGAGCAGCTGATGCGACTGGCTTCTCTCCATCCTCCCAACCCTGTCATATATAAATAGAGTACCCTCCTCATCAAGCTGGCTGGCTAACGACCCTGCTTGCAAAGGTGTTGGATTGATCTCCTCACCTACCCAATCATCCACCCTCCCAACCTCGTCATCCATTACCATCCACCATTATGAAGTAGACTTGTCTTTGTATATTTGTACGTTCGCGTCTCTATTGGATAGTGAGCCGCGTTTATTGCACGCCTAGGCGTGTATATCATGATGCTTAGAATGAGTTGAAGATGATAGGACTTGAATCCAAGGACTTAATCAACCTTCTTGCTAACCTTGGACTTGGTGCCCTTGAGATCATCGTACTCAGCCTTGAGCCTGTCGTACTCGCGTGTCAAACCCTCTGATTGGGACTTCATGGCCTTGAACTCCTTCTCCATCTTGCGCAGCTTGGCAACCTCGTCCTCGAGATCCTTGTTCTCGCGAAGCATCTTGTCGGTCTGGGTCTTGTTCTGCTCGGCCTGCTTGATGACGGCGTTGCTCTTGTTCTCGACAGAGGTCAGCTGCTGCACGACCGACTGGGCGCGGTAGATCAGGAAGAAGAGGTACAGGGTGAAGCCGGTCAAGTAGATGTTGCGCTGGAATCTGAACAGACGCAGGTAGAGGCTGTTGCGCTCGTGGGCGTGCTCCTCGTTGTGGATCTTCTTGTCGATGGCCAATGAGTTCTGGATCGAGTCGGCAAAGATACCGAGCAGGATGACAAAGACGACGCGGAAGATGATCTTGGTAGTGTGGCCATCCAACAATCTGCTCAAACCTGAGAATATAGACTTTCTCATGTTCATTGATATTGGTAGCATTGCTGTCGTACAAACAATAATCTCTATCAAGAGAATTATGAATATTGCAACCATAAAGAACTCCATTTCTTATTATCTAATAACTAATTATCTATATAACTATTTATGTACAAGTTTATATAAATATTTATGTGAGTGAAGTGAATGAATGACAAGTGTGTGAACAAGTTGCTTTGTTTATTGACCTGTGGTGCATGTTCACAATCTTGCTAAACTGAACAAGTTGTTTTGTTTATTTATGTGGATCTGGACAAACTAGGTTAATTTGTGAGTCATTGGTGTTTGATGACTAGGCCTTCTGGACATGACATCATACACTATTATTTTGTATTAATATTATACAAATAAAGATATCATAAGTTAATAATTCAAAGTTAAGTTAAGAATTGATTGATCAAACCAACATTATTTAGTTCAATCAAGGGCTGTATAAATCAATTTAGCGAAGTTCGAAAACACTCGTGTTTTGATTTTTTGACATTTAAATTGGAATTTGATGTGAAAAGAGACGAAAACGAGTGTCCACTCCACCTTGCATTTCGATCAACAAACCAACAAACAAAGTATAATTGTCATTGTTGTTGTCAAAGACAGAGCCTGTATTGTTATTGTGTACTTCCAACCTTTATTCACTCATTCACACTCACTCACTCACTCACATTCACACACATATATACACTCACAATGGCAAAGGACAAGACATCATCAACATCGGTCGTGGAGAAGAAGTCGACTACTTCTAAGAAATCAGCGGTGGCTGCAGTGCCAGAGGTGGTCGTGGATAAGAAGAAGACTACTACCACAACAAAGAAGGTTGCTGCTGCTGCTACCACTGTGAAGGCTGCGACAACATCATCAGACAAGAAGATCAGCAAGAATGTAGAGACAAAGAAAGTTGAAGATGTGAGCGATGCTATTGTTGCGACTGATTCAGAGTCAGCATGGAAGAACATGGATATTACATCCGGTGGAAGCTTCATTGATGTCCATCCGATACTCGCTAGCAGCACGTAAGTATCATCGACTTGCAGAACTGATGATCGAGTGACACTAATCAATCAATCAATCAAATTGAATTGAATGCTTTAGTGATCTGCTGGTGGCATGCCTCAACAAGATATACGTATATAATCCACAGACTGGACAGGTGAAGAAGCAGATCATCTTAAAGTCATTCATTTCGGCAATGTGTCTGTCAAAGAAGCAGAAGAATGTAGTGTTGGTCAGCACTGTTGGATCACTCTTGCAGATTGAATTCGATAGCAGCAGCAGCAACAAGACAGAGTCTTCAAAGGGAACATCAACAACAGCATCATCATCAACAAGTAGCGAACAACAATATACAAAGCCATTGAAAGATCCAATCTCGTTGGCAACTGAGATCATTGTACATATGATCGTCGATCCCTCCAATCACGACCAGCTGTACTACTCGACACCAACGGGTGTGTTTAGAATCGACTTATCGCAGACACAGCAGCCAGCCACGCGTCTGATGTTCATCAGCTACCCACGCGGCATGGTGCTCAGCGACACTGGCCGCTTGCTGGCCGTGCACTCTAACAATGTGAACATCCAGATCATCAATTTGCAGTCGGGCCTCGAGAAGGTGTGGACCAGCGAGTCGGTCGTCACGTCGATGGCGTTCAGTCCACGCCAGTCGATCCTGTCGTACGGCACAACGACGGGTCGCATCAACCACCTGTCGATCAACGCGCAGTCCATGAAGCTCAGCATCACTGGCTACGATCATTGGCATCCAACGCCCGTGACCGCGCTGCAGTACTCGTCCGAGGGCAACCTGTTGTTCTCTGGAGGTTTCGAGTCGTCGTTGGTCGTCTGGACGACTGCCACCATGCGTCGCAACTTTTTGCCACGTCTGGGAGGTGCCATCAACTCGGTGTCGGTCGACCCAGACACTGGATACGTCGCCGTCGCGCTCAAGACCAACTGCATCAAGGTGGTCAATGTCAGCGACTTGTCGCTCTCACAGTCGATCATTGGAGTGCGCTTTGGCTCCAACACACGCAGCCTCACAGGCCTCCAGGCCCACCCGCTCACACGCACTATCGCCATGAACGGCACAGACGGCACCATTCAATTCTACGACGCCCGCCAGAACCGTGTGTCTTCGGAGCTGATCGTGTCGCCACCCGCCAACACGTCTATCTCCACCAAGCAGGCCAAGACCAAGCTGAAGCAGTTCGACGGCAGCAACCCATTCGACGTGCAGAACTCCCAGGTCACGCGTCTTGCCTTCCATCCTCGCTTCAACTACCTGGCCACATTTGAGGAGCGTCCCGGCACTCAAAACATGCAGGCCAACCTCATTGTAAAGGATCAGATCCTCAAGTTCTGGAAGCCCACCTCAGAGAGCAACGTTATCTCGCCCTCGGACAGCCTGTATGAGTGCTCCTTCTCGGTGACCACCCCTCACAAGTCCCCAATCCAGTCGATGGCATTCCACCCCAAGCTGGCGCTGCTGCTCACCGGCTCCAGCACCGACTTTAAGATGTGGCAGAAGAAGGATGACATGTGGTCCTGCGTGTTCACTGGTCAATACCGTAGCCTGCCCGCCACCGCCGCCGCATTCTCCCACGATGGAAGCGTGTTTGCCATCTCTGCCGGCCACCTGGTCACCGTGTGGCAACTGGAAGGCTTCAAGATGCTCACGATCCTGGCACACACCACCGTATCATTGGTTCGCTCCCTGCACTTCCTGGCCGACGCCACACAGCTGCTGGCCAACTACGAGTCCTGCATGGCCGTGTGGGACCTGACCCGCGTCGCCCCCATCCTGGCCATTGACGGCCCACTCGACTCACTGGCCGTCTCTCCAGATGGCGATCGCATTGCCATCTCTGGATCGTTGAGCAACGATGCCAACGGCAACACAAACTACATCAGCATCCTCAACACTCACAGCGCAGGCGAGAACACTGACTCGCTGTTCACATGCGAGCACGTCGTGATGTTCCAATCGCCAGTCAAGAACCTCTTGTTTGCTGATGAGCCACACCAACAGTGCCTCTACTACACCCCACACAACCACTTCATCTGCGGCCTGTCGATCGCCACCGACGGCGACGCAAGCAAGTCAGCGGCAGCGGCCATCAGATTGAACCCCAACAAGTACAGCGAGAAGATGGGCAAGAACAAGATGCTCAAGAACCACAACAGAAACACCAAGCAGCAGCTGGCCGATATGCAAGAGATGACCGAGAAACTGAAGCAGACCCAGGCCCAGAAGGAGTTGGAGAAGGAGGCTGCCAAGATCGTCCAAGCCGAGATGGACATGGATCACATGCCCAGTGTACAGCAGGTTGGATCGGCGCCCACCAACATCTTCAACGCTGCATCACATATTATCCCTGGCGTCCAGTCGATCTATCAAACGTTCATGGACTCGATGTTGACCACTCAGGCACCATCCACTTCGTCTTCCTCGTCGTCATCCAAGCACTCATCGTCCAAGTCGTCATCCGCGTCCACTTTGACCAACTCTACACCTGCCAATGACTCTGCATCCACTTCGAACGGTCCCAACACGCCCAAGTCCAACAAGAACTACAAGTTCAACCCATCATCATTCAAGACCATGAAGGGATTCTTTGACAATCAATCGTCGGCTGCTTCAGCATCCCCAGCCACAGCAACATCAGCCTCACCAGCATCAGCGGCATCACCATCCAGCAGTAGCGATCTCAGTGCCAAGAGAAAGAGAGACAGTGGCAGCACAAACGAGGAGACACAAGATGAACTTGCAAAGGAGCCCAAGAAATTGGCCAAGAGCTCAGCTTCAAGTGATAAGCCTGCACCTGCAACAGCGTCAACCAAATCAAAGCCATCAACATCCACTTCATCATCTTCATCATCATCAACATCATCGACAGCTTCAACAACAAAGACAACAACGACTACCTCGACCACCAGCAGCAAGGCACCAGCAGCATCCAAACTAAAGAAACCTTGAAATAAAAGAATTAAATAATATTAATATTACTATTATTAAAGATATATCTTTGTTCTGATATTATTTATCACTTCACTGATGTATCTGTTTGTGGATTGTCCTGGACTTACTTGCAAGCCCAAACCCACCATCTTCGATCTTGGAAGACAAAACAAGGCATTTATTTGAACTTATTTTCAGTTTTTTGATTCTGTTTTTGGGTTATTCAGTGAGCAGGAGTTGGGTCTAACCATGATGATGATGTTAGAGAATGGTGGGTTGAGTGAATGAATGAATGCCAACATCCCTTCCCAGGAGGAGAACACCACCAATCTTGACCTTCCACGCTTCATTCCCTTACATCTATCTCATTACTCGATTGTCTTGGTTTGAACATTGTATCATCAACAAACAACTAGTTGTAGTTAGTAGTTAGTAGTATATATATTATCCTTTTGTATAGTTTAGTAGGTTTAGGTTGCAGATATCTGTCTAGACACTTGTAAATTAATAGAACACCAATCAAAGATAGATCGATCGATCAATCAGCACCTGATATAAACATCAACAACGAACGAATAGCCTAAAAAAGGATATATATAAGATAATAGTATAACAACAAGATGGCTGATGATATTACTCCAAATGACAGAAGTATGTTTGATTGATTGATTGAATCATTATAGACATCTAGTTTGCTCACTCACTCAATCACTCAATCAATCAATCAATCACAATCAATTTTAGAGCTTGTAAATGCTTTGCTCTCACAGAGGAATCAGGAGAGTACATTCTTGGGCATCGCTGATAAGATTAGCAAGAAGAAGAACAAGAAGCCAAGCAAGAGAATCATTTTGATCACAAAGCATCGTGTCATATTCCTCAAGCCAGGCATCCCCAAAGTGAAGAAGGAGGCACATCTCCTCGATCTCACTGAAGTCAAGAGTTCAAACTCACAAGAGGTATGTTGTTGTCAATGTGATCATTGATGATTGGCCTATCACTCACTCACTCATTCCACTTAAATCAATCAATCAAACGTCAATAATATGCCAGGTGATATTCATTACAAAGACGTTCGGTTATGGATTGATCCATCCAAAGGCTGATGATATCATCAATGCTCTACGTCTTACATACAGTCTGACATTTGCTGGATGTCCTGATGACTCATGCTTCAAGCTGGACGTCAAGCCACCCTCTAGATTGACGGACGTCCCCACCAAGGACTTGCCATGTGGAGGCTTCGTTGAGACTTACTCATCACTATGCAACTACTTCAACATCCCAACACGTGACGACATCTGTTGGGACATGGCCAACATTGTCTCGAGCAGGAACATCAAGGCCTTCAACTTCAACGAGATTGAGCAACCAATCTCACCAGGCGACATCAAGGCTCTACTAGGTGCACTCAAGTGGAACACCTACTTCAAGAGTCTCGTCTTCAATGGGTAAGTTTATTCATTCGTTCAATCAATCATTCAATCAATCTCACTCAATCAATCAATCATAATAGTATTCAATTGGGAAAGGATCAGTTGACTTCGTTGGCAGAGACATTGAAGACCAACTCGACGATTGAGGACTTGTCCTTGAACAATGTGGGCATCAAGGGCGATACTTTGCCAATCATCGCAATGACACTGCAGTCCAACAAGAACATTGGACTCACTTCAATCGACTTGTCCAACAACCCGTTTGAGGACAAGGGCATGGCCGCGTTTGCCAACTACATTGGAGCATCGCCCAGAGGCATTGCATCGCTGAACTTTGCCAACTGTGCAATGGGCAAGGCTGGCATCGTCGCGCTCACCAATGCGCTCAAGAAGAACGTCAAGATGGGCATGACACTCTCCTATCTCGACCTCTCAAACAACAAGATGGACTCGGATGGCAGTGCGTCCCTGTCTGCCTTCCTCGCCAGTCCCAATTCGCTGCGCACCCTCAACATTGCAAACACAATCCCCAACATGGAGACGATCGTCGGTGCGCTCGTTCGTGGCTGTCTAGAGCTACGTCATCTGGACATCTCTGACAACCGTCTGACCAAGAAGGAGGTCGTCCATCTCGTTAGATTCATCGGTTCTTCCTCGCTCCTCAAGACAATCAACATCAACAACACCAAGATTCCAGTTGAGAACCTCAAGGAGGTGATCATGGCCATCTCATCCAACCTCTATGTCCAAGACGTAATCTTTGAGTCAAGGGTAAGTAATCAGTCGTCGCAGCGACCACGCAAGTCCACTCACTCAAACCTATTCATAGAACAACGACCTGGGCATTGCAGGCGCACGCATGTTGGCATCTTTGGCAGACAAGATACCAAACATCCACACCCTGGACCTTGCCGAGAATGACTTTGGTGATGAGGGAGTGTCAGTGATCTGTGACGGCTTCATTCAGAACAACTCTGTAAAGAAGCTGTCGTTGAATGGAAACTTCAAGGTCTCCAAGACCAAGTCGAGAGCGGCCGCCATCGAGTCGGTGATCAGTCTGGTCGAGGCTGCCACGCCACTCGAGGCCCTGCACATGACCAACGGTCTGAGCAAGTCGCAGCTCAAGAACGACATTCTGCCCTTTATCTATGCACTGGCGACCAATGACTCGTTGACTGAGCTGGACATCACAGGTCATCAAATGGGCAACAAGGGTGCCATCGCCCTAGGCAAGGCCCTGCAGACCAACAAGGCACTAGTCTCGCTCGTTTGGGATGAGAACCTTACGAGTGTCGCGGGATTCGCCGGTCTGGCCGTCGGTCTCGAGCGCAACCTCACTCTGAAGAACATGAACAAGCCTTTGATCGATATCATGAAGGCATACAACGAGAACCCACAAAGACTGACCAATCTCATCAGAGACATTGACAACTACATCAACCGCAACCAGAGCCCTCTGCGTACCTTTGAGAACAACGCTGGCGCTGCCATTGGTGGCACAAACTTGTCCTTCCTGGCCAGTGGCCAGCAGCAAAACATCGAGAAGCTGCTCAACAAGATCAAGTCGGTGGGTCGCAAGGCCACCGACCCCGATCACATGGTCGTCATCAAGGATGCAGAGAACACCGAGAAGGTCATTGGAGGCTTGCATCTCGTTAAGGAGGCCGTGCACGCCAGTCTCGAGGTGGAGCTTAATCAGAAGCTCAAGGAGTTTGTCAACGTAGCACTCGACGTTGTCAATCAGAAGAAGAAGGAGATGATGCAACAGATCGTACACACCATGGAGACCACGTTCAAGTCATTCGACCAGCAGACCTACAAGCGTTTGGCCACAGGTATTCAGTTTGGCTCGAAGGACATTGACGAGTCGCACGTGGAGGACACTCTGATCAAGGGTGCCGGTGCAGAGCTGAGCAACCGTGTGCACGAGTGCTTCCTCTCGTCGCTGGACATTGCCTCGGACTACACCTACGAGAAGATTGGCAACGGTCTCGAGTCTGTGTTCCAGGATCTGATTCGCGAGGAGGAGATGAGCCACAGAGAGAACAACTCGGCCGAAATTCCACCATCGCCCGAGACACCACCAGCAAGATCAACCCCAGCGCCAGCTGTGTCGCCCGTCACACCAGAGAAGATTCAGCCATCGGCACCAAAGGAGGAGGTCAAGCCAGTGTCTGTGCCTGAGCCAACCACACCAAAGGAGGTCAAGCCAGTGTCTGCGCCAGTCTCCACACCCCCAGCAGCCAAACCACCTCCCGTCCCACCCGCAAGAAGTGGTGATGCTGCTCCAAAGACACCAGAGGTCACCAGCACAACACCAACACAACCTCCAGTACCAATGTTCAAGCCTGGCATCAAGGTGAGCGCCAACCCAGCTCTGGCCGCAGCGATTGCCAGAGGTGTAGGAGGCCAACCACCCTTGATGCGCAAGCCAGTCGCGCAGGAGCCAGAGGCCACTCCTGAGCCAGTGTCCAAGCCAGAGCCAACGCCACAACCCTCGGCCAAGCCCAAGCCCGCCGCCCCACCCAGAGTTGCCCAACCAGCTACACCAACCAAAACCTCAGCGCCATCATCCTCCAAAGACCAGCCCAAGCGTTCATCAGGCGGTGTTGCAGGCGATATCACGGCAGTGCCCGAAACTGACACTGAGCAACTGACACACATTACCAAGGCCAGGCCTCAGATGCAGCACAAGAGGAAGCCACCCACCAGAAGACCAAGGCCTCCAACTGAGTAATTCAACTTCAAAGTCCACATTATATATACTACTACCATCACCAAAAGATGTACCCTAACTTACTTAAATCAATAAACCTTACCATCACTCCATCCAGTCTTTGCCCTGGTCACTCAAATTAATTGCCAAATTTATCAATCTAGATCTCGCATGACCACTCAATTCCAATTCAACAATTCAATCATTTAGCAATTCAATCATTCAACAATTCAATCATCCAACAATTCAAACATGTCATTCACTAGACTATTGGTACTAGTTCAACTGTTATGTCTAGTTCATGCATCAACAGTGTTGATCGACCCAGACAACGCCTATATACAGTACAAAGGAAGGGTTGCTGCAAACGCAGATACAAATGGTGCATACAACTTTGATTGGCCTGGAGTTGAGATAATCATTAAAGTCACAGGCACTTCAACCATACAAGGATTGGTTGACTCCAACGTTGTTCAAGCCAGTGGTCTACCATTGGTAAGTATGAGAAATCACCTAACGTCTTGATGTTGTAGTCCACAAGTCACTCACTAATCTGGACCACTAATCTATCAAATGAACTCAGTTCCTTGGAAACATTACAATATTCAATGTATTTGTTAATGGTACACTTCAATCAGTGTTGAATGTTACATCAGAGACCAAACAGACTTATAATCTGTTTGAGGATGGGCTTCTGAATCCAAGCGAGACATGTGAAGTCAGATTGACAAAGAGGACAGAGGCTTGTCTTGGTGTAGTAGGCTTCTATGGATTCATTGTGGACCATACTGCAACATTAGTTCCACCTACCGAGCCCCCTAGTCGACGACTTGAATTCCTTGGCGACAGTATCACATGTGGTTATGGCATTATAGGAATGTCTCCATGTCCCTTCACCCCCGAGACAGAGAACAACTACTTGTAAGTTCAGTACATGCCCTAGCCTCCATTCATTTGCCAACCATTCAATCAATCAATCAATCAATGATAGGACTTATGGGCAACTAATTGCCAGAGAGTTGGAAGCTGATGTAAACATTGAGGCATGGTCTGGAATTGGATTGGTCAGGAACTATGGAGAACCAAATATATCATCTGTCTTAGCCTTTCCAGATGTGTTTCCAAGGACTTTGGCAACCAACCCTTCATTGTTGTGGGACTTTGATTCTTACCAACCGAATGCTGTTGTAATCAATCTTGGCACCAATGACTTTGACTCGCAACCCAATCCACCAGCAGACCTGTTTGAACAAACATACCTCCAACTAATCAAGACATTGAACACAGTCTACCCAAACCAACCAAAGATATTCCTGGTTTGTGGACCAATGATCAGTGGCGCATGCTGTGATTATGTAAAGTCTGTTGCAGAGTCCAGTGATCAGCTTACCTATATCGACCTTCAGAACATCTTGGAGCCAAGCGACATTGGCTGTCAAGGACATCCAAACATTTCCGGACACATCAAGATGTCCAACATCTCCTTGCCAATCATACAAAAGGTAATGGGATGGTAATAAACTGTGATCAACGAGATATGGTGTACTTATGATATATGTGAGGGGTCTTGCATGACCTTTACTTCATTGATGGATCCTTTACAATCTGTGGAACATAGTCTGGCTTGATGTAGTTGGTCAAGAAGTCAGCATACATCTCATATCTTCCAGTCATCTGTGATGTGAGAGAGTAAGGGTTAGTAAGATGTGAGGGCAAGGTCAAAGGGGATAACTCACCTGGAAGTTCCATTTATCCTTGACTTGTTGGCATAGGTTGAGATCAACCTCGCATACGTTCAGTCCATCGCTGACGCGACTGAGTCCTGGTGTGCGACAGTTGTCTGGAGAGCTAAAGTAGGAGCTGCCATAGAAGTGGCCAAAGTCCTTGTGGGCGGGCTTGCCATTGCCGCTGGTGAACTCATTGGGGAAGATCTCAGTGCCGACGCGATTGATCGAGCCGACAAAGTAGTTGTTGGTCATGGCTGCATTCCTGGCCTCGACGCCCCACATTGGCTCGCTGAGCTCGCCAACAGTTGCCGAAGGGTTGAACACGATCTCGGCGCCATTGAGGCCATAGGCCAGCCAATTCAAGTTGTGATGGCGTCCATAACAGATGTTGATACCGATCTTTCCAAAGACGGTCTCAAACACTGGGTGGCCGAGCTGCGACTCCATGTAGTAGGTGGATTCGTTAAAGTCGCCAGTGCGAGGGATATGGTTCTTGCGCGACTTGCCAATGATGTTTCCGTTGTTGCCAACGATAACGGCAGTGTTGTGGATAGTGCCGCTGTGCACTAGGTCGCGCTCCAACATTGGTGACACAATGACCATGTTGTACTTTTTGGCCATGCGCTGGATGAAACGGGTGGCTTCGCCATCGACCGGCTGAGCAAACTCTACCCATGGATAACGCTCACGAGTACAAAAGGCAAAGGGCATATGCCATGTCTCTTGAAGACACAGTACATTAACTCCCATTGCTCCAGCGGCATCAATCATCTTCTCAATCTTATTCTGAATGGCCATATACTGATCATGTACCGGATCTGTTGTTGGTGCACCAATTGCATTCTGAATGATACCAAGCTTAACAATCCTTGGTTTCCTTGTTTGTTCAGGTTCAGCTGTGACCCTATATCACATCAATGAGTTAGTGACTAGTCATGTGAACATCTTAGACTTGATCACAACATACTTTGAGGAAACAACTTCAAAAGATGAGGCGTTGGCTAACTTGGTGACATCTTGTGGAATTGGAAGAGTGTTGACCAATTGACCTCTGTTGAGACCATAGAGGACACGCTTGACCTCTTTGAGTTCATCCTCTGGGATGTACTTCTCCAACACCTGTTCAACACTGCTTAACTTTTGATTACTCGAAACTGAGTTTGATTCCATCATTGTTTGTTTTATTTGTTTATTTGATTGCTTTGCTTTGTGTGTTTGTAAGATTGAATTGAATTGAATTGGGTCATCATCATCTGAGCTCAATCAATCACACACTTTAAAAGAATGGGTAAGATCAAGATGGAGTTGAATTGTTTTAAATTGAAAAATTCAAAGATATTTGTTGTTCTCTTACACCAAGTGTTAATAAAGTCTTGTATTATTCATTCATTCATTCATTCAATACATGTATGAGCTTGTCAACTCATTATCACTATTTGAATATCTGTGGATATAATTAGAATAACAAAAATGACTAATCAGTCATGTAAGTTACATCAACATCAACACCAACAACAGACAGGATGATGACAAGGATCGATCAAAGAAAGAACCTTCGCTTTGATCAACTCTGAAATTAATGAATGAATCAATGATTGAATGAATGAATGAATAATGGAAAGATAAATATGTTGTTAGTATGACCATCGACACTAAGACAGCACAATGATGCGTGACCAACTTCGTTGGAGTAGTGCACAGGATTCATCACGTGGAGCCAACCGACGCGACATTGCCTGGTGCCAAAGACACATCATCACGCGATCACTTCATCATTCTTTACACCCTCTATCACCAACCCCCAGCTTAAAATAATCCGCAAAAAACGAGGAGTGACAGGAAAACCTCAAAGTCCACCTGTGTGTGTAAGGTAGTAAGTAGCACACACACCTTTAAACACTTCAACGGACCATCCATCCCGCCCCCACCCCTCACCATCCCTTCCCTAGTCTTGGACTCAGCCATCTGCAACAACAAACACGAGTGGTGAGTAATAAGAGTGATTGATTAGGCCTTGGTGGGTTGGTGGTGCTAAAGACCCAATTTAAAAATAGTAATAACAATACATCTAAATCATTCAATCAATCATTCATTCATTCATTCAGATCAGTTGTATTTATATCCTTCATCCCTCCCTTGTTGTAATACTATAAATATATATATATATAATCTCTATTCTCTCGAACAGATCTGCTTGAGATAGAAGGAGTCGAACAACAACAATAATGAGTGTCGAACCCATTCTTATGAATGAGATGGCGGCCGCCAACGACCATTCTCCACAACAACATGGAAATGGAAGCAGTGGAAGTGGGGCCTCTACAAATGGACCAATTAGTTATGCACAGACTGACAAGCTTGTCAAGTCTGCTGAGGAGATTGAGACGAAGCGTCACTTTGGCAATCAGTTCAATGCACTCTTTAGGAAGAGTGCCACTTATCAATGGCGTCAATATCGTACCAATGCTTGTCAGATTGCATTGCCACTACTTTTGGTAAGTAGTAGTTGTCCACTCACTCCATCTCCGACTTGTCCGCACCTTGTCTAACATGTTCATCCATCCAATCAATCAATTTCAATCAATCAATCAAACAGATTATACTATTATTTGTACTACAACAGATTGTAAACAACTTTATCAAGGACCAACAAGGTACTACGCTCCCAGCTAGACTTCATCAACCAACTGTCCAACCAGCACTCTAGTATGTGACCATAACATGTTGACAATACTCCTCAATCAATCAATCCAATCAATCATACTAACTCTCATCTTATTCATACTTTAGCGAAACTAATGAGACCATTGTTGGAAACTGTTTTAAATATCCACCGGGAATGTACAACCGCAGCGTCATGTATATTGACGAAAGCAACAATCCAATCGTCTCCAACATGATGAACTTGGTACCACTCTATGTCAACCAACAAAACATCACCATTCCAGTAAGTACTATTACTAGCATCATCCATGTCTTGCCACTCATCCACTCATTCAATCAATCAATCAATCACGAACATTAGCTCATCTTTGCCATGTCCTTTGTTGGTACCTTTGCCACATATTGCTCTGACACACCTAGTATGGTGATGCCATTGTCCACCCAGATTGGCGCAGCAACTTATGAACAGTTCAAGGCTGATACGTTCAATAACTGGAAGACAAAGACTATCAATGGTGCCTACCACTTTGGCACAGTCGATCAGAACAAACTCGAGGTGTCTCTACTTTACAACCGTTCCATCTCATTCGGTAATGAGTTGGGTCTGCTCTACACTATGGCCACACGTTCCTACCGTGCCCTGACCGGTCAGAACATCACCCAAATCATCTTTGACGGTATCCGTGACTTCCCAACCAAGCAAACCTCCTTCACCTTTGATCTTATCTCACTTATTGGACGTATGTATTCATTCATTCAATCATTCCAACTCGATGGAGCATCCAATCACTCACTCATCAATCATTCAATCATACCATACCATACCATCTTAGCAACTCTATATATCTTCATCTTCCAGTTGATCCTTCCAGTCGTTCTCAGACTTATTCTTTATGAGAAGGAGAACAAGCTTAGAGAGATCATGAAGATGATGGGTCTCGAAATGAAGACATACTGGCTCGTTACCTATATATTCTCATACTCCATCTATCTGTTTGCCATGCTCTTGGTTTGGGCACTTGGCGCAATATTCAGTATGTACTCCTGGACAACAATGGACAAACATCATTCGCCTGGCGCGCACTCACTAATCACATCACCGCTTGACAAAACAACATAGGATTCAGATACTTCACAATCAATAATGGACTGCCGATATTCTTACTGATATTCTTCTGGGGGCATCTCTTGGTCAGCTTTGCCTTCTTCGTCTCGGTGTTCTTTACAAAGACTGACACGGCAACAGTAGTTGGCTACATCTGGGTCTTTGGCACTGGTATCCTGGCATCGAACGTCATTGACAATATCCTCAAGAATGACTCCACCCCCGCAGGCTCCGTGTTTGTCATCTCCATCTTCCCGCCCTTTGTCCTATACCGCGGTCTGCTGGTCCTCGCCCGTGCCGTCGCCTACGACGGTCCAGGTGTCAAGATCGCCACACTCAACGACCCCGGTATCGAGATGGGCAATATCTACGCCTTCATGGTCGTCGAGACCATCATCTTCCTGGTGTTGGCCCTCTACCTTGAGGAGGTTCTGCCATCTGACTATGGTGTAAAGCGTCATCCACTCTTCTTCCTCAAGCGCTCATACTGGTCCGGCCGCAAGACCGAGCAGGAGCCCGTTGAGATGTTGTCAGTGCGCGAGGGTGAGCCACATGATGTTGCCGAGGAGAGAAAGCGTGTCTTGGAGTCAAAGGAGCTTCTGGCACTCGAGGTGCTCGATCTGAACAAGGTGTACCCTGCCCGCGATGGCGCCAAGAAGAAGGTCGCCGTCAAGTCACTGGCTCTCGGAGTCGACCAAGGTATTTGCTTTGGTTTCCTCGGACCAAACGGTGCCGGCAAGTCCACCACCATCTCTTGCGTCAGCGGTCTGTTCCCACCAACCAGTGGCACAGCCAAGGTGTTTGGCATGGACATCCGTAACGAGATCGACAACGTACACATGATCATGGGAGTCTGTCCACAGGACAACGTGCTCTGGGACGATCTGACTGGCGAGGAGCACTTGCTATTCTACGGACGCATCAAGAACATGAAGGGCAAGCAGCTGAGTAATGCAGTCTACGAGGGACTCAAGCAGGTGAACCTCCACGAGGAGACCTCCAAGAAGTCTGGCGAGTACAGTGGTGGCATGCGTAGACGTCTGTCTGTCGCCTGCTCGCTCATGGGCAACCCCAAGATCGTGCTGTTGGACGAGCCATCCACTGGACTCGACCCAGCTTCGCGTAAGCAGCTCTGGGACATCATCAACAACTACAAGCGCAAGTGTGCCATGTTGCTCACGACCCACGCCATGGAGGAGGCCGACGCCCTGTGCGACCGTCTCGGTCTGTTTGTTGGCGGTGAGCTCAAGTGCATTGGTAGCAGCAGCGAGCTCAAGTCGCGCTTTGGCAAGGGCTACAAGGTGATGATGACCGTCGAGCTGGGCCACGAGACCGAGGCCCAGAAGTTCCTGTTTGAGCAGATCCCACAGGCCAACCTGTTGAATGCGCTGGCCGGTACATTCAACTACGAGGTGCCATCCAACTCGGTGGAGCTGTCAGTGTTGTTTGCCGCGTTCGAGCAGAACAAGGAGAGACTGCACATCACCGACTGGGGCATCAGTAATTCCACGCTCGAGGAGGTCTTCATCAAGATCACCATGGGCAAGCAGAATGAGAAGGGAGAGTATGTCATGTCCGAGAAGATGGGAGATATGTCTCACATCACCAATGCTTAAGTTAGAGCATCCTCCAGGGTGTTGTTGCTTGGGATATCCTTGCGCAAGGGTATATCCATCTCTGCCCATTCCATCGTATAAATAAATATAATACTTATTATTCCAACTTGGTTCAGTGATTGATTGATTGATCAGTAATATGAGCATTCCATTCCTTTATTACTATTGTTGTTGCCTCATCAGTCCATCTGTGCCAATACATCCACATTGGTTATGGTCCACTCGCAACATGGATATGGTTCATTGGTTGATTGATTGATTGAATGAGGTTGATCACACCTTCTGATGATGTTGGGTGATCCTTAGCCTGGCAGCCACGAGGGAAGAGAGAGTAATGGAGACCTCTCTCACATCACAGACAACATGTTGATTAATCTCTCTTGTTCATAAGCAACTCCTCTGGAGACTTGGGAATGAAGGTCTTGGCAAAGGTCTCAGCAACCAAGATTGGGAAGACGATGGATGCATCGGCATAGACTTTGACGGGCTTGGCATCCAACTTGATCTTGCCCCAGGAGACAGCCTCGTCGGGACGGGCACCAGAGTCACTACCATCAAACTCCTGTCCAGTGTTGACGTAGACAGCGTACTCGGCGCCATTCCTAAACAGGTTGGCATTGCAGATGTGATGCTTGATCACACCACCACCGAGAATGATCACACCAGTGCGCTTGGCATAGACGGCGTGATTGTTGATTGAGCGGATGTCTTGAATCAGATCCAGCACCAAGCCCTCCTTCCTGTATGTGTGGAAGTACATCATGTCGCCAATGGAGCCGTCAGTGAGAGCTGGGCAGTAGACTGGGATTTTGTTCTTCCATGCCCAATAGTAGATCGATTCCTCGTTGTTGATCTCCTTGCCAAGACGGTTGATCACCTTGGATGGCGTCCAAACAGTGCCATTTGACGTCTGTTCATCGACCATCGCATCGAGTATTGGCATGATCCAGTCTTCAAACTTGCAATAGTTGTCGTTGGGCACGAGCAGATTGCCAATGCGGTTGAGTCCACGGCGACGAAGGTCGGCACCGGGCATGGAAAACTCGCCAAGATAGGTCGGTGCCAGACATTTGATAAAGTCCTCCTCAATGCCACCGGCGGTTGACACGATGACATCAACCATGTTGTTCTGTACCAAATAACGAATGATCTCGCGGATGCCTGATGACACCAGGTTGGAGGTGTAGCCCAAGAAGATCTTTGCACGGACCTTCTTCCTGTAGTCGGGGTCGGCCGTATCCTCATTGACGTCGCTCTCCTGAACGGGCTCGTCGACCAGACGCCATGAGATCATTCTGTTGATCTCATCGATGGCTTGGCCAACGGCTGAAGCCTGGAAACCAGTCTGAGTGAATGACTTGAACAACTTGGCATAGTCAACACCTTCGTTAAAGTCGTAACCCTTGATCAAAGGCTTTCCCTCGAGGTCCTTTGGATTGCTCTGGAAGAAAACAGCCTCCTTTGCACTATCTGGTGCACCAGATTGGGGATTACTAGTGTTACTATTATTTGATGTTGTTGTTGTTGTTGCTGCTGCTGTCGAGGACATGTCTGTGTGTATATGTGTGTCTGTAAAGATGACAATAAGTTGAGTATATTACACCTTTCTCCTATATCTATCTAGATTAATCTAATACGTGTATAATACTATTGATGAATGAATACATCTATTGTACTCAAACAATCAATTTAATTAACAGATAGATAATATATATATATGAATGAATGAATGATTGAATGTATAAATTTGAATGTATGAATGAACATGCCAAGAGTCGAGACAAGTTGGTCGCACACCATCTCACAAACACACTTAAGTATATCTTGGAACTTTCCTTGTTTGGTTGTCAGGATCCAATGTTCATCACTTCTCAAGAGAACCAGACATTATTTAATCAGTTGATCAATGGATAAATAGATGTACAAACAGGTAATAACAACAACGTTACCAAAGATATAAATAATAGAGCAAAAGTAGTATTAGTTACTCGTTTTTTCGTTCGTTTAGACGACAAACTTTATGTTTTATTTTATTTTTATGTTGTGTGTGAACGACTGTTGGGAGTCAGAGTGAATCACGCTGACTCAATGTGCATTTAGACAATGGGGGGTTTGATCAATGGGCTTTCTCAACTTTACGTAAACACACAAACAACAAACACACAACAAACAACAATCCATTTACATTCCAACAACTTTCAAAGAGTTTGAACTTGAATTGTGTACTTTCATCCATTCATTCAATCATACAATTAATCAATCTAAATATAAATATATATATATATATATACTCTTTAAACAAACAAGCCAAGTGTTGGTGGTTAAACAATGGAAAGACAAGAAGATGTTGTAATGAGCAATGATAGTATACCAAGATCAATTGTTATGGACTTGGTTGATGGTCTATTATGTTGTTTAAAGAAGGATGCCAGGTATGACCTTGTCAGTCCACAGAAATTGCCATCCGCGTCCACTTCAACTTCCACGTCCATGTCCACGTCTATGACTACGTCCAAGACCACGTCGACAACACCTGCTCAACTCTTATTCACATTGGCCACCAACAATCAAACATCATTGTCAACATCAACATCAACATCATCAACATCTTCACCAAGTAGGATAATTGCATATCGAAAGGAGACACGTTCACATTGCTCGTCTGACGAGAACAACCTAATTATACATATTCATAGTCCTGGTGATACATCAACAACATCAACTACATCAACTCAAACCTCATCACCTCCATTATCAATGATGTCAACGACAATTTGGCAACCAAGAGTATTGAAACAAGTCAAGAATGATAGTTGTGGATACTATAGTTTGTTCAATGGTATATCAGCTTACAAGGCCTGTGTCTCAGCATCCTCAACCTCGAACAATGACCCATCCAGTGGCTCAGACAATGACTCATTGCATTATTTCAATCGAATGTTGTGCCGACCATTGTTCTGGCACATCTACTCAATATGTATGAATCTGCTGTTGGTCAAATGTCGCGCCGCAAAGAAGTCATACTATCCATGGAACGAGAAGTACATTGTCAAAGGTGTAATGGAACGTTGTTATATCGATTACCTGTTGGAAAGTGATAATGTCTTGTCAAGACAACGTTATCCAATCACAGTGTTGCCAGATTGGGCAATAGACTCATTACGCAACAATCGTATATCCATTGAAGAGATCAATGAGTTGCGAGAAGTGTCCAAACGATTCAAGGAGCGACAGACCTACTCACATGTCTTTATGCTTGGCGTGGCAGTACATTGGATATCAATTGTGATCAACAAGGTCAATGCGAACGAACACGAGATCATCCTCATGGACAGTCGCAACCACGACCTCCTCAACGGCACCGACGAGCACTTCCAATCAATCGTTGACAAACATCCCGAAGTGCCCGAGAGGTTGCGCAAAGGTTACCTCCTCTCACTCAAAGATCCAAAGTTTATCGTCAAGTATGTTTGATTGATTGATTGATTGATCAGGACACATGGCTAACGATCATTCAATCATCACATGTTGTAGGATATTACAAGATTGTATTATTGGTGAGAAGGACATTGTCAAGGAGATAATTGATATCAATTTGAATGGATTCTTGGATAACTATTATAGTCTGGTGCATCCTATCAATGATTTTGCTTCATTGCATGAGTCATTGGATATGACCGATGTCAAGATGGTACAACTCATTCACTGGTTGGAGAACTATTGGCCACCATCAGTTATTGAACATAATATTGTATGTACCATCCATGACATGACATCTTTCAGTTGCTTGATTGACACTACTAACATTCATGATATAGTGCCAAGTACTTGATTGTATTATCAAGAGTAAGGATGATATACATACTGTTTTGGATAAGAAGACATTGGATTCATTCTCAAAGTGGACTAAGGAGTTGTCATCACATAGTTTACACTCTTCCAATGTACATCTTTTGAAGAGATTCTCCACAACTATTGAATGGTTCAATGGAAAGTTCGGCTTCCAGTCCAAGAGGATCTGATCATCTAATTTGGAACTGCTGGCTGGTGGAATTGAATTCCATCATCGAACATGTACACTTAAATGATGGATGGATATGATCGATACAATACAAGTAAACATATACGAGTCAAGTGATTACTTATTCATTCATTCAATGATCGATCATTGACATAATCACATGTTGGACACCCATTATATTGTTCTACTTCTATGGCATAGATAGACACCCGTATACTATCTTGACGGCAAGGCCCGACCCGAAAGAAACTGAACGGGTGACAGGTTGACTGACTTGGACACACCGATCTTTCAAAATGAGGTCCTTGGGTACACCCTCTATCACCAAAAAAGCGATACGTGTGTATGTTTTGCAAAACAGCTGCAAAGAAACCAAGTGGAGGTGGGGGAACTTTCGGCCTGTATTCGTGTTGGGCCATTAGGGGGCCTCAGCAACTGATTCCCGTGATCACAAATACTTCATAGTACCACCTTGTTGTTGACAAGATACTGTTCTGGTGTTGTAACTACAAATACACAGACAGACCAACAACTAAATATCCGATTCATTCAGACTCACGACTACTACTACTACTTCAACTTCCAACAAACTACTACCTTTGTATCACTAATACCAATACCTATCTATACTAATACACAAGATAGATATACATTATCTATCTCTCAAATAATATTTTTATACTTTAACTATATATAATGTTGGAAGCAGCAGCAGTAGCAGGAGTAACATTCCTCTTTCTAACATTCGCCTCATGGTGTGTTGGCGAAGGTGGTGAAATACTTGGCAAGAAGTACGATGCATCTATAATTGGTGGACTCTTAATAGCTTGGTTAAACACTGGTATGTTAGGTTTGAGGACCTCAAACATACATGCTATGCATCTCCGATCCTAACTCCGACACGATTGATTGAATGATTGAATGATCATCATCATACAGCACCTGAGGCGATATTCTTTATAACTGCACTTCAAAGTCGGAATATTAGATTCGCCGTTGGTGCAGTCAGTGGTAGCTCAATAGGTAAGTTCATTCATTGTATGCTTGGTACTGTTCCAGCCTCGATCTAACATTTCCTTGACCCAACCCTTGCCCTCGCCCTCGCCCTCACCCTTGACCCCGACCGATCACAAACACTCAATCAATCAACACAGTCGTCTGCACGATTGCTCTAGGCTGCTGTATATGGATTGGAACAAAGAATAGGAGGGCTGGACAAATTACTTTACAACCACCAGTCAAGCGACAATGCTTGATATTGTTGGTCTCTCTGTTGATACCTCTGTGTCTGGCGATGTATGGCTTCAGCATGCTGTTGGGAGTCGTGGGCATTGGCTCCTACTTGCTGTTCATCTTGGAACTCAATATTCTACAAGCTGCCAGAGGTGGACAAGGAGGAGGATCTGGAGGCTGCCGCCGAGGAAGATGCCGCTGAAGACGGCGAGCACGCATCGGCTTCAAAGGGCGCCGGCATGCTGCTCGTGGGCGGCGCACTCATCTGTTTCTTCAGCAAGCCGTTCATCGACTCGATCGTCACGCTGGCCACCACGTTCGAAATCAATCAGATACTGCTGGCGTTCTTCCTTGCGCCAATTGCCAGTGAGATGCCCGAGATCCTCGAGAGCATATCATTGTCGCGCAAGGGCAATGCCCAGAATATCAACATTGCCTTCTCCAACCTTWATTGGCGGCACCATCTCCAAGACATCTCTGCTGATGGGCATCTTCTGTGTATACGGCTCGCGCTACGAGCTCGAATGGGAGTCGCCCACCTACACACTGTGCATTGCACTCATCATCATCTGCTCGCTGTGCTCTGGCGCCATCGGCTACTTCTTTAACAAGTTGCGTCCACATCATGGCATGTTCTTGTTCGTCCTGTTTGGTCTGACGGCCATCATCCAATATTGGAGCAATGTTTCCACCATCGAGATGGAAGGTGGTCCATTGGTGGCCTCAACTTAATAAAACGGCAAGTATAGCTATACTTGCTGGGTCGACACTTGTGAGGACGGGGACACATTAGATCTTGTGGATCCCTGACTCCCCAACTTGGAATCATACCAAAAACCATCGATCAAGGATACATTCTTTCATTTACAAGTTATCTCTGAACACTCACCAAGACATCCATGGACGTAGAGTACTGGTAATGTTATTTATTGGATTGATTGATAGGATGACTGCCTCCTCTTCCAAAAATAGATGGTCGCTGCAAGAATAAGAGCAAAGCCAACCAGTGATCCGATGACAATTCCGGTGATCTGTCCAGGGTTGAGTCGTTTCCTCTGGCACGCCCTTTGATCACCAATCACCTGGCATGTAGTTGGACATTGGATCAATTGAAATTGTTTCGTGGGCAGATGAAGTTGATAGACTGACAACTGACTAGATCTGAGACAGTTGATAAATACTGAGTTGGATTTAGAATGGCCAGTGACGGTGACATTGTTCATTGACACATTGGCGAACATTCCAGAGTCTGACTCATCAATGACAACGAAATGAGTAAAGTCGATAATGTCCTCAAAGATGGTGTTAGTGATGTTGAGTTGGCATCCATAACAAGCAACAAAATCGTTGCCAATGGAGTGGTTACTGAATGTACTGTTTATAATTGTGAAGTTTGTTTGAGAGTTGAGCCAAATGGCATCAGAGGAATTAAGTTTGTTGGTGAATAATGAATTGGACATCGAACCATGGCCATTGCTGAACACTATAATTGAATTTCCAGGTTGAATGGAGTTGTTATCAAAGATGACATATTGAAGGACAACATTGGCTCCATTGGTCACAAACAATCCACTATAAATGTTGTTGGTATATGATCCTCCTATTATATTTAGACTGTTTGTGCCAGGCATCTCACCTGGTCCAACCAGAGGTTGAGTGATATGAACTATTGATTGAGTATAATAACAACTTGTATTGAGTACATTGACATTATTGAGTGTAATGTTGGTCCAGAAAATGGAGGCTGAGATAAGTCCAGGTGTATTTAGCATTGGACTATACCCTCCGATTAGATTAATTCCTTTGAGTGTTAGTGACATTGGTATGACTTCGTTTAAATCATGACCACGAGGTGGCCAAGTTATAGTGATGAAGGGTTGTCCATCGAGATAGATGTCGACTGGACCAGTAGCTCCAATAGTGGCATTGATGCCATCATTGATAATGAGGCCTTGAGTACCATTTGTTGAGTTATAGTATTGCCCTTCTGCAAGTTGGATGTTTAACATCACACAGTTTGGAGATGGGTATTGATATCTAAATGATTGGAATGCAGCAGTTAATGTAGGACATGGACTGTTTCCAATGTTGCCATATGATACCAATCCACATAAGGTTGAGTTATTCAATGATAATGGATTAACTGTAATGTTAACATATTTCAAGTCAGACACTGATTGGCAACTGTAAACCATGTTGTTGATGTCCCCAAAGGACATCAATAGTAGTATTACAACAAATAATTGATACATTCTTAGTCTTTATAATATAATGTTATTAAAGTCTTTGTCTTGTTCTTAGTTTTTTATTTGTTGGCTTGTAGGATCTACAATAAATATGATGCCCCGCCAATCTTCAAATTGCAAGCGGGGAGGCAGCGCCAATGTGGTCGAAAAAGGCCAAGGTCTGAACAAGCATCATCCAATCAACGGTTGGGGAAACATAATATCTGATCTGAAGCTATCACTACTTCAACAACCCTGGGTAATCCTGTCGGGGTTGATGATGACCAGGTAATCAGGGAATTAATCCTTGGCCCAGGAGCCAGGAAATAGTATACCGAGTTTCGGACTGATGTCTCCATGCTCAATCAAGATGCTTGGATGGATGGTCCATGTATATCAAACTGAGGTTGCTGTGCTTTATTATTAATATAAGGTAAGGTTGATGAATCCAATGGTCGTTGTTCGTTGTAGTCGTGTGTATAGGTAAGTGTGATGTTGACACACCCTGGGTGAGTGTCTGTCGTGTGCCAATAAAGAGGGACTTGGGATAGTAAGGACGGAGCACCTTACTTAACGCTTGACCAATGGGAACTTCTTTCTGGCCTTCAACTGACCTGGCTTCTTTCTCTCGACGCGACGAATGTCGTGCTTGAGCAGACCAGAGAATCGCAACGCCATGCGGTAGCCCAGATCGTAGTTTGAGATGGCCAGTGCAAGGGCACGCGAGATGGCCTCGGCCTGTCCCTTGATGCCACCGCCCGACACACGGATCTCCACGTCCCACTTGACGATAGTCTCGGTGATGACCAGCGGACGGAGCACAGTGTCCTTGTAGGTGATGCAGTTGCCAAAGTACTCGGTGAGAGTCTTGCCGTTGATGGTGAGCTCGCCGGTGCCCAGACGGACGAGGGCCACGGCGTTGGCGTCCTTACGCTTGGAGTGTCCGTGAGCGACGCCGTTGTACAGGTTCTCGACACGCTCCTTGGGACGCGCGGGCAGGAACGGGTCGAAGCCCTCGGACTCCATGCCCTCATAGTCCTCCTCCTCGTCCGGCTCGATCTCGTCCTCGTCTTGGTTCTCGAGCTGATCGTTGATGTCCTGCTCGGTCCAGTCGTTCTTTAGACGCTGGTGCTCAAAGAGCTCGTCGTCCTCGGGCAGGGGCACGGGGCCGCGCACCTGGTACTGGCCCAACTGCTTGTCGTCGCTCGACAGGTCCTTGATTCTCGGGTTGAGCTCGCGGTCAATCTGCTGCTCGTAGTCCCTGGGGAAGAGCAGCTTGTTCTTTGCTCTAATGTGCTCGAGTGCCTGTGTGTCACGGATGTTGGGGTCCGACGACCATGGTCTCAGGTCGAAGTTCTTGTCGGCCTCCTGGTACATCCTGTCCAACTCCTCCCTATCGACGTGTTCCTCCTCGAATGGATCATTCTCTACACTTTCATAATCATAATCTTTCTGTTGTTGTTGTTGTTGTGGTTTCTTCTTATCGCTGCCGCTGCTGCTGCTGTAATGTCGTATTGAGTTTGTTGATGTATTATATGTGTTTAGTGATGATGTAGTTGTGATGAATGATGATGATGATGTGTTGGTTGAGTGACAGGCTATACAGTTGCATTGCTTTGAATGTCGTTGTTGTTGTCTATATTGTTGTGGATGTTGTTGTGAGTGATGTGTCGAAGTGATCGCCGCTGATGAAGTGAATGACCTGTGAAGTAGTGGCATTGTCGTCGTGCTTGAGGCTGATAATGCCACTGAAGTAGTGATCACCTTCAGTCTTGAGGCCACATATGTCGTAACAGATGATGATAACATTGTTTAATTGTTATCTCTCTCCACTGTTATTGTTATTATCTGTCGTCTACTTTGAACTGACCACAATGCATCACTATGCTTTGTCCAACAACACCTTCGTCGACAGGTCTCACTCTTTCATGTATTTTTATGATCAAACACTCAAATAAAAAAAATTCCAAAAACGAGACCCTTTTTAGGGTTTCGTCAATGAGCTGGATCAATCATTTCGAAAAACAATCATATAACATATAATATATATTACCACTTGATATAATATAGTTGTCATGGTTGTCCAACAAAGAATAATTAACCCTCACCCTCACCCTCCCACCCTTATATTCTTATTCACTCACACACTGAATTAATCGGTCACGAAGGTCAACACAAGGATAAGAGATTGGATTTAAGTAAGACATAGTATTGAGTTACGTTGTTGAGTGCAATTATTATTATTATTTACATTGATAATATTAATAATAATAATAATAATGAAGAGAGATAATAAGATTGCGATATTATCAATATTGGTATTCACTTTGATCATATATCTTGTGTTCCAGATTGTTATATTGATATTCCAACCATTATATTCAATAGTTTATCAACAAAAGATATTAACAGCTAATAGTAAACCTCATATTATAACTTCTATACAACAATTCTATAACTTTTATACATTCCAAATCAAGTTCAATGATGAGTTAAAGTCTGTTACATTCTCACACAAGTCTGAGTTTCCAGGTGTCAATCATATCTTCTGGTTCTCTGGACTACTTCAAGTAACATTGGGTCTGGTATTAATAATATTAAGTTCAATATTAGTATTATTGTATAGAAGACGTACAAAGATGTATAAATTAATAGGTATATTATTGATATTGATATCATTGGCATTACAAGTATGTTCAATTATTCCATATTCATACATCAAGAATGCATTCAGAACAAAGTATGATAAAGAACAAGATCCAACTTGTCTAGTCAACGATGAATATCAACATCAATGTAAATCATATTGGGGACATGTTGGTAAAACAGCAAAGGTATGTTCATTCATTCATTAACGATGAATCATCAGAACTCAATCTAATCATCCCCTCCCGTGGAATGTAGTATACATATTATCAATGGGGATTCAGACATGTATTTGTGTTGAATGGTGTCAACTTGATTGTGATATTTTTGATATTGGTATTCTACAGTTTGATCATTAGGTTAATCAATGGTGGAAGAAACTCAATTCAATCAGATAACAATGCTCCCAAACCAATTATTACTACTATAAGTAGTTTCAATGGAGATGATACATTGGATGAAGATGATGATGTTGGTGTGGTGGATACACCTTACAATACAAGTGGCAGTGCAACATCCTCAGGTTCAACTACCACTACAATCAATCATTCATCATCTCAACTGCAACAACTAATACCACAATCAATTGTTCCATCAAGGGAATATCATGATCCAGCTATTTATAGTATTGATGAGAAATAAATATTTTAATATTTAAATTAATATATTGTATATTTCCATTCTAAACCCCTTCCCTTTAAAGTGTAATTACCAAATTTATATCTTCCAAAAAGGAATGATCCCAACTTTGATCAATCGAATATTATCAAGTCTTAGAACTCAAACCTACCCACCCTCTAATCAATCAACCTTTATTCTTAAGTGTGTTGATCCGGATGACCACACATCACGTGACACCTGTCTAAGGGTTGACTTGTCTCAAGGTCATTGCTCAACCCTTTTCCCGACCCCCACTCACAAGGGTTTACATACTCACACACCCTCATAGTGATATGAATGACAAATCAGTCGATAAAGAAAAACGTGTTTAGGATCTACCATCTCAGATATGGCGGGGGTATGTGGATATACTTATCTATACCATCGGCCGATTATTATATCTATAAGATCATATGTAATATTAATATTAATCAGTGTGTATGTGATTTGTATATTAGATTATGTGTATGACTATAACTACTTTATCTGTTTATGGTTAATACACTTATAAGTATTTAATTACACCTTCGTGTTTATCCATCCATCCGTACATTCAACAATCCATTCAATATTAGTAAGTTTGGATGAACTATACATATTAATATTGATAAATAGATATTAATTAATATTATTATTATTACTCATACAATTAGTATCTGTATCAAACACATATACACACAACTCACTCATACATATTCATACAACAAATATATATACATAATGACAATACTTCTCAAGTTCATCCTGAAAAGGGAGGTATTTATAGCGGCGGTCACATTGATTGCCGCCATGAACCTGGTGTCGATGTTGACAACTCAGTACCAAGTGGCTTATACTGAGATTTATTATGTGAATGGTGTTCGCATCAATCATCATCACGAGAGAAATATCGATCATTATGGAATTCATATTGTGGACTATTTGAAGACGGGCCATCGTCTTCATCAATACCATGATCTCAACCACTGGACAAGTGGATATGCCTTGTTCACATCGATAATAACACTCAAGACTGTTGCATTGGCCACATTGTTGGGTGCCTTCGCCATCTACATCATGCAGCTTAGGAACAATTATATCCAAAGACGTTTGACAATCTACTTTGTCATCATATACAACGTATCATTCCTTCTCATGATGTTTGGAGTACTGTCCATGCTGTTCATCACTCTGGCCTTCAGGGACGACCGATCGCCAGACCACTGCGTAGAGCAAGGTCAGAATGTTAGACAATGCCGCTCCATCGCTGGATCCTTGACATATCATCATGTAAGTTAGTTTGATTGATTGAATGATTTACCATTGCTGACACTATGCCATCAATCAGTTCGAGCGTTATGAGTGGGGTCCTCAGTTTGGTTGGTTCGTTGGATTGGTGTCATTGTTCTTGTACTCTGTCATCGAGATACCAGTGTTGCTCCAGTTGAGAGAGGCTACAGACAAGTCGATAAAGTTAAAGGATAGTGCATCGATTGAGGCCAAGGACTTTGACAGCATGCACAAGAATTTCAAGGGAGATGTTGAGGTGAGCATCCAATCAACAAGTGAGCAAGTGGAGGAGGGCAAGTGCAACAACAGCACATGCTATGAAGTGTTGGATGAATAGGCAACTAGTAGGCTAGTCACATTCTAATGTGATTGATGTATACTAGTTCAATTGAATAAATTATTTAAGATTCAAGAATATATATATCTGTCGCGACAGGACCATGGTCTCGTGTCGTAATGTTGGTTATATCATGTATTGTCGATTGTGTGTTTGATTGATTGTTCGATTGATTGATTGATTGTTAGTATGTAGTATCACATGTAGTTGATGAGTCCAAAGATCTTAGTCAAAGAGTCCATCCATCAAAGAGGTAGAGGGTAGACACCTGTTCATGAACGAGTCAGTATGTTTGGAATGGTTACTGGCTTGTGAAGCCATTACTTACACTTGTGGAACGGCAAGAGCATCAACGATAGCAAGAGCTTGTGGTGCGAGACAGGCAACAAGCTCCATGATCTTGAAAGGTAGTTGATTGGCAACGGCTGGTGTTATCAAGTTGTTGGTTGCGAACCATCCGAGGTCTTGCTCCAATCTCTCCAGTGTGTCGAATAGGGTGATCTGAGCCATGGGTGCGGGGGCGCCAGCCTTGACATCCCTGATGGCATTCTCCAGGATGGTCAGATCGGTGTAGGCCGCTGCCGCTTGCATGGCCCATGGTGCCGCCTTGGAGAATGCATCATAGGAATTGCCTCCAATCTTCTTGATCGTGTCCTTGAGGAATTGAACCTGGTACTTGACACGTGTTGTGAACAAAGCATGCAGCTTGTTGAGATCGGACAATTCATTGACTGAGGTGATCGCTGTCTCTGGTACATTGGCCAACTTGTGCTTGCCAGACAGCAAGAACTTGGCGACCTGGATCATCAAGACTGTGTTGTCGCCCTCGTATGTGACCATGATATCGCAGTCGCTCTGTGTTGTGTATGAGTGAGTAAGTAATCCGCCTTGGGTTGTCGTGTGCCCATCATGAGCTTGCTCCTACCTTGAACGCTGCGATTCTATTCTGTGACCTGAAGCCTTGTCCTCCACATGACTCTCTACAGATCTGGAATGTCTTCAATGCTCTGATTGATGATTGTTGTGAGTGAGTGATGCTGGAACTGTCCATTCATTCAAAGTTGTACTTACTGCCATGTGAACACAGCCTTTAGTCCTGAGCAATGAGCATGTGCGCTCTATATAGTGATGGAATGAATGAAGGAAGTTAGTACCAATGTAAGGTGTGTGCTGTGCGAACTAGAATGAACATACAATGCCCAAGTGTCCTCCATCCATACGACGGGCGAGGTAGTGTAGGTATGAATCCATCAGGATTGTCCTGGCCAGTGGAGTCAAAAGTCTACGTTGATGTGCTGGTAAAGTGAAGAGTGGTTGCTCATCAGCACCCTCAGGTCCAAACTGCTTGCGCTCATGAGCATAACGGATGGCAATAGTCAAACATGTCTTTGATGCTCCAGATGCTGCCTTGGACATGTAGTGCTATTGGAGGGGGTGGGTGTAAGTGATTGAGTGATTGAGGTGATGGAGTGTTCAGTCGAATGAATGATGTACTTACACGTCCAGCAATGAACACTCCCATAGTGGCACCAAAGTTCTGCAATGGGTTCTTGAACTGTGACTTGTATTGGCCGTCTTCGGTGACGTCTGAGAACTTGTTGAGCAGGTTGATCCTGGGGATGGCCACGTGATCAAAGTGGATCTGTCCATTGTCAATGCCATTGAGACCAAGCTTGTGACCACAATCGCGAAGTGTGACGCCAGGCATTGAGCGACCAAAGCTGTCTCTGATTGGCACGACGAGTGCGTGGATGCCATGGTCCTTGCCCGCGACGATCAGACGCGCAAAGACGGTGGCGTTGCGTGCGTGCTGGGCGGCCGCACCAATCCAGAACTTCTGGCTAGTTGGCGTTGGCGAGTTGATAATGAACTGCTGAGTCTTGGCGCAGTAGGTGGCAGTGGTTTCCAATCCACGAACGTTACTTCCATGTCCAATCTCTGTCATTGCGAAACAACCAATCTCGAGATTGGCCGCTGCGTGTGTGAAGTGAGCATGACGCTCGCTGCCCAACAGCAACAACGTGCCTCCATAAAGCACGTAGTGCACTGCGAGCAAAGTATATATGTTGTTGTTGAACTGGGCCAAGAGTCCAGCGAAGGCACACATCTTGTCGATGTTGTCTAAGTGAGGGGAGGGTGGTGGTTGTTTGTTAGCCCTGGTCACATGTCATCGCTCGATCACTCGATTAATCCAATCACATACCTCTAACATCAAAGAAGTTGGCAAATCCTGCATCGGCCACTGTTTTGAGCTGCTCCAACACAAGTGCTCTGTAGTCTTTCATGTTGAGATTGTAGCTTGGTACTTTGAAGATTGGCGAAGTCTCCATGAAGGCTCTGACCTTGTTGCGATACTCATTGTGTTGAGGAGTATCAAAGAATTGCTTCAAAGCTTTAACATCAACCTTTGGCACATTGCTCTCCACTGTCAATGGTGCAGCGGCAACGGTGGCAGCAGCAGTATCATTATTATTCAATATCAAATGACTGGCAATCTGTTATCATCATCATCATTGATGTTTAGTTAGTCCATATCCATTCATCTATCCATCCATCAATCAATGGATAACCTTTATCCTCGGGCTACACCTACATTCTCCAGTCTAGTATTTGCAGAGTCCATCATTAAAGTAGTACTTTACTTATGTATATGTATATGTATAATGTTCGTATCACTATTGATTGATTGAATTACAATGATGATGAAGATGATGTTTGGTTGGGCCCGTTAAGAGTGAAAGAGGATGAGGATGGAGGAGTGAGATTGTCTTGTCTTGTTGCTTGGACTCGTTAAACACACACACATGCACTGGTCATATTACTTTGTGTGTTTCAGATTTAATAAGAGTTTGTCATTAATTACCCGATTTGGGCAATCTTATCAACCTCCTTTTTCTTTTTAGTTCAAACACAAGTCTAGACTAACCGCAGTAACTCATTTGCTTATCATCCTACCCTTCATTTGTGATCTCCCTTGGCGATGTACAACAGTATTAACAACAATAATAACTCATTCATTGTTGTAGAAGTCTTTAGTACATCCAAGTATGTATCTTACAGTTAGTAAGAGAGATTAAGTGAGTTCGCTTTAGAAAGAGAGATATTTTCTATCTTCAAAGTTAACTTGAATAGGCTTAGTTTGGTTACAATAATAGTTGAATGAAGTTGTTGATTGATGGTGTCAGTCAAAATGGGTTACACTTGTCAACGCAATAGTTTGAAAAACAAATAAAAAGGAAGGCAAAGATGAAGAGAATGGATTGGAAGAAGGGTGGATGGACAGACTCAGGGGGTGCTGGCTGTGGACCTATTGATTGATTGATAGTTTGATAGAATAGAATGAAAGTGATAAATGGGGAGGGGACCAGTATCGGGCCATCCATACTTATGATATCATAGACGTCAAACATCCCCACACACTGACTGTCCAACCGTCCGTCAAGGATGGACATCCGCTCCACCTTACTGTCTGTTCAATCAATCACTCTAATCTATCTCTGGATATATCATTGTAAAGATACACATAATAACAACAAGAATGTTTAGAACATCTACTTTAATTGCTGTTATTGCAATTTGTTTGGCAGTCATTGCCAATGTCAATGCTGCACCACCAGCATGCGCCTCCTCTATTGGTGGTTCGCAATTCACCCTCCAGCCAGACTACTGTGCATGGGTAAGATAGTCTACCTTGGTCAGTCTCATCAATCACAAACTCAACACTAACTTACATCATTTATAGTACTATATCCAAGGTTTGAGCACACCTAGACAAGTCTACGTTGCTTCCAACAACGACGTTTTGGTTGCTGAGGCCGGAAAGATCAGCGTCCTCTTTGACCTAGATAACAATGGTGTCATTAATGCCACATCCGAGAAGGCTACTCTTGGTATGTGTTTGATTGATTGATGAGTGTTGGAATGGTTCCAGACCCTAACCCCTCATCCCCACATAGCAACCCAATCTGGACTCAACCATGCTGTGACAGTCAATGGAGGATACATTTATGCTTCAAGCAGCACAACAGTCTACAGATGGCCATACACTGCTGGAAACAGGACTAACTTGGGTACTGGAGAGGTTGTGATCACTGGTATTCCAGGCCCTGGACACAAGACCCGCACCCTCGAGTTTGACGCCAGTGGAGCATTGTTTGTCAGTGTTGGCAGTGGTGCCAACCTCGATCCCGACTCATCGCGTGCTCGTGTCGTCAAATGTGACCTGAACCTATCGGCCATCCCATCCAACGGCTACAGCTACACACTGTGCACAGTCTGGGCCGATGGCACCAGAAATGAGGTCGGACTCCGCCACGACCCATCTGGACGTCTCTGGGGTGTTGAGAATGGAATGGACGATCTCTCGCGTCCTGATCTCGACACTGACGCTCACATCAACAACCCATGTGAGGAGGTCAACATCTTTGCCAACGCTGGTGTATGTATCCAAAGTCCTTGGACTCACTCATACATTGATTGGAACTATTCCAACTCACTCACTCGTTCAATCAAACAACCAATCAATCATAGTTCTACGGATACCCATACTGTTTCAGTGAGGGATTCCTTTCCAACAGCACCCAAGGTGCTATGTCCCAATGGGGAGTCAAGGCTGCCAAGTGAGTACTAACATGGCCCATGGTGTTACCGACCGCTACTAACCATACCCGCCCTCTCCCATCAATCAATAATCTAACTTAGCGACACATGGTGCAAGAACACTGCCAATGTGATCAAGCCAGTTTACTGCATGCAATCACATACTGCACCACTTGATTTGAACTTCTGGAGCTCAACTACCTTCCAGCCACCCTACAACAAGGGTCTGTTTGTCGCTCAGCACGGATCATGGAACCGTCAGCCACCCTCTGGCTACCAGGTGGTCCACATCAAGTTGGACGACAGCGGAAACCCCATCAACGGCTCGCTCACCAAGTTCATCGGTGGTAACACTGGCAGCTCAAGTGTTGGCGGCTCATGGGGCTTCCGTCCAGTCGGTTTGGCCAAGTTGGGTGCCTGCGGTGAGGGTGTCTCTGAGTGTCTGTTGGTGTCCAGTGATGCCGACAACTCGATCATTGCTATCAGGTACTCGCCAGGCGGTGGTTCAACAACCATCACACCATCGACCACCTCGTCAACGTCGTCCACTTCTTCCACATCGTCCACATCGTCCACATCGTCCACATCCACCACTGGTAAGCCAACTACCTCGTCCACATCCACCTCCACCACTGGACAACCAACAACAACATCCACAACCACCGCTCAGCCAACCACTACCACCACCACTACCACCGCTCAGCCAACAACTACCACCTCCGCTCAGCCAACTACAACTACCGCTCAGCCAACAACTACCACCACCTTGTCCACAACAACAGGAAAGCCCTCATCGGCCACAATGATCATTCCAACAAGTGTGTATCACCATTATCATTCATCATCATTGTTGCGAACAACCTCATTACAAACCAACAACAACTTGATACTAACATCATCATCATCATCATCCAACTACTTTAGTCTTCTCTGTCATCCTAGCTGTGATTGTTGCCGTGATGTTAATCTAAACATCATACTGTATCATTGTTGTTGTTGTCATGACCAGGTCAGTCCTACTAGACCATCCATAACAACATTCATCCAATTGAATCATCATCATCATCAATACATTATTATCAATTATTTATTAATAATACTTCTTCTTTCTACTTCTCTATCTATCTCTCTTACTCTTGTCTGAACTTGAATGAATGTTGAGTATCTGATTCTCACACCAACAATGTTGAGTTGGCTCTGTTTTGCAAACAATTCTGTGAATCGAAGAGATCTGGTCTTAGACCTTCAGGTGTCAACCCCTCAACAGCACATTACTTGTCTATCAAAACAGACCATATCTTCATTATTCTTATTACTTATTACAACATACACATAACACATAACATACATATACATATACATATACAATGGTATATATGATCATTGATTGATTGTTAACATCTGAACACTCACTAACTCACTCACTCAATCAATCAATCATAGGCTTCACCAGACGATAAATCACTCGCTTTGAAGGCAAAGACAGATTTGGTCAGGAGGACATTCAACTATCCAGATACAGAGGTTGTTATACAGGATTATGCTTGTTCATTGAAGAGAATGATTCTGATACCAGGTCGTATTTATATTACAACAAACTATGTATCATTCATGCCAGTGATTGGTGAATCAATCGAATCAGTGTCCTTTAGAAAGGTCAACGACATCAAGAAAGACAGTACCATCTTCCTCAGTACAGCCATCACCTTTGAAACCACAGGACAGAATGTAAGTGGATGTCAGTCACATGACCAAGTGAGCTCGCTCACTCACTCGCTCGCTCATTCATTCATTCGAACAGATATCATTTGGATCGTTCATGCATAGAGATGAGGCATTCAACTTGATATATCACTTTTGGAAGTTCCCGCCTATAATCTATGAATCAAACTCGGTCGACGACGAACATATGAGACAGTTCAACAAACAGATTAGTGGTAGCGGAGGCAACAACAGCAGCGGCAGTGGATTGTTTACGACGAGCAGCAGAAGCAGTGGAAGCTTTGGCAACTCTAGTCAGGGTAGCGGTGGCTATAACAACTCGCCTGGTTCAGGCACCACTTCCGGAAGTGGACAATACTATGGCGGTGGCGGCGGCAACAGGGTGTCTGGCGGCAGCAATAATGGAGGTGTACAACAACAAACACAATACACCAAGGTTGATACAGAGAGCACTAGACAGGCATTGAGAATCGCATTGGAGACTCGCGAGACTGGTATTTCGACCATGCACGAGATGTCCCATCAAGCAGAAATGATCGATCAGATCGAGTACAACGTGGAGAATATACATGGCAATCTTGACAAGTCTGAACGATTGCTCAAAGGCATCGAGTCATTTGGTGGCGCAATATCCAATGCCATGTCCAAAGAGAAGGTGCCCGATAGACAGCCATACCAATCAGTGGATCGATCAGTAAGTTGTTCATTCATTCATTCATTCACGTGAGTGCATACTTCAGTGACTAACTCGCGCGTACAGTTAAAGGTCAGACCAAGAGATGAGCCATCAGTGGAGATCGATATACTTGAGAAGTTACCGAATGATTATGGTATGTTTAATCAATCAATCATGTCCACTCCACGAACTAACACCAATCACAATCACTAGTACAACCTGCATTCATTCAGATATCCAACGACAAGTTTGTAATATTAGATAGCAATAGAAAGCCAACACCAACAGGAATGTATGCCTATGATCAGGTAGAGTTCTTGGTCGTACGTGCCAGACACTTCCACTTGGATATCAGGTTCTTGGACAAGTCGAGATTCAGATTTGCATCATCCTACATCCAGAACATCATCACAGAGATTGTACTGCGTGCCAATGGCAAGGTGGGACGCTCACCCAAGGTCATCTTTGAGCCAGGCGTCACACCCTTTGCCTACGGCGACCCTACCATCCGATTCGTACCGAGCGGAGGCAGCAGACAACAGCCACTCTTTGGTCGACCATCTCATTTGGGCGTGTCCAACTTTGCCAAGAATGCACCGGACGAAGTGAGGAACGCATTGATCGAGCAAGACAAGGACCTAGACGAGATCAGTGCACTACTAGGTGACATACATGGCATTGCCAAGACAATTGGATATGAGGCCGATCGTCAATCAGAGCAACTTGATCGTGTCACAACAAGAGTGGACTATGCCAACGACAGACTAAAGAGCAACAATCAACGAATACAAAAGATGCTATAATCATTCATCATTCATCATCAGATCTGATGAAGTACTTGGCGCGCATCAACAACAAGCGAGTGAATGAGTGAGCAAGTAAGCTACGCTCAGTCATTCCTCAGCCTGCCAGTCAATAAACATACATAATACTTACTCGCCTTGACTACCCATCACCACATTGTTCGTTCATGTAAACACAATGAGAGATACAAGTAAGTCTAGTTCTGTACATGTTGGGACCTCCGAGAAGATCACTTTGGTGTCTTATTCCCAAAGAGAGAATAAGGGATATGATCACAGGGGTTATAGAGTCCCGCTCGTATTACCCTTTATCAATTCATTTCATCGTCTGTCAGGTAAGACACCCGAGTAATGGTTACAAACCATGTCCTTTGGACTGGATATGACTTGATTTTGATTGAATGTCACCTGACAAAAAAGTGATCAGATCAAGCGAGCGCACTACCCCCACACCCATTCCCACCCCCACAATCACTTCCAAATCAGGTAAAGACAAAAGTATAAATAGACCAAGTCCATGGACTTTATTAAATCATTCCAATTATCTCTTAATAATTACAATCATCTAAACAAACAAATAACATTATAACAATGAAGTCATTCCAAATTATTGCCGCCTTGATGCTGGTCACCGTGACCATGGCCTACGCCAGAAACGCCTACTTTGTCTTCACCGATAACACCGACGAGTTCACCATCAAGCTCACCAACCCAACTCTCATCCAGCATGCTCGTGACCTTATTGCCAACCGTACCCAAGAGAGCCGTGGAATCATGGGCAAGATCGTCCGTGGTGACACCTGGTACAACTGGGAGTGGTCTTACTACCTCGACCCAACCACCATCTCCTTCTTCGACATGGCCACTGAGGTCTGTGATGCTTCCATCTCCTACGTCGAGAACCACCTCAACGAGGTTGGCGGTGCTCTCCTCCCAGGCAACAGATGGTGCCCATGGCAGTCACACGTTGTTCGCGAGATCTAAATGGTCAAGTGATCAATTCCAACTTCATTTGTCAACAGTCCACAAGTTGACCATCTTCCAATAAACCTTCACAAAGTATTAGCGAGGTAGTCCTCGTTATACAATTTAGCAGTTACCAATGCCCATTCCTTAACTCATTAAATCATTCAACCAATCAATATACGAAGATATTGTGTTCATTGTACAAGAGTGTTATACACTACATTATAGTTTATTGTTTACTGAGCACCTCCACGGAGACGGAGCACCAAATGAAGGGTTGACTCCTTCTGGATGTTGTAGTCCGAAAGGGTACGACCATCCTCAAGCTGCTTGCCAGCAAAGATGAGACGCTGTTGGTCGGGTGGGATTCCCTCCTTGTCCTGGATCTTAGTCTTGACGTTGTCGATGGTATCCGAACCCTCGACCTCCAATGTAATTGTCTTGCCAGTGAGTGTCTTTACAAAGATTTGCATTCCTCCACGCAGACGGAGCACCAAGTGAAGGGTGGACTCCTTTTGAATGTTATAGTCGGAGAGGGTACGACCATCCTCGAGTTGCTTTCCAGCAAAGATGAGACGCTGTTGGTCGGGTGGGATTCCCTCCTTATCTTGAATCTTGGTCTTTACATTGTCGATGGTATCTGATCCCTCAACCTCGAGGGTGATGGTCTTGCCAGTGAGTGTCTTGACAAAGATCTGCATGCCACCACGGAGTCTGAGGACGAGATGAAGGGTTGACTCCTTTTGAATGTTGTAGTCAGAGAGTGTGCGGCCGTCCTCCAACTGCTTGCCGGCGAAAATGAGACGCTGTTGGTCGGGTGGGATTCCCTCCTTGTCCTGGATCTTGGTCTTGACGTTGTCGATGGTGTCGGAGCCCTCAACCTCGAGGGTGATAGTCTTTCCAGTCAAGGTCTTGACAAAGATCTGCATACCTCCACGCAGACGGAGTACCAAGTGGAGAGTTGACTCCTTTTGAATGTTATAATCTGAGAGGGTGCGGCCATCCTCCAACTGCTTTCCAGCAAAGATCAAACGTTGCTGATCGGGTGGGATACCCTCCTTATCCTGAATCTTGGTCTTGACATTATCAATAGTGTCTGAACCCTCAACCTCCAGTGTGATTGTCTTTCCAGTCAGTGTCTTTACAAAGATTTGCATTATTTAACTGTTAATTATTATTATGCGAGTATATATATTAGATAATTAATATTTGTTATTGTTGTTGTTGTTTGAATGATTTGATTTACATACCCTCGAGGGTATTAAATATGTTCTGTTTATTCTCAATTTGGAATGAAGTTGTCAGGGAATCATCATGAGTCAGAGACTGAGAAAACAATTCATGGAATGAGTGTTCCTGAATCAAATCAGATGAAATTTCATCGATATTTTGGAAAGAGATAGAATTACTATCTCTTGTCATAATAGAGGTCCTGTTTAACTTAAGTTACAATGTATTTACCTTCCAAAGAATGAAACTTAGTAATATTAACAATGAGGTTAATACAACGTTAACACTTAAGTGATTGATTGATGAACATATGTAGGTCACACACATATGTGATATTAAGGACCACAACCCCATCTCCAAAGACTCGTTTATTCATTCTTAACTTATCACTACACTACACACTTGGACCTAATTAGGATACATACAAACAAAGAATGAGTTCAGATCAATTCCCTTTCAATCATTATCTACACAGTGGTTATGCTCATCCAATCACTAGATCATGGCAAGGTGACTCCACCATACTCAAGTCGCAACTCATCTATCCAATCTTTGTTACAGATCAATCAAACACAAAGAATGAGATAAAACGTATGATCAAGATGAACTTGATTGAACTTGATCATTCAAGTATACTCACTCATTCAATCACTCACTCAATCACACACTCGACTTGATTCAATCACATTGTAGCCCTGCCTGGTAACTACCAACTCTCAGCTGATCAGGTGTTGGTTGACTTCTTGACACCACTGGTACAGAAGGGATTGAGGACTATTATATTGTTTGGAGTGTTGCTTAATAATGAATCAAAGGATCTTACTGGCTCAGCTGCATCAAATGACACTGCCTCACCAGTGATCAAGTCACTCAAACTCATTAGACAAAACTTCCCTCAGTTGTGCATCGCTTGTGACGTATGTCTTTGCGCATACACCTCGCACGGACACTGTGGCATCACCCACGACGATGGATCAATCAACAACGCCGAGAGCATCAAGCGTTTGGCCGAGGTGTCACTCTCGTTCGCACAGGCTGGCGCACACATTATCGCACCATCAGACATGATGGACTGCCGCATCGGTGCCATCAAGAAGGCACTGTTCGACGGAGGATTCGGCTCAAAGGTGGCCGTCATGTCCTACGCCTCCAAGTTCGCATCGTCCTTCTACGGCCCATTCCGTGATGCCGCCAGCTCTGGCGCCAAGTACGGTGACCGTGCATGCTACCAACTGCCACCAGCTTCGCGCTCCCTGGCCCTGCGCGCAGCATTGCGCGACGCAGAGGAGGGCGCAGACTTTGTGATGGTCAAGCCGGCCGGACCCTACATGGACATCATTCGCGAGGTCAAGAACAATGTCAACCTTCCCATGTGTTGCTATCAAGTCAGTGGCGAGTACGCCATGATCTACCACGCTTCTGCCGCTGGTGCCATGGATCTCAAAACATCAGTTCTAGAGTCATTGCTCTGTCTCAAGCGTGCAGGCTGTGATATCTTCATCACATACTTTACTCCACAACTGTTGGAATGGTTGCCACTGTGATCGATCGATCAATCATCCTCATTCAATCAATCAATCTTGAAATGAATAGTCACTGACTGCTAACTAACTAATGTTAAATTTAATCTTACAATGTGTCTGATGTTGACGCCGCTGCTGGCACTACCACGATTGGAACGGGAGTAGCGGAGGCCTGATCAGTAGTAGGAGATACCTTTGGGAACCAATGCTCTTCAATCCAATTGAAGGTTGGTTGGAGATCGACTTCATTCGCCAATGTAGCCAACTCACTGACCAACTTGGGATCGTCCATCGAGGTGTGTACACCTAGCAATGGGTTGATACGATGGTATCGCTCGCCTAGTATGTTGTCGCATAGCTGCGCCAAAAAGTCCACCTGCGAGCCCATGAACAGGTTGCCCAGCTTGGGTGCCCAGTTGAGCAGACCATAGTCATAGTCTGGGCCACCCTCCATGTAGTGTGGCGACAGACCGGTGCCAAGCGACAGACAGATGATCTTGTTGGCTGGGATGTTGTCGTTCTTGGGACTCATCGCCAGACTCATCGCCGCCATACCAGGGTTGTTGCAAAAGACGCCACCGTCAATGAATCCTTGGTACGAGGGGAAGAAGGTGGGCGCCGCACCCGATCGCAACAGGGCGTCGCTCACCACCTCCTGCGTGAGCCAGTCGTCACACTTGCCAATGTTGTGGAAGACGGCGGGCATCCATCGTCTGTCCTTGGGTGCATACGGCTCGGCCTGTGGCGGGTAGTGGCTGTCTAGCTGGAAGGCGGGCACGACCAGCTTACGCGGGAACTCGTAGAATCGCTTGTCCTGGAAAAAGACGTAACAGGACGCTCGCAAAAGGCGATTGAAGTACTTGGAGTTGTTCATGTTGAAGCCGGCCCTCTTCTTGCCAAACACTGGCAGCGCCGTTAGCTCGAGCACACGACGCGTACCCTTTGGTGGATACTGGGCGGCCAGGCCGGCAGCCACAATCGAGCCGGCGCTGGTGCCTGTGAATACGTCGACATAGTCGAGGAATGTGGGGAATCGCTTGGTGATACGCTCGATCAGCACGCACACCATCACTGAACGCAGTCCACCTCCGTCCAGCGACATGATCCTGTAGAAGCCATCGTTGGATCGAGGCCTGTTGCGGTATTCCGATGGCTTGACGTCGGGTGGGAGTGGGGCAGGTGCAAACTCATCGAGCAGGCTCTTGACCGTCTCGAGAACCTTCTTCTCATCGGGCTCCAAGTCGTCGATGAGCTCACGAGGTATAAACACTGTCTGCTTTGGTGAGGTTGGGCTGGGTGGTACATAGTTGGTCACTGTTGCCCTTCGTCCACCAGGCATCTTGTGCTCGGACACCAATGGTCTAAGTGTCACAGTAGTCTCTGTTATGATTGATTGATAGAGTTAGTGAGTGAGTGAATTGATCATGTTGTCAGGCCTGACAACATACCCTTCTTCTTCTTGATCACCTGCTCGATGTCTGTGCACCACTTCTTGGCGCTTGCCTCGTCCTCGCAACGGAACTTGAGCAACTTGATCTTCTTATCACCGCGCTCAACCTCGGAGAATGGGTTGATGACAAAGACGTACTTGCCCTCCTCTATCACGGGCTTAGTGAGTGTATACCAGTAGTTCAGTGTGATCCTGTTCTCCTTGACACCAGTGTCACTCTTTTCCTTGTCACCACCGCGTGGCGAATGGGGCATGGCGGGCTTGTCCTCCCACCAGCCGTTGAAGTACTCCAGGTGATTGCCACGCAGCACATACCAATGCTTCTTCCAGGAGGAGCGAGATGACGCGCGCTCCATCCAGCCCTCCATGACCTTCTCCGTCTGCTGCTGTGCCAGCTGTGTTTGGATGTCCTCGAGCGCGTCGGCGAGGTGTGGGGTACGCGGGGTAGTCGAGCCCTCCGACGTCTCCTTGGTAGCGGGCAGGTCGAGAGTGTCGATAGTGAGGCCGGGCATCGACCTGATCTTTGGCACACCCTGGTCGACCTTCTTCTTCCTGAAGAAGTTGAAGATGGACAGGTCAGAGGCGGACGAGGGCGACGAGGAGAGTGGCGGTGAGCTAGAGTTGAACGATGTCGCATTGACAATGGGCGACGACTTTGTTGTGATGGGCGACGAGGACAGCGGGTAGGGCGGGGTGTTGCCGCCAGAGTGTTGTTCACTCGCGGCGTACTGCTCCATGAGAGGCGCAGAGCCTGAGAAGCGGTTCCTGCCCACGCCGACCACTTGATACTGATGATGATGAGGATGATGTCCAGGCGATCCGGGCATAGGCATGCCTAATGACGAGCGCTTTGATGACGTGGGCGACACCTTCTTGTCGGGCGCACTGGGCCTCTCCATGCCACCACTGAGCTTGAACTTTGACTTGTCCGACGCATCATTCAGCTTCATCTGTGATAGCGAACGACCCAATTCCTGGCCTCCCTCATCGTCCATCGCGATCATAAAAGATGACCAATCACCAACCTGACCATTCTTGTTCAAGTTGATTGCTCCATCATCCTCTTCGCCTCCTTCATATATATTCAACCAAGACGACTCTGACATTGTATTGTTTGTTTGTTTGTTGTTGTGATGTATTGTAGTTGTTGTTGTATGAATAGTAGTACAAGTTATTGATTGAGTGATTGAGTGAGTCTTGAGGCCTTGTCGTCTGGTAAGTTGTTGTTGTCGCAGATGATGATGGTGTAGTGGTAATGTTACAATGTGTAATGTTGCTACACACAACTAGTGCAGTTGTATCTGTGCGTGTTGTCGTTGTCCTTATTGTTTGTTGTTGGGGAAGTGAAGGAATGATTGGTTTGGCTTGAGGTGTCACCGAAAGTGGGGAGAGAGGGCACACTCATGAATGAAAATTGATTGAGCTCCGTGCCCATTCGAATCAAAGTCAAACCTCCATCTAGGAATCCGATTGGACAAGACAAGGGTAAGGGCCTCATCAAATATCCAGGTTGCCCTGCTTACTTGCTCTCATAATAGGTTGATGAAAGTGCTGCACAGAGATCAAAGCAAAGTCACTTCGTTCACGATAAAATAATCGTTCATTGCAAGTTGTGGAGTATTCAATGATCTGATCATGGAAGTGTAGAGTGTGTAGTATTACTTAACACAAGTCGCACACCTACACTACTACTTACCCACTAACTACACTAAGATGTTGATCATTGGACGATTATGATCTGATGAGATGAAAAGTGATTGATCAAAGCAATGAAAGGGCACACATTCCCTTTGTGAGGTCAATCAGGGGTCAGAGAGATCAGATGTTCGCAATCCCCATTCCCATTCCTTTTCATTGTTATTGGGTACTGGTAAATGAATAAATAAATAAATAATAATAACACAAGAATGGAAATGACCTTAAAAGGAAACATTCAAGTGGTGCTGGTCAACCCAAACACAACTTCGTTCTCACCCATCCAAACACATAATCACAACTTTGAGAGATCGTGAGTTTGAGTGGTCTGTTGTGTTTGTTTGAGTGGGTTGTGGTTTGGTTCGTTCATCCATTCACTCAACCTCCCATGACAACAAACAAACAGACAGACATTCATTTATTCAAAGCAACTGTGTAGTTTTGCATTCATTCTCATTCAATTCAATTCATTCATATTGTCATCATCAACAATAACTAATCATTCATTCATTTATTCGTTCAAATAAGAATACATATTTATTAATCAAATAATAACCTAAACTACATGTAATATATATCTAAATAATCAATCAAACATATATATATATATTTAATAACAGACAATACACTTATATACATTATATATATTATATATATAACAATGTTATCACTTAGAGATTATTGTATATTATCAATTATAAGATTACTTAAAGAGAATAGATTGGATGTTATACTTAATAGTTCAACTGGTCAATTACCAGCAGAGATGGTGGATTACTTATTGACCATGCTCAAAAAGGTCGAGATGTATCCTATAAACAATCAACTGTTGGAGTACTTGTCGACGACATCGATCGAATCACTGGATCTGAGCAATGAGGAGTCGCTCGACTTGGATCGTTGGTGCACCTATCTTTCACAGCCCGAGAGCATCAGCTCGCAGTGGATGCCACTCAAACAGAGTCTCACACAGCTGGTCCTCTCCAAGCTGTCCAGTCTCGAAGATCACACACTCTCTGCCATTCTCGAACAGTTTCCATTCATCACCAACCTAAACGTATCACATTGCACACTTCTCAACGGATCATTCATCAAACGATTGTCATCGTCGTCGTCGTCATCGTCGTCCACATCTCATGTCGACAGACTTCAAACGCTGAACCTTCGCGGCTGTACATCACTGTCACCAGACAGCTACTCGTAAGTATCCACGCCAGACCATGATGATGATGTTATATCACTCACTCACTCGCTCATACATCATAACAAACATGTAACTACAAACAGATATATTAAACATTGTAACAACTTGGAGATATTGGTACTTAGCAAGACAAACATTGGAGACGATGATTTGCCTATGGTACTATCGACAATGGACAAGCTGATGTGCTTGAAGCTCAATCACTGCTACAACATCTCGAAACAAGGTGTAGCTGCCATTGCTCGACTGACCACTCTCGAACACCTCTACCTCAATCACTGTACATTACTTCAAACCGAGAACTCGCTGCAGGCGCTGCAGCACTCGACCACCATTCAGCACCTGGACATCTCCTTCTGCTTCATGGACGACCGCTCGGTGGGCAGCTCGCTGTTCACCATGCCCGCGCTGACCTCATTGTCGATCCAGCACAACTGCCTCTCGACCAGCTTCATCCACGACCTCTCACTGTCGCCTCTGCGACACCGTCTCGTGCACCTCGATCTGCGCGAGTCGCTCCACATCACGCCAGTCGTTGCGCTCCGACTGTACCCGGCAACGCAGCTCACCGAGCTGTTCATCTCGCCCAGCAGGCGATCCAAGCACAACACATCCGACACGTGCAAGATCGACCTGGACGCATTGTACAAGGCACACAATCAGATAAGGATCAACGACAATCAGATACAACTGAATCGCTCGAGCATTAGACAGTCGATCGTCGAGAAGCAGGAGCACTGTCCTTTGATCCTGCTCGGTGAGGACGAGAAGTTCCAGGCCAGCCTGGTCAAGACGGTTCTCGAACGCAGCAACTTTGACGTGAGGATCGCATGCGATGGCAAGTCGGCATTTGAGATGTTCTGCCAGACGCCCTACTTTGTGCTGGTCATGATGGACATCTTCATGCCGATCCTGGACGGCCTTAGCTCCATCCGCATGATCCGTCAGTTTGAAAAGTCAGTCAATCTCAAGCGCACGCCAATCATCATCTGCAGTGGCAACGACAAGACGTTGAACTCCAATGGACAGTCCAAAGGCGATGAGGGCTGCGATGCATTCCTGTCAAAGCCCCTGAAGAGGAACCTTGTAGACCTGATCATGAAGCTCACTACCACTCCGCCAACTTCACCGCCATCCTCTTCGTCGCGTCCATCATCAAGAGTGCCACAGATCACCTCTAGTTAGTTAGTGTAGAACTAAAATGAATGACATGTCGTGTATCGTCTTGTACATAAACAATATTCCTATTCCCGAAGTCCCTCTCCATCAGATGGCGACGGGACCTCCTCCACTCTCCATTTACTTTCTTCGCTTGACTGTTGTTGCAGTAGCCTGAGATGCTGAACTTGATGCAGCCGACGACTTGCTCTCATTCTCTGGCATCTTCTTGTTTTGTAGCTTGTAAAGCAATCGCTGCTCGACATTGTCCATCAGCCACTCGTGCTGGATCAACTCGAGGTTCTCGCGCTCCGATGTGTAGAGCTGATGTGTTGGTGTCTGCTGTGCCGGCAAGCCCTGCTCCACCTGTGATTGAAGCAGAGTCTCGTTGAGCTGCGGGCGCTCCTGCAGCAGAAGCGAGTTGATGCCCTCCAGACCGAACCAGCACAGGAAGTACCAACTCAGCGAGCTGACATACGAGACGTCCAGTGATGACAGCTCGATGCCGCTCTGCAGGAAACGCTTGAAACGGATTGTGAGCGGGAAGAATGGGATCTTGACGGCGACGAATCCAGAGAAGAAGTGATTGACCCATGTCATCAGACCAATCTGAGGTACTACATTGACCACATTACCCTTGAGCATATCAGTCATACCTGACTGATCCTTAAACACATTGCCAAGCATTCCCATTGGATTATTACCTGCGCCAGTGTCCTTTAATGCGAACAGTCCTGTCTCCTATTCATGTGTTGGTTCATTCGTTCATTCGTTAGTTCGTTAGCAATGTCCTGATGACCTGTCAAGTGATCAGTCAATCATTCAATCATACTTTGTTTGTAAAGTAAGCCTTCCTCATTAAGAATGAGTGTAATGGGATCATATTGTTACTCTGTGCCAATCTTCTTGATCTTAACAATGTCTGACTGCGATGATTCAATGATAGAGTGTGATTGAGTCATAATAAGTATGTCGCTCTCTATGTTATCTATGCTTTCCCATCACTCTACTACATACACCTCCATAACATTCTGCACGACCTGTTTCCTCTCTGACTGTTGCATCAGACCTGCTATATTACTCTTGAGTGCACTAACGATGAACAATACAAACAATATAGGTATTACTACCCAATTCCTAATAGGAGTGTCCAATACTATAGTCTCTTCTAACATCTCTTTAGTAAGTAATAATAATATATTATATATATGTATGTGTTCAAGAATGAATAAGATGAAGTGAAGTGAATTCAAAATGATGTTCAACAACACCAAGTCAGCAAACTTGTGCGAGGGTAAGTGTGTGAGGGAATGTCCGCGAGGGTTGTTTACTTGTGTGGATGATGATGATAATGATGATGACGGATGGAGTTAACACTCAACATCTGGTTGTTGAGAGGGATGAGCAGCTTGGAACTCGGGTAACTCGGAAAGGGTGTTGTTGACACGGGCAATGTTGGGATAGGCAGACATGTCAACGTTGAAACGATGAGCATTGAACACTTGGGCTGGAATGCAGAGGTCGGCAAAGGTGATCTGATCGCCGACACAGTACTTGCCACTGTGCTTGACGAGCAGAGCCTCAAGACCGTTGAAACCGTTGGCAATCCAGGTCTTGGCCCACTCGGCCTTCTTGGATTCGTCGCCGGTCATCTGAGCGAGCTTGTTGAGCACCTTGAGGTTCTGGAGTGGCTGGATGTCCGATCCAATGATCTGCATCATCTGACGCACGATAGCACGCTCAGCTGGCTTTGTTGGGAGGAGTGCTGGCTCTGGTCTAGTCTCCTCAAGGTACTCAAGCATGGCCAATGATTGTCCAAGCACATGTCCATCGATGACCAATGTTGGGACCTGTCGTCGGGAGTTGTAACGTTAATATTATTGAACTCACATTTGAACTAGTTCTGCCACAGACTTGATACATACGACTCTCATTGAGTTCAATTGATTGTATTCCTCTGTAGTCTGTTGACCACCATCCTTGATGAGATGGATAGCCTTATACTCATACTTCTCCTTCTTGAAGGCGAGAGCGACACGCACTCTCCAGGAGCATGATGATCTCCAATAGCTGTATAGAACTGTAGTGTTTGATGTTGACATGGTATGTATATGTTATGTGTATGTATGTATGTATGTTTGTATGTTGAGTAAGTTATGAACTACTTCTAGATATTATTAAATAGATGTTCTTCTTCTGAAGTTGACCTGATTTGGACTCACTTTGAGCTGCAAGAAGGAGTGTGGTCCGTCCGGAGTTTTGGGAATGTCTTCTTCTCTTCTGTTTCATTCCTTCCAAGGTCAGTCAATGTAGTTGTAACTGGTCTCGCAACAATACATTGTTATATTTATTAATGTTATTGTTGAATGATTGATTGAATTGAATGTATTACATTAATGAATTGAGATATTGAAGAATATGAAGCTCATCATCAATTGACCAAACGAAACGAACGTTCGTTTCGTTTGACTTATGGGCAATGAACATCAATCATCAAGACGTGAATGAACAGTTTACCAACACTCATTGTAATAATAATAAATGAATGAATGATATTAATATGGACATCAAGTTGGAAAGCATTAACAAAGTGTTTCATATCAAACATCTGTGTATACTCATCTTCAAACATGTTACCTCTATTCACAATCAATTGATTGAGGAGGTCACTGAGCAAGATCCAGTGTATGACCTCCCTCTAGCTCATCATAGGATCAAATCTACGATCAAAGGATCCCAGTTGCTGGCTGATGGTAGCCTCATCAATATGCTAAAGTACAACGCCACTCAATGGTTCATTGAGGAGTATGACAAAGTTCACAACTATCCAATCAATGATCGACTACTGATCCAAACGATCAAATACAACAATGTAAAGGCATTCAATCATCTACTCAACATGGTATTGCCTTCACAAGATGACAACAACAACATGCTTCGACAAGTACTCAAACATGGCAATGTGGACATGCTCAACTTGTTCCTCGGTTTGAATGCTCAGCGTACGGCATCATTCAGCATCAACGATCTAATGCGAGCCATCGACACTGGCAACGTTGACTTTGTTCGTATACTACTGCGACGTGGATGTGTTGATAGGGAGCCATCTTATTCCTACAATCGAGAGGATTATAAGTTCAAAAGGTCACATCATGGCATCAGTGTCACAATGCTCAAGATGTTGCATGAAGAGTTCAATCGACTTTACTACTCTGGTTATTGGTTCCCGGGCTGCATCATCATATCCAACGATGCTTTGGAGCATTGTACTCGATGCAACTTGGATGAAAGTGTCAGGTACATTGCCAACATGCCTTACTTGTCTTTGTCATCACAATCTGTGAACTCATCGTATCAGATGACCAGAGTTTGACGCAATGCATCAAGAAGTGTATGGAGATATGCGCGCATGAGAGTGGCAATATCAAGATCTTCAAGGCACTGTGCCAGACTGAGATTGGAGCAAAAGTAATTCAGTCCAGTGCGTACCTGACTCCAATAATATTGAAGGCTAACCTCGCTGGACACGTGGACATCGTTGAGAGCATCAAAGAACACTTTGATCAATTGAGTGACGCGATGTTGCCAACATCCGACCCATCAATCATTCAAATTTTGAATGCTCCACGTGCATCCATTCCACGTAGAATATCACTCTACCAGGCCATTCTCGATGATGATGTTGTAAAGGTGGAGGAGAGCATTTATAATGTTACCAAGGTGGACTGTAGGATGTGGCAATCTATGTCCTTGTCAATGCTCACACACATTGGCCATGGACAACCACCCATTGAGTTGGGCTTCAAAGGGAGATCCCTGCTCAACATGATTGAATCAGTAGGAGTGAAAGGCAGTAACATCACCGAGGACATCATCAACCTGTTCTTGGACAATGGTCACTTTTCTCAAACTGACAGGAGATTATTGGAGAATGAACATGTTGTGGCATTGGACGTCTCATGTGGCCTGATGCTAAAGATACACAAGATGTTCAAACTCCAATTCAATTCAGAATGTCTAATTCATGCACTGCTGAATGTGAATGAAGAGGCCATGTCCATTCTCTTTGAGTCATTTGCAAAGAGTTCCGTTGACTATCTTATGCGGTCATTGGATGGCACGGTCATCAGGCTTGACAATGCTGTTATACATCTTCTTGAACATGGATCATTGGACTCAATCAAATTGATGCTTCGCAATGTGTCCTCGGGCAATCTGTTGAAGCCTATCATCTTGAATTGGACATGCTCAAACACTTTAGTCGTGTTCAGATTCACCCTGGAACTATTCCCAGTCGATATGATGACCAGTAGTCAAGTCTCTAAACTCATCAATGCTGTATTCCTAAAGGAACACAAAGATCAACAAGTATTTGAAGCACTTCATCTCATTCATCAGAGATTCAGCTCAATGTTCGACCTGGCTCCATCACCACGAGTGTTGGAAGTTGATGCTGTAGCACTTTCGATCAACCTCTTAAAGTTGGACACATTCCACCTACAGTTACGCATCTATCATTTATATTATTTAATCAACCTCTTCAAGTTGGACATATTCCAGAGTCTGTTACAAAACTATCATTTATTGCCTTCAAACATCCTCTTCAAATTGGACACATTCCAAATTCAGTAACACACCTATCATTGGAATGCTATGATAAACCACTTGAAGTTGGACACATTCCACAGTCTGTTACACACATATCGTTTGGTGGCTTCAATCAAACACTCAAACCCGAGTTTATTCCGTCTGTTTCCTCAATGTTCATGAATTTACTCAATTCATATCTACAAAGAATCTTTTGCTTCTCAACGACTCTGATTTGAACAGAATTACCCATCTTATCACTTCCATTGTATCCAAAAAATATCCATATAGAACATTACAAAAGAAAAATACTAGTAATGGTGTTCTGTCCTCTCTTTTCTACTTACTGGAACGTATTCAAACAATAACTGTACAAATTCGATCACATACTAAATCAGAGATTCATGTGGATAGTACTTGGAGGCGAATTGATGACAAAGTTGCCCTGATGGTTCATGATAAAGGAGCATCATTTTGGACATCCAACCAATAAATTAGTTCCTGTTGCAACAGAACTTCATTTAAACAAGACTATGATCATTTTATCACACATGATTTTGATGAGTGTCGTTTGGCGATCAATCAATGATGATCCACCTCCAGCCAATCAACAACAACATCCACAACAACAACAGGAATAGCAATGCCTCAACCTCAACTTCATCAACATCAACTTCATCAACAACATCATCAACACGTGATGCCTTAGATTTAATGAACCGATCTTTGACCATAATTGCACCGGCACAATACTTTAGAAAGGGACATATTACAAAGATGTACTTGGATAATAATAAGATCAAGGAGATACCTTTGGACCTGATTTATTAGACTCCCCTGCTCGTGGTGGCCAGCTTCAACTCGAATTGTTTGAACAGCCTGCCCAATGAGATCCGCGAGTGGACCCAACTGTCCATACTACACCTGAACTCCAACAGTTTGAGTTCACTACCTGCATCAATCACAGAGTTGGAGCATCTCTCATTGATCAGTCTCAAGTCCAACCAGTTTGAGAGGCTGCCCAGTCTACACCTTTGCCATTCAATCAAGTCAATCAATCTGGACAACAATGACAAGCTACCACAGTTCATCAAGAGGCTCTACTCTTTTGCATACCCATCTCATAGTCGAGTGAGTGCCACGCTGACAATGGCCATGGACATGGGCGAGTCCTTGTCCGATACATCGTCATCCTCATCTGAACCCAGCTCCAAACTTCCACATCTACATATCAACCATGCTATTGACATCTCGCCAAAGACTCCACGTAGGAGTGTTGTGCATTCTAGTCCAGACTATGGATGTGTGCGCAGTCTCAACCTCGAGAGCTCATCATTCACCAGCTTCCCATTCATGACTGGTCAATCACTCCTGTCACTGAGATCTCTGCTACTTGGTCACAATCCAAAGATTGAAATTGAGAGTTGTCGACTCCAATGGAGTGCATTCCGACACCTCGAGTCCATCAGTATCGACCGCTGCCATCTCCAATCAATACCAACAGGTCTCACCAACATCAAGACCCTCACCGAGTATGTATACATACTCATTCAATCAATCACAGACTGACTCAAACAATTAATCAATCACAGACTTAACCTGAATAGTAACATGATTAGGACGTTACCACCTGACATTGAGAAGTGGACTAGATTGAAGACGTTGCAGTTGTCTAATAATATGTTGACATGCTTGCCAACATATATGGATCAATTGACATGTCTAAGTACATTGATACTCAATGGAAATAGATTGATCAATGTTGATGTCACTGTCCGTATTCCTACATTGATCGAGCTCAACCTCGACAACAACATGTTGACAGTGTGTCCAGGCGAGCTATGCAAGGAGCTGCATCAACTGAAGATATACTCTGACAAGGACAACCCATTCTCAATCAAAGCCACACATGGTCATCATCATCAGAGCTCAACAGCATCCATCTCCAAATCAACATCCGCCCACTCAAGGTGGTCACATCGCCAAATGTATGCATGTCTCCACCATTGTCATGCGTCTCACCTAGCCGAGGAAGGGCTCCGAAGCCACTACCAATGACACCTGGACATCGACAGCGATCAGAGAGTATGGTGTCCAGTCCAGACTGCCAGACACCGTTGGCCAATCCATTTGCAGCAACACCTGATATGGTCATGAGTCCCAAGTATCCTCCATCATACGCCTCCACGACAGGACCGTTGGGCATGTCGTGTGATGCCATGCTAGGTCGTCAGCGATCATCAACCTTTGCTGCCGTGGGCGAGAAGCCAATTCAACACAGCCATTCATCATCAGCAATCAGTCAGTCAAAGATGATGTCTGATGTGATCAATGAGTTTGAGGTGAACGCAGGTATCCATTTGAGCAAGAGTTCATCATTCTCCATGGGCAAGGTCTGGAACAAGTTCAGAAGAATGAGTTCGTTCAAAGGTCCATCGAGCGAGGAAGAGTTGATAATCAGCCTGCCGTCATCACCGCGCCAAGTCGACCCAACCCCATTCACCGGAGACATCAACATCAAGTCGCTGCTGAGTAGTTCTGCATGTCCAATGTCACCACCAAGGGATTCCCCATTGGTGACCTCTCCCGAGCTCTACAGCACATCCAAGACTCAATCAAGACGTGAGAGGAGCAATACCATCAGCCACTCACACTCCTCATCCTCTGTTTCCGGATCTGGTAGTGTTGAGACTCGTGGGGCAAGGTCACCAACACTCAGCCAAACAACGTCATTGGTGCCGCCACCGGCCAAGCTCAAAGAGACATATGATGGTCAACATCTATACGACAACCAAGTATCAAACTCCAAGAAGAATCGTGAGAGGACACTCGAGAGCTTTGTCGTGCCGGCTTCCAACTCCAATCACAAGGCCAAGAAGTCTGGATCATCAGCCGACCTTAACAACAACAACAACAACAACAGCAGCAAGAAGTCCAAGAAGTCATCATCATCTTCATATGGAATGGATGACTCTTTCAGAATCGATGGCAACAACTTGGGAACGATACTCACACAGAGTCTTTGTAACAATCCAAGCGAGTTCATCAAAGGTCTCATGGCAGATACCAACCCTAGATCACATGTTGGCATCCAGTTTACTTGCGAGGAAGGTGTTCCAAAGATCAAGTCCGCCAACATCGAGTCCCTCCTCACAGTCCTAACTCACGAACGAGGCAACAGTATGTGTTTGATTGATCATTATGGAATAGTTCCAATCATCTAAACCCACTCTCCTCATCAATCAATCCATTAGTCTTCGATCTTGAGATACTATTCTTGGACACATACCTACTATTCACAAATGTGGATATTGTTATCCATCACTTATTCAACAGGTTCAAGAACAATGGATCACTAGTGAGACAGAAGGTGTTGAGATTCACTCAACATTGGGTAGACAGGAATTGGTCAGACTTTAGTATTGATCAACTAAAGAGGATACAGTCATTCTACAATGATATCGATTTCACCAATGAGGATAGTTGGAGTAATCAGCTAAAGGCCTTGGTCACATCAATCAAAATGAGAATCGATCTTACCTATATCTCAGACACCATGCCAGACAACTTCATGGATGTGGCACCTCTCCCGCACTTTGACTTCCAAGACAGTTTCACATTGATGGATGTCAAGCCACTAGTATGTCCATTCAATCTTGGAACTATTCCAATCAATCAATCAATCAATCACTAACCATTCTCAAACAATCACAATAGGAAATTGCAAGACAGTTAACAATCATAGATCATAGATTGTTGATGAATATATCGAGGGAGGACTTGTTGAGATGTGCTGGTCTGAGGTATAATAGAGATGAAGGTAGACCAGTATCCATTACCCAAATAACAGAGAGATTCAATAATGTTAGTCGATGGGTATCCACCAAGGTTGTCACATGCCAGCCATCAGAAAGGATTGACATAATATTCAAGTTTATCAACATTGCCCTAGTATGTATATAGATCAACTTGATCACTCGAGTTACACCTCACCCACCTACTAACATCACTCATTGTACAATACAACATTAATAGAACTGTTGGGTACTAAAGAATTTTAGTGGAACAATGGCCATTGTGTCTGGATTGAAGTGTGGCGCCCTCAATAGGTATACCTCGGCATGGGAACATGTAAATAGTTCAAAGCTTGGAAAGAGATTGGAAGAATTGGTGCCTCTTGCAACCTATCCAAACAAATTGCGAAAGATCATTGATAAGGTTGATCAACCTGCCGTTCCAAACTTGCACGCCTACTTGAATCATTTGGCCATCATCACGGAAGGAAACGCATCTACAATCAACGACGATCAGATCCATCTGGCGCGATACGAGATGATTGGTAGGATATTCAACAAATTGAATCAGTTCCAGTCCAGCTCCTATGTGTTGGTGCCAGTGGGAGTGTTGCAAGACAGTCTGGAGAGCCTGCCACTGATGACTGACAACGAGCTGTATGAGGCTGCCAAGTTAGAGACCTGTCAAGAGAATGAAAGGTCATTGTTGTTGGCATCGATGACGTCACAGGCACAACAACATCAACAACAGTACTTCCTTCATAAAATAAAGGAAAGAAGTAAGTGAGCCAGTGAATGTGCGAGCCAAAGATATTATCTTCCTAGCATCCTAACTGCGGGGATAAATAATTTATTCCAGCCTTTGTAATAAAACTAATCAAAATGAATACCCAAGTTCAAATAAATTGAGTAATTATAATAATAATAATTATATTTATAATAATAAGTCATAGTAATAATGGATATAATTTCAAATGGTAAAATTATTATGACTGACTTTGGATCTTCAAGATTGGATTAACCAATGAGAATAATGTACCTCATTGAGTTCAACTATTCACCAACTGTTCGCCTAGTATGGTTGGATGGATTATTCTTGGTTGTCAACATAAGGCTGGAATGCTGGAACGGACAATGAATGATGTTTATGTTGTGTTGGTGTTTAAGTTGTTGCTGTGGAGTCAAATGTTGGTTAGGCTAGTTTGATAATCTGAGCATCTTTGCCCTTTGTGTAGACCTTGTACTCTTTAAAGTCTGCAGAGTAGGTGACCACACATAAGTGATCGTGCCACACGTTGGGTTCCTCGCTTGAAGCAGCTGTGAAGTCGACCACAATCCATTGATCGATCATTCCCAACAGGACACAATAGATGCCAACCTCGTTCATGTCAAAGGCTCCAGTTCTTGTCTCCATTTTCCTGATGAGAGTTGTCTCGAACCGTTTCACGTGTTCTTCTTGCCTGTCGCCCTCAGATAGGAGCTCTATCGCCCACCGGAAAATGCTATTGATATAAAAGTCAACCTCCCCTTCACAGCCGAAACGTTTGCCAACGTTGGGGCTGATAAAGGTTGGTCCTTGCGCAGCAGTTGAGGCATAGTAGAACTCATCGTGCCAAACAACCTCCAGAGGTCGGATGACGGGGTCATTCTTGACCAATGGAGCCCTTCTCGAGTAGTAGCTGGCCAGCTTCTCGGGTCGGAAGTTCCTGATGCTTTCCACGATCAGTTTAGTGATGTCGTCCTTTGGTGTGATCAGAAACTTGTTCAAGCCCTTCTGAGTGTATCGCCAAATGAGATAGATCCTTTTGTACAACGGAGAGGGGAAATCCAGTGTGTACAGGCGTTCGGTCGGATCCTCGCCGAGTTCTCTCTTTGTGGGCAGCAAGACCTTGACAAGAAATCCACGCTTGATCAGGCGTGATGCAATGGTTTGGCTCTGTTGTCCTTCAGGACTGCGACTTGTAATGATCGAGTCCAGGAGCTCCAACTGTTCGAGTTCTAGAGTGTCATCTTCCTTCGTAAATTCGGCACGTGTCGGTGCTGCTCTGGAACGACTGATGTCATCTACGCACCGCTGGGAGACTAGATAATTGAACAACATTGTTTCGAGGGCAGACAACTCCTTCTTCTCTGTCCTGACAAGTTGCATCATTTTGCTGATCTCATTGTCTTCCTCAAAGATAACAAGAAAGCGCTTGACCAATCCAACATGACCACGCGTGTCGTTCCAGATTCGGGAAGCAATGGTGCGAGGCAGCGGACAAGTCCTTGGTCGTTGTCCGAAGCGACGGACCAAATCGAGGTACTCTTGGAAAGAGAATTGTAGGAATGTGTGGTCAAGAGGCGTGTGATTGGTGGCGGCGAGCTCCACTGGGGTAGAGGCCTCTGAGCCCTGGCCCTTCTCACCATAGACGGAAAGAAGTAAGACATGGATGTTGCCAGCCAGCGACTTGATGAATGGCCAAAATAGCGAATGATAGGGATGTTCCTTGGGATAGACGACATGGCATTCGTCGATGATCAAATAGACGGGTTTCTTGATGGCGATCAATAACCAGTCATTGAAAGAGCAATTGGTGTGCGTCGTCCATAGGTTTGTAAAGTCCTCCGCGCGATTGTTGGTTGTCAGTGTTGTACTCCATATAAAGGACAAGCGGCGGGTGTATGCCTGGGGCTTCTCTTTGATCAGTTGTGTCTCGACCAGTTGTCCAATAGCAGTCTTGCCAGTGTAGGGCGGGGATCGCAAGAAGACCACCCTGGCAGTGTCCATCTCTTTGATAATTCTCCCAACAGTTTCAGCTCGCGGTGTGGAATAGTCTGTTACTGTCAATCCCTCGTACTGCATGAGGGAATCTGTTATTCAGATGTTAGTAAATCCTAAAGAGTGGATAATCCAACTTCGAGACGTACGGTGAAATGTCTGGTTTAAAATTGGTGGGTATATCTTATTTGGGGCATAGAACTCTGGAGTTGGGTCTTGAGTGTGTATGTTAGTATTGAAGACTTTGCGCCGATATTGTTGGATGACTTACAAGCTTCAGCCCTGACATCAACATATATGGTGATGTTGGGATCTATTATATCTAATGATCTAATCTCTTGTGTCAACAGTTGATCTTTATAGAGATTGAGGTTGGCAGGTGCAGTTTGAATTCCAAATGTACTGAGGATTTTTGGTTTGATTAAAGAGTATGAGGTCTTGGTAGGGTCCCTGTCGATCTCGATATTCTCTTCCCTTGGTCTAGACTTGTCTGCAGGTTGATATATAACTGTGAGGGTGAACACTGACAACACAAATGACAGGTGAGTATGACGTAGAGGGGCATGATAGTGGCTATCGTACTTACTTATTGGTAATGAAGCGTTAGTTAGGTTCGCAACGAGTGAGTGATTTATTATTAATATTACTTTTATGAGAGAGGGTGGTTGTAATGAGAAGAGATAATAAGTAGGTGTGTAATGTGTGGAGCAATAACAAGATATGATAGAGATAATGTGTTGAGTGATAATAATGAATAGATAGGAAGGTAAATAATTGAAGTGAATGGGTTGTGGGTTGAAGATAAGTATGGATGAGTTCTTGAAAAATCAAAAAATTTAAATTAACTTAATTAAGTTGATGAAGACACGTGTGACGAAGATGGGTCCAAACATTAAATCATTTAAATATTGTTGTGTCGTACGAATAGATTATTTGATTGATTGAAAGATGAGTATATATGACTGATTAACGGTCAATCAATCAATCAATTACATTTAATCAATCATGTTTGGTTCCAGTGTGGAATTTATTGATTTCCATATCCTACCTTGAAGACGCCAACCAGTGTTAGTTGCAATCGTCAGGTCATGGTCGTTGTCGTTGTCATGGTCAAGGTCATGGTCATGGTCAGGTCGTGATCGTCGGTCGTGTTCATGATGGTCGCTACCGTGTAGAGTCGCCATGGTCTCCTTTGTCATGATGGCCACGACTGCCACGACTCCATAACTGCCACAACTGCCACAACTGCTACGTCACGACCATGTACAGCGTTTTAGCCATCGTCACAACAGTATGATGGTATTGGTGGGTGTTGATACTGTTGCTACAATCCAGTATGTCGAGGAAACTATGTCACTGTTGATGATGGATTGAGTGATGATGGCCCATTGTCTGTTGTAGTGTTGCGACGGTCGTCAATGCACTCATTGATGTTGGCCTTTGTCGACACAACAGTTGATTGGTGGACTCTGTAGTTATTCATGACCATGGCTCATACCGTCGTGGGTCGTCACCATCATACACGTTCAGCGACGTCTGTAGTCGAATGGAGGGTCGCGATGTCGTCATACTGGTTGGTTGCCACCACTGACTATTGTTGCTGTTGTCTGTCGCTGCCAGGCCTGCACCGTTACCACGTTACAACGACGATTGACCTGTGTTGGTTGTAGTGCAGTGTGCGCACTTTGGCCATCACACTGAAGAAGTATCTCGATCTTGGTGTCAAGCAGAAGATCCCAATGGAGATGATCCAATTGATTGACAGTATCAATGTTCGTATCAACGTCAAAGGTTATCATTGTTACATCTCCACCAATGGGGCAGCGAGAGTTCAACCTGATACTAACAAATGGTTCATATGTCGTCAAGGGCAGACATATACAATACATCGCTTGAGCTTCTGACTGATCTTCTGTCGTGATTGATGATGATGGCGTGGAGGTTGAGGATGGAGTTGTTGGCGTTGGTGTTGTTGATGCTGGACATCTGGAGACGACTTGATCGATGTGTCTGCGGCGGCTTCATCATCGCCACCACTACCGCCTGTCATTGTCTGATGCTTGTTCTTGTTCTTCCAATCCTCTTCAGTGTGTTGAGAAATGACTTCTTGTTCTCCGTGGTCGAAGAGGCCGCCGCAGAGGATGGCGAAGGCGGGGATGCAGGAGATGCCGGCGTAGTCTGTGGTGTGACCGAGACTGGCGCCTGTTGCTCGCCACTGTTCCTCGATGAATGGTGGCCTGCTGTCCAATGATGAGCGCATTGGTTCAGCGGGTGAGGGTGGCGGAATGGTCGGGATAGAGTCCACACTGCTTGGACATCTTCTTCTTCTTCCTCTCAGACAGCTGTTGCTCGATTGACGTGTCCAGCTGAGATTCGGCAGATACCGCTGATGCGGCATCCCCGTTGGCGGGGTGATTGGTTGATGATGAGGGTGATCTTGGACACCTGGTATGGGCTGTCGCCTATCCTGAATAGACCTGTTGCATAGACTTCACTGGTGATTGATGATAGGTGTGTTGGGTCTGTGAATGTCTTGATGCCATTGATCGTCTTATCTGTATCTGTGATCACAATGGATGTCAATGGTTGTGCGTTGGTAGATTGATGATGGATGTTGTTATTATTGTTGTTGTATCTACAGATAGAGTTACTTGATCGTTAAGGATATGTGATTTGATTATTGTTGGTCTCGAGGTTGAGTTGATCATTGACGATGAGTATGTCGAATGATGTTGACTGTTGCTCGTAGTCGTTAAACAGGTCGATGTCCACATTATGTGTTGGAGTTGGTTGCTGCTAAGGTTCTGCAGGGGATAGTCAAGGTTACGCAGAGAATTCATTTTTCAGCGGTCTCAATCCTTGGGTTCGAGCTGGTTCGACCCTGGACAACCCTTGGAACAGCAAGGGGAACCCTTTCAAACCTTATCTGATGTTAATTAAATATTTATATTTTTATTGTTGTTGTTGTAGTTGTTGTTGTGGTTGTTGTTGTTGTTGTATGATAAATTAGACCTTAAAGAAATCGTCGTCTCGTCCAAAGGAGTGGAACATATTGGTCAAATATGCGATAATTGTCCAGAGTGCGTTGTGTCGTTGAATGTTGTCAGAAAGGTCGCCAAGTGATCTGATTGTGTCTGACAATATGTTCCATTTCTTCATCTCTCCAAAGACATTCTCAATGATGATCCTCACCTTCTTGATTCGATTGCTCTCATCTTTCTCTCTCAGGATACGCTCGGAAAAAAAAAAAAAAAAAAAAAAAAAAAAAACAAAAAAAAAAAAAAAATAAGATACCTTGGTCGCCTCCTTTCCTTGACGCAGGCGATGCTCATCGAGCGTGCGTTTTCTGATCATCTTGTCTGTGTACTCCATATGATCGATCAATGAAGCCGACTTGATC